TTACCCATGGAAATCTGCTCCGCAACCTGACGGACGATGCGTTCATGTTCCTTCAAAACCATGCCTGGCATGAAGAAAACATCGACAACGACTTCAGAGCTGTGATGTCCACAGGTAGACTGGTACTGCAGGCAGCGAACGACGATCGAAGATTGTTACAGAAATTCACCGAGCCAACCTCCGAGGTCAGTCTTCTTTTCGTCTTTTCGTAAAACCATCTCTGATGTGGGTTATTCCGTAGAAGACGTCGAGGTTGCCCTTGAACATCCGTTCCTGGAATATCCTGCTTCTTGCGAGCCTATTGGAAGGGAAGGATGAGTGGAAGTCCATGGTATACGCCGAGTTCACCGCCTTCGCGAACGTGTATTCGGCCATGCTTCGGAGCTATGTTCATTCGGGCATCAACTCTTTAGCAGCAGCGACAAACGATATGAACCAGGCCCACGTCGCTACGAAACTTTGGCTCATGATCGCCAACTCAATTTCTGTGACACATGGTGGAGAGAGCCTGGTGAATGGGGTGTGGAATGAACTCTGGGCAGCCTATCAAGGCTTCTTGGGAGTTCTAGAAACAGAGGCTCAATTTGGGCTGTATCCTGTAGGTGTCTTCGAAGTTGGGAGGCACGATGTTATCATTGAAGTTAACCTTTGTTAAATAGACGCTGATTTCCCTAGCGTCGACGTCGGTCGTAGACCTCCTGCTGTACACGAGGTCACTGCGAATATCGCTGGCTCTTGACACTTCAGGACAGATTGCCATCCTGAACCGGTTGAAACCACACAATCGGGGAGACTCCTCTGCCAACAAGGTTCGAAATTGGGGATAGTACTGTTGCCCGCTTCAGTAAACTGACATTCTCTCTAGATTACTCGAGCGATCAAGAGTATATCGGAACCACCACCTGAGATTGCTAGCAACGTTCTGTTGGACCAAATTGCACGGGAGCTCGTTGCTGCCGAAAAAATTAAGGTGATCGAATCCAAAAGAGTAGGGGACGGTAGAGGTGGCGGAGGAGGGTACAGGAAAGAAGGATGGTGACCTACAACATTGAACAAGGGAGTGGGGAAATAATAAGTGCTGACAACATAATTAAATCCGCGACCCAACGAAAGTTTCATTGGTACACTCTTCATGCTGTTCTAAGTCTGGCTTGCTGGACCTTTTTCTGCTTCTCCTTGAGGATAGTGGATCCCAGGAAGATCCCAATGGCTGAGAGCCCGACAACCAGAATGAACGCTGGTAGTCTGACCGCCCACTCTCTTGCAGGAAACCAGTCATGTATGGGGTTGGAATTGTCGAAGAACGGCTGAAACTGGATTAACTCTTGAATGGCCGCCATAGTACAAAGTTACGCACCAGGAGAATAGCCCAACATGTGTAGTAAGTGAAGACAGCAGCGGCCGCCAGGACCATCGCCCCTCCAAGAGCTTTGTCACTTCCACCCTGCAGATGGTGTCAGTAGATTTCTCCTCCTTGAACAAAAGACTTGCCATGGTTTCCAGATGTGTGTTGTCGCGGAGAATACTTAGAGACTGTCGTGGCGAGACTACATGTGACGCGTTGGACGAGTGATCGGGCTGCCAATTCCGTTGCTCCGTACGGCTACTAGTCATACGCGTCTCCAATCTTTCATTACCCAAGGCACCTACTAGCTTGTATTCAACTTCTGTCCATGGATACACATGCCTTTGCATCTCTAGCGCACGTCCGAGTCCTACTCATACCAATTGGCTTGATACCCCAAGCCTCCTTCGAAACCTATGCAGCTGAAATACGGAGTTTTGAATCTATAAGATTGGGTGAGATACCAGCCGACACCAAGGATGGCAGATGTGAGCAATGTCAATTTCAGAAACTATGGCGTTTACCCGTTCTTGCCCACAGCTTCCCGTTTCCTACCTAACCCACTTTCGACGGGCCACCTGCACATCAGCTTCCCCACACATCCACCTCCGCAATCTCATGCACCGCTCTCTCTTCTCCGCCCGTCCCATTTCCCGTTGGCAGTCATTGGTGTTACATCTTGTTCCCAGGCCGACTCTCTTCAGTCACTATATACGCAATTCAGCACCTCTCTAGATGATATCTTCCTTGCAGGCAGTCGATATCCCTTGGTAAAGAATTGCTTTGTCTTCGAGGACACTGAAGGGATTGCCAACCTCGATCCCGGAGAAACTTTGCCGGGCATGGTTATAGTGCCTCGAATCGCAAACCGCAAAATACATATCGGCACCCTTCTGGGGACTCTATGTTCACAAATTCTGGTGGAAATTGGGGTTTTGGTGAGTGTGCATCTGCAAAAGTCAGATGGACCCTCATGAATATACCAGGTTCAAGCTTTAGAAAGTCCACTAGGCAATGAATACCTCAATGCGTCATTAATGCCCAGCCTACCACCCCTCTCAGAACTACCGTCCTCGTTAAATTCTCTCTCCAGATCAGATACTCCAACCCTACCTACACAGCATAGCCAACCTGACGTTTCAAGGTCGTCATTTACGCTGAGTGCTGCCCCGACTCTGAAGAGGAATGCGTCAGCCTCAGCATCACCGACTCCCAGTCCTAGACAACCGACGCTGAATGTCCAGGCTCAGAAAAAACGACTGAGCACCATCGGCACAAGTTCGTCACACGGGAGACTTTATAAAATGCTTGGTGATTTCTTCCTTCTTGCGGGTCGCACCGAAGACGCGGCTATATGGTGGGCACCCTTTCTGCGCGATTGATACGCATACATTTAGCTGAACTTAGGTACAACGAGGCCATCCAACTTTTTAGAAGCACGCATGATCCTCTTTGGTATGCGTGTACTTTGGAAGGAATGGCGACTGTGGCGATAATTGAAGCATGGTCGGTTGGTCAAGGGCTGGTGCGTGCTGCAAATATACCTTACTAATATCAGTTCTCAGAGGTCTTGTATTTTAGCACAACTCTACGAGTGCTGTGAGAGAACCTTGGAACGACGTCAGCGACCGACTTCAACAAGCTATCAATCTCTATCTGAGAACACCGGCACCAGAAGGAGAGCAGCTCCACTCTCTGCTGGCCCTCCTTTATTGCGGCTGTGTTCTCCGACAATCTTCCTTGTTTTTTGCCATCTGGTCAGCGAAGGGATGGGGTCCCTTGGCTTTCACTACAATGCTTCAGCCAGGTCCAAAACCATATCTTCCTCCGACCTTGAGCGCTGACGACAAGGATAACTCATTGTACCTGGAAAGATTGACAGCAATTACTGGAATTTCACGCTCTTCGATATCTGCTATCCTCACGCAGCTGCACGGCCCTTGGTTGCTGCATTTGGGTCAACGAGAACGGATTTCGGTCTTAGAAGCCACCGCGAGCATATATGCATGCCTCGGCTACCAACGGAAGGAAGCATATATCCTTCGAGAGGTGCTTGGGTGCATACTGGATCTCATGGTCTGTGGAAGAGAGGAAGACGGCTATTCGCAAACGCCTGCTGTACCCCAAAGTGCAGGTCTGGGGATACATAACGTGCACCCTGTCGGGGGCGGATCGACCTGGGGTGCTGTAGGCGTCCGCCTCAGCGAAAGCTCTGCCGGCAATGATGGCATCCTGAAGCTCCTCAAACATGTCTGTAAGGTTCTAGGCATTAATCTGGAGGCAGTGGGACTTGCAGAAGACACAAACACTCGGCAAATCGAAGACCCTCCCTCTCTCAGCAACTACGACGAAGATATCGTAGAGGAACTTCGAGAGCCCTGTGGGTGGCCAGAGCTTCAAGTTGGGGTTGTTCGGGAAGCGGTCGCTGTGGCTGAAGCGCTGCCAGGTCAGCATATATTTCTTTAGGGCATCTTTTAGCTCTGATCGAACCGAGTAGACTTTCCCACTGTCGCTCAATTTGCGTTATCGTCTCTCAAGACATTGCAGAGTGTTCTCTCGCCGGGCGACCAATATCATCTCTATGCCACTGCTTCAAGAGCTCTCATGACTGCTCGTCGAAGAGGTGATCCCACAGCCGTGGAGTACTGGTCTGGTCGACCTATCGTCAGTATCTCAATTGCGCCGTACGTCAGGCTCTTACGCAGTCGAACAATTCTGACTCCCTATAGATTTCCCTCCATTCGAATACCTGTCGAGAAGCCACGCTCTATCCAGCGTAAAACCGTCGATCCCAAACCGCTTTTGCAAGGGCTCGCTGACCCGTTTCTGTACAATCCTCGAAAGGCGGTCACCAGCAAGGTCCGTAAACCCCCTCCAGCGTGTTTTATATCCGTGTGCCTGATTGTTGGCTGCAGGGGAAATCACTTATTGTGCAAGGTGAAGAGCTGGAGTTCATCGTCACTCTTCAGAATCCGTATATCTTCGATCTTGAGCTACAGGAGCTCTCACTTAGGTACGCTCTCCATCTTGCCATCTGCCGCCCTGACACCCTCCTAGTACATCCGGAGTTCGATTCGAATCCCCACCACTGCGGGTAGTGATACCCGCAAACACCCTCCATCAGGTAGTTCTCACTGGGAAGGCTCTTGAAGCCGGTAATTTGACAATACGCGGCTGCTTCGTACAAGCCCCTGGTGGGATAGCCCGAGAGTATATTCTGCCGTTATACACCAGTGATGAAGAGGAACGTATTGCGAGAAAAAGACGCATGATCCATTCTGAAAGTGGACGTTCGAAGTTTTCTGGTCTAGCTCGCTATCCGTGGACGAGGACACAGAAACACAAGAGCGTCCAGTCTGCGGAGACGGCAGCGGGCTCTTTCCGATTTTTGGAATGCAAGGTTGTGCCAGAGCAACCGCTTCTTCGCATCCGGCGGACCACCGTCACACATGGTGCGTTGATGCTGTACGACGGAGAAAGGTTCGTCCGTACTTTGTTCACCGCGTCGTCGCTGAAAATATCCTGAATTTATAGGTCAACTGTCCGCATAAATCTCGAAAATGTGTCGCCCATCCCTATCGACTTCTTGCATTTCGCTTTCGAGGATTCGACTATGGAGCCCGCGCAGAAGGCACTCGCTGAAGGAAATCTGTCGGTGTTCGAAACCTACGAAACTGAGTACAGCCTTATTCACAGACCTGTCTTCACCTGGGAGCAGGATCAGCACAGATCTGTTGCGCCAAACCATAATCTTACATTGACGCTGAATTGCTTCGGAAAAGTCGGATGGTTAGTAACTTTTCCATTTCGATGGCCGGGTTGAAACTAATGCCAACTTCAGTACCAATGGTGCTATCCACATTTCTTATGCTCATGCTGAAGACCCAAATCTTAAGGACTCCGGTGTCTTCTACATGCGCCAGGTATCCTATCCGTTGATGGTCACAGTATACCACATGCTCGAGTGCAATGGAATGGATCTTGTACCATTCCCATCGTACCCGTCGTCTCAGCGCCGACACAGTGACAACATACAAAAGAAGAGGTTGCGGTATCTCGACATCGAAGAGGACTCTGGGTGGTGCTTGTTCTCAATCGAAGTACGGAACAGCTATGGTTCGCCATTTGATGTTACACTTGAGAGGACACAAGATGGCGAATCAGTCGCTTCATCGACGACCACCATACCCCCTGGTTCTGTATCACGGTAATAATTTTATTTGACCAATGCTGTCCAGAAAGCTGACCTCCTCCAAGGCTTGTGATACCAATCAAGAAGGTTGTGCTCGATGAGAAGGCCCTCTCACAACCGATACCAACCTTGTCGGATCGACAATTCGTTGTTGCAACCTCAACGCTGTCCAAGAGCGAGGAGAGAACACAGCGTGAATTGTTCTGGTATCGCGAGGAACTCTTTAAATGTATCAAGGGCCGTTGGCATGAAGTAAATATTTTTCTTTTATTATGTCTAACATGGCTCACCTGCATTGTAGAGTGGCGGCACTCGTTCTGGGGAGCTGTCCTTCAGGGCACAGCGAATGACGATGCATATGCTGGAGACGTTCCGCCTAGAGGTTGCCCGTGTTTCATTGGTGCTGGATCTTGAAGACAGCACCCCTGAAAACCATGGACGAACGGGGGCAAGACAGTACCCCAAAGCGAACGAATTCGTCCAGCTGAAAGCTCGCGTAGCAAATCTGACATGTATGTCTTTCTACAGCCATCTTCTGGGCCATCTGACGCTTCCAATAGCGTCGCCTATTGTATTCACTCTGGATTTAGAGGCGAATCCCTCTGAATACCTCATTTACGAGGGGGTTCTGACTGATCTGCCCATTGGACGTCTCCAAAGCGGCGAATTTCGAGAAATTGTCACCGAACTATGCTTCCTGTCATCTGGACACTTCGAGCTATCAGCCCAGGTTCGTGCGTCTGGAAATTCGGAAGTGGATGGTAGAACAGCAAGAACACATATTACTGCTATAGTGACAGAGGATAGATAGAGTCCGATAGACCACGTAGGAGCTCGGAAGACGACAGGGATTCCGTTGGGTGCTTCTTCCCATGTTGCAAGATAATATTACACTGTACACAGTCGCGATCAGTCATAGTCGGAATCTTCCTGGCTGAAGGCGGCCGAATAGGCCATGATGGTGGCATAAACCAGCCTATAGAGACATCAGCTGGAATCCTTCAGGAGAGGGGTTATGACGCACCCTCCGCCTACGATTGACATTGCACACGCCTTTGGGTCGATGACCTCTGAATGCGCCAGCACAATAGGCAGTGCAAAGCCTGTCACGACGAATATAGATGTGATAAATCTGCCGAGGTCGACTGCGGGCCCTGCATTGTCATAACTCGTAGCGAGGTCGTCACTACCACAGTGCGAAAAGAGAGCGTTGGGAAGAGGCGCGAGGACAAAGGTCAGAGCTTCAAGGGCGGTCAATAGTGCAAAGAGGAAGTTAAGGCAGCTTCACGTACCGACGAGCAACGGGAGCCAGTTTTGCCATAGCGCGCAGGACAGGATTATCAACAAAAATCCGACCGCCAGTACAAACGAGAGAAGGATCACGGCTGAGATTTCAGATTAGCACACAGTTCAAACAACCACATGAGAGACTCAGTCACTTCGGAGGCCCGCTGGCATTGAAGAAGGCGTGTAGATGGTTCAATGTTGTGTCACTCTGAGGCTGCTCGCTTCCGTTAACTGAGCGGTAGTATTACATAATAAAGTACTAAACAGGAAGGAGCCATCTGCTATCTTGCCCGACGGGACGAGCGACTAGGGATCGTGGAGACATGATTTCTCCGTCTTGACTCTACCAGTGGGGCGGCGGGAGGAACCTCGAGCGTTGGTGTGCTCGCTTTGCTGCTCTCCAGCATCTCCTGCGCTGGCGCATCATTCTCCACTTCACGATCTTGTGACTCCTCCCGCATCTCTTCGTCCTGGTCGGACACCTGCTGTTGCCTCAATGCGCCTAACAGTTCCTCTCGACTCCGCGTCAATGACCATTCGTGAGTATACTGCCATTTCCGCTTGCGCGGCGTAGCGCCTGTAGGTGTGTCGTCCTTGATGCCTTTACTGGCGAGGTTCGAAGCTGCATGCTCAATGGATTCGAGATTCTTGGTGGCGGCGACTTCGTACTCTTTGGCACCCTTCACTTGCTTGCCGATCTAAGATGATCTTTATGAGACTTGGAACAGTGACATAAGGAGGAAACCTACCCAAGACAGCGATTGTTTCGAATGCGCCTCCACTCCCTTGGAACTGGCTGTAAGCAATTCCTGTTCTTTGGAGTGAAGCTCTTCAAGAGTTGCGTATACTCCATTCGTGGCTTCGATCCTTGCGCGCTTAGCTCGTGAATGTTCCTCGAAAGCTGCGCAGAAAAATATGAGTTAGGTAAAATGATGGAGGCGGAATGAATAGACCATTGTCAGAAGATTCCTCGATCCCTTGCGTCTTTTTGTGGACCCATGTCGAATATGTTGCGATCGAACTTGACACTGTACTCTGGATGCCGTTCATGCTGGTCTTAATGACATCTTTCGTCTTTCCGACAACCTGAAAATTGACAGTTAGCTAGAGGGTTTGAAGCAGGAGGGAGACTCTAGAGCAAACCTTGAGTGAACTTGTTTTCGCATCATTCCCTTCGGCGCTCAGTTTCTGCACACGTCGATCCATGTTGCTGTTCTTCTCTGCCATTCCGTCGTGCGCCTCGGTTTGTCGTCGATAAGTCGAGTTAAGCAGGTCCTCCACCTCCTTGTTGCTGCACTGCAGATTGTCAATGGATGCCCTCAGCGATTCATCCCTCTTCTGCATGAAGTCGCCAAGCAGCCCAGACACACGTTGCAGCATCTCGTCTTTCGCCTTCTCCGCTTCTTGCCGCTGTTCAACAAGCATTCGGGCGAGGAGTTCGTTCTGTTGCTTGAGGCGTGATGTCTCCTTGGCTGCCAGTTCTTTAGCTAAGGCCTGCATTTCTGCGAAAGTCTTCCGCTCATCCGCAAGATAGGAACGTACGTCCCTGGAGAGATTGCTACCTAATGAATGCAGCGTGGAAAGCGATTGTTCCAGGAGGGCAACCTGCTCGATGGTCACTTTGAGGGTCTCTTCACACATTCGGGTACTTGTAGACTTCAGTTTCTCGCCCCAAGAAGAGACCTCTGACCTGAAAGCCGCGCCTGCAGATTGGACCTCGCGTTTGATAATGTCCAACGCTTTATCCTCGGCTTTGCATTCAGTGTCGATTTGTTGGAAAAGCTCGTGCGCTTTCTCAAAGTGATCGTCAATTTCTCGGATGTGGTTTGACAGTGCTGTCTGTTGGGAAGACCGGAATTGTTCTGTTTCGCTCTCCATATTCGACCTGGTTGCATGTAGGAGTTGGCTGAGCTCAGAAAGCTGCTTCATGAGCGACTCGGTAACCGCGCTGATGAGCCTTTCGTTCTCTGAGACCACGCGCTTATTCGATAAGTGGACCTTGTTCTTTCGATCTGTCAAAAGCGTCAGTGTGCCCTTTATCTGACAGCCAAAGGGAAGACATACCCAGTTTCTCGAAAACACCACCAAGGTCTTGTACGCTCTGTGCGGCAACATCCCTCAGATCGCTGGCAACAACATTCAGCTGCGCCTCGGTGTTTTCATACGCTCGACGGACGATAACTTCCTCCTCATACGCTGTCGCCATTTGCTGAAGCTCCTGTTCTCTTTGACGAAGAGTGTTTTCTGTATGCGCCAGCTGTCCTCTGGTGTGCTTCAGCTCTTCTTCCCTCCGCTTCAGAACCGCGATGCTCTGGTCGAATTCATCTCGCACTGCCCTCATCTGGTTCTCGATAATCTGGACCTGTTTCTTCGCCTCGGACAATTCAGTCTCCCTCAGTTCGCGTTCCGCTTCAAGTTGCATCCAGGTTTCCTCCGCGAAGTATATGCCATTCTTTTCTCGTGCCGCAAGTACGTCGGCCTTCAGGCGCTCGATTTCTGCGACGTATTCTTTGAGAAGGGAGTTTCGGGTCATGCGTTGGTTGAGCTCGGGCTTGTTTCTGATAGATTTGGCGCGGAGGGCGTAGTCGAGTGTGGAAAGGGTTTCTTCGAGGTTGGACCGTGCAGGTGATATTGTGGCAATGATACAGGTCTTCGTTCGGCCGCCTAACGAGTCTTGGAGGATACGAGTGAGCTTGGACTCACTGCAGGTGCATGGGTTAGCTTTGATTCTCGAAAAGATGCAGCAGTACTTACCGATACGGGACGTGCTGAGCCTTGTCGACAAGAGCATTGATAACGCGTCCCAGAGTAAGAAGACTTTGGTTGATCATTCCAGCTTCCCGTGCCCTCTTGTTTTCTGCCCCTGACCTGCCGATATTCTCTGAACCAGCCAAATCCACCAGATTCAACTTGCCGACCTTGAGCAAGTCGTCTCCCATAGTCGTCTTTTCCTTGAGGTGAACAGTAAGGGACAACACTGAATGCGAACGACTCGAATGGTCGTTGAATTTCGTCGCGGCGATTTGTCTTCGCTCACTGCCTTTCGTAAGGAGGGCAAGGGCGTCCTTAGAGTCCTTTACAGCGATCTCTTCCACGCCTTGAATGAAGACACCTCGTTTGTTTGCATCGTCAAATATCTTCAGTCCTCCGTCAGGACCCTTGTCTTTTGCTCCGTTGTTCGCCGCGGCGTCGTTGGCCAGCAGGTCGCGTAGCTCTTCGTTGTAAAGTTCAATGTAGGAGACTTTGACCATGAAATCGGTAGACGACTTTTCCAATTCGTGGAATAGCCGGAAAAGAACTCGGGGAATGATTCCAGCATGAGATGAGGGATTCCCCATGGGTGTCGGTGCCAGATCCCCTTGCATTGTGTAACTGCATAGGCGATGTCAGTAGGCATAGAAAGAAAAGTCGCGAGCCACGCACGTCTTTCCCGTTCCTGTTTGACCGTATGCAAACAGAGTGCAGTTATAACCCAGCAAAACCTCGTTCAGCATAGGACCAACAACATCGTGATAAATCATGCTCTGCGTCGCCTCCGGCCCAAATACCAAATCAAAAGGATATGTTCGTGTAGGAGCTAGGGTAACTGTTCCCAGACTCGAAACCGGGGCAGTCGTCTCAATTGTCAGGTCTTTCGCTTTCGCTCCTTCAATCTGGACAATGCCTGGAGAATTCTCTTGAATCTCTCGCTCTGAACGTCCTCGACATCGTAGAATGACCTGAATGTGTGTATCCCCTTCTTGTTGACTCTTATGTGGTTGCTGGCTTGATGACGATCCGGAAGAACTTTGCAATGAATCCTCTCCGATGCGGCTTGCGGGCCTTGCGAGGACTGACCTTGGTCGCTGTTGTTGTGGAGGTGGCATCGGATTGGTTGCGGTATTAAGGCGAGCGCGGGAGGACGCTGGTCTGCGTGTCGCCATGAGTGGCGGGAGGGGAGATAGGGAAGACGAAGGGAGGCAGAATCGATAGTATGTAGGAATCCTGTTGTTGATTGACAGCCGTCGCCAAGACTTTCTAAACAACATCCAACGCGTCAAGGCACGTGACAGCATCTATCTCGTGACCTTTCTCGAGATATCTGAGGGCAGCTGCGCGCTTGTTCCCCTTCTTCTGCACTGTAGTCGACGAGGTTTGTCTTTCCTATCGATTATTCTCTGAGCTGCGCTGACGTATATATCTAGATATTAATAAAAGTTATGGGGAAACGCAAAAAGTCTTCCAGGAAGCCAGGCCCTTCGCGAGCAAAAGTGCCCCTTGGTGAGCCCTCTCCTGTATTGCAACCAATTAAACTAATGCCTTTGCGAAGATACTACGTTCACATGTTTGTTCTGTCACCACGACAAGTCCGTCACCGTCAGAATAGACAGGAAAGAGGGCATCGCACAGCTGGTATGCAGAGTTTGTGATCAAAGATACCAAAGCAAAGTCAATCGTGCGTATGCCCATCTCTTTCGCGACAGTGGAAACTAACGCCCTTGCAGATTTGACGGAACCTATCGATATATATTCTGAGTGGATCGATGCTGCCGACGCCGCTCAACGGGAGGAACATGTGCCTCGTAGACCAGTGGCATCTTCCTCTGCAAGTCGTCCAGCTCCAGCTCCAGCTTCTGTCGATAGCGACGATGAGTAGCCCATCATATAAGTTCAGCGAGCCTAAGTCCTTTCCCATTGACTTCTCTGCGTCCATCCCACACCTAGTAGCATTGTACTCTATTAATGCCTTGATCCAATACATGGCCTTTGTTAGACTTCCAAAATTCAGAGAGTGACGAGGGTACATACCGGGTGCCCCTGCATAATGTTTCAATTATCTGCGGCACAAGAACATCGACGAAGACCCAATGGAGACAAAGCGGGTTTGAATAACTATTGAACGCGGACGCGGTGTGAAAGGCGACACCAGGCGACACTGCAACACTGAGGTAATTGTCGTCAACAACAAACGCAAACATAAGCCTCGTCGTTTCCGCCTAAGTCACCCTTGCCCAAGCTTTGGTTCCCTCTCGTCCTCACGCGTTCATGCCGTTTTCTTCCGTTTAGACGACAGATACCTCCAATTCACGACTTTCCCTCTCCCAGATCGCGGCCTCTGCGTGAAACGAGGCCCCTAACTACGAAACCACGCGTACACCACCTCCCTTTGAGGGCCACCAACCAACATGGCGAGCTCGACGAATATCAAAGTAGTTTGCCGGTAAGATTTATCGCCTTTCTTTGGTCTGCTCTCCACGCACACCTCATCTGTTTCTAGATTCCGTCCCGTCAACGCGATTGAGCAGCGGGAGGGTGGCGACATTGTGGTTTCTTTCGATGACAATCTACAAACCGTCGGAGTCAGGTCGGCCCAAACGATGTCTGGTCCGGAGAAGGATGGATTCACGTTTGATCGAGTTTTTCCTATGGGAACGCAGCAACACGAGGTGTTTGACTACGGGGTGAAGGAGTAAGCCCTCTCTTGATCATCCTATGTTTCTATCGTGTTAATGCTTGACGATTGCATTCAGCATCGTGAAAGGCACGTCTGAATCTCGTGGATATCATACTCAACAATGTGATTAAGTGAATGGTCTGCAGATGTTCTGGACGGATACAACGGGACGGTCTTCGCTTATGGACAAACTGGTAGTGGAAAGACATTCACCATGATGGTAGGGGCATGGTTTCCTGAATCTATCTTCATAACTCACCCGCATTTATAGGGAGCGGATATTGATTCTGACGAGCTCAAGGGAATCATACCTCGTATCACTGAACAGATTTTCCAGTCAATAGTAGAGAGTGATGCCCATCTAGAGTATCTCGTGAAGGTTTCTTATATGGAGATCTATCTCGAGAGAATACGAGATCTTCTTGCACGTAAGAATTTAATTAATATAACACTATCAACATCTCTTAAACATATTGCTTCTAGCACAAAACGACAATCTGCAAGTTCATGAAGAGAAGTCCAAGGGCGTTTATGTCAAGAATCTTTCAGATTACTACGTCAGTAGCGCACGCGAGGTTTATGAAATTATGCGAACAGGCGGCGCTGCTCGAGTGGTCACGGCGACGAGTGCGTATAGACCACCCTGTGTTCATAAGGTTTACTTAATCTATACTTGGTGATAGACATGAATGCCGAATCATCTCGATCGCATTCCATTTTCTTGATCACAATCGAGCAGCGAAACACGGAGACTGGTGCTCGAAAGACCGGAAACTTGTACCTGGTCGATCTTGCTGGTTCGGAGAAGGTTGGAAAGACTGGGGCATCTGGCCAGACATTAGAGGAAGCCAAGAAGATCAACAAGTCTCTGTCTGCCCTCGGAATGGTCATTAATGCATTAACCGATGGAAAGGTAATCTTCACTCTCCACATATATTTTTCACCAGCTGACTGGGTTGGTGTTAGGCGAAGCACATCCCGTATCGTGATTCTAAACTCACTCGTATCCTTCAAGAGTCCCTCGGAGGCAACTCAAGAACCACCCTTATCATCAACTGTTCGCCGTCGTCTTATAACGAGGCGGAAACGCTCTCCACCCTCCGATTCGGTATTCGCGCCAAGTCTATCAAGAACACCGCTCGCGTTAATGCTGAATTATCACCGCTGGAACTCAAAGGCCTCCTTTCAAAGGCGCAATTGGCAAATACCTCATATCAGAAATACATTGCCGCATTGGAAGCCGAGTTGGCCATCTGGCGTTCGGGAGGCTCTGTTGACGAGGGCGATTGGGCTTCGCCTGGTAAGACAGGTGCACCTGCAGCAGCCAAGAAGCCGGCCCCCTCACCCACCCCATCTGTGTCTGCGTCCACTTCCCGCAGTATGACCCCCGTGAATCCCACCATCGAGGTATTGAGAAGCGAACTGGAGTCCCGTCCTCAGACCCCAACAGTGATTGGTTTGGATAAGGATGAGAGAGAAGACTTCCTGAGACGCGAGAACGAGCTTAGCGATTCTCTCGCAGAGCGAGAATCCACCCTTGCGGCTGCAGAGAAGCTAATGAAGGAACTGAGGGAAGAATTGGCATTCCTGAAGGAGCAGGAGGCTGCTGTTAACAAGGTTTGTGCCGTGTGTATCCCGTGTAACTTCCCTATTCACACGTTTTCAACGTTACGCAGGAGAACAAGGCTATGTCGACCCAACTAAATGAGCTGAGGCTGCAAGTAGAACGATTGGATTACGACAATAAGGAGGGCATCATCACGATCGACATCCTCAAAGAACAGAATCAGGATGCGAAAGCAGAGTCGGAAGAACTCAGGAAACAGATTGCGGAGCTGAAGAGTGTTCAGAAGGACCCTTCAGGAGAAGACAAGGAGAAGCGCAAACAGGAAAAGATGGCTATGATGATGGCGAAATTCGATACTGTGAGTTATCTTTCCGTTCCTATCGTCTTCATCTCACCGCCTTCCTTTGTGGCATTAGCAAGGCGCGTTCTCCGAGAAGGACGAACAATTACGACAACTTCTTTCCAAGCTGGACAACCTGGATTCTGCCGAGGCCTTAACTTCAGGAGACCTCATTAGCATCCGTCGGCAGCTCTCCGAGGGACAGAGCATCCTGAGGGAGACCCTGGACCGCCTCCGACAGAGCCAAGAGGAGAATGAGATGATCACAAGACGAAGGGACGAGCTGGAGACTCGAGTCGCTGCCCTTGAAACAGACTACGAGGAACTTCTAGGCAAGTAATGGCCGACTCAAAGAGGACTATGCCATAACATGTCCTGTGATCAGAGAAAACTATCCACGACGAAGAAACCAATAACGTGGACGTCGCCGACATGATGGCAGATCTTAAGGTCAGTAAATCGTGCTTATGACAGGGATGAGTGTTCATAGACTACGCAGAACAAACTTGAGATCCAATATGCCGCCAAGCGCGATGCTCTTCTTAGTGAAGTTGGAGACCTGAAGCAACAGCTGGAGGCCAGGAACAACGATGTTCGCAGTCTCAACGCATCCATCGATAGCTTGAAGAGCGTCAACGAAGAGCTCAAGGTTACACTCCTTGTCGTTGTTGATGATACAAGCCACTGACCATTACCTCCAGCGTGCCTTCGCCGTGACGTCCGCTGGCATTGAGGGCGGCAAGAACCTGGCAGAAAGTGCTCAAGACCTTGAACGAACCCGCAAGGCAATTAATGTTCAACTAGCGGAATTCGATGGTGTCAAGAAATCTCTTATGCGGGATTTGCAGAACCGTTGCGAGAAGGTAGTTCCTTTTCGTCATCGAGCCGGCATTTTACTTGACAATCCTTCCAGGTCGTGGAATTGGAAATCCAATTGGACGAGATCAAGGAACAGTACAACAACGTCATTCGCAACAGCAACAATAAAGCTCAACAGAAGAAGATGGCTTTCCTAGAGCGCAACCTAGAGCAACTTACGTTGGTTCAGAAACAGGTATTTCTTTTGTGCCTCGTGCAAATTCTAATCGAGCTTCTGACCACACCTGCCCAGCTTGTCGACCAAAATTCGTCGTTGAAGAAAGAGGCCGGAATTGCAGAACGCAAACTGCTTGCACGTAATGAGCGGATACAGAACCTGGAAGCTCTCCTTCAAGACGCAGACCGCCGACTCTCTGTCCAAAACCAGAAGTTCGAAACACAGCTACAGGCAGTCAAGGAACGTTTGGATCAGGCTCGGGGTAGGCTCCTTCGTCATGGCATTTCCTCTTGACCACACTAAGTCGGGATCCGATTCAGCACAAAAAGCAGTGTCATCCTCGACTCTGAGCTTCGGTCGCATCGCAAAGCCGCTGCGCGGAGGTGGAGGGAGCACCATCACTAACCCGATAGTGCCGGCCACAGGCGCCTCTTCTGCAAATCCCTTGGCGAGGCTTCAGAATGAGGAAGGAGGGTGAGTGTACCATCTTTGGGTCATTTGAACAAGTGTTTATGGAAAATGCCGCGCGCCATCTTTTGCATTAAACTTTTCTAGGTCAGGTGAGTTGAGTTCCTGGATCTATGTACAAATTGATCGCTTACTTGCAACCCTTTCCTCAAAAAATTCTTGCTTCCGTCTTAGCGAAACGGGCCTCCTGGTTTTTCAACTCTCGATAGACAAGACCCGCCTCCTAGATTGGAGTCTGCATACCCGTGTATTTTGCGTAGCATCTCGCCCTCGTTTGTACAAGCAAGCCATACTAATACATAGTCATCGTCGTGTCCCAGCGATGGAGCGCACCCGCCGCGCGCTGCACGGGCCAGCGCCAACGACCTGGGCTGGGAGGTATTCGGACGCTGATTGGTGGGATATCGAAGGGCGTCTGTGACGCGGCTGATCGACGCCCTGCAGAAAGAAGCGGGGCGCACGCGACTCCGAAGCGCAGATGTTGACAGAGACTGTTTCTGTCCAGCGGGGACCTGAGGTTTACCGTCCACGCGGCCAAATCGGGTCATTGCTCCGAGCGCGCTAACCAATTTGATTCCTTTGAAACGCGGGTAATAATTTTGTGTGACATATTTCCATATTGCCTCCGTTTAACTCATTTAATTCCGCGTTCACTAAGCTCTCGTCCTTTTCTATATGGTTAGCCATTGGGGGGTCTTCCAAGCCTGAGTGAATGTCTAATCTAAGGGTCCGCATTTTCCATATCTTTTTTTCCACTTTCACGTCAGTCCTTTCCATTGGGACCACACTGTCGGCGCCGAACACTTCCCTATTGCCACGACCGCCGTAAGTCGCGCCTTGCCTTTCTCCCTCACCGTCACCTTCTCTCTTTCCGTCGGAATCCGCGTCGCACAACGCTTTGACACGTCGTTCGGTGGCCATCAGGTACAACATCTCTCTCCGCAATCCTACTGCCTCTCTCGTGTCGTGTCCCGTGCTTCTTAGTCATAAAGATTCTGCACACTCAACCGTCACGCAAACGAGGATGCCGTCGGTCAGCCCGTCATTAGAGGTCGGTGCTTACCCTGTATTCCCTGTCGTCGTCTTTGAGGTCTTATTTTAGCAGCCCGCCTCTTCGCCCGGAATACATTATGGAATGGGCTCTAGCCCTAATCACCTTGCTGTTCTGAGCAACGAGTGGCCGGTTCGACATCCTTTGACGCGCTAGCGGCTATTCTCCCCTCATTGATACTCTATTTAGGTTTGGGGCTCTCGGCCAGTGTCTCCGCAGGAGAAAAAGGTTCAGATGGCTTTTGGGAGTTTGGGGCCCGCAGGGGATGCCGGGATGTCTACTCCGCAGTCTGTTCTTCATGTTACGGATGATGGGTGGACCATGAAGCTTGTAAATCTTGATGGCCATCTTCTGTCTGACATACGGCTGAATTTTCTTTCAGGACTCTGGACAGCATCCAGGTTTTCAATCTAGAACACCAAATCGGGTAGAAAGCATCCAGCAACATAACGGATTACTGCCGCCAGGAGGTACCCCTGCCGTAAGTAGAGTCCCAAAACACTTATTGCATCTGCGTTCACTCATCCGTTGACTAGATCGATAGACCTGTCGGTTTGCCCAACCAATGGATATCGCCGCTACCGAAGAATGAACCACAACAGAGGTTCACCGGCGGCCGAGTGGCCCACGTATCATCTCCGCCTGGTGTTCCACCCGCATTTCCTGCCCCACATCCTTCCCAAGTTACTAACTATGGTCGCCCAGGACAATTTGAACCTGCGATCCCAGTAGTGAAGGATGACGTTCCATGGAGCAATTTACGTAGCATGTCACTCGAAGAGGAACATGCAAGCCACCGTGCAGGAATTCCTATGCCAGCGCCTCTCCCCCATCCACAAGGTCCCTATAATTTATATCCGACAGAGTACCCAGGATATTTCTTAATACCGCCTCCGGAGCCGTTTACAGATTTCTCATTCAGTTTTGACGCGTATCGACCTCAACCGGGAGCACATTTCCTCCCTGCCGCGCCGCCTCATCATACCCACCCAAATAGTGCCAACACACCTTTCGGTAATCACCCTGCGCCGTTACTGACTAGTCCTATGCCTGATATGCGGCATAACCATATCCCGTCGTTTTCGGCACCGTATGAGTTCCCAGCGCCTATGCCGCCAGCTCCTTTTTTCTTTCCACCACCGCTGCCCATGCTACCTCCGCAATTGCCCATTCAGCCCATGGCTGGGGGTAATCTCAACCATAGTTTCGACCGACAGGTATGCCGCCTGTTTTCGAGACGTAACTCTCTAAAGTTATTTTTTATAGCGACGCGACATTCCGCATAATACTAATATTGTCCCTTTGTCCCTGTCACCTCGCCGCCTACCTTTCAATCGGTCACCTCAAATGAAGCAACCAAATTATGTTCCCCACAGTCCAGCGCACCCTGCGTCCAATGGTACAATTCGAGTTGCTCGTCGCGCCAGCAACATCCTTGGCAGCCCAGGAACTCCGCGTAGCTCCTTCCTGGAAGATTTCCGGTCTAATCGAGAGAAATCATGGAAGCTCAAGGTATTTTATTTTTCTATTCTAGCACGCTCCGTGTCAACAAAACACTTCCTAGGACCTGTTTGGCCATATCATCGAGTTCAGCAGTGATCAGCACGGCTCCCGATTTATCCAACAGCAGCTTGAAGAGGCTAGCCTAGAAGAAAGACAGCTTGTCTTCGAGGAGATTGTGCCAAAGAAGACGGAGCTGCTTATACAAGATGTTTTTGGGAACTATGTATGTCCAAGTTCCGACTCCGGACCAACTTTTAATCACCCTGAATGTCTGAACTTCCTTAGGTTATTCAGAAGTTCTTCGAGCTTGGAACACCAGAACAGAAGGATGCCCTGGCGAAGGCTGTTGAGAGCAAGGTTGTTGCTTTTTCGCTTCAAATATATGGGTGCCGGGTGGTGCAAAAGGTAATACATATGTCTATTTCGCGTCGTCTTCCACCAATGTTTCCTTTCTAGGCAATTGATTGCATAACCGAAGCGCAACAAACGTCAATTATACTTTCTTTGGAGCAACACATCCTGACGTGCATCAAAGATGCTCATGGGAACCACGTACGTGTTTTCATTAACAAAACTATACTAACGTGACTGATCTCGTCTGCAGGTCATCCAGAAGCTTGTTGAGGTTGTGCAGCCTGACCGTTTGACCTTCTTGCGGACCATCAGCGAAAACATCCACGATCTTTCTACACACCCCTATGGGTGTCGCGTTTTGCAACGATGCCTGGAACATCTGCCGCAGACGCACACTCGAGCCTTGTTGGACTCAATCCACAATTACACCTTGGATCTGATGAGGGACCAATATGGTGTACGTCTTCTTCTCTGCAGCGCCACCTCAAATTCTAATGAAACATTTTCAGAATTATGTTATTCAATTCATCCTTGAGCAAGGGAGAGAGCACGACAAGGCTATCGTCATCTCTCGAATCCAAGGCAATTTAATCAAGCTTGCACAGCATAAATACGCGTCGAACGTTTGTGAAAAAGCTCTCACTTGTACTGAATCAGAAACTCGCCAACTGTTGATTGACGAGATCATGACACCGGGTGTTGATGGTCAAAGCCCTATTGTACTCATGGTTAAAGACCAATATGCAAGTGAGTTTATTTCTTTATGACTCTCTGAGCAACTCTAAAGATATCATGATTGCGCCAGATTACGTTCTGCAACGGGCTTTGGCCGTTGTCGAAGGTGAACAAAGGGTACTTTTCTTCAACCTGGTAAAGCCTTTACTGGCGGGGCTCCGCAAGTCTACGACAACGTACAATCGGCCACTAGTTTCAAGTAAGCTTCCATGCTCTTGCTCCCTGTTTTCTCGAAATGACATGACTCGCCAAGTTGAGCGCCTAATGGAGAAACATTTTGGAAAACAGAGCGCAGCACCAGCTTCTGAGAAACATGAAGCTGCGCGCAGCTGAGCTAGTGTTTTTCTTTCTCTTTTGTCCGTGTCCTTGTTTTGATCCCTTTCGCTTTCTCGCATCTTTGCACTTGCTGTCATGTGTCGCTTTGCATCTTTGTTCTTCCGCTTCGTCGCATGTTTCCTGAGTATACTACATCCATCTCCTGCTGCACATCGGTCATTCACTAATCTCACATCCTATATCCTGGCATTTTCTTGATCACGTCTTACACTATGCATGTTATACTTGCCTGTTGCCTATCATTTTGTCCAGATAGTGCATCATAACACATGGAATAATAACATCCTATCCGACCAGTGTCCCCCGAAGAACGAATGAACGCTGAGTCTGCAAGGTCCCGACAATCATGGGATTGTGACGTGTCGAAAGCCGCCCGAAGATGTCACCATAAAGCCAACCAAATACCGTCAATTGGCAAGCGTCTCGAGCCAATTCCAGGCCAATTCCTACCTCACTCTTCATATTCCCTGACGCACTCCGTCTCAACATCGTCTGAGATTATCTCCAGGAAGATGGAAGCCGCTGCATCTCTTTTTGGCTCAGATGAACCAGGTTCTGACCCTTTCGCGACCTTGGGCTCAGAGGCGGGTTCCGCTACCTCCCCAGCCGACGACCTATTCCTCGGAGGCAGCGACTCGTCACTCGTAATTGCGGACACAGACGCGCATAATTCGACCTCTCAGGCCGTCCTTGCAGCCCATGACACCCCATTTCTAGGCTATCCCACCAACCTGGGAGTGCAAGCGACCGCCGTCCCCGGCACTGTCCCATACGATTATCATCAGAATACCTCGCCAGAACAAAATCAATGGGGTGGAGGCGGTCATGACCGAAGTTTGGCTTCAAGTTATCCGAGTGAGCAGCATCTGCGATTGCTCTTGCTGACCATATAAATATGTTTTATCATAGAACCAGCTTACCGAACCGTGACCCCGCCAGCGCCGACGACCAATTATTCAACTAACTACGCACCAACCACGCACGCTGCACCGACGTTGACATACCCGCAGTATAATCCTTATGACCCCCCACAGCCAGTTGCTGCCCCTCACTACAGTCCAGCAACCACGGTAAATGGTGTTCCCCACCAAGCTCATGATATACGCAAACCGCCGCCGCCGCCGCCAAGTAGCTCTCAGTATGCTCCACCGGTCTCTCATTATACTGCGCCAGTTGTCTCTGGGCCTCCTGTTCCGACACCAAAAGTTACCACTATTACCCGGCCAAAGGTGTCCAATGCGTATGACCCACCCTTCCTCCCTAGCAAACCGAATAGACGAACCGTTCGCGCAGCAAGTGCTCACCAGACCTACAGTTCCTACCAGCCACCTCCCGTGAACTCTTACCCGCCTCCTACTGAACAATCATCGGCATATTCTGGATCTTATTACCAACATCCGCCGCCTACCCACGGACCATACAGTCACGACTCGACAACAGCTCCCTCTGGCAACTATCAAGCACCTCCGAATACATATTCCCCGCCAAATGCGTATAGCGCCACGAACTTATACGCTCCAACGCAGACTTACACCCCGAGTTCCACCTGTGCTTCGCTAGCATCCACGTCTACTCCGTATGTTCATGACAATCACGTTGTAAGCTCAGTGGCTCCTGCGAACTATTCGCTAAACCGGGCAGAAGTTCCAACTCCAGGTGCTTCGTCGGTGCACAGTATTGAAACGAGGAATTTGGCTGCAGAAAATACACAGCATAGCGTTAGCATTGCGAGTCAAATTCCAGACCCCTACGATGTCGGTCCCTCCCGCCCTGCACGTAGTTCCTCAATTGGCTCAACGTCTAGTCTGACGCGTGAATCCTGGGAGCACATGGCCGAAGCAGAAGAACCAGCGGTGTTGTCTCCGTCCATGGTACCCCTCCCCTATTCCCCGCCTCTTCAGAAGGAGGAATTGCAACCTTACGGTCCAAGTTCAATTACTAGGGCAGATAGCTCTACTCAGCCCACTCCTCGACAAAGCTCGTATCTTCCTCCTCGGAAGGACTCTATCGTGAACAAGGACACCCACGATCCCTACGTCCCTAAAATAAACCAACCCTCCAACAACTACATTCCGAGGACGTCTTCGCCGCTATCTGTGTACAGTCGTCCGAACGAGCAGAAGAAGTCTCCACCTCATGCACCGCCGAGTTTGAATGGGAACGTCCCTCGCCCCTTGGCACCTTCCAGTCTTTCCCTGTCAAACTCTAAAACGCTGTCCAATTCCGCTGTGGATAACGTCTCAAATAGAGCAGCCTTCCACAAATCCGAAGGGAGGTTAGGCGTGCAGGAACTCATAGTCAAGACGACGAATATGCAGTATGCTCCGTCTCCGTCGCTCATCGGAGCGAATGATCCCCTCTCCCGGACCTCTGCCCGTGCACCTGTGGTTACATTCGGATTTGGAGGAAAGATGGTCACATGTTTCCATGGCATGCCCGGCCTAAACGCTGGCTTTGACGTAGCCCTCTCCGCACGAACGTCCTCAGAGATGAGGATTCATCGTCTCACTAAAGTTCTCCCAGAATCCGCGTTGAGTTCTCCTGGACCAGCATACCCTGGACCTCTTCTCTCTGACCCGGGCACTCCATCGTTGAGTCTTGTGAGACCAGGGGCATCCGCGCAGGCCAAGACGAAGAAGGCTGGCGTGGTCGTATACCTCACTGGCAGAGCCGATGAAATTAATCAGGGACTGGGATACTTGGGCCCTGCCGAAAAGCAAGCAGCAGAAAACAAACTCATACTCATCAACTTGCTCAAGGTCATGGTCGAGAACGACGGTCGGCTCTTGGGAACGTGCGTCCTGTATCGTATTCATATCTCATAAGCGCTCATCGTTATAATTAGTATGCAAGCTGAGACTGCAGTACGGTCCGTACTAGTACCAAGTTTGGAAGGCTCGGCTCTACAGGACGGCGCATCTCTGGGTATGTAACTCTTATCCTCAATCGACAAAGCACGCCATTGATGTTTGTTCTCGAAACGCTCCAGCAGCATACAAGTCAGCACCTTTCGACGAAGTGCCTCTCAGCATTGTAAACGTTAGATCATCCACCCTGGATAAAATCGAGGAGTTGCTTCTCCAAGGCGATCGGCGGCAAGCATACCAATTCGCGATGGACGAGAAACTTTGGGCGCATGCCATGGTGATTGCGAGCAGTATTGACAAGGAAGCCTGGAAGGAAGTCGTGAATGAATTCTTGAGGAGCGAATTGAGCGCCAAAGACGATGGAAATCGACATCTAGCCTCCCACTCCCCTCATGCATCGAAGAATAGCCGTCAAAGTCTACGAGTGGCGTACAGTTTATTTTCGGGGCAGGGTGCTGCAGCTGGTGCGTTCATTTCACTGAAGAGTTGACGGCTGCTTATATAATTACCCAGTGCAAGAATTGGCGCCTATTAATTTTCTACCGAGGGCCACAGGACTGCTACTGCCTACTATTCCCTCGGGTCCCTCAGTTACTCCTCGAACACCCAATTTTGCGGCAATACAACCTCAACCCACGATTCCACCCGAAGCTCTTGACAAGTGGGCAGAGACTGTCGCCATGATGATATCCTCTCCACTGACGCCGGAGGGCTCTTCCGCCTTGACGGCTCTGGGAGATCAGCTTCTTGCGAACAACTGGGTCGACGCAGCTCATGCTTGGTATGGACATTGCTCATCTTGCCTCCGTCTGAATCTAAACAGACGTTTAGCTACCTCCTTTCCCCACAAACGTCGCTGATTGGTGGTTTTGGCGCCCCAGCTATAAGGCTTGCCTTGGTCGGTTCCAAGACTTCAGCAGATGCTGCAAGGAATCCAGATACACTGGTTTTCTCAGAAATCTTGGAGTTTGCTTTATCGCTGGTCCCCACTGCGAAAGGACAAGAGCCTTTCCACGGTTTGCCACACCTTCAAACATACCGATTTATTCAGGCCGTTTCGCTCGCTGAAATCGGTGATATCCAGCTTGCCAATCGGTAGCTTTCCCTTTCTCCCCCGTGTGATCGGATTACTGATTGGATGGGCAGGTATTGTGAGACCATCACCACATCACTGACTCATCCTTCCCCATATGCGACGCAAGCCCTCCTCGAACAACTGCATGGTCTTCAAGAACGACTTTCTGGTGTATTCCATGGGGACAAGAATGCTTCCTGGATTGGCGGGAAAATAAGCAAACCCAGCCTTGATTCCATTGGAGGTTGGCTCGAAGGTCGATTCACGAAGTTGGTAACCGGGGATAGTGATTCGGCAGACAGTCCTTCTGGGCAGACTAAAGTGTCTGATCATACATTTAACGGGCCTTTCGCACACTACAGTACCATCTCCTCCACGACACCATCCGCTCGATCCTCCCCGCAGCCCCCTCCTGCAACCGTCAACTACTTCCCTCCGCCTCAGAGGACGACTTCTGCGATGGCCACGTCCTCACCGTACTCACATGCCCCAGTCGAACGTTCCTCATCTGCTATGGATTATATGCGGCATAAGCCACCTGCGCCATCGACTAGCACGAGCTCAGTCCCGTCATCCGAACCCTCACCAACGGGGTATGGCCTTAATGGCCACGCACGCGACGCAGATCCCTACGTACCCAAGTCTCACAGTGCAGGCAACGAGGAACTCGAAACACCTGTCCAAGCAGCAAGCTGGTGGGGTTCCGATGATGCCGCCGGTCAAACTCCTACTGCTGCAACGTTCATGAAAATTGAAGAATCTTCAATTCAAGCCAATTCTGATGGCTTCGTTTCCTTGATGGACACACAAACGTTCTCCTTCTCTTCTCAGCAGCCCTCAAGACAAGCTAGCTCGACTTCGCGCCAGGAGGAAATCGAGGATGACGACGATCTTGGTCTGGGAAATCCGAAATCCATACCCCACGAAGAGCAGTCGAAGGAGGAAACAAGCCCGGTGAAAGAGAAGGCTGCCGAGCCTCCCAAGGTAACACCCGCTGCACCAGGTAAGGTGTTCTTATTCTATTTCTTGACACGACAACCCTGACCATTTGCTCACAGCGGTGGCGGCGTCTAACGGCGGCGGCTCCTGGTTTGGGAAATGGTGGAGGAAGAGTGAAAACACTCCGGGACCCGTTAAAGCCAGCCTTGGAGAGGAGTCGTCCTTTTACTATGACAAGGAACAGAAGCGATGGGTTAATAAGGCGGTATGACTCCAATCATTCCATGCAGTCGATTTGAGCTGATATTCTTGTTAGGCTGGTGCTGAAGCAAGCCCAAAACCCGCGGCCCCTCCACCTCCACCATCCCGCGCTCAGACCGCCTCGCCTGGAATGACACACACTAGATCTACTCCTCCGCCGCTTCCACCACCTCCTATGCGACCTGCATCCGCGATCGACCTTACAACGGAACCTCCTACCAAGGTTCCTATGCGCATTCGGTCAAACCTTGCACCTCCGACCGAATCTGCCCCCAGCACACCAACTGGAACGAGGCTGAACCCTCCATCTGGTCCACCCCCTCCAAGCAGGCCGAGGTCCCAAGCTACCAAACGGCCCGTTCGCAGCCGCTACGTCGACGTATTCCAACAGGAGGGAGGAGCGTCATCATGAACATCTGTATACAGTTAAGTTCCTCCATCTGGCAGTTATCCTTATTTCCGTATTCATAGAGGTATGCTTGTCGTAATTCCCTGCTCCCCTAAAGCTATTATGTGACTTTCATTGAACGTCTAAGTAGCCCAAGACTTGATGCATTCAATGTTAAATAAATTCTTTCGAATTCTTTTAGTAAATACAAGGTAGCCCTGGAAGCCTCTGCCTCTATAGGAAGAGTTTGAAGGGATATGCTGCAAAGATGATTTAGGAAAGTCTGCAGATCAGAAGGGATGAACCCACCTCGGTGTTTTACCCTGAAGAGAGAGACAAGAACAGAATAGACGATCAAGATGACGCCTGTCCAAAGGTATACTTGCATGCGTTGTCTCTGGGGGGACGGTTGGTAAGGAACAGCCATGATCAACATTAGGAAGGCAAAGGAGAGTAAGCCGTCTTCAGAGCAATTTAGTTGAGTACAACTGGAAAACGGAAATTTTAACGCACAAACGAAGGATACGACCTGTACTTCTTGACCGTATTGGTTTTGGTAACCCGCCGCAATCCAGTGACCGTCACCGCCATTGTAAGGCACATTGCGAATGCGAGTGAACATGTAGCCTGAGGTCATGACGAGGGAGGTGATGACAATTACGGCTGCCCAGGACCATCTGCTCCTGACAATAGGCATGATGAAACGGAGAACAAGAGCAGCACCCAGGACACCAATAGCGACGGTCGTCCAACGAGCCCAGTCAACAGGAGCTCTGTAAGGAATGGAAATCGGTGTGTGTTTGGAGAGGAATTCAGCAAGAGGTGCAGGATCAAAGCCTCTAATGACATGGCTTCAGAGCAATAAGAATAGTGGAAAGGATTGAACGCACTCAGAGAAATCGTATTTGATAGGAGCAGTCTTTCCACTCGCTGGTTTCCTATTACCTTCAGTTGGAGGGTAGTTGAAAACTATGGGTGCAGAGGAAACTCCGAGCTATTGGAAACGCGTAAGATAATGGCACACAAGGACAGGGGATTCGTTGACCTTCTGGAATACGACGCTTCCATCGTCAAAGTCAAGAGTACCAAAGAAGTGGTCGTTTCGCTGTTGAGCAGGCGCTTGGCTCCAGGCTTTAGCTACTGCATGCCAAGAGGGATCGAACGCTCTGCGAGTAAGCTGATAAGGAATGGCCTTGTAGGCAGAAATTACGCCACTGACTTGCAAGGGTTACACTTGCGCCGTGGGTCCAAAGCAGTCAATTGAATGGATGCCGACCAGGTACGCTTTGGAGATGTCAATTGGTCGAATAATTCAGCATTGAGCTTGATAACGCCATTGTTTGCAGCCGCAAGACGCGCAAGCTGGTCCTGGGGAGACGTGGAGGCCTGAGAAAAGGGAAGCCAGAGGAGGGCGGCGAGCAAAAGGCCCTTCATGGTTGGGGTGAGTAACAGTTGGCGGACGTGTCAGGTTCTGCGGGATGCGGCGGGTCACGTGTAAATTTCTGGACTTGCGCTGGTTCTCCATCCCGGGGACAGGAGATGTTATGTCCTCCCATGCCCTCCTCCTCCGCCTCTTCCTCTCTTCCTCCTTCTTTTCCGTCCATGTCGCCCTCAAGTACCTCCTCATATACTCGGACAACATAGGTATTACATACTACCTCACCCGGCGACTCAAGGCTTTGGATGTGCACGAGCTGCGTGATGTGTGGGGGTTTGTCTGGTGAGTGGACACACATTATTCCGAAACCGCGTTTATTTTACTTCTTTCAACTTAGCCACCTCTTAGTGACAAGACCGACGAAATCTCGCGCATTGGAATGCTTCGTGATCGACACCGCGCAGCGTTCCACACACATCGCCTTAATTGTCAGTGCCCATTTCTACCCGTTCCTCTGATGACTAATTTCTGGCTGGCAGACCCTATGGTTTATGCAAGCTGCTCTGAACGATCTTGCTCTACATCGCGAATCCCAGTCCTTCGCTATATGCCAACGTGTTTCGCACCGATGCCATGAAATAATCTTCGGAGATCAACTTCTGCCCTCATCCTCACCATACGCCGGATTTACCCTGCCAGCGTCTATGCGTCGCCGGAAGATACGACACCATGCGGAACCTGTACTTATTGGCATAGGGGTTATGCTGGCTGGCATTCCGGCCATGCCGCTGCTCGCAGAGATAACCGGTCAGATCGCCATTGAACAAGGACGGATGGAAGAAGAGGGAGATACCTACAGGAGCCTGGAGGTGGAAGCGGGAGACCCCCCATACAGCGCTTCTACCAGCATTTCAACTCCTGAAGATGCAGCTCAGGATAGCTCCGAAAGTCTCGAGGACTTCTCAATCCAAATGCCAGACAAGCCTCCAGAATTAGCCCAACCTGAACAATCTGGTCTCCTAGATCGTCGGCGTACATTTGGGGCCCAGACACTTCCCGCTCTACCTCTCCATCTTCAGACACGAAAACCCCGGTTATCCCTCGACCCTTTGGGCCAACTTGACGCCGACAACACCTCTACCACCACCCCCGCCATGCCCTTCCAATCATCACCTTCCCTAGCGTCAGCACGCACACCGTCACGCTCCGCTGCGGTCAACAAGGCTGATCTGCTACTCGAGAAATATGACGCGAGCTCGCAGGTTCATCTACTGCGAGGGCATTATTATCTATCCGAGGTTCGTCGGTCATGCGTTCTTGCCCTCTATGGTTTTGAAATCCAAAAAGGTTCAATTTTTGCTCAGTCTTGAGAATATCTGCAACCGCTTGGTGATTGTTCCCAAACCTGCCCGTGTGTCTGCCCTGCGAGCAGAGTTGACTGCTCTTAACCACAAGCTTCCCGCCGAAGTACGCTCCTCTAGATCAATTTACCAAAGTATTCGTTAATTCCCTTCTCTCTAGGTTTGCATGCCTATGTGGTGCACGTCCTCCGACAGCACAGAGACCGCCAACGGAATTCCTAGACCACATCATCGAATCATACGTGTCCCCCCCGGAGAAGCTGTCGTGTTGAACTCGGCCGAACGCGCCCCATATCTGCTTCTTCTGGAGATCCTCAACGACGACCTTGATTTCGATCCTGCCAAACGATCGAACAAAGAAGTGCTGAGGAAACTAGTCACTAAGGAAGTTGAGCAGCGAGGAACATGGTCAGCTTTTGGCCTGTTTTCAGGCTCCAGCAGTAAACCTACAGGCGATCCAGATACAGGTCTCCGAACTGCCTTCACTGCTACTACGTCATTTTTCCCAGGCGGCCCTCTAACTGCTACTTCGTCGACGACGACATTCTCCAATGAGGATGAAGAGATCGATCTCGTCGAACAGCTATACGGCGAGGATCAGCCTCTGCGGTCAAAAATGCTCGATATCGAGGAATCCATTGTACTACCACCCACGCCCAAAAACAGAGACCTCGATATAGCAGCTTGGGCTCGTTCATCACCTCTTATCCCTTCCGAAGACTCAAGGGGCGGCTTACAAACCCCTATGTCCGCATACCTCAAAGCCCCATCAATAAGTCGGTCGTCTTCGCTGTCGGCGTCACATTCGCAGACGTCGTTCCAGGAAAATGAAATTCGGGTTATTTCATTGGACGAATACTCAGACAGGATGCGCACGGCGGCTATCATGTTGGCACAGCTTAATGCAGATCAAGGCCGTGATTCCTCGCCACATGCCGTTCAGAAACCTAACGGCTCACCACGTCCAGACAGTTCAGGTAAGACCTCCGCTGCGCCCCACTATTGTCTTTTGGCTTTGGTTAAGCGCCCGAGTAGGTAGAGGTCGGAGATCGACGGAAATGCCTCAGCCACTGCACACACGCCTAAAGCTCCCTCGTGCCGAGGCTGCAGCGATTCGTGACCGCATCATGAAAGAGATGCTTGCACTGGAGGAAGAGCGGATGGAACGGATGAGGGGGAGCGAGGGCGAGGCCATGATGCGCAGCAGCGTTGTCAGTGGCAGTATGAAGTCAGCTGAAGACGAAGGTATTATTCGGCGTGAACTCAACAAAGTTGATCCGTCAGCGGTGGTGTTCAGTGAGTCGTGGTCTGCGAAGAAGGTACTCTTCTTATGTATGCACTGAGTGTGTGGCTTCTGATCTATGAGGGACAGAACCGAATACGGCAAGGTTCGCCTTACGGACATCTAGGTCAGTGTCTCTGTCAGGAGGGTGCATTTATTGTCTAAACATTTCTTCCTATCAGCGAACTGGGATTGCGTGTCAGTGATTGTCAAGACTGGCGGGGATCTGCGGCAGGAGCAGCTGGCGGTTCAACTCATTCGGGAGTTTGCTGGCATCTGGGCAGAGGAGAAATGCGCTTGTTGGGTCAAATAGTGAGGAAAATCCCCTTCTTTAATTGACTGTGTCTAATGGGCCCCCTCTGTAGCTTCCGTATTCTCATCACTGGGGGGAGTTCTGGGTTGATCGAAACCATCACAGACGCTGTGTCAATACATTCAATCAAGAAGGCAGAGTACGCAAAGAGACTAGCGAAAGGTCAACTTGGACATGTCACCCTCCTGGACCATTTCGTATCTGTTCGTCCATCTAGCCACTAGAATTGCGGTGTCTTCTCTAACAGACAATTATAGACATATGGAGAATCATCGTCGGCTAAGTTCGTACGAGCGCAGAACAATTTTGCAAAATCGCTAGCTGGTATGCATCCTTTGGTCTATCGTCGAATTCTTACGCTAAGGTCTTGCAGGGTACTCCATCGTGACATACTTGCTACAAGTCAAAGACCGGCACAACGGGAACATCCTCATTGACCGCGACGGTCACTTAATCCACATTGACTTTGGGTTCATCCTGAGCAACACGCCTGGTAACATCGGCTTCGAGGCTGCACCGTTCAAACTCCCAGTGGAGTATGTAGAAGTCCTTGGAGGCATCGATGGTCCCGCTTTTTTCAAGTTCAAGCAACTGTTCCGAGAGGGCTTTGAGGCTGCCCGGAAACACTGCGACCGAATAATCAGTGAGCTCTTGTTTTTTTGTGCAGGTCGAAGGTGGTGCTGACCCATGTCTCCAAGCCCTGGTCGAGCTGATGCAAAAAGGTGAATCACTTTCGACCCACAAATTAAACCTCTACTGACCAACATATCAGACTCAACACTGCCTTGCTTCGCTCTCTCCGGCGACCAAACAGCAAACCAGCTCCGCGATAGGTTCCAACCCACCTTGACGCATGCACTCATTGGCGACTATATTAACCGCCTCGTCGACACTTCGGTAGGCTCGCATTGGACTAGACTCTACGATTCGGTGCGTTATCCCTGCATTCCCTTCCACCTGTGCTTTCTTCTGATTTGCGAGATGGCAGTATCAATATTATTCCCAGTCTATACTATAATTTCTTGGTTGCATCGGGGTGACATTATACTACCTTTATTCAGAGTCAATAGATTGCTGTGCGCTTTGCGAGCCTCATTCGTTACAGACAAATGAGTGCTGTTGAAATGTCTGCAGTGGATAAATACATGGGTATTGAACTACGAGGCTAAGGTAACGTATACACAGATCAAGCAAACAACTTGTCATATCTGTTCAGACACGAGTACCATTCGTAATCTGCGGAGAGAAGAGAAATCAGTCGTTTGTCGGGAAGGAGGAAGGAGGAAGGAGGAAGGGTACAAACCGAAGTTCTGTGTGCTGTCGCACCAGCATTTGCCCTTCTTGTGCGAGTCACCTTGAGGACAGTGCTGGAATGGCTCGTGGCGGTAGCCGATATCATTGAAGAAGTGCTACATATACTTTCATGAACTCTTCCCTTTGAAGGAAAAAGTGGACACGTACAATCTGGTCCTTCTTGGCGAAGAGGGCAGCACCAATACTGTGGACTGGGGCATCTCCCCAGCGCTTAGAGACATCCATGAGAACCCCAGCTTCCACAAAGATGAACATCAAGAACCCTTACCTCATAGTAGAAACCGCCTTTCTCATCGAGGAAATCAAAGAACTTGGTGTACGCCTCACCCCTCCAGAGATCAAGATTGCCGATTTCGAAATTACTCCAGACTGGTGGGAAGACATCAATAAGGCGTAAAGTATAAAGCAAGGAGGTAAATATGCCCACAGTGGCAGCGGTTGTATGTTTCGCCTCCGTCATCAGAGAGGAAAGCCATCGCGTTGTCGGGAGCGAGGAGACCAGGATTAGCGTTGATGAATTCTAGAAAGAAGAAACATCCAGTCCTGAGCAAAGCCGAGAATGAAGACACTACAGACCTCTCGTGGCCTTCCAAAGCGTCGGGATCGTCGCCTCATACTCATACAGGGAGATTGTGAAGCCTTGCGGGAGCCCGGGATAAGAAGCCTAATAACGCGCACAAGGTCATAGTCAATACTCACCGTACATCTTGTTCTGGTCTTGCATGATGAGGAAAGGATCGTAGTCAAGGTCGCAGAAAAACTTGACGTCGGGTCTGCCAGTGGAATGAGAAAAGGGTGCGGCTTGCACTGACAACGACTTACTCGACTCTCCAGTAGTATTGATATTTCTTCAAGAGCTCATGGCGATAGAAGAACTGGGAGGAAGGTTAGGATGAATCTCGGAGTAGTCATTCGAGGTGGCTTACACCAGAGTTAAACCTGCACATATTCCGGTATCTTTGAGAGTTGTTAGGCAGGGCGAGCGAAGCATTCAATCTAGTACATACGGAACGCTGCCTGTTCAAAAATGATCAAATCCAAATCGACTGCCATTGACAGCTCGGAAGACGCACCCCCATAAATGACATTGTCCTTCACCATCTTCTCTCTCGACTCCGTCGCCCTCGCCTCATCAATCCACTCTGGCTGGTACCAATGGTCATGGGGGATGAGCCCGAATTCAACTTTGGAGTCAGTGAGCTCAGAGACACGCCTAACATCCAAGAGTCGGAGTGAGCACGCCAAGAACAAGATGACAGCGAACAGGGAAAGACGCACTTCTTGAAGTTCTCCTCGAATGGCTGCTCGTTCAAGAACACGTAGGGGTAGTGGTACTTTTTGTTAAGGCGGTCTTCCACTTGCTTCATGCTGCTGATCACGCCGTTAAGGTCTCCGTTCCGGGCTGTGAAGGCCGAAGGTCAGTTCGCTTCCTGGGGAACATCAAGCAGAAAAAAAGCACGTACCTAGAATGACAAAAGTAGCATTCGCCCTGCGGCCTACATGAGAGGTGGTGTTCGGGTGGTTGTAGTATTCTTCAGGGATGGGGACCTTATAAGGGGGCACCGTGTCGCCGACCTTCAACTGGTTCCCAATCGACTGCTTGATGTGCGAGAGCGACGTCGCCCGGCCGTAATTCTCGTTCGAGAAACTGACAATATAATGCAAGCTTATCTAAAGAGTAGAACCGACAAAAAGAAGCGTTAGAAAGGCATTTACGGGGAGAGAAAGGCACTGACTATGATCACCAGTACCAGTACCACATATCGCATTGGGGTCATCATCTTGGGCCCGTAAACCTAGCTGTGCTGTGCGAACAGCGACCAAGTACCGTAGGTCCGTATAACAGAAAAGAGCCTGCTTGCAGCGTGCGGGTCGCAAGCCGCCGGTGCTGCGCTGGAAGAGTGAAGGATAAAGATGTGGATTGCTTTGGTCTTTTCCACGTTGCTGGATGTAGGATCGCTGGCTGACATAAGCAGCCACGGATAACAACGACTTGGCACTGCCACGATCAACGTCTGCGGCAAACGCCCGAAGCCTCGCTTGCACAGCACCCGAGCTGTCGGTTGCCCTGCGCATGAGAGACCCAAGTATGTTGCCGTAATTCCAAGCATGTTTGTCGAGGCTCCTATTCTTCGTTAGAATATTCGTCTGCGACTCATCAGTCTCTATACTTTCAAGCAAGAGATTGGGCTTATCAAGGCTCAAATTCAAAGCCCAAAGGGACTGCGTGGACTTAAATTAATTGACTTTTAAGTTGTGACGTCGGCGACTCGGAACGTGGGGCCATGACGCGCCGGCTCCTGAAGATGATAGAGTAAATAGTAAATACACTGCGCGTCTAAGCCTGAGGACAGCCATGTAGGCCGATGCTTTTCAAGACTGGAACTCGGAGGAGGAAGATTTCGGAGCAGGGAGTTGAGGTGAGCGTTGTGTTAACTTACAGTACTAGTGAGCGTGGTGCGGCCGGTCGGTACGCTTCGGGGCTGTGGCCTGATTAGAGCTCAAGGAAAGCGGAGAAAATGCATAGCGATAGCAAGCTTTTCTGATAGTAGAATACAAAGTTTTGCAGACAGGAGACTTGGTGTAATGATAGCGAAACGCCCGGCGTCTATCTGTTCAGATCTGTTTGAGAGGCAATACTCAACTGGCGTATCTACCAATGACCTTGCCCAAGCTGCCACAAACTAGATCCTAGGGAGAGTTTTGCGGGCTCAAATCATTGAGAACAGACCGGTTCAGAGGAAGGAATTTCGCAGTATGATCTTGACGAGCAAGCTGGCAAAACTCTTTTGCAGGAGCTGTCCTCTAAGCCTAGGGTAGACGAGAACAAGTCCTTGAACATGTGCCTGTCGATGAAGGGAAGGCTGAGAACCATCATACCTCAGATGACGAGCGCAGCAGCAGACAGCATCCACATGAAGTTTCTAGACTAGAACGGCCTACACACCCCGTGTTTGAACTAGGGCTCCTAAACTGACAAAGAGCTTCTCAAGTCAAAGCTGGCCGATCTCGCAGTGGCGCATTCCGTTTTGAAATTTGGGCTGTACAGACGCGCCGGATGTGACGCGCTTTCCCGCACACATGCAGCACGTCGACACCCGAAGAGTTGAGGATCGACCTCTGGCATCGACGACGAGGCAGGTATCACGAATGGACAACGTGCCGGGCAACTTGATTCGTTACGCAGTGCGACCACGAAGTTCAAGCGACCGGCGGCATCGCATTCGATGAATATACCTCAGTCATGGTGATCGAGAAGCATGGATCGTCGTTTGCTTCTTTCTGTCGTGTGGCTTCCGTTTGTTTCAAGCTGAATATACTTAAATACACACTCTTGCCTGTGGGCTAGTTCTGTCAACATCGACGAACTCTCACGCATCAGGACAGCCAACGCGACAATGAAGGCAGTCCGTCTTCTCCCTCTGCTTCTGGCTGTGGTGGCTCCTTGCGCGTCTCAGGGCGTGGCAGAGGTCCTCCTAGTCAACGGCACCATCCACCAATTGGACAACGAGTCAATAGTGTTCAGCCCAGGAAGTCTGGCTTATTCAAACGGCACCATCACCTGCGTTGGAACGACGAAGACGTTCGCGCCAATTGCGAGATCGACGATTCGACCCAAGTCATTGACCTCCAGGGGAGGACGGTCATCCCCGGTTTGATAGACGCCCATGTCCATCCCATCGAAGCGGGTCAGGCACTGCTTGGCTGCACCCTCGCATACCGCCAGCTCAATGAGACGGATTTACGGACAATCATCCAGGCATGTCTTGACCGCGAGCGCAACACGGCCTCTGCAGATATATGGCTCACCGTCACTGAATTCGACCGCGAAGGGTTCACGGACATCAACGGCCGGCCTAACGCAACCATGCTCGACGCGCTAAACACCACCCGCCCCATTCTCGTCATCGCCACCAACCAGCACAACGTCTGGGTGAACACCCGCGGCCTCGCCGTCCTGAACATCACGCGAGACACCCCTGATATCCCTGGGGGCAGGATCGTCAAAGACGCGAACGGCTTCCCCACGGGCATCCTCGAAGAAAATGCGTCGGGAATGGCGCGTGGTGCCGCTGGGGCGTCGGGTTCTAGCGCCAGTCGAGAGGACGGCGCGCGCGTTGCGGTTGCGGAGTTCCGCAAGAACGGCATCACCTCCTTCCTGGACGCCCTCGCGCCCCAGTCCACCGTCTGGAGCGAGCTCAAGGCCGAGGGAGCCCTCACTGCGCGCAACTGGAACGCGTTTGGCGTCTTCGGGCTCACCGACCCCGCGCAGCTCACAGAACTCGCGCAGAACGCGTCGCGTGCGCTCGACGAGGGACCGATCACGCTCGCACCGGGCTCCGTCTGGAAGCACGTCAAGCTCTTCATGGACGGCGTCCTCTCGCAGGTGTCCGAGTCTGCCACGCTGCTCGAACCGTACCTCGTCGACGCGGGCAACGGTACGTACGTCCCCGGGACCAACACCGGCATCCCCGCCGCCTCTCCCGCCCAGCTCGCGGACCTGCTCACGCGCGTCCTCGGGCTCAACCTCGGGATCGGGCTGCACGTCCACGCCGTGGGCGACGCCGCGGTGCGCCAGGTGCTCGACGCCGCGGCCGCGCACGCGCTCAACCACACCCTCCGTCCGGGCGAGCTGGCGATCGCGCACGCGGAGCTCGTCAGCGCGGAGGATCATGCGCGGTTCGCGAGGCTCGGGCTCCCAGCGGTGATGTCGTACCAGTGGGCGCAGCGCGCGACGTACTGGAACGAGCCGACGCAGCGCTCACTGGGCCCCGCGCGCATGGGCGCCGTCGAGCCGCACGCGGTCCTCGCGGAGGCCGGGACGAATATCGTGTATGGGTCGGACTGGCCAGTGGATCCGCTCGACCCGTTCCTCGCACTCAAGATCGCGGTGACGCGCGAGGGCTCGCTGAGCAACCCCCACTCCCACGCGAGCTTTGGGCCGCGCTTCGTAGGACGCATCGACGAGCAGCCGGCGCTCTCGCGCGAGCTGGCACTCCGTGGTATGACGAGCAACGCGGCGACCTACCTTGGGGTGGCGAACAAGCTCGGCTCGCTTGAGGTGGGCAAGTTCGCGGATTTGCTAGTCCTCGACCGCCCGTACTTTGATAGCGCGCAGGTCTCTGATGAGGAACTTGACAAGAATAAGGTGTTGTTGACTGTCGTTGGCGGCAGGGCGGTCTTTGCAGACGAAGAGGCTACATTCGTGCCGTCTGGGCTCGTTCGTCGCTCTTCTGTTGAGGATGAGGAGCTCGAAGCCCGCGTGGAGCGCCGCAACATCTTGCCTCGCACGGTCACTGGTCGTAGCTGCACCTTCGGCGATATACACGGACAAGCCCATGCCCACGGCGAGCTATGAGCACTTCATGCAAATAATATTTAGTTAGCCTTTGTTAGTACTGAAGGGGTGGCAACTTAGCGTAGTAGCGTCGAAAAAGTAATCGTAATGCATATCCGTGAAGCTGAAATTATACAATTGTCCTGAATAAACCAAGACATTTAGGTTCGGCGATTCTTCTAGGGACTCAATCGGCGTCTACTTACAGGCATTCAATAATCACGACGGCGAAGTGCAGGACTGCATCGACGACAGTCCAGGCAAGAAACCAATGCCATAAGTTAGGGTCGACTATTGGATAGAATACAGTGTGGGTTGTGTGTGGTGTGGTGTATATATAACGCAGATTCAGATCGTATCGGGGAACAAAATAGCGGCTACCAACCGTCTTGCGGGACCGAGTGTGTCTAGAGTATAACCTGAAAATATCTACTACCAATATAGAGCATCGTATTTTGGGAGGCAGGAATTGAACACGTAGTCTACGTCAGGCGGAAAGATGGGTTAGCTCAAAGGCGAAACGGTGGAAATTTGAAAGGAGACCCGACGAACCGAAGCTTTCATGAGGGTCACAAGCGCACCGGCCCTTCACCCACTCCTCGCCAGATGGGCAATGTTGGAACGAATCGTGTCGATATCCGATGTCGCTGAAGAAATGGACTTGGTCTCTGCTCGCGAACAGCGACACGGCGATACTGTGCACGGGTGCATCTCCCCAGCGCTACATGTCATCGAAATGCCGTCAGAAAGAACGAACGAACGGCGAAAAACGCGTCGGATGCAGTTGGCAGCGCACCTCATAGTAAAACCCTCCTTTAGACTCTAGGAAGTCGAAGAACTTCTGATATGCCTCGCCGCGCCAGAAATCCATGTCGGCGATTTCAAAGTTGCTCCAATCTGTGGGAATTGTTAGTCCGCAGTGATGGTGGATGTAAGTAACGCTGTGGCGCTCTTACAGTGACACAGATTGTAGGTATCACCGCTGTTGTCTGACAGGAAATCCATCGAGTTGCCCGGAGTTATGTACTCTGGATATTCAACGATAAACTCTGCATCACGAATTAATAAAAGTCAAGATTAGCCTCGATAGTCGAACCTTTTACTGTGCTCCAGAGCGACGGTATCGTTGCCTCCCATTCAACTAGAGAAATTGTGAATCCTGCGCAGGTGTGACGCCATCATGAATAGTTGTCCATTGGGCTGCAAAAGAATATCCCTTACCGTACGTTTTGTTGTTTTCTTGCATGAACTTGAATGGGTCATCATTGATGTCACAAAAGAACTTTACTTCCGGCCTGGAGCAAAGTGAGATTATGAATACTGATGCATCGTCTGTTGCTTACTCGACTCTGCAGCAGGTGATTAACAATCATCTACGCCAGGATCAAGAGAGAACCCACCTCCAGTAGTATCGATATGGCTGGAGGAGTTCGTGCTTGAAGAAGAACTACATAACACATGGGTAAACGATGCGGTCATCGCAGTTAGGAACCACTGACTCCGGAGTTAAATCGACACATGTTCCTGTAACTATGGAGGAGCGTAAGCAAGAAGGCGGGCAATAGGGATTCCGGGCGAATGTAATCGAATTCGGTACTCACGGAACGCTGCCTAGGTAAAAGGTAAAAGATAAGTCGTCAGCTTATCGGGGCCGCGGCGAAAAAAATGAAGGTTGGATTGGAGAGGAGAGGCGACTCACCAGCATAGATGATGCCTTGTGCCATCATGTTCGAGCGACCTTTGGTGGCTTTCTCTTCGTCGATCCACTCGGGTTGGAACCAATGCTCGGGAGGGATGAGCCCGAATTCGATCGGCGCGTCTGTGAGCACCCGGACCCGACTGCACGCACCGTCAGCCCCATCCAAGAAAATAGAAGATAAGAGACTGCGCACTCTTTGAACTCTTGTGTGAAGGGCTCCTCGTTGAGGAGTACCCAAGGATAACGATGCTTGCGGTTGAAACGGTCCTCCATCTGCTGTATACTTGTGACGACGCCTGCGAGATCTGTATTCCGGCATAATAGAACGAACGTCGCGTTCGCCCGTTGGTAGTCGTGTGTGTCACTTGTGTTGCGGTTCATCGACGAAAGGAGGGGGCTGACTGAGCCGGGTGACAAGTCGGGTGTGTCTGAGGTGGTGTTGTTTTCCAGAAACTGTGAAAAACCCAGTTGTCCGCCAAGTTGGGTGAGTGACGGGACTGCGATGGCGGGGCCATAGTCCTTGAAGACGACGGTCAAGAGATAGTGTACGCCGACCTGGAACAGTGTGGTTGGGTGCTGGCTGACACGGTGCAGGTGCAAGGACTCACGACGATGGCAATGACGAGGAAGACTATGCGCCGTGGCGACGTATTAATACTGGGGAGGATGACCCCCATGGTGGCGATAAGCGAAGAGGACGGAGGAGAGGGGCAATGAAGGCTGCCGGGACGGACGCCCGGCACGATTTGGAAGGGGGCTGGGATGGTGGAGCATTGCTGGTGGTGGTCGGGCTATAAATACTGCTGATGCCCGCAGCACGAGCTAGCGTCGGTCGAGGCAGGCAACGGGAGTAGACCCGCGCCACGCCCAAATCGGGAAGCCAAGCCGTGCTTGTCCGTGTTTGGCCCCCATTTTCTCTTGCCACCTGTGCTGTCTCTTCGTCATCCCGTCTTCCCACTTATGGCCTCCATCCCAGCCCCAGAAAAGGACGTGCATCACAATCCATATGCGCCAGAGACGCCCGTCACGCCCTCCTACTTCAACCCCGTATCCCCCTTCTTCAATGCCTACGACCGCTTCGCCCGCTGGCGCGCCGACCTCGGCCTCCCCCAACCAGGCACAGTTGAAAACCTCCAGAAGGAAGTCAAGGGTATTCGCGCTTCCTCCCTTCTCCTTTCACCTGTGGCTTACATCTGACACCAGCCACGCACCTCTCCAACTACATCTTCGACGGCGCTCGCGCGGACTTGACCAAGGGGCTGTCGATAAACCCGCTCTTCCAGGTGACGCATTCGTTTGCGCTCGGCTCACAGACCCTTCCTCCCTCCTACAACTTTGGTGCTATTTTCGCCAACCCAAAGGTACCCCCTTCCGTGTTCTTCTGCGTCGTCTCACGCTCACACATTCTCAGGTCTTCCTCCAAGGCTCCGTAGACCACGAAGGCAGCGTCAGCGCGCGTTTCAACTACGGGAATCCCAATTATGTCTCCAAGATGCAAGCCCAGGTCAGTGACGCGTCTTTGCCCTCTCTGCAACATCTGACACCCCTCGGCTAGCTCTCCCAACAACCAGACCAGAACATGATCCAGCTAGAGCAAGACTACAACGGCCAGGACTTCAGTGTCAACCTCAAGGCCATCAACCCCTCACCAACCAACCTCACCGGCATCTACGTTGGCAGCTACCTCCAGTCCATTACAAAAAATCTGGCCGTCGGCTTCGAATCCCTCTACCAACGGCCAAACTCACAAACCGGCGATTTCTCTACGTCGTACCTTGCAAAACTCACCAGCACCGACAAGAACTGGATTGCTACTGCACAGCTACAGCCTTCTGGCGTTCTCCAGGCGACGTACTGGCAGAAGCTGAGCGAGAAGGTTGAGGTCGCTGCTGACCTCCAGGTCCTCGCTGCCCCTACTCGTCGTGACGCAATCGCGACTCTGGGTGCTAAATACGATTTCCGTGTAGCTACTTTCAGGGCTCAGGTGGACTCGACAGGCAAGGTCTCAGCCCTTCTTGAGCAGAGATTTGTCCCTGCCTTCGCCTTCCTTGTCGCTGGAGAGATCGATCATTTCAAGGTATGTTTCCCAGCTTAATCTCCATCCTAGTTGCTGATAACTTTTTCCCTCCCACAGAACGCTGCTAAAGTCGGCGTCGGTGTAATGATCGAGAGCTCCAGCCTGACGCCTGAGGAGATGGGTGTCGTTCCAGTCTAACTTCATTAACCCCCTTAGCGCTATATAATACACGGTAGATGGACGTCATGGCTACTACTCTACGAAATATAATGCACAGCTGACGTTTGCTTTCGACCCCGCCGCTCTTTTTCCCAACCTCTTACCCTCTTGCGTGAACTTTTTTTTTTTTTTCGCGTGACGTCAACACGGGATAACATGAGGTCGCTGTTAATTGGTTCGCTTTGCCCCTGACTCGCAGAATTCCCAAACGTTTCTTTCTTCCGCTCACCCCTACTGACCATGCCTCCCCTCCTCGAACTGTGCAACATAGCCTGCTACCTGGAGAAGGGATCGAACATCTTCTCGGACATCAACTTCACCGTTAACGAAGGTCCGTAAAGACCCCTATCCGCGCACACTCGAGGCCTTCACGGTTTACGCAAGGCCCGATCCCCTGTGGTCGTTTATTCTGTGTTTGTGTTTAGGTGACATCCTGGTTCTGCAGGGCAGGAGTGGGTCGGGCAAGTCGACTTTGCTCAAGTGTATTGCGCATCTGGTTATGCATAGTGGGGAGACGCTGTACAGGGGAAAGTGGGTGTCCTTTCCCGCTGATCCCGCATTCAATCTCTGACCAGCTATCGTGATCCTAGGACGGCGCAGGCTATAGGTAAACTACCCCCTCCTCTCTTTAGGTCTTGCTCTCACTTTAACCTTCGAGTAGGCATCCCCTCGTATCGAACCCGCATCCTCTACGTCCCCCAACGCCCCGCCCTCCTCCCCGGCTCCCCACGCGACTTCCTCGTATCTATAACCAACCTCCGAGCACACAAAGCCATCGTCTGCGACACCCTCGACGGGAGCGCGGATGTCGTCCTGCAACGGGCATACGAGATAGGTGAGGAGTGGGGGATCGATCGCGAACTCTGGGCGAGGGGGTGGATAAACCTGAGTGGAGGCGAGGGACAGAGGATTCTGTTGGCGTCGGCTGTGGCGCTGAATACGGCGGAGGTGCTGCTGCTTGACGGTGCGTACTTACTGACTTTTATTGCACTGGACTCCGTTAATCGGGCATCTTCATCCAACTACTTTCCGTTCACAGAACCCACCTCCGCACTAGACTCGGAGACCTCAGCTCTCGTCGAGAGGACACTCACGGAGAAAGTCCGCTCAGGGGACACCACTCTCAAGTCCCTAGTCTGGATCACACACTCGCCTGAACAAAGCAGACGTGTGGGGACGCGGTTCATCTACCTCTCCGCGGGAGGGTGCTACGAGAGCGACGATCCCAGTCCGATACCCAGCTCGCACACACCCTCCATCATACATTCGCGTTCTATGACTATCAGCTCGACGGCGTAGAAAGGAAGCCTTGATTTAATACTTTTTCTTTGCCAAGTATCTACGGCATAATGTATTTCCATTTGTCGCAAAGAATCTGCGCCACACTCCGATCGTCATGTTTAAGAGATCGTTCCAGATCGTCTTCATAGCGATAGCCATATGGACTACGGATCGGTTTCTGGAAGCCTGGACGGTTCGAAAAGTACTATAGGAGAGTGATTAAGAATGAAATGTAATGAGGATCTCAATCCTTTCAAGCCCGTATAGCTCAGTTGGTAGAGCATTGTACTTATGAGGATATCTGACCATGCAAGGGTCTCGAGTTCGATTCTCGATATGGGCATTTTTGCCTTCTGCGGAGAAGGGGAAGACTGGAGGAATTCTTTTATCGTTAGTGAAAAAGCGAAAGCTTGTATTTGATTTTGGACCAGTCTTTAGGAGTGTAGAGTGTCAATGCAAGTTCAAAATACAATGGAACGTGGTGTCGTCAACAAAATGCAGTCAGAGATTCTATCAGTGAAAGTCCTATTCCCAAATATTCACTACTTCGGACTCGTGAGTCATAACAGCCACATCGCGACGGATTGGGTTGATACGTGGGTATACGAACTGTGAGGACAGGTCAGAGGACTCGCATTCGAATGGGTGTTCCAACTTACCACGTCGTTATATTCTTTCATGGTTTCTGCAGAAAGCAGTTGCTTATCTTTCAGCAACAGAGTATAGGCATGAATTACGGCATGGAGCTAGACCATAGAATTAGTAAAGGCACAGAGACATAAACAGAAACAGTATTGCATACCTGCACGCCCACAACACCCATAATCAGCAGAGACAAGATCCAATTCGAGGAGCTCATCGCCAACCACAGCAGCGCATGGGCAGGCGAGTAGATGCTAAACAGCTCCAGCTCCAGCTCCGTCGGCTCCCAGACGTCCAACTCCTGTACCCTCGCCGTCTTCTCCTTCGGCGGCAGCGCACGCGTCGGGGGCTGCATGCCCAACAGGAAGCGCCAGAAGTAGGAAAACGCGTACCACGTATTCGAGCGGAGGTGTTTCCCGAAAGAGGGCTGTGGTAGGGGCTCGAGGTCGAGCTTGGTGGTGACGAACTTGGCGTGTGGGGACGAGAGTGGGTCGGTGCGGTGGTGGAACTTGTAGTTCCGTGAGCGGGTGGCGAGGCTGTAGATATTGTAGATCGAGACGAGGACGAGGAGGATAGTGATGGGTGTTGTCTGTGCACATCGAAGTAGTAAGTAATGAGTGATGGATGGATGGGGGAAGGGCGGACCCAGTCAAACCATGAGGAGCTCTGCACTCCGGATATGACATCCCAGCTATCGTCTGTGTCGTGTCCGGCCATGATGCAGAAGTGAACGAAGTGGATGGCGCCGCCTATTATTCGAGCGGACGTCTTTGGTGTCGGGAGTGGCACATTCTGCGGGAACAACGCGATTTCGAACGCGATTGCTGAGGGGATATTTTGTATTCTAGATTCTGGGATCAACCTTTCTTTATCATAAGCACGATGGAGAGCGCTTACCGTTCGAAAAGAGTCTTTTTGCGGACGACGGCCTTTCGTGGTGTTGCAGTCGTGCCCGTTGCTACGCTCTTTCGACCCCGTTTGAGTGGCGTCGCATATGGTGGGGGTGCTCGCGAGCGCGCAGCCTCCCAGTCAAAGGGCACGGACGAGGATATTGATGGTGTGTCCGCCGGGGAGCGATGGATGCCATAGGAAAGACGACTGCGCGGTGTAGCTGGGAGGCCGCTCATGGGCGTGCTTGGGACGGGGCCGTCGGGGCTCCTGGGGGATGCGGTTGCATTGTTCTCTTGGGCAAAACGACGGAGGGCCATGTATACACGCGGCGGACGCGAGACTGACAACTGTGTTGAAGGGAAGGTTGACCGAGAGGCAGCGGGAACAATGGTCCACGTGACCCTCGGACCGACTCGGACCGACATTGTTACCCCAACACGTGCCCCTACACGTGTTGGTTGAACAATGAAATGGAAAAGACGAACAGGCAAGGGCGCCCTTTGCTTTTAACCCCCACTCACGATTCCCCCTCACTGCGCTACCCTCCTACTAGTCCCCTCCGTCTATCACACCTTCTGTTCCTTCTCGTCTTTTCACCACGTCGATCCTACGCCCTGCCCCCACTGCAACCTCCTTGTCACCAAGTGCTTCCATTAGCGGTCAGTGCGCTCTTTCCCCACCGCCTTTCCCCCTGCTCATTTTCTTGATTTTTTCTCTCCAGCAACTAACAGGATAAGGATGGCTGGTCCCTCATCATCTCATCATGAAGACCGCGAGCGCGAACGTGATCGCGACCGAGAGCGTCGTCACCGCGAACGCGAGCGCTCTTCCCACCATCATCACCGCACCATCTCTTCCACTACCCTCCTACTCGTCCTATCCCTCATTCTCGCCGTCCTGGCTATCATGCTTTCCTTCCCATCTGGTGGTTCCGGCGCTGCTGACGCCGCAGGTGGTGTCATGAGCTACCTCACACCAAAGAGGACACAGGCGCTTATCGCTCGCGAGAGCGCTGTCGCTGTTCGCGAAGCCGAAGTCGCCCGCCGTGAGGCTGAGCTCCTCGCTGGCGCGCCTGGTGGTGTCATCCCCAGCCCTTCACCCGTCCTCTGCCCCTCGTGCGCAGCCACTACGGTTACCATCACCGAAGCGCCTCCCGTCCAAACTATCATCAAGGAGGTGGTCAAGGAGGAATCGTTGGCGCCTGCCGGATGGGGTGGCCCACGTGCTGAAGAGATTCTTGATCGCGAGCTCAAGGTTGCCGAGCGAGAGAGAGAAATCAGCAAGCGTGAAGAAAACGTCAACCGCCGAGAACACGATGCCGCTCGCCGCGAATCGTGGATCATGGAACAGCTTGTGTACGTATTGCCGTTCGCCCGCTGAATCATTCTATTCATGTTCTGCTTGCAGCGCCCTTGGAAACGATAACCCACAAACAGTCGAGGAAGAATATGTCTATGATCAGCCTCCTAAGCGAAAATCCAAGGTACCGCCGCCCACTCCGCGCCGCTCCGAGCTCTGAGACGAAGGGGGCGCGATAATCGACCGCTACGACGCTGCTAGTCCGTATCCATCCCTCATGCCCTTCCCTGTCCTCCTTCGTCGGGGCTTGGGGGACCACGGTGCTTTTATCAGTCCCCCTCGTCCTCAGCTGCGAGTTGCCGATCCACTCTGGGCGCCTATTCCTCGATCACAATTTGGTCGCGATCGAAACACGATCGGACACTCCACGTGATGGCGTCTCGGGTGGTCGGCAGCTGAGCTTGCCCTCCCCATTCCGTACTTGTTAGGCCGTTTACTGATTCCCTGTTTTGTAGTACCAAGAGCTTCCTCCAATTGTTGTTTCCGAATACGCGTATGAGACCGAAACCAAGACTGTCATTCAAACTCAAACCGTCACCGTTCCTCCTCCCGCCAACACTCGTTTAGCTGCCTTCCCAACGCCCGAGGCCGGAAGCCCTTCGACCACCGCTGGCAGCCCCCGCACAACGGCTGTCGAAGTCATCACAGAAGAGGTCGAACCCCGCAAGCAGAGGACTGTAGTGCGTGGACCTCCAAAACGTCCCCCAACACGCTGGTTCCCTGGCTGGTAAAACGGTTTTGTATTTTGCTGTGTATAAAATCTTCTTCATTCACGATTTCTTGACGGTATCCTTGTGTTATTTTTCACCTAACGGACTATTTCTATTGATCCCTTTATTGCTGCTTCCGAGTCTCTCCCCCTCCCCCTTTCTTGCTTTTGCTCTCACGCGCGACGAGCCCTTTGGACGGATGAAGAAGCCGCCATGATTGATGGAACTATTCACGAACTTGACGCCAATAATTAGTGTAGCTAGTGTAGTGTAGTTGGTCGCATGCCCATGAATACATATATCCAGCAGGGATCACCCATTTCCACCTCCAACCTTCCAGCGGACCAGGGAAGCCGTCTTACCTAAGCAAACGGAACGGAAAGGAAGGGTGCCAAGTGATCCCGACGTGAACCAAAAGCATGTCCTCACTCGCTCTCTGCAGGCGAAAGGCATGCTCCTCTTCCCCCCTCTCATCGTGCCTCAATCTGCGGCGTAGAGTCCTGACCGCCTACTTCTCGACTGGCGGCCCATCCTCCAAAAACTATATTGAAATCCTAGGCCAACGCTTCCCCACTGACGACTACACCAACATCACGCCCGCCATCATCGCGAAAACGCCTCTGCAGCTCCATGTCAAGCCTGCCCACCCGCTGAGCACCCTACGCGGGCTCATTGAGTCTGCCTATCCCAACTTCACGCACGTGTCGACCATGTCCCCGCTCGTGTCGCCGTACAAGAACTTTGACGAGCTCTCGTTCCCTGCGGACCATCCCGGACGCGCCGTCACGGACAGCTACTACGCGAACCGCGACATGATGCTGCGCACGCATACGTCGGCGCACGAGGTAGAAATGTTCAGGAGGGGCGAGACGCGCTGGCTGCTCACGGCGGACGTGTATAGGCGCGACGAGATCGACGCCTCGCATTATCCCGTATTCCACCAGGTCGAGGGCGCGCGGATATTTGACGCGAGCCCGAGTGGGATGAAGCAGGTGGAGGAGGACAACGCGCGCGTTTCGAACATCCTGGCGAAGTCGAATATTGTGATTGAGGATATACCCCATATTTCACCAACGAATCCGGTGCAGCACAATCACGATCCAGTGTTCTCGGAGCTCGTTGCGAAGAACTTGAAGCTCTCGCTGAATAATTTGCTGTTGAAGGTCTTTGGAGGCGTTGCGGGGATTAGCAAGCAAGAGCCTTTGCGCGTGCGCTGGATCGAGGCGTACTTCCCGTTCACGAGCCCAAGTTTCGAGGTGGAAGTCTTCTTCCAAGGCAAGTGGTTAGAAATCCTGGGATGCGGCGTCATCCGGCAGGCAACTCTGGACACAGCAGGTGCGTCTCTCGTTGCCGTCTCATGTCAGCCATGAGTCATTCAGTGTGGCCTCAGGTGTTGAAAACAAAATTGGGTGGGCTTTTGGCCTGGGGCTCGAACGGATAGCCATGGTGCTCTTTGGCATTCCAGACATTCGGTTGTTCTGGTCGACGGATCCTCGCTTCGTTTCGCAGTTCGAACAAGGGAAAATTACTACCTTCCAGCCTTACTCGAAATACCCGTCATGCTTCAAGGACGTCAGTTTCTGGTTACCTCAGAATAGCGAAATTCATGAGAACGACTTCTGTGACATCGTTCGGGATACGGCTGGGGATTTGGTGGAAGATGTTAAAAGGGTATGAACCTGTTGGAGACTTGGGGATGTTGCTGACTTGCTGTCGTTCAGATCGACCACTTTGTTCATCCGAAGACGAACCGTACGAGCCTATGCTACCGCATCAACTATCGTTCAATGGACCGGTCACTCTCAAACGAAGAAATCAACCATGTGCAGAGTCAGGTCGCATCCCAGCTCGTCGAACGGTTCGAGGTAGAGATTCGATGAGGGGTAAAGTATTATAGAGGAATCTATGTGGTCTAATCAAATGCATTTTAATGAATGAGGAGTTGGGATTATGGGGTGTGGGGTATTAAATGGGAGCTACATAATTTTGCAGAGTTATACCTGTGAAGGATGCACAGACCGTGCACCCTAGGGGATAGATCATGATGTGTCCTGAGCAACACCGACTTGAGCAGCACGCAAAACCCGGTCCTTGATCTTGTACCCGATCTTCTGACAGTCAATAACGGTACCCGGTTCCTTCCCTGGTACTGGAGCCTGATAGAGGGCTTCGTGGTGGTTGGGGTCGAAAGTGTCACCGGTAGGATCAAAGGGTTTGACGTGGTACTTGAAGAGGGTTTGGAGGAGCTGCCGTTGGGTGATCTCGACGCCGGTATGAAGCTCTTGCAAATATGTCTGGTAGTCCTTGGGTAAAGGCGGTTCGGGAGCGGATGGTGGTGGGGATTCGGAGGAGCCTGAGGCAGTTTGAATGGCGGTGGAAGGTTCTTTCAATGCCTGTGGTGGTACCGACTTGAGGGCTATTGAAAGAACGTCCACGGTCTCGAGGAGGTCCGCCGCAAACCGGGTGATGGCGTAGTCTCGCGTCTGTTCTTTCTCGCGAGCAGAATTGCGTTGCAGATTCAGGAAATCTGCTTGCAAGTATCGTAGTCGGCCCTATGTGCCGCGAGTCAGTCAGCGTGACGAAAGCAGTTCTGGGGTGACATGCACGAACAGTAAGGTCTGAGACTTCCTCTTCTTTCGCTTTTAGCTTCGCCTCGATTTCCGAGCAGTCGACAGCCTGTTCCTTCGGTTGTTCAGCCTTCTCAGCCTCTGCACTTGCCTCCGTCTTCCCCTCCGAGTACCACCGCGTTCCGATCCGGGACGCATTTCTTTGACAGCGAGCGATAGCTGGACGAGTGAGGGACCTCGTGGAGATAACAGCTGTGCATTTTCTGAAGGTCTGGAAGGAGGAGGCGGCGAAACTCATCGTGGAGGATGGACGATGTCGGCAGTGACGATGGGGTGACGAGAAGGGAACACGAAAATTCCTTCAATTTGTCAGCAGTTATTCCCGAGAAGATGAAAGCGTGGGAGTGACCTTCCTGATGTGGAGCTACGACTCGGCCGGCGCAAAAAAAGTTGGGGTATCCGCTAGCCCAACCTCCGACCCTCTCTTTCTTTCTGTTACCCTGCTGTCTGTGACACCTTCCCCGCTCCCAGGCTTTCTCTGCGGCGTTTAGGGCGTTCTTGACCTTGCAAGTTGCTCATTTCTACCATTTACTCTCAAGAATTCCACTGCCGCACAAACCGGAGTAAACGGCCCTCCGGGATCCGTTCAAAATAGCCGGCGATGAGGCTCGTGCTGGGTGCACCCCGCCTCATCTTATCTTTCCTCCATCTGCCTCTACGTGCAATGGCCACAGACGCATCCCAGCCCCCCAGCCCCGCCAAACTTATTGACGGGACTGCCCTGGCCAAGTCTGTCACTCCCCCACGAAATTCATGACTCGCCAATTAACGCCGTGGTTTCGCAGATCTATTCGCGAGGATGTCGCGCACCGAATCAAGACGAAGCAGGTCACCTTTCCTCGGTTCCAACCTCAGCTCGCCATCGTCCAGGCCGGCGACCGCCCCGATTCTTCCACCTATGTCCGCATGAAAGCAAAGGCCGCTGAGCAAGTCGGAATCAAGTTTCGCCACATCAGTGTCCCCTCGGAGTCGACCGCAGATCAAATCGTCAAAATTGTTCAAGAACTGAACGCGGATGAAAGTATCAGCGGGATCCTCGTCCAACTCCCTCTTGGAGGCCACATCGACTCTGCAGGAGAGCGTCTGGTGACAGAGGCAGTCAGTCCGACGAAGGATGTCGATGGGTATGATTGTCGTACCATCTAATCCAAGAGCTCCTAACCATAGTCGCGTGCCCTTAGTTTCCATGCGTATAACATCGGTCACCTCTCATCTCGCGCTTCGGAACCCCTCTTCGCACCATGCACACCGTCGGCCGTCATGCGTCTCCTTCAATCTACCGGTATCTCCCTCTCTGGTACCAACACAGTCGTTCTCGGCCGTAGTGATATCGTTGGAAGCCCAGTCGCGTCCATGCTCAGGAATGCCGACGCGACTGTGACACAATGTCATAGCCGGACAAAGAACGTGTCTGATATCGTGCGCTCCCCTTGATTTACTGTCGTCTGCCCTATCTTACCCTTCCGACAAGATAAAAAACGCGGATGTTGTCGTCTCGGCTATCGGAAAGGCAGAATACGTCAAAGGAGAATGGATTAAACCTGGAGCTGTGGTTGTTGATGTTGGAATCAACTACGTACCTGGTAAGTTCCCTATCAATATTTTTGGATGTTTCCTGTGCCAATGTTGTCCAAGATGAGACCAAGAAATCAGGTCAACGGTTGGTCGGAGACGTCGAGCATTCAACCGCTGTCAACGTTGCGTCGCACATTACACCGGTTCCAGGAGGTGTCGGGCCTATGACCGTGGCCATGCTCATGGAAAATACCCTACTTGCTGCAACACGCCAGTGGGAAGAGGCAAGAAACCGCAAGGTGAAGCCATTGCCATTGTCCCTCCTTGAGAAGGTCCCAAGCGACATCGAAATTGCCATGGCCCAAACACCCAAACCTGTTGCTGAACTTGCGACTGAAATCGGCATCTTGGCCAATGAGCTCGAAAGCTATGGCAAGTACAAGGCAAAGGTTGACCTAAGCATCCTTGATCGCTTGGCTCACCGCAAAGACGGCAAGTATATCGTTGTATCTGGGTATGTCGAAGTATATATACGCTGTACGAACATTCCTGAGTTACGTTCGTCAGCATCACCCCTACTCCTCTTGGAGAAGGCAAATCCACGACGACAATCGGCCTGGCACAAGCCCTTGGTGCTGAACTCGGTCGACCTTCCTTTGCATGTGTCCGACAGCCTAGTCAAGGACCGACATTCGGAATCAAGGGAGGGGCTGCAGGTGGTGGATACAGTCAGGTTATTCCGATGGATGAGGTCCGTATTCTACACCTGACACTCCGTGTTCTCTCGTTGATTACCTCTCGATAGTTCAACCTCCATCTCACCGGTGATATTCATGCTGTGACCGCCGCAAACAACTTGCTCGGTAGATTGAGATTATTTCTTTCGTATCTTCCGTGTTCATGAGGTTTATTAGCTGCTGCTCTTGACGCTCGTATCTTCCATGAGGCTACCCAAAGCGACAAGGTGACGCCTCTCGAATTGCATTCCATCTAAATTGCTCAAGAAATTATCTCAGGCTCTCTATAGCCGTCTCGTCCCAGCTAAGAAAGGCAAACGCGAATTTGCGCCTCTTATGCTCAAGCGGCTAAAGAAGCTCGGCATCGGCAAGACCAACCCTGATGACTTGACCCCCGAAGAAATCAATCGCTTTGCTCGACTAGACGTCGACCTCGAGACTATCACCTGGAATCGTGTAATGGACACCAACGACCGCTTCTTGCGTAAAATCACCATTGGACAGAATTCGACAGAGCAAGGCCATGAACGCGTAACCGGCTTCGATATTGCCGTCGCCAGCGAGTGCATGGCCATCCTAGCTCTCACTACCAGCTTAGAAGACATGACGAAGCGCCTTGGTGCCATGGTTGTTGCAACTAGCAAGCGGGGTGAACCCGTCACTGCAGATGATATTGGTGTTTCTGGTGCCTTGGCTGTCCTCCTCAAGGATGCCATCAAGCCTAATCTCATGCAGACACTACAGGTTGGTATCTTCGACCCTCTATTTATATCCGACAACCTGACCATTCCTCAAGGGAACACCTGTCTTTGTGCACGCTGGTCCTTTTGCTAACATTGCCCACGGAAACTCGTCGATCCTCGCCGACCGTGTTGCCCTTAAACTTGCTGGTACTGAAGAGGGCGACTCCCCAGACCGCGTGGGTTATGTCTTGACAGAAGGTGGTTTCGGGGCGGACATGGGCATGGAGAAGTTCTGCAACATCAAATGCCGAGTCAGCGGTCTCAAACCCGATGCTACCGTCATAGTTGCTACCACTCGCGCCCTCAAGATGCATGGCGGTGGACCTGATGTCACTCCTGGCAAGCCTCTGCACGACACGTACACCAAGGAGGATCTTGTCACCCTCCGAGAGGGATGCAAGAACTTGAAAAAGCATATTGAAAACTCTCGCAAGTTTGGCGTCAAGGTAATTGTTGCTATCAACCAATTTGCGTGAGTCTTGGCTGTTTATGAAAATCGGTATGCCTGATTATATCATTTCCCAGTTCTGATACAGAACCTGAGCTGGCACTCGTGCGCGAAGAAGCCCTCGCCGCAGGCGCCGACGGTGCAGTTGTGAGCAACCACTGGGCCGAGGGTGGAAAGGGAGCCAAGGCTCTCGCTGAAGCTGTGATCGCCATCTGCGAGGGTGAATCGGAGTTCAAGTTCCTCTACGATCTCAACCTTCCTATTGAGGAAAAGATTTCCATTATTGGAAGGGAGATCTACGGCGGCGACGGCATTCAACTCAGCGATCTTGCTCGTCAGCAGGTTGACACGTACACACGCCAAGGGTATAGCAATCTTCCAAGTAAGTTTCTCTTGTCAACCTCTGTTCTACACAACTAACAGTGACTGTATAGTTTGTATGGCGAAGACACAATACTCTTTCTCCCATGACCCTAAGCTGAAGAATGTGCCATCAGGTAGGCTTCTCATTCCCGGGGTCACGATTTGTAGATTGACTCTCTTCATAAGGTTTTACCCTACCCATTCGTGCTGTGCGGCTATCAGCTGGTGCAGGTTTCCTGTACCCCATTCTGGGCGACATGCAAACGATGCCCGGTCTCGGCACACGGCCAGGTAGGATTATGAATTTGTCCATCCACATCTTACTGACTTTTGGTCAGGTTTCTGGGAAGTCGGCCTCGATAAAGAGACCGGTAGAGTTGTTGGTTTGTTTTAGATGAAGGGCACGATACCCCTGCAGCTTGTTCCCGATCTTCAACGATAGCTGGAACAACGCCGCCTCAAAATCCTCAACGATGACCACCCACACTTGAGAAGATATCCTCAACGATACTCACGCACTAATAGATATCCTCAACGATGTACACTTGCATTTATTAATATGTGTTTTTAGGGTTGGGCAATAAAGACAATGGTTTATGAGCCCTGGACTCTGCGACCGTTGGGCAGGCGTGCAGCCTTGCCAACGAAGCCCGAGAATGGCTGTACCAGGGGTTTCTGTGCGGCTAGCGCAGGCGCAAGTGTACCGGACTCTATGTCGAGGGTGATGTTGTTCAGAACGGCGTCGACGGATCGAGAGTACGTGTTGCCTGTCGCATCCACATAGCTGAACACGTTGCTGCTGGTTCCGTTGCCTACATTGCCGCCTGTCATCAAGAAGAAGAAGCCTCCTTTGAACATCGTGGTCAGCTGTGTGTTTTCCAAGCGCGATTTGAGCACGAAACTTACCCGCTAGTTGATGGTTTTCGATCTTTGACCTGACGACGATGGGCATCGGGAGAAGGTCGCGAATGTACGAGTGATCAAAATGCGTTTGCCCTGAAGCAATGGGTCGTTAGTTCGGAAAGTAATGTGTGCCAATGGCCCTATGATAGCGTACAGCTACGGCCAGTGGCGTCCAAGTTGGAGAAGTTGATGGCAATGGGGTATGAATATTGATCAGAAAGCACCGTCACCCCGTTATGAGTGGACAGGAACGATCCGGTGGACGTCTGGATCAAATTCTGAAACGAATACACGCATTAACCTTCTTTGAAATTTCTCTCAACAATACCAATGAATTACCTGAGTGTTAGTGTTATCCAAAAGGAACTGCACGTTCTTAAATTGCATATTCTGTGTCCAGACGACGTGGTTCACTTTCCCACTGCCACTGATGATGGTCGACTCGATGCGCAGCTTCCGACTAGCAGAGACGGTAACGTTGACATCGCCACCACCGACCGTTCCGACAGTGCTGGACTGTGAATAAGGATGGACGGAGTATGTTGTAATTTTTCCTGTTGTAGGCTTTGATGATTTGTCGACGAAGACTTGGAGAACGCCTGAGAGGAACCAGTTTTGCAGGACAGTGTGGTCGTCCTCCGCTGAAGCAACATCCAAAGTGACGTTATGCGGGTTTCCGTCTGCGAATATCGGGACGAAGGGTGTAAGGTCCAAGAAGTAGGTGGGTAAGTCGAGTGCTCCGTATGAGGATATGGGTCTGCCAGACAGTGTTAAAATGAAAGTGAAAATAAAAGGTGGGTATTAGATACCTCCAGGCAGTTGGTACGAATCCCCCAGTGAAGATCGTTATATATGGGTATGCAACCCCTGCCACTTGTCCGTCGACCAAAATCCTAACCTCTCTAAAGGGTCCTTGGCCCAGGAACCCCTCGGGTAGGTCGGGCAAGAATTGGTTCGCAGTGTTGAAGTACTAGCAATATCATCGCCAGATATAATTGTAGGCACATTGAAGCAGAAGAGTGCTTACCCAGAACTCCTCGTTCCCATTTCCAGATGCGTACAACTCTGCGAATACGCGTACAGAGTTTCGAGGAAGGGTTATGTTGAGCTTAACAGTCGCTCAGCGAATGTCTGCTGGCAATGGCATACAGCTGAAAAGCAAGTGGACGCACAGAGAAGGCAGGTGGAACAGAAACGTGATTTCCAGTGTCATTCCTCATGTTCGAGATGGGCACGAGAAGGTCAGCCTTGGGTGCAGGAGGGTTAGCGGGAGACGACGCGTAGTACGTTGCATGTAGAACGGCTTTGCAATGACATCAAGAAAAATGCAAGCAGTGGCGGTAACCATAGACTGACTGGAGTATATTCCATCCAAGCCCTCCTGGATCAAATTGTCTAGCTGGAGGATGAAGGTACCGGGTTTGGCGAAGAGCGGGGTATAGCGCGTCACGTCCTTGATGTAGGTCCAGATAATGCCATCTCCTCGAGTCGGCTCAGGGGTGGAGGTTCGCCAAACTATAAAGAAGAGGATTTTCAATCTAGTATCTTATAAACTTGGCTGCTTGCTTACTTTCAACGTTCTGGAAGGTAAAGATGCCGAGACGATCGAACTGAGTGCCATTGCTGGTGACAGTGAAGTTGAGGGTAATGGCAGCCCATGAGCCAACAGGTCCACAATCCGTAGGCGGTCTTGCGTTTTTTTAAAAACAAAAAAAAACCTGTGGGCAATCGTGTTCGACAATGTACTCACTCGAGTTGAACGACTTCAGCTCTGATGCAATCGGGGATAAAATTTGTTTGTTCTATTTTTAGCGCAAACGGACAGCACGCACAGTCCAAACGAAAAGGCGAAATCACGTCTAGCGCACCCAGTCGACGAATAGATATCAGCGAGTCTTCACCATGAGAAAGACCTGGACTTACTGCAAAACCTTCACCGTGCACTGCTTCGCATCTTTGGGCACAGGAGGTGGTTGTGCGACCTGGAAGTTCACAAGAACCCCCGCACTCGCCAGGCCCATGTACGCCGAACAGAAGAGGAAAGTCAAGATGCGGCCCCGGAGCAGCATCGTGCAGGAGAAGACGTAGTTGAAGGGCACCAAGCCAACCTGCTCTAGGCTGCAGCACGGTACGTACTTATAACTTCCACACTAAGCGTGGTAGAGAAGCACCATGGGAATAACCTATCGCGAACCATGTGCTCAAACCCTTCTGAGGCACTTCGTCGAGCGCGGGGCAAAAGGTATTTTCAGCATAAAGCCTGCAGAGAAGGGTGGGAACATGGGAGTGCGGGTCACGATGTGAGGTTCCGAATGCGGCGCAAGGAAAGATAACGCTGTCGACGAATCTTTCCAAAAGAGACGGGCCTCTGGAGCTCAATTGTTGTGTTCTTGTCCCGTTGTTCATTTTGATAGCTCACGGCGATAAAAGGGGACCATTGGGTTCTGTATTCCCATGTACGTCTGCCACCACGCCTACTGTGCCAACGAAGGTCAGTATTTCTACCAGAAATACACTGAAACTTATTTGCTCAATCGTCATATTTTTGGCGCTCGTAAGACGGGCATCAGCCAAGAGGCTGCCACGCCGACAAGCTAGAATGAAGACCTGAAAGTTGAAAGCCTCGCACTTCGCAAAAAAGAATCCAAGAGAAATAAACATGGACGATAATAGAGATACAAAGGCGTGATACTATCATGAAGCATTAGAAGGTGTCCAAACTGGTATGTGATGCTCGTGAAGGCAGGGATCGACCAACTGTCCTCAGAACTGATGTTTGAAGACGTCCTCGTCCGTTGTCTTCTTGGGTGCTGCTTCGTCTGCTGTTGCTGGTGAGCGGGGTCGTTCGGAGTACAAGCCGCCCTCGGGATCCTCTGGGAACTCGTTGCCCGACTCCCTCGAAGCCACACTGTTGGCGGCGTCGGAAGACTTTCGTTTCTTCTTTTTCTTCTTCCTCGACTCGCCCTCGGATGACATAGAATATGCATCCTGTGTCCTCTCCCATCTGTCTTTCTTTTTCTTTTTCTTACTACGCTTGTCGGCGCTGATGGGCTCGACATCATCGAAGTTAGCGGGATAATGCCAGCGGCCGGACGAGGAGCCGACAGAGGCCCGCTCGTTGTTGTAGTACGATTCGTCCTCGGGGCGCCATAGGTCACCGTTGGGTTGTCTTTGTGGTTTGCCATTTCGGCCTTCGACTGACAGATCAACACTTGAGCCTTGCTCTTGGCCTTCTTCGTATGGTTGTCCTTCAAGTGCAGAGTGTGGCAGTCTGTCGTTGTAGCGGGCTGCCCACTGGGATTTGCGTTCTTTGCGCTTGATTTCGGAAGTGTCGACGAGGCCCCAGCGCTGTGCCCACTTGGGAGTGCGGGCGTGGTTCTTGTTGTTGCGGATGTTCTGAGATGACGATGAGCAAGCACCGGGACGGATGAGAGGGTGCGGAACTTGCCTGTATGTAGAAATTATGACCGTGGCCTGTACGAGATGGTGAGAGGGGCGAATTCCGAATGTCAGAAGAGTGGAGCGCACCAGGTATATATCCGCAGATGGTCAATACGACATTAAGCCAGAAGTCCTTCCCTATTCCGAACCTCGCTGCGACAGCTACCGGAGGCAAAAGAAGAGGTATTAGAATTGCGGATAGACGAATAGAGAGGTCTCATGGTTACCGAGGGGAGGGAAGAGGGTGCCCATGATGAATAGCAGGACAGCGTAACCATGATATCGTCGCGGAGTTAAATCTATCTTCTGTGGGACGTATGTCGACATCGCAGGTCAGCCCAGCGTCTTCGCGGCCAGGGCGTGGCTGGAGAGTCCAAGTAGTCTGAGTGGTGGTGGTGACGGTATAGAACTGGCTCTGCAACTCTGTTGGCCCATCCTGATCACATATATTATGTAAGCATGATTGGCAGGCTAAAGCTTGATCAGTGCTCGAGTGCTCAGATAAATCGAAACATGGACTCGCGAGAATGCATCCTTATTTTTTTCGTCATAGACGGCGTTTAGTCGACAGGAGTGTCGATGAAAGGAACTAGAAGAACAACGATGATGTTTGAGTGCGGGCCATAAATGGCAAAGACGGCGATTTACATAAACCATAGGGCCGAACATTCAACATCGACTCCTGCCATTCACTTCCCTCCTTCCTCCATCACCCTCCGCCCTTGTCACTCTCACAAGACCCACTACAGTTCTTCCTCGTCTCTGGCGCTCTATTAAGTCCTATTCTGCACGTCGAATCCCCTTGCATCGTGCGCGTTTTGAGAATGGATCACGAGGAGCATGTCCTCAACTTATCTGACGTGGTACACGACGAGACTATCGACGACGAATCACCCCACGACGTGGACGGAGCCGACAGCCCCACTGACTCGCGGCCCTCAGACTATGACGCGGCCTCAAGCATGCTGCCGCTGCACGATAACTACAATGTCTCCGAGCACTCGACTCACTCGCTCGGTTCTGCTGATTCTTACTCGGTCGAGATGCTCGAACGTGAAATAGCAACTTTGCTCAACCATAACGCCTCTGCGGCGTCTGCAGCTCTTTTGAATGCTGCTGCACAGCAGCGTCAAGCAAGTATCGAACTCGGGAGGGAGCCAGGGGAGATGCTGGATAGCACCTCGGATAATATCCCTGGCCTCGGTCTTGGCCTGAGTGGTCTGGCCGCTGTGTTGCAGGCCGTGCATGCTCAAGGTTTAAACTCGCGTCTGGAAGACCAACACGAGCCGCCAAAGGAGCAGAAAACGACTAGAACAGCACCTGCCTTTCATTCTCTCACTGCCAGTGAGACATTCGACGACTCTTCAGGGAAGAGAAAGAGGGTGGATGGGAGGAGTGGCTCCGAAGGATCAGATTATTTGTTCACAGAAGAAAGGCAGGAAGGAAGCGATGGGGAGGACTTCGCGAATCCCGAAGGCAAACTACGACATTCATCCTCACCCCATCGTCAAACGGAGGACAGCACAGGCGCCGATGAGCTACCACCTGTTCCCGCCGAGTTCTCAGATATCAACGACATCCTGAATCAACTCTCCGCACAGTTCGAACCTGATGCCTCCCACGAACACGCTCATGAGCTCTCACCGCCAGATTCACCCCCTCCTGTCATTGCGCATGAACAGCAGAAGGTCGAACCAGAAATCCCCATCACGCAACCACCCCCCATTCCCGTTCTAGCGCCCTCAAATCGTGCCGGCCCTTCCCAACCGGTCGCGTCAACGTCTTACTCAGCCCCTCCTCCCGAAACATCGACCAAACGGCCGCGAAAGACCCAAGGTCGAGAACGAGGTCCTAATACGCATACGTGCGAAGAGGAGCATTGCCAGAAATCTTTTACTCGTCGCAGCGATCTCGCTCGGCATATGCGCATCCACACTGGCGAGAGACCCTTCGTCTGCTCGCATGAAGGTTGCGGGAAGACATTTATTCAGGTAATGCACATCATCCTCTGCTTACGGGCCGTCCATTGATTCCTGGCTTCTTCCAATAGCGCTCAGCCCTGCATGTCCATTCACGGGTTCATACTGGAGAGAAGCCGCACTGCTGTGAATACCCGGGTTGCGGCAAGACTTTTGGAGATTCTAGCAGTTTGGCCCGCCATCGGCGAACTCATACCGGCAAGAGACCGTACAAGTGCGAGGACCCGAGCTGTGAGAAAACATTCACTCGACGGACGACATTAACGACCCACATGCGGACGCATGACCCCAATTGGGAGCCTGACCCAAATGTGTACGCTGATGACCTCTTGAGTCTTATGTTCTATCTTGTGCTTATCTCTGATCTAGAAAATACAACTTCAAAGGCAAGAAGCGGAAACTGGATGACGATGATGACCAGGAGTTGGCTGAGTCTGTCAGAACGATCTCGGCCTTGTTCCAGGCGGGAGGGAATTCGATGTTGCCTACGCGGGATCCTGATGATGAGCCGTTAGAGGTGCGGGTTGCGAGTATCAGCGCGGAAATCGCAGCAGCGATAGCGCAGGCCCAATCACGGACATACGAAGATGAGGAAGACGAAGAGGAGGAGGAGGAATCAGGATCAGGGCAAGAGATGGGCGGTATCGAGACAATAGGGCCCAATACGAGCGGCATTCGCAGTGGGGAAGCGGGGTTGGGGGACAAGGAGGGCGGAATGGAAGTGGGTGACGATGATGAGGACAGCGATGCGTTCCCAGCGCCTCTGCGCGCACGAAAGGCGCGGGAGCTGGCGGCGTCCGGGAGCAAGAGGAAGCGGTAGAGGCCATGTGTACTACTTAGCAATGCTGTGTATGGACGGGAATGGCGGGCCGCAACGCGAGACGCGCGATGATAAGATCCGAGACACGTGATATGAGCCGGCTCCTCAGCGGAACGCCTCCTGGTTCTCTGGTCGAGGCGGAACCAAATAACCCCGTCTCTACTATCTGCCACCTCCGGCTCTGTCCGCTCGCAACCAATCTCTTATCCCGACCACCATCTCTCACCGCTGACTGTCGCCAACAATGTCTGGAGAAGAAGCCCCTAGCACTGAGATCATCACCCTCACTAGGTGCGTCGTGCAAACATCTATCTAGCCGACGTATCTGAATCAGGTGGAACAGACATGTCCTCAATGACCAGCTGCACCTCGGATCGGCCGCGACAGGCGATTTGACCCTCCTGCTCACCGCCATCCAGCTCACGTCCAAGTTCATCGCGACCAATGTGCGAAAGGCGCGCCTGATTAACCTGTGAGTATACTCAGGCGCCCGTGTCGTGTGCTCTTCTGAGCTTTTCTGTGTAGCGTCGGACTCGCAGGCGAGACGAACGTGCAGGGCGAGGAGCAGAAGAAGCTCGATGTTCTGTCGAATGACATCATGGTTAATGCCCTCCGTGCCTCCGGAAAGACAGCCGTCCTCGTCTCGGAGGAGCTCGACAACGCGATTATAATTGAGGAGAAGCACAGGGGCAAGTACTGCGTCGTGTTTGACCCTCTCGACGGAAGCAGCAACATCGATGCTGGTGTGAACATTGGGACAATTTTTGGCATCTATAGAGTGGTATGTCCCTATTTCATTCCCCCGGTGTTCATCTCCTGTGAAATTAATGTTTCCTTGATGAAATAGCGACCAGGCTCAGACGGTGCTGTCGAAGATGTTCTGCGTCCAGGGAACGAGATGGTGGCTGCTGGTTACACCATGTGAGCTCTTCACGCGTTCTGACTGTGGACATTAGTTAGGGTTGTTAATTCATTCACGTAGGTACGGATCTTCCGCCAACCTCGTTCTCTCCACAGGATCCGGTGTGAATGGATACACTCTGGATGCAGCTTTGGGTGAATTCATCCTCACCCATCCAAATGTGCGTATGCTAGACCTTAGGACCGTCCAAGCATTTATCTAACAATCCGATTTAGATCACCATCCCCACTCGCGGCAAGATCTACTCCTTCAACGAAGGAAACTCCATGTATTTCCATCCTCCCGTAACCGCATACCTCAAGTCGATCAAGTACCCCGTACCCCCAAAAACCCCGTACAGTGCAAGGTATATCGGATCAATGGTTGCCGACGTTCACCGGACGCTGCTCTACGGAGGGATCTTTGGATATCCGAACGACAAGAAGAGCAAAAACGGGAAGCTGAGACTGCTGTATGAGGCTTTCCCGATGGCTTTCCTGACCGAGCAGGTAAGATGCCTTTTTCTTCCTGCGTGAAGGTTTGACTAACCATTCGAAAGGCTGGTGGAATTGCCACGACGGGAACTGGTCGTATTCTCGACATTGTGCCCACCAACATCCACGAGAGATGCCCTGTGTTCCTGGGAAGCAGAGATGATGTTTTAGATTTGATCAAGTTTTACAAGGAGGTTCCGTTGGATTCGGCATAGACATGGTAACTAGGACAGGAAGGAAGGAAATCTAATCGTGTAATCTTGTTATTTGAAGCCAACAGCCTGTCATTCCGATATGTTGTATACAGCTAAGAATCTTACTACTAAGAATCATGCGAGAGCGAATCGCGCTGTATCGTGTTGTATTGGGAAATATGAACTCTCCCGGAGGTTCGACGCCCTCTGTGGTATTGGAACGCTTCTTGTTGACGCGAATTTCACAATATTCATCTTCGAGGCGGGCGATGCTTGAGCTATAACAAAAGGACGATATCAAAGATCCAACTTTATCGTCTTGTCAAAAAGATACAGCAGTCGCGCTTTGCTCACATGTCCTCGTCCTCGGTAATGAACCTTATGGATCAACTCTCGCGCGACGCGAAATCGAATGGTTGCTTTAATTTTCGAACCATTCGAAAACTTGGAGCTCGCCGCGTAGGCGAGGTTGGGTGCATATATGGAGAAGTCGTTCGTTTACTAGAGATCCTCAGGACCGTGTTCTACCGCGAGATGACAGTCGTTCGAAATCTGGATCTTAATAGCTCTGGTTAAAGTTTGCGATGGGGATTAGCTGGATCAAGTCCCCTGCAATGAGCGCGTTTGACGCGTTACGTAACACGCGTCCTGCTTTTCCCATGGCTGCGTGTGAGTTGGTGCTGGATTTGTACGTACCCCCATCATCATGCCGTTCAGAATCAAGGTTCCACCGGCCAAGCAACCGCCACCCACAAAGTTTGTTGAACAGATGGAGGTATGTGTTTGACCTAGGTAGCTGACCGAGTTTCCCTTTTGACTAACGCCCATCTAGTTCGAACAGCCTGCGAAGCGCAAGCGCAGGCCCCCCAAGCGCTACGACGACTACGAAGAGATGGCCGCTCCAGAGCCGGAGCGCAAGGTCGCCCGGAGACGACAGAATACAGTCGTCGTCGAACCGCCAGTTGAGCCTGAACCCGAACCTGAGCCGTTTGGCGCTGAGATCGATGTGGTAGGGGATGGTGTCGAGCAGGAGGAGCGAGAGGTTCCCGAAGACGAGTATGACCACCGATCTGAACTTTCGGCGCCGCGGAGCGTTGCCTCGGTGTCTGCCAGCGCGAGTCAACCGAGAGTCAAGGCAAAGAGGAAAGACGGTCCCCCAGTGAAAAAAAAGGCTCGAAGAGTAGTTGTTTCGGATTCGGAGCAGGAGGACGAGTACGTGGACAACGAGTTGGAAGTCGTGCCCGAACCGCAGGACGACGATGATGACTATTTCTCGCTGGATGACGAGCGGCCGGCAAAGGGTAAGGGGAAGGCCAATGCAGCTGCAGCTCGGAAGGGCGTGAAGCGGAAACCGAAGGCCGACCCAGTAGAAATCGCTCGACCACCTCCAGAAAAGAAGAAGACTTTAGAGTCGGCTGCCCCGGCAAAGAGGCGCCCTAGACCATCTCTCAAAATTGACGACACGCTCATCGACGTCGTCGGAGACGAAGTAGCTACGCCCGAAATCTCCAGCCCTGCGGCGAAAGATTCCCCAGTTCCTACCACTGTTCCGAAGAAACTGAAGCTACCGACGATCAAGAAGAATAAGCTTCCTGGATCGACGGGTGTCAACACCCCGAATTCTGCAACGGTGGCTAAACCCACCAAGCCGCCATTGGAGCTTGGAGGAAACAAGTTGACTATTGGTGAAGTTCGCAAGACTCGAATCGCGAACACTGACCTCGATCTGTCGAACAAATCCATCTACGAGGAGCTATTCAAAACGGTCTGTCTTTTTGTTTGTTCCTTTCTATTTAGTTCATCGACCCTCATCTCTGTGCCAGGACGGCGGAGCATCTCGAGCGGGCTCCAATAGGCGGACGAAGGAAGACGAACGGCGGAAGGAATTGAACAAGTTGAGGGGTGAATACATCGCGAAGAAGGCGCAAGAAAGTGTCCGTACATCCACTTTGGACGATAATCCCAGTTGACATTGTATTGCAGGTGCTTTGCTTTGACCTCCAGGCTCAGCACGAGAAGATCGCACGGTTTGAAGACAGATTGAGAGCGGATCGCAGTGCAGCACTCTACCCCAACTTCTTGGCGGCGAAGTGGAGAGAAACTTATGAGAAAGAGAAAAGGCGTCAGAAGGAAGCTGAATGGAGTGAGGCTGTTTATGCCAACGGTACTGTGGAAGAAGGCGAAGTGAAGTAGGCTGTCCAGCTGTATGTGCTTGCTTGCGGGAACGCATTCTGGTTCATGATCCTCCGCCTGACGCTTAGATTTGTACATTGTCATTATTATCGCACCTACATCACTGTAAATCTAGAGCATTCCAACGTCCTAATTGTTGTTACGATTCATGACCATCTGCATCTGTCAAAGTGTCCGAGATTTTCACCGTGGCTTTGTCAATTTGGTCGAAGCACGTCGTGAACCATTTGGCGGATTTCTCGCCAGACGGTGGGGAAAGAGACAAGTCGGCCACTTGGTCCTCCAAACTTCTTTCTCGGGGTAGCAACAACGTTTGCCGGACATCCTTTAAGACTGCATTGTATGCGTCCAGGCAGGCGGTAATATTCGATGGTTGCTGGGGACCGTACATGGACGAAATGAGATCGTCGGATGCCTCCAGGAGTTGACCTGAAAGTGTTGCGAGGTTATCTAAAGTAGGATCGTTCCGCGCATTTAAATCTTGTCCGAGGATATCTTTCAGCACCCGTTTGTGAAGGAGAACCACGATTTTGATAAGAGAATGAACCTGCTCGTCTATAAATCAAGCCAGTACGAAAAAGGAGGTCAAAACATACTTTTCCCGCCCGATCCTTTTCGACTGGCGAAAGTGTCTGTGTGGAGCTAATACCGAGTTCTTCCCAGCCGTCATCAAAGAGCTCGTCGTCGTCTGCCGGTTCGTCCGAGTCGGAAGATTTCCAAATCTCTTGGATCTCCTCCTCACCGTCCACCAAAGAATCGCGATCCTGCAGCCATCTTTTCCGAACAGCCTCACGATTACTCAACGATAACCCACCTGATCTCCGTGCAAGATCAATGAGTTCGTGTACTTTTCCTGCTCCAACGAGATAGTCTTCGTTCGAAGTCGAGGTTGCCGGCGGCGATAGCAAGACTTCAGAGAAATGGAGCACTTCTCTAACCACATTCCGCGCCACGGATTCGTATTCCTTGAGAATGGTCGGAGCAAGATCACGACGCATAAGGCGAATTGAGTGCACCAGGGCAGCGGCATTGTTGGAGAGATCTTTGAGAGGTGAGAGGGATGCTTTGTACTCAGGCGATGACGGCTTGAGGGAAAGTGCTACTTTCGTAGTAGCTGCATGAATTAGGGCCAGAATGGAGATGAAATCCGTCCGAAGAGTTGTAAATTCGGTAGAAGGAAAGCCTTCATTGGGAAGAGATGTCTCCTTGGACTCAAGCGCGTCTAAAGCAGCTCTGGAGTTCTCTGCCAAGAGTTGCAGCGACGCGGTAGCTAGACAAAACAATCAGAACATTTTCCGCGTAATAATAGCAAGGAGACGAACACTTCTGCTCATCGGACATGGCGATAGAGAATGGGAGGACCACATCATCGTTTTCTGCAATCTTGGTCGCAAAAAGCGCCGATCTGCTCGAAATGACGATGCCTAAATTAGAAGTGCACGTGATCGACGACGTACGTCTCCGCCCTTTTCCTCATCATCATCGTCCGAGTTTCCTGTCCCCCGTACCCTTCAACTGGTGTCTCTCGCAGGACGCAGGGATGTTCAGGTCATTCCCCGTAAGCTTGCTTTTCCTTCTTATGAACGCGGATGCTGACAATTTCCAAAGTTGTCTGGGGTGTCGCGCATCTCAGCTGCCAGAGGTCTTGCGCAGAAGCTTTCTCCTTCGCTCATTAATTATGCTCGGTTGTACTCTATTGCGACTACTCGCTTTCTGCGCACGTCTCCAAATGTTGGTATTTTTACCGGAAGGCCCTACTTAATCCCACCGAAATCATGCAGTCAGCGGATGCTCAGCCTCGGCTCCATTTTCCGTTCAACGCAAGGAACTCCCTCACCTCACGTCGTTGCTCTTATTACACGGTTGGAAGCCGAGGCAAATGTTCATCCACACGATTTGTCGAAGCAATTGACGCTTTATGAAGCTCTTGTGGAAACCAAGTTGAAGTCGTCGTATGAGCTCGTTATCACTCGCTGGGAACGAATGTGCGATTATGTGAGTTGTAGTTTCATTGTACGGTTATGTCCCACTTACCATGGAAATATCACGCGTGCAGGATCCCTCTTCTCCACTCCTCAAGTCTGCTGAAGCGTTCAAACTGTATCTCACGTGTCTGGAGAAGGCTGGACAGGGTGCTGAAATTAACAACGCGGTCAACAAGCGGGACAAATTGCTGGCAGAACAAGGCGCGACATTAGCTGCAACGGAACTACCCTCACAAAAGGTTGACGGCACGCAGGTTTCTTCGACGGAGCCCGCGTCCGTCAACCCTCTCACTTCAGAGGCCTCCAGCCCTCTTACCTCCAGCCAGGCAATTGCTCAACAAGTGCTCAACAAACCAAGTGCATCCACGACTCCTTCGTCTCCTTCAGATCTCTTGAAGGCAGCGGCAAGTGCCGAATCATCTCAGGCAAATCCGATCCAAGTCACAATTGTCGAACGTGAGTAAAACGTGTGGTGTGGAGATGTGTTGCTGAAGCAGCCCGTAGGCAAGGGTGCTTGGATCCCTCGGCTGGTTCGTTTCCTGGTCTTGACCATCGTTAGCTCGTTCTGTGAGTTTTATCGTCTAATTAAATCCGGCACGCCCTCATCTTTTCTTAGTCTTCTTGGTCATATTGTCCGTGTTTTTCGAGAACACTGGTTTCATGAAAGCGGGTCCGCGACAGTCGCAGTTCGAGCCTGTGGAAGGGAAGACGATCACCTTCAATGATGTACATGGGGTTGATGAAGCCAAAGAGGTATAGAATTCATTGTCCTGTCTGAGATCTGAACAGTGATACCAACGACTGCTGCAGGAACTTCAAGATGTCGTTGCCTTTTTGAAAGACCCGACTGCGTTTGCTTCTCTCGGTGGCAAGCTTCCTAAGGGTGTTCTGCTGACGGGGTTTGTATCCATTCATTTATAAGTGGTAACCTAACTGAAAGACTGAACAGACCTCCTGGAACTGGAAAAACTTTGCTTGCTCGGGCCATCGCCGGAGAGGCTGGAGTTCCTTTCTTCTTCGCATCAGGGTCAGTCCTTTCTCGAGTTTGGCGCGTCAGCTGGACTGAGGATCTGTAGATCTGACTTCGAAGAAATGTTTGTTGGCGTTGGTGCTAAACGCGTTCGAGAGCTATTTGCTGCGGCTCGCAAGAAAGAACCAGCAATTATCTTCATTGATGAACTTGACGCCGTTGGTGGCAAGCGTAGTAGCCGCGACCAGCAATACATGAAGCAGACTCTGAACCAGCTTCTTGTTGAAATGGACGGATTCCAGCAAAGCGAAGGTGTCATCGTTATCGCCGCAACCAACTTTCCAGAAAGCCTGGACCAGTAGGCTCCCTGCTTAATGTGTTCCACGTTGTTTTATTCATCATGTTCCAAGGGCCCTCGTTCGTCCCGGCCGATTTGACAGAACAATTGCCGTCCCTCTACCCGATATTCGAGGCCGCGTGCAAATCTTGCAACACCACATGCAGGGTGTTGTTGTTAGCAAGGGTATTTGTGCTCCGTCAACTTTCTCTTTGACCGTTTTGCTCATCTCCCGATCCAGAGGTTGACCCAAAGATTCTGGCTCGTGGGACACCCGGTTTCTCAGGTGCCGACCTTCAAAACATGGTGAAGTATGTCATCACATACGTATCAGTTATGAACCACAGCTACTAACACAAGTTCATGTCAGTCAGGCGGCCATTTATGCGTCCAAATTAAAGGCAAAGGAGGTCAATCTCAGCCACTTTGAATGGGCGAAGGTATGTAGAAACACCGTCACAACGAGGTTTTGTCCAATCTTGCTTGCATGACTAGGATCGTATCCTAATGGGAGCGGAAAGGAAGAGCCAATACCTAGATGAGAAAGCGAAACTCGCCACAGCCTACCACGAGGTTTGACCGTTTTGCACTCAAGTTTTGACACTTGTCCTGAATTTGCGCGCAGGGTGGACATGCCCTTGTTGCCCTCTACACCGATGGAGCAATGCCTCTCCATAAGGTTACATGTGTCCCCCGTGGCCATGCCCTGGGATACGTGGGTAGTCTCAATGGTCATTCCCATTCCGCACACTAATGAACTCACACCATCAAGACCTCCCAACTGCCGGAGAACGATCGTACCTCTGTCAGCTATAAGGAATATCTTGCAGAAATTGATGTTTCAATGGGTGGTCGTGTTGCTGAAGAACTGAGTGAGCATATGTCTGTGCTAGTTTGAAAGCTCCGTTTCGACTAACAACTGGTTCTAGTTTACGGTGTGGAGAACGTCACGAGTGGTGCAAGTTCAGATATTCGCCATGCCACGAAGACAGCGCAAAGAATGGTCAAAGTAAGTCCAGTGAACCCTGGAGCCGCCTGCTGTCCTCATGACGTTGGTTGTAGTACTGGGGCTTCTCTAAGCTTGGTCCTGTGTACCATGATGACAGAGACGAAATGATGAGCCCGAGAAGAAAAGAACAAATCGAGGAAGAAGTCACAAAGTAAGTCTGACTCTAAGGTACTATCGATCCGGGTAGAAGCGATGGCAAAGCTTGATAATTCCTCGACCTTCATTCTGTCAAGTCATCGGAGGTTGTATACTGATATCGCCTCGTTTTTTGATCTAGGCTCGTTCGAGGAGGCGAATCACGGGCGACTTCTCTTCTTAACTCTAAAATGACGGAATTGCACAGAGTATGCAGTTCCTTTTTCTATTATTTTCCATCTCAGCCTGAATTTTATTCCTCTTAGCTTGCCCATGCCCTCGTTGAGCACGAGACACTCAACTTAGAAGAGGTCAACAAAGTGATCAAAGGCGAACCGATACGGACTATTACCGAAGTATTGAACGACGATATTTCTAATCTAGAGACTCAGTCATCGTAATTTCTTTAATGCTCGCCCATGGCCTTTCGTTCACTCTGTCTCGATATTATTGGGCCGCCAGAATTCTACGTCGCACTACTCGTGTTCTAGAGACAAAAACAACATGAATCTAGATTAGCTGGGTAGGGAATACAGAGACCTGGCTGAGAACGGTTAGAATGGTTCCCCGCTTGGCCCCACGAAACTTGGTCCCATGCAGCCAAGGTAATCAATCGATCTCGGTGAGTTCTTTTGGTCGTAGTCGGCCTGCTCTTCTCACTTGCATGAAATCCGCGCTTTCGTGATCTGGTGTCCACCCCATGCTCCGGATAATTGGTATCTGCTGCCTGCAGTATTTCATATGGACATCTTGTCATGAGAAGGACACACGGTGAAAGGTACGAGAATGTGCACCCTATACCTGCTGAAATGGCTTTTCATTACTCTCGGCTGATTGGTTTCATAGTTGTAGCTGACAATGGCTCGCGGGCCCTGCCTTCCGGGCATAGCGCACACCGTTTCGCCTCTCCTAACGATGTGCCTGAGAATAATTGGCAAAGAATCCTGCGTTCACACTTTGGCATTATGCGTCTTTCAATCCTTGAGCTTTGAGTCTTGTTTTACAGTGATTTCTGCGAGGAACTCTCGGGATCAACAAGGCTTCGCTTCTTTCTGTTGTGTCATCCAGTTTCTTCCTCTTTGCCGTCGGTTTCTCACCGGATGCGTTTCAGGACCGTAAGCTTTTGGTAAGCTTACACCCATGCCTCGAGGAAGACGTGGCCCGGGTAAATGTGCGGCTAGCAGGGCGGCAGAAAGCGAATTCAATGCAGTCTCGATGATTTAATTTTCCGGATTCTTGGTTTGGTTTTTCTTCATTCAGAAATACAGTTCTATGGTTTGAGCTGCATGGTGCTGTTCATCGATTTAAACCACAGAAGGGCGTCACAATCCCGATACATCTGCAGTCATTTACGTCTGTTCTGAGTTGAACAAGAAATATATCGATCACTTTGCTCGAGTTGTCGCTCTTGAGACCATGCCATTTTTAAACCGCTTTTACGCCATTTGTATCATTACAACAACATTTCATAAGGTTATCTTTATATCTCAGGATTGAATCCATGATATCGGGCAAGAGTCGAAAAGCTTCGAGTTACAGGCAAACCAGTGCGAATCGGCTCAGATGGCAGAATGGTATGCAACATGGGGCGTCCAGCCTTTATAAAGTCCACTTCCCCTAGGGAGAGGATAGTCCAGTGTGGTGTCTGGCCCCCTTCTTTCCTACGCGCGACCGTTGAAATCGAGGTGAGACGCCGACGGTACCGGGAGGGAATGCCGATCTCTGATACACTTTAGTCTCCTCAGATTGAACTCAAAATTAGCACGATCCACGATCCAGCACACCTCTTCTCCTACCTCCGCCGACAAGAACAGTGAGTCCCGAACCCCCACTTATTCTTCAGCGGTGACATAGAACGAACCTGATAATGGCAGGCATGTGTCATCGACAGCTAAGATTCATAAAATCCAGTGGCTGTGGCCATTTGACGCTGCAAAGCGAGCGAACAGTTGACTGCCGATCGGATACATGCTACCTTAGCGCGTCGCACCCAGCGGGCTGTACCAGCACAGCTTGCCGCCGGTACTACGAGAAGCCAGAGCGCTCGATCGCCCAAGAGGTCAGTATGCAAACACGAGAACCATGTCCAGTCACTGAGAACGATGAATCAAAGGTCCCTGGCAACTGCAGCCAATGTACGCGGAAGTGAACGAAAAATCAAATTGGAAAAACATACTCGGTTAAATATTCAAATCGAAATCCATTAGAGCAGTGTCACTGAGCCCCCCATCTCCGTACTCGTCATCATCCTGCCTGTGGTTTTCAGCTTCCAATGCCAGCTCTCTTTGCTTCGCTTGAGCCTTTTCAACGTCTTCCAGCGTCCACAGTGAGACACCCGTTTGGTTTTCATTTGGATTTTGCGATATTGTCCGCATAAACAGCTTTGAGAGAGTTATCGCCATGTCAGTGGAGAGGTTAGAGGCAGTCTCTGTGATATACTGATTTATCCACCGAGGCAACTTTGCTCGCTTATCTGCCCGGGCAAAGCGCTGCGGAGAGTCAGAACGATCCCGTTAATATAGATGTGATCGCACCTTGTCAGCGAATATCATCAAACCCCAGTCGGTCTTTCCGCGCAAACCACGTCCCACACATTGAGCAGCGTTTCGCATAGCGTCAAATCCCAAAAATTCGGACTCTCGAATTCGGTAAGCGTCACGAAGGTATTCCAACCGTGCCTTGAGGATACGACTTTCAGTGTACTGGTAAGGTACTCTGCAGGATGGTTGGATTAACAAAGGATTGTCAGTGTAGGGAAGGACCCACCCAAACATGATGACGGCGCGACCGTAGTTGTGGTCAAAGTCGATTCCCTCAGAGACCTTTCCTCGAGCAACAGAAAGCAGCACGGCGCCGCGACCGTTGTCGCATGCCTGCTATCGCGTCAGGAGGAAGTCTCTGGGGGCTAGTGTTGACTTACTCTTCGATAATTTTCCAACGCAATGCTTGTCTCGTTGGCATCCGGCGTCTCAACAAAAATAAGTTTGTGTTTCCATACTTCATTCAAAATGCCCTATTAACATAAAGATGAGAGATGAAATCACCAATGATAGTTGCGACTGACCATATCATTCCATGCCGCAACAATGGATTCCATGTAGAGATAGCTTGGAAAGAACGCGACAATACCATCTGGAACGATTTTGCTATATTCAACTAGGATACTTCCGAAATTGCGAACCACAGCTGGGTCGTTTCTAACTTCGAAGCGTGAACTGATTGCAACTTGATCACTGCCGCGGGTGATGACCTGAGAAACACTAAACGGAATACCTCCGACGGAGAGCTGGAAGACGAACCAGTGGCAGAAATGCATTCCTCGTTAACGTCATTGGATAGGTCTCTTGAACAACAGGCGTAAATTGTAGCATCTTTGGGTACATGTCAAGAGGCGAGATTGTTCCAGAGGTGATAACCACGCTACTGAACCGCTCGAATACAGGCTTGATGGCGAGAGACGGGTCCAGACAACTGAAGAAGATGTCAACGCGAGAGTTCGTCAAGTTTGAAGTTTTACTGACGTGAAATGGAACACCGGATTTGGAACAGTAGCGTTATCGGTCTCGAATGGCTCAAGAATCAGAAGAAAGCCTATATAAACTATGAGCGCATTGTCTGTCAGACGCAGACATCTACTTACCTTTCTCGTATGTGGAGACTAAAGTCGCAAAGCTTGCTACCTTCTGGAGACTAGCATATTCATCTAGCCGGTTCAATTCCAAGGTTCTTATCAAAGATTGTAGCCGTTCAGCACAGAAGCTTCAAGCATTAGAGGTTATTTATGGCACTGGTCGGCATAGACAGAAAATGCTTACCGTAGCGGCCTCCGCTCTATATAAGTAATATCTTTCAAATGCTGTAGAAAGGATAGCGGAGTCTCTGCCACCACATGAAGCACACGCATTCGCGTCTATGGAAGCCGCAGATCAATACTTGTCCGTGACATTGACTTCCAGCAATGACGTGCCTTCAGATATTCCACGAATCGTTTCAAAAACGCAACAAAGTGCTCCGCCTTCCTAATGTTTCCGGGGATAGCCTCGTTCAGGAGGTCGTCAGGTAGCACTAGGGACTTTAAGGTCTGCTTTATCCTGGGAGTGACGGTCGAACTCACAGGGATTTCCCATGAAGGCATCCGTGTCGTCCTGTTCTGTGATAGATTCCTGTAAACCCTCAACTAACTTGGCGTATTCGTCTTGTAGTTTGGCAGCATCCGTGGTCTTGATTCTATGTTAGTTGAAAATCAGGCCGTAGATACAACATGTAAGAGGACTTACTCTTCGATTTTCTCTGACAGTTTGGTCACGCTGCGGCCAGCAGAGTCAAGCATGGGTCGCGTCAGGTCGATGCTGAGAGACTCGATGCAAACGTTGTCTATTCATAGCCAATTAGCACCATCTTTTGATCACGTAATGGGCAGACCAATGTTATGTGCTTCATCGAACACTACAATAGCATCCTTTGACATTTCTTTTGACACTTGTTCTGCGACCTTAGGGTCTAGGAGATAGTGGAAAGAATAGATGATAACGTCGGCGAAGGGCATCTACAGGGGGTAGATTAATACCTGCAAGGAGATGAGACAGTAGGAATAAAAATACCATTCGACGAACAGCAAAGTATGGGCATATTCCTTTGTCGCGCCCATGTTGTAGAATGTCAGCCAATGTCCAAATCCCCGTCGGTATCAAATGTCCGGGCTCCATCTTGCCTAATGTCTGGGGCGCATGAATCACGACTTATGACCATGGGGAGAAAGTTCTAGCAAGTTTCACCTCATGCCAATCACAGAGCTCCACTGAACCGGGGTCTGCTCGTCCCTTCTCACAAACGGCTGAGTTCGTCAAGTCCCTGCATCTTGCATCCACGACCTTGCCCTTCTTCTCTTTTGCGACCTGAATGATGATAGTAAGAAGCGTAAATGAAGGTCATGGAGATTGCAGGACCTCAGGATTGATACAAAGGTTCTTCCTACTTGTCAAGCCAAGGCCCATAAAGTTTCGTTCTTTCTCTTTTTCCTCCTCCGTTTCTGCGCACTTGATTCGATACTCCATCAACCTTTTCAGCTCCGCTAATGCTTTCTCGATCTCAGGGACAGTTCGCGAGCAGTAAATGAGTTTCCGCCGCGTAGGGAAGAACTGCCCGCAAGGTCAGCGGTCAATCCAACGGATTGGTATGCCTGCTCACTTGCTGATAGGAAACAATCAGTGAGAGAAGGGATACCGTCTTCCCAGTTCCAGAAGGCATCTCTAGGACACAGTGGCCCTATAGAGAGCAATAAGCAGCGTTGCATGATTATCGAGGAATACGTACCGTTGCATCGAGAGTGCGCTTTAAGTCGCACATATAGGCATATTGTTCTATACACATGTTGAGAAACTGTAGACGGCATGCTTTGTTTAATCTCACCAGGATAGATACGGTCGTACGGGAAGATGATCTGAACACTCGTGAGGACAGTTCAAAAGTTGCGGCACGTCCAGAAAACTTACGGGTAGATTGTCAATAAAGAACTTCATTGGAAGATGAAAGCCTCAGTGATACGATGTAGGATCGGTGTTTCAAGGTAGATAGATCTCTCTTGGGTTCATTGGACAGTTGGAGGTTTCAGTCCAGCAGGCCTTCAAGCTTCGAACTTCAAGTTCAACAGACGTTTAGTGTCTTGAGATTCACTAGTCTCAAGTTTTGGCACAGATGCTCAGAGTGACCTTTATCTCGTACAAAGTCTTGATTCCTCCTGCTTGAGTTCTTGAGGGTGTAGGGCTGCCCAGAAACGGAGGACGAGGACAGGAGTCAGGTTAGAAATACAGTAACAAAAGGCTCCGCCGTACAAATGACGCGCCTGTCACAGAGATCACGTGTATGCCACATTGTGACTTTGGTACCCCTGATGGCTGACGCGGAACGAGGGACCGCCGATGAAACAGGTAATGGGCGCGATTGCGCAACCTCCGAGAGTTCGTACCCGACCGGTGGTGGAATTGGGCGCTGTTCCGCTAGGATAATCTCAGAGCCGTGTTCAATTTCGGGTCGCGTAAGCAAGGGTGTGTATGATCTTAGATTTTTGGACCCACAAAGCCAATGTCGGAGAGAAGAATAAGTCATGTCGATCCATCATCTTTGTCGTCTATTTATACATAGTTAACGTTGGAAGGGGTGGGCGTAGAATGTTAATGTGTCGCAAGAGAGTCTCAAAATGAAACGCGAAGCTATTAGGAAGAACTAAAACATTAAGAGTCCATAGACATTGAACTGTTCGTAAAAGATAAAGCGAGAACAAAATACTTCCACAATAGATCCTAGTACAAACCACAAATCATCTCAATCGTTCACTTGATCGTTCATAGAGAAGCGTCAGAACCGAATGCTTGTGCAGCCTGTCGGATAGTATCCACAACTTGCTGTTGACTGTTTGAATTGTAGAAGGTCAGAAGATAGTGTCATACTCCAGGCTCCAATGTACGTACCCAGCCCCTTGGATGCTATAACCGTCGTTGGGCGAGACGCCGATTCCAGTGACTGTTGGGACTGTACCAGGGCCGGTGACTGTGGGGGTGACCACAGTACCAACGGCAGCCGTCAAATTGTCTTGCGACCACTAGAAGACATGCCAATCAGTTTCGTCAAGGAGGGTAAACTAAATCAGGTGAACATGCCTGGTATTGGAGCATGCCTTGGAGACCACTCTGCAGACCGGTTTGAAGCCATTGGGTGTAGGCATCGTCTCGTTGTGCATCTGTAACACCGAAGGGCTGCTGGGTCGGTGTCGGCGGAGGGGCTGGGTAAATGCTCGTCAGAATGACGTTATCCAGGTGCCATGCAAATGGGCTAACCAGCATCAGGTCCGAACGGCGCTTGAGTGGAATTGAAAGGTACGAAGAACGGGGCGTTCCCTTGGGTGACAAGACCGAAGCCGTTCAACGTAACAGGTTTACCAAACCTTGAGGAGGAGAATTAATTATAAGGAGACGGCAGGGGAAGGCCGAGCAACGTACAATGCACCTAGGGCGGCATGTGCTCTGATCCACTGGATGCCTTGTTCGACAGTGTTATTGAAAGCAGGCAGGTTTGGATCATCAGGACCGTAGACATTCTGGTCCGGGAAGAGTTGGAATGTCCCAAAGCCAATTTGAGGGATGTTGATGATATCCTCGCTGTCGATTCCCTGCGAGCCGTCGAAGGCGGCGCCAATGTCTTGGTCGTCTTGTCTCCTCGTTTCTAAATTGGTCCAAATGAGATCAAGGGATTCGACCTATGAAAAGACGAGTAGGCTGAACCTGTTGACATCCATCGTCCGCGGATACGAATGCCTCCAGATGTTCCGGTGCTCCTCTTTTTCGCGTTGCGCGTCCTTTTAAATGCTGCCTTACGGTCTTCAAGGATTTTTCGCTTTGTCAGAGGCTTGGAGACAACAGCGCGACGTCGACTGGGGGTCGCGGACGTCTGAGGAGGAGGAACGCGCGGGAAGAGCTTTGGGCAACCTGTGCAAAGGAACCCTTGATTGCTAGTGATAGGTTGGCTTGAGCGCAGGGCAGGCAGTGTATTATAAGTAAACATACCCAGAGGAGACAAGATGATTAGGATCGATGGTCTTCACGTGGGCCGCGACTGTTGAGTGCCACCGCGTAATCACTTGCGGGTTGCATGAGGGAGTGGAGGGAATGCTAGAGTTACATCTTAAATGCAAGTGTGCTTAGCACTAATGATAGAAATCGGCGCCCAACACATTGCCTACCTAGGATCGTTTGCCAACTCCCTGGCAGCGGTTTCACGTTAGCTCACGCAGGAGATGGAGATGAGAGACGTACCATCCGAAAACTGCAGGGCTCTCAACGTAACGAGAGACAACCTGGGTTGTATAGTTTAGGAATGCGTCGATGATTGTTTGGTCTTGGTAAAAATCGTCGTGAGATTTGGTGGTATTAGTTCCAAGCTGGCGGACATAGACATCCATTCCTCCATAATCGTTACTGAGGGTGCCACGAGGGAGGGAGTTGTTCGTCCCGGGTGTGACATCGCGGGCCTGGATGGAGATGGTTGTGTTCTCGAAAAGAGGGCGAGGATTCCAGTTATTCGTGAGGGAGAGTAGCAAGAAGAGCCCGTGCTTCTCAGCCAACCGAACGACGGTGTCCAATTTCTGCAGTCCGTTGGTCCCATTGTTGATTTCCACAGTACCGTTCGAGATGAGCTGGAACCATGTTCCGTTCTCTGGAATAGACTCAACATCTGCAAAAAAAGTATTAGTGGATGCAGGCCATCTCATGGGATTTAAGGGGACGCACCATTGAACGCCCAAGTCCTGACGACTCTGATCCCGTTCGCCGACATATTGCCCAACGTAAAGTCTATATCCTCGTCGGTGTTTAGAGAAGGTAACCAGTACGCATTTGTTCCAACGAAATCAAGGTCGCTATGAGATTAGGTGGGATCAGTGCGGGGCGCGCGTCAAAAAGAATGTCGATCACCTTCCGTTGAACTTGAACTGGCCATCCTGAGTCGTAACAAATCTCGTGGGCGCGTTATTCCTCTTGCTGAGCGTGGGGGTTGGGGCAGTCGCGGACACCACCCAGGAGCCGANNCACAGAAGGGGGAGGTACATGGGGGCAAAGGGGGAGGAGCGCGGGCGGCGAAGGCTCATCTGGCCGGAATTATATATTTTATGACAAGTTCGGCGATATGTTCACATGCCTTGGCAGTGTGTACTTGCAGCTTGAAACAAGGGCCGATGTCCATCAGTTGGACAGTCAAGAAGCGACGGCATGTGGACCAGATAACCATCATTCCTCATCTGTGGATAGACCGCCGGGCACGGAGGATAGCGCCCTCTTCTCACCCGAAACTGTGCTAAAAATGTCTCTAATTCGGACCCTTGGACATGCCCCAGCCTCATGGGGGATCATGGGCGACGACGCGGCGCGCGACTTTGATCCTGGCTAAGATTGGCGCCCGTCCATGTGACCGGGCCAGCCGTGTCGACAGTCCCAGGCCCGCAGTTAAAAGTTTCACTTCTCCTCCATGTTCAGACCAGTCCTTGCCCGCCCATGCATCCGGAGACGTTGCACCATCACACCGCCGCGTCTCGCTAGCCGCACACAGCACACACCGACCACCCGATATGCACCGCCCGCCACGGAGGCAATTCCTGCGCGTCCCCCGGACTCCGCCTTCTTCGTTTTCCTCAAGCAGTACCTCAAATACACGCTCACGGGCATCGTCGTATGCGTCGCAACTGCAGGAACGATATGGGAAGGCACCCATCTCCTCGCTGAACACGTAGCTATGGCCCCCGAGATCGACTCTGAGATCAACAAGTGGGAGTGGGACGTGCTGGAGAACGACTGGACTGGCGATCCCCTCGTCGGAGGTACGGATCCATCCTTGGGTTTCTGGGCCCGTCATTTTGTCCGTGCAGCCTGGATGTTCCATTATGAAGAAAGAACTCCAAAAAATATTGTGGGTACAGCAGACCCATCCAAGACCAATCAAGAACCTCTTCACCGTTCTGATGAACGTCTCAACAAGGTCGAAAATAACTTACGTGATACCATCCAACGCATCGAAGCTAGTCCTCCTTCGAGCATTCGGCCACACACACTCCCTACGCTTCTCCTGCGTCATGCAGAGGTTCTGGAGCACTTTGGTACCCAGAGTCTCCAAACTGCAATTGACGAATACGAGCGTGCATGGAGCTCCTTTACGGACCCCGTTCACAAGGCATATATAGCCTGGAAGCTGGGAAACGCTAACAGCCGTCTCGATCGCGACTTTGCTGCTCGCGAATGGTGGAGTAGATCAGTGCAACTTTGTCAGAGTTCCGATTTAGGCCACCATTCGGCAATCCCGAAGTCCCCTTTGGCACAGCGTATACTTTTTTCGACCCTCGTTTCACAGTCTGCGCATTTAGCACGATCTGGGAAGCTCCAGGAAGCCCAAGGCCTGGAAGAATCCACCCTTGCCCTCCTTCGATCGATTCAGTCACCTGCTACCATTGCCTCCGCCACTCCTCCAGAATCTCTTCACTTTTTGTATCTCCTCCAACGTTCCTCTCTTCTCTCCATCCACTTGGCAGAAGTCTTACATGCGCAAAATCGACCAACATATACGAGCGTCCAATGGCTTACCTCGGCCGCGGAATCCTCAGAACGTGTGGCGCGTGCCCTTACTATACCCCAACTCCATTTAACGGACTCTGATCAACTCAGGAACACGGAGAAGCTTCTTCCCTCGTACTCCTCCTCAAAATCCATGAACGTCGCAGCTTCAGAATTGCTCAAGGATGCAAGAAGGACTGCGGCCGATGCGTGGAACCTGATGGGCATCTTACACGAGACCCAGGAAGGTACCAAATCTCGCTCGGCGTTGAACTGTTTTGAGCATGCCGTAAGATGGGCAAGCACGGGAAACAAAAACGATAACAAGGCAAACGCGAGCCCGGCTGATTACATCTTGGAATCGGATTGGAATATATATTGGGACAACTATGAGCGCGTAAAGAGCACCTTGGAGAAGTCCGACCAGAAATGACGGGTTCACGCAATATTGTTATCAACCCTATGCCCACATGAAGCTCCCCGACAGTCCGTCCAGTTTCTTGACTCCCACTGACCCACACATCCTTCGTCGTCTGTAAGGATTAAGCTGCTTCATAATAATAGATGCTCGTTGTCCTCACGGTCTATAAAGGGATCGCCGTTCATGTCTTAATGAAATTCGACAGCACAATCGCACGGAAAGGATAAGGAGAAATAGACGGGGAATAATAGGCTCGGCTGGTGTCATATGGACACATAACCTATTAGACGAAGCTTCTCCCGTGCAAGGGTGATAATCTTCCGGATCGCTCTCATGCGAGCACAGTACAACCGTCCGTCGGCCTCGATGTTCCTCATCGTGTAAACCGCGAAGCCCGATGAGTTCTAGCACCAGTCGAGCGCCTTGGTCAAAGCCTGTCAAAGCTTGTGGAGAAGTGACCACTCGATGACTTCCTTTGTTAAGATGCTCCCTGAGGAGGTCTGACTTGCGTTGCGTCTTCCTACGGACACAGAATTGAGAACGTTTCGCGAAGCGAGGCCTGGACTCCGGAGACTTGAAGCTTGAAACTTGACAGAGCCGCTTTGACCGAAGTAAGTAATCAGCCGCCGAAGAAGTCCTGACTTGGGACTTAGCATGTAGACGAAGAATTCGCTTGGATGATTGCATTGGTTGCCCACCCTGTTCTTTATGATCCCTGGCTGGGCACGGCTATGCTGTTCTGTATGATTCCTCGAAAGGAGGTTTCGCCTACTTGAGCTCCTTCCTGAAGACCGTGTAAACGGAACAAAGGTAAGTAAGACAGTTTCTCAAGAGAGCTTCTCTAGTCAAGTGTTGTCGTTTCTTGAAGAGCTCTAAGCAAACTGTGCGGACCAATAAGGTTGAACGGAGGCCCGGCGTGTCATTGGTGATATAATGTGCGCAAGGAAACGATACCAAAGATATCATGTCCAAACGAGAAAGGCATGGTTCCAGTTCAGAACACCTCCAGAGTCTGAAGACGTGGAACTATGCGGGTATTGCTTCCAGTAATAGGCGAATATGCCATGAGCGAGTTGAAGAGGATGAGCCAACCAGCGAATCCGATGACAACATTGGGAAGAGGAAAGAAAAATCGTTGGGGACGACACGTCTTTATCTTGATCTCCCATCTTATCATTTACGACCCTCTATCACCTGCTCGATAAAAGCCGAAGCAAGTATCCTTCAACAATATGGCGAACGCCGCCACTGTACACGCCGACAGGTTCTTCGCCGACAGGGCGGCCCCTCTTTGCAGCCTCGACATCAGCAAATCTTTCGCCCAGCTGAGGTAGGGCTTGGAATACGTCTGTGCTGATATCATTCACTGATGACTGTTCTTCAGTGAGAACGAGAAGAAGTATGCTCATTATATTGGACTGGCTTCGTGGGCAGGGGCGCGGATCATCCAGGGTGCGTCGTTCGCAGTCATATGTGGACCCAGCGGTCGCGCCTCTGCCGACTTCAATGCAATCTAATCGGGTTGATTAGGTCAATGGACTCCGCAGGCGCAAGACTTGTACGATTTGTTAATCTTGACGTTCAGCAATGAGCGAGGTGGTTTGGCCGATCTTGTTGCACTTCAAAACGCGTCTGGGCTGTCCGCAGAGGAGTGGGAGGATTTATTGCAGTACACCTCGCAGGTGCGTAGGGTTTTGCTGGAAATCATTGGATCGCGACGAAGTTGACGGGTCTGGGCTCAAAGATCTTTTCCAATCTCGTCAACTTCAAGACATTCGGATTTACGAAGATCATTCCCCGCGTCGCGTCTGACAAGTTCGAGGCTGTCGTCACCAACTCTTCAAACAAAGACAGGGTTGTAGCACTTTGGAACAAGGTGCATGTCGAGTGTGAATCTCGTTCCGTTTACACGCTAATTGGATCTTTTTGGTGAACAGTTGAAAGAGCACATCTATGCTACCAGCCCTGAGTCCAGTCTCTTCATTGGCAAACGCAACCTCGGTCACGTATCGAATTATTATCTCGGGGAAACAATCGACGACGAGGAAGTTGCTTCTGTCCAAGCGGCAGCTGAAAAGATTGGCGTCGATGTCCTGAACACGAGGTTGGTCTCCGATCTGAGGCATGTACACCTGACAATGACTGAGGCTGCCTATTACGAAGGGTGGTCAAGAACGGTCCTAACGATTACACTCTCCTGGTGGCATCAGCACAAACTCAACCACCTGCACTTCATGATATCGAGGCAAAACAGGGTGGTAAAGCTAAATTGAACGTCCAATATGGAGATTTCTCTGAGGCTCTGGCGAAGGTGGTCGAGGCTCTCAAGGAGGTACGAAAGCTCGCCCGTGCTCTCCCTGGAACCTCATTAAATCCGTAGTGCCTAGGCCAAGAAGTACACGGCAAACGATAACCAGACCAAGATGATTGAAGGTTACATTAAATCGTAAGTCCAGGAAGTCTCTGCCAAGTTATTTGCCGTGTAATACATGCCATTTTTGTTACAGCTTTGACACAGGTTCCATCCAAGACCACAAGGACGGGTCAAAATGGTGGGTTAAAGATGTTGGCCCCGTGGTTGAGTCGTACATTGGAGTAAGTAGGCTACCCTTGCAGTCGTCAAACCAAGCCTGACGTGAGTTCTAGTTCATTGAAACCTATGTCGACCCTTACGGCGGGCGTGCTGAATGGGAGGGTAATAGGCGTTCACTTCCCTTGTGTCCTGTCATTAATCACTAGACCGACTCGACTGGCAGGTTTCACGGCGATTGTGAACAAGCAGCTAAGCGCCAAATACGAGACCCTCGTCAACGATGCTCCAAACCTCATCAAAGTTTTGCCTTGGGGCCCGGACTTCGAAGTCGATGTCTTCCGCAAGCCCGATTTCACCGCGTTGGAAGTTGTGTCCTTTGCAACCGGTGGTATGTGATCCTGGGTTATCTTCCCTAGGCTGAATCTGAAATGTTTGTTCAGGGATACCTGCTGGAATTAATGTACGTCCCTTCTTGCTCGTGCTTTACATGCAATAGTTTAATGCCTAATCTCGTGCTCTCTGAAGATCCCGGTAAAGACACCCTCAGGTGCTTTTCGGTCCCCTCGTCATTTACACCGCTCTAGAATTATTACGACATCAGAGAATCGACTGGTTTCAAGAACGTTTCATTGGCAGTATGTTTTGCCTTCCTATTCCTTATACCCTTCGGAAATGACCTCGCTTGTCAGAATATCCTTGCAGCGAAAGCGCCTAGTAAGCGGACTACACCGGCCTCCAAATATTTTTGGTTAAATGCCGGGGCACCGCAGACGAAGAGTTGACTTTCATACACCCGGATGACGTCGCTCTCTACAACGCCTGGGACAGCCGGGCATTTGAGCTTCAGGTAGCCAACCACGAACTACTTGGCCATGGATCTGGCAAGCTTTTCGAGGAGGGTGCCGACGGAAAATTGAATTTCAATATCGACAAGGTAGGCATGCCTCTCAGCCTTCTTCCCTGCATCTCCACACCCTCATTACCCTCCTACATGCAGGTTGTTAACCCCCTGACTGGCGAAAAGATGTGCGCGTAGCCGATATTAACTTGTCCGATAAACTCATCCACGTTTCGCCGCAGCACGTCGTGGTACAAGCCTGGCCAAACCCCAGGATCTGTTCTGGGAGAGGTGTCGTCTTCGATGGAGGAATGTCGCGCGGAGACAGTCGCACTCTACTGTGAGTGGCCAACCCGTTGTCAGACGCTCGGCAATTGGATCGTTAACCCCGGATCTCTCTCGATAAGTGGTCAGCAATCCTGATATTCTGAAGATATTCAATGTCAGGAGGAGAACCCTTATTTGCCTTACTTCGTCGCCTGACCTATCGGAGGCTGATTGGATCTTTCTGTTTCGCGTTAACAGTACACCGACAAAAAGGAGATAGAGGAGATCCAGTATATCACGTTCCTGCTCATGGCGCGAGCTGGTTTGAGGGCCCTGGAGTTCTACGACCCTACGACGAAGAAGCACGGTCAGGCGCATATGCAAGCTCGGTGCGTATTTAGATGTCTTTCTATGAGTCTCTAGTTATTAATATCGTCGTTAATGCGCAGGCTTGGGATAACGCAGCACCTCATCCAGTCAGGGATCGCCCGCCTGGAGGAGGTCCGCGACGGCAGCGGCAAGCTCGAGAACCTCTACGTCAGGGTAAGCGATACTACGTCTTTCTCTCTGGCTCGAAATAGCCTCGACAGGTTGGTTCGCTGACCCACATTGTTCTTGTTCCGATTTTCACAAGGTCGACCGCGAGCTCGTGCTGTCAAAGGGAAGAGATGCCGCAGGCAAGCTGCTTATCGATCTCCAAGTTCGCAAGAGCACCGCAGACGCCGCAGGGGCCCGCGAGTTCTACAACACCCTGACGGCGCCGATCCCTGGTTGGGAAGGCGAGATCAGGAACCTCGTCCTGCGGAAGAAATTGGTTTGTCTTTTCTGTCTTAATATTTGATCCCTTTGAGTGACAGCTGACCTCGGTGCTTCTCGAATCTCAAGCCTCGTAAAATTTTCGTACAACCGAATACCTTCTTGGAGGGAGATAAGGTCGTCTTCAAGGAATACCCGCTGACCTGCGCTGGCGTCATCGAGAGCTTCATCGAACGGAAGCTATAGGACCTTGACTGGATGTAGGGACCGATGTATAATTTAGTGGATAACATGTGCACTCTATGGGTAAATGAGATGAAAAAGGGATGATGTGGTGCAATACAAAGTGCAATGTAATGTAGAATATGGGTGTATACAATGAGTGAAAGATGTGATGTGCGCCGATGGGTAACATGTGCGATGGAAGGTTATAGCTAAAAAAAAAAACTTGAAAGCAACGGAGTCGAAGTTTGCTGTAAAAAATTGCATGGGTCATGACGTTTCACGAATCAGACCAACAATGACGGTCACACTGTTTTGGAACGGGGAAACGTAAGTCATGGGTTATAGGAAGGGTGAGAGGAGAAAGATCCACGAACTCGTCTGGTTTCTGTAAGGAAAAAAAGGGTCAGCACCAGATTCGACAACAATTATTCGTCACCGAACTCACTCCTCCTCGAAAGTACATTCCCTGACGTGAGGCATCGCCTAGCAGAGATCGTTTCAGTGTCAGCTACGGAGTAAGGTGGCCAGGATAAGGACGCACGTTCGAATGGGCTGACCCTGGTCTTGCTCTTCATGCATTGCCGTGCATACTCGACCATCCGGTCTGCCATGTTCTGGACTTGCTCGTCCTCTGTCCCGCCTGTACGCGCGACTAGGGAGCAGATTGTCACCATCTCGGAGGGAAAGACGTTGTCTGAGAAGCCGTCTGTCTGTCGAAAAGAAGGAAAAAGTGATTGGTAAGGCAATATTTAATCAAGACGGACAACGAACGCACATATGCCACGACGATATCACCATCCCGCAGCTTCGTCTCATACGTATCCGCCTCCCCAGGTGAGTCGACGCATGCTCTGGCGAACTTGCGTCCGGCGTTCGCGGGTAGTTTCGTCAGTTGTCTGTTTCAAGTTGGTTAGGTGCGTTTCGATGACACAAGGACGACGGGTAAGATAATAGAATAAGTGTACTGACTTTGGGCAGTTGAAGAAGTGTGTTTGGGCGCGTTGTCGATGGATGACGGACGTCGAGCGGATTATTGAGTAGCCGCTGTCGCCGAGGCTGAGAAGACGAGTACCGCGTTCAGAAATGTGGGTGGACGGAGAGAGAATGGCACGTACTTTGCAGAGCGCAGAACACCCGAAGAGGCATTCAGACTAATGATGCACGCCGTACTCGACCCTTCACAAACCCAAATACATCCCTTCAACCAAACCCCCCAGGAAACCACTCGACAAACTCACCTGCTTGGACATACTTCTCCCTCAACACACCGCCATACGCCAAATCCAGGCACTCGAACGGGGTCATCTCCCAGCCCTCGATCTGCTCGCGCTCCTCGTAGTCCATGGTAGGGTCGATCTCTGGCTCGCCGGCCCAGGCGTTGCGGGAGTAGCGGTGGGCGTGGTACATGAGGGCCTGGGAGAAGAGCGCGGGGTCGTAGCCGCTATCGACCCACCCGCCTACGCCGTCGGCGACACCGAAGGAGACGCCCTCGAGTGTCAGGACGCGAGTTAGTTGGGAGGTATGAGGAGGAGGGGAGGGGGACTTACTGATGAGTTACGCATCTGGGGGGGGAGGCGGGAAGGGAAAAAAGCGCGTTAATTACGTTAAAGAGATTGGATTTTGGGTTTAGACGAACGAGGAATTGTGGGGTGGACCCACAACCCCAACTTCCTTGCCCAAGACCAAGAACCATAAACCAAGAACTCACCTCCTGCACGAAGAAAAAATCCTCTCCCGCGTCCGCACTGCGCACCGACCGAGGACGCGTGAGGGTCTTGTCGCGCCACGCGCCGATGAGCGTGTCGGGGGGGAAGGGCACCTTCTCCTTTGGCATCTGGTACATGGGATCCGCAGGCTTGCCGGCCCAACTGGCGCCAATGTGGAATGTGTATGGCCTGTGCGGCGGTGTTGGTGGTGTTGGTGGCTGAGCAGGCTCAGGAAATCCTGTGCGTGTGTAGGTGGAAGGTGAGGTAGAGGACGAGGAAGGTCGGGTTGCGTAGAGCCTCAGGCGCGTCGGACGTGGCGCTCTTTTGATGATCTGCCGCGCGAGGGCGGGGCGGTATGTTCTGAACGCAGACGCGAGCGAACGCGGGACCATTGGAGTGAGCATCAGGTATAGGCTAAGAGATCTTGGAGGGGAGGGTGTTGTACGACTCTGCTGTGGTTTTGATGACGTTCGTCAGAGTTATTTCTTTTCGTAAGTACATGTCACGTGATCGATACAAATCTACCTATTGCACCCGAATCGTCCTCCCTTGCTCGAGCTCCAACCTTTCCAGTCAAATGGCTTCACGCCCACATTCTCCTTCGTCTTCACCTTTGCCTTCTTCTTCGCACTCCCACCACCGCCACCACCACTCGCGAGGCTACTTGTGCTCGAGGCCCTCTTCAAGCTCTTCTCAAGCTCTTTCTCCTTCTTCAGCGCCTCCTTCCTCAAGTCAGCCGACAGGACCGGGACCTGCACAGCTGATATCGGCTTGAGCACCTTGTCACTCGCAACCTGACTGACATCGACGTCGCTACGCCCCGGATCTCCACGACCGCCCCCATCCCCACTTCCGACGTTTTCCAGTTCATCTCGAGAGCTGAAGCTAAAGCTGGCTCTGGGTCTTACCCGAGGCCTATTCTCGTCGCGGCACATCAAAGATGCAGAAGGTGGTGGTGTTCGTTTATCGTTTGTGGTATTCTTGCTGCTGGTATGCGAAGAAGAGGATCCGCCGAGAGACAGGTGCGGGTGTGCGAGTGCGAATTCGACAGGAGTCGGATGAGGAGGATCACGGGAAGTTGACGCAGAGGCGAAGGAAGGCAGAGAGACTGGCAAGGACGGACGCTTCCGGAACGGGTTCCTCGACGCCTGCTTCTGTCCTTGCACAAGAGGTTGAGTAAACGTCGACTCCTTCCACCCACCCCCACCCCTTCTCCTCTCCACCTCCCGCCTCGCACTCTCCTCCAACCTCCTCATCCCCTCCGCCTTCGCGCCCCTCCGATCCACCCTCGCCAGCGCCTCGCCCCTCACAGCAGCCAAGTTCCGCTCTCTATGCTGCCTCGCCTCCCTCTGCTCTTCCCGCCGCCTCGCGAGCGTCTCTGCGAGGAAGCTGAAGGGCGGCGGGGGCCGGAAGAGCCGGAGGGAGGCGTCGTGCCGGTGCCGGTCAGGTTGGGACGTCCATTCCGTCTTGGTGCGTGGGCAAGGGCGGTTGGCGTTGGAGGTGGATGTAAGGGAGAGACGCGCTGAGGAGGAGGAGGGGTGAGGTGGGGGTCTTGGGAGGGGTTGGTAGAATGATGCGGGGGCAGCGGCGGGGAGTAGGGGTCGGAGGTTGGGTGCGGGACGCGTTTCAGGCGCTAAGGATGTGGGGCCCGGTACAGGTGGCGTTACTGGTGGCGTATTGGCGCGTGGATTGGCGCTATTACTAGCAGCACCCATGGGCCTAGTCGACGCGGTGAGGCCACCCGTCGCCGTCGCCGTCAACGCCCCCATTCGCGCTGACACGCTATTCATCCCTCCATCATCGGAGGCTCTCGTGTCCCCTGCCCGCGTCAAAGCCGCAGTGTCACCCCGTGTTCCACCTGCAGGGGTTGACAGACGACCCTGTCCGGCGGGCGCTCGATCAGACGCGGGGGTAAGGCTAAAAGGCAAACGGTTTGTCAGATTTGTCGTCGGGGGTCTCGGGGCAGGAGTGAGGGCATCTGAGATTGGGATGGAATTCCGATTGGAACTTGAGGAGGAGAGGCGAGTGGGTCCAACGCTAGTGCTAGCGGCGGAGGTGGAGAGGCCCCGGTTAGGTGTGAGGGATAAATTTGTAGGTGATGGAGTTTTGGGGCCAGAAGCGCGTAAGGTGGGTCCTGCTGAGGCAACCGCGCTGATACGCGTCATTTTCGACGAAAGGTCGCTTGCAGCCTTTTGCTAAGTCATCCCGCGACGCGTTAGTCAAAGCCAAAAGGTAATGAGGAGTGTCAGCACATACGCGTAAGTAGTCGCGCCTGCTGCTCTCTTCTGACTGTTCGTCCACATCCCAGCCACGAGCTTCCATTCGATCCTGTCTGTCGTACCATGCTTGTTTGTTACGCGCGTGTTTGATCTCGTCATCCCGCGCCTGGATTTGTTGGTCGAGGATGTGCGTGATGCCGACGCTGACGCGACTGTTATTAGATGGGATGACGACGAACGCGTCTTGCGGCGCGACGGTGGGTGCTTTTGGCGCGTGGTGGGTAGGTCGGTGGTAGAGGGTGTTGATGTGGATAGTATACGGGTTGGAAGAGGAGTGGAGGTTGATTTGGAAAGATTGGAGGGTGGCTAAGGCGTCTCGGATGGGTGTTGGGTGGAACAGGTCGTCTTCATCGGATGGACGGAAGAGTGAAGTGGAATTATGAGTGCATAAAGTACCACGTAGATCTGTTTCCTTGTCAGACAAGGTCGAATATAAGGGCCATACGCTCACCTAGCGCTGAAAGCAAAGGAAACTTGTTGATGGAGGAAAATACATCATTGGTGATCCTTCTACAACCTCTGAGAGACAGGACACGGAGGTACCAAGGACCTCGACAGCTTGGCACGTTTGCATCGTCAGCTTCTTCGAACTGGAGTGTGGCCGTGAGTGTTTTCACGCCGTAGGCGGTCAGCGCGGTCTCCGAGGCATCAAACGCGGTGAGAGCGTGCAAGAATTTGAGCTGGAGGACCGTGTCATCTGTTAGCTGGTCGCAGGCCGGGAGTTCTAAGACGGTGACGAGGGAGAACGAAGCAGAAGGGGGAATAGATTGGAGCAAGGGGAGATGAGTGTCGGCGAGAGGGATGGTGTAGGAAGCGAAGGAGCGCGGAAGGGAGTCGTAGACCTGGACGAGGGTGGCCCAGAGGCGGGGGTCAACGACGGCGGGGTCAGGGACGAGGTCGTCGATGAGTGCACGTGCACGGTGTGGTCGGAGGATGAGGCGGACAGGGAGCTGGTGGACCTGCTCGGGGAAGGGGACAAGTGCGCGGATGCACAGGCTCACGAGCGACGGTACGCGTGTCGTCGGCTCCTCTGTCGTGTATGTGTACGGGCCGGGTATGTACGGTGGAGGGTGGGTGTCGAGCAGGTCGCCCTCTGCGCTGCAGGTGCGCGTCGGGCAGAACAGCATTGGGCAGAACGCGCCGCGTGACAGTTGGTCACAGTGAGACTGGGGATGTTCCCACGGTGCTGTTGTTCTGCTCTAGCGGCGGGCTTGGCGTGGTGTCTGTTTCCTCATCACCCTGGTATTGACGACCACTGGCCCCCACTCCCGAACCGACCATTTAACGCTCTTTTCTCCTTGCCTCTCTCTAGCCCCCCATGCCCCCTGTGGCCTTTCCCCGGCCTGGGCAGGACCCCCGCTCCTACCCCTTCGCTCACCAGCAGCAGCCCCAGCAGCCCCAGCCCCAGCCCCAGCCCCAGCCCTACTACCCTCGCCGTGACGACGACCAGGACTCAGATGCCGGCGACCACTATTCCATGAACTCTAGCACCGCTCGCCTCGCTGGCGCGCCCCCCTTCTACGACCAGTCAGGTTCGTATCCCTTTTTTTGTCCTAGTTCACCAGCTCACCACTATCATTTTCTCACAGCTGACGGCTCAGAGTATGGCGGCCGTCGCTACAACCCGTCCGTCGACTCCCATTCGAGTATACCCAGCATTTCGCCGTTCGCAGACCCTGGTTTGGCCTCCGCAGAACACTACCCCGCCTGGTCCGCAGACCGTCAGATACCCATGTCCGCCGAAGAGATAGAGGATATCTTCCTTGACCTCACCCAAAAGTTTGGCTTCCAGAGGGACTCTATGAGGAACATGGTATGCACTGACTTATCGCGCTTTCTTCTGTGTTTCTGACCGCCTTCGTTCTCCAGTTCGATTTCACCATGCACCTCCTTGACTCTCGCGCGTCTCGCATGTCCCCCCACCAAGCTCTGCTGACTCTCCACGCTGATTACATCGGCGGCCAGCACGCCAATTACCGCAAGTGGTATTTCGCTGCTCAGCTCAACCTCGACGACGCAGTCGGCCAATCCCAGAACCCCGGTCTCCAACGTCTAAAAAGTGTCAAGGGCGGCTCAAAACCAGGCTCAAAATCCCTCGACACCGCACTCAATCGCTGGAGAAACGCCATGAACAACATGTCCCAGTACGACCGCCTACGCCAGATTGCGCTATACCTCCTCTGCTGGGGCGAGGCAGGCAACGTCCGCTTCGTCCCCGAGTGTCTCTGCTTCATCTTCAAGTGCGCCGACGACTACTACCGCAGCCCTGAATGCCAAAACAAGGTGGAGCCTGTCCCAGAGGGCCTCTATCTCCAAACTGTCATCAAGCCACTGTACCGTTTCATGCGCGATCAAGGTTACGAAGTTGTTGATGGCAAGTTTGTCCGCAAGGAAAAGGATCACGCTCAGATCATTGGTTACGACGACATCAACCAGCTCTTCTGGTATCCCGAAGGTCTGGCGAAAATTGTCGTTCGTGGTGGTGTACGTGGTTCTATGCCGTTACGTTTGCATCTGGCTAACCGTTTTCCAGCAACGCCTCGTGGATATCCCACCTGCCCAACGGTTCAATAAGCTTAGTCAGATCGAGTGGGACCGCGTCTTCTTCAAGACGTACTTTGAGAAACGGTCCATTGCGCATCTTCTCGTCAACTTCAACCGGATATGGATCCTACACGTCTCCATCTACTACTTTTACACAGCCTTCAACTCGCCCAAGGTGTATGCTCCTCGCCTGAAGAACAACCCCTCTCCACAAATGACCTGGTCTGCTGTCGCCCTTGGTGGTGCCGTATCAACTACAATCATGATCCTCGCCACTATCGCAGAGTTTTCGTACATCCCTACTACCTGGAATAATGCCTCGCACCTTACTACCCGCCTTATCTTCCTCCTCGTCATCCTCGCTCTCACCGCCGGCCCGACATTCTATATTGCCATGGTTGACGACCTTCCAAATCAGACCCAAATACCACTCATCCTTGGTATCGTCCAATTCTTTATCTCCGTTGTGGTCACACTCGCGTTTGGTATCATCCCGTCTGGGAGGATGTTCGGAGACAGAGTGGCAGGGAAGTCACGCAAGTACATGGCATCGCAGACGTTTACAGCATCCTATCCCACCTTGCCCCGCAGTGCCCGTAGCGCGTCGATCACGCTTTGGATCCTCGTTTTTGGTTGCAAGTTCGTCGAGTCGTATTTCTTCTTGACCTCGTCCTTCAGCAGTCCCATCGCTGTCATGGCGCGCACCAAAGTCCAAGGATGCAACGACCGGTTCTTCGGCGAAGCCCTGTGCACGAACCAAGTCCCCTTCACCCTCGCCATCATGTACGTCATGGACCTCATCCTCTTCTTCCTCGACACGTACCTCTGGTACATCATCTGGATCGTCGTGTTCAGTATCGGCCGCTCCTTCGCGTTGGGCCTGTCGATCTGGACGCCGTGGAAGGACATCTACACCCGCCTGCCCAAGCGCATCTATGCGAAGCTCCTCGCGACGGCCGAGATGGAGGTCAAGTACAAGCCCAAGGTCCTGGTATCACAGATTTGGAACGCGATTATTATTTCGATGTACCGCGAGCATTTGCTGTCGATTGATCATGTGCAGAGGCTGTTGTATCATCAGGTGGACGGACCGGATGGGAGAAGGACGTTGCGCGCTCCGCCGTTCTTCACGAACCAGGACGGTGCTGGGTTCAAGGGCAACTTCTTCCCTGCTGGTGGAGAGGCTGAGCGTCGAATTTCATTCTTTGCTTCCTCGCTGACCACTGCACTTCCCGAGCCCCTTCCCGTTGATGCTATGCCTACATTCACCGTCCTTGTTCCTCATTATTCGGAGAAGATCCTGCTCAGTCTTCGTGAGATCATCAGGGAAGAGGACCAGAACACCCGCGTCACGCTGTTGGAATATCTCAAGCAGCTACACCCAGTTGAGTGGGATAATTTCGTCAAGGACACCAAGATCCTTGCGGAAGAGACCGAGGGAGATGGCACGAGCACCACGAATGAGAAGGCTTCCAAGACGGACGATTTGCCATTCTACTGCATCGGTTTCAAGACCTCGTCTCCGGAATACACCCTCCGCACGCGTATTTGGGCCTCGCTTCGTGCTCAGACCTTGTACCGTACGGTTTCTGGTATGATGAACTACTCCAAGGCCATCAAGCTCCTTTACCGCGTCGAGAACCCTGACATCGTGCACAACTTTGGCGGCAATACCGTACGGCTTGAGCGCGAGCTTGAGAGAATGTCGCGCCGCAAGTTCAAAGTATGCATCTCCATGCAGCGGTACTCGAAGTTCAACAAGGAGGAGCAGGAGAACGCCGAGTTCTTGTTGCGCGCCTACCCTGATCTACAGATCGCGTACCTGGATGAGGAGCCGGCTGCCAAGCAGGGTGGAGAGGCGCGGTTGTTCTCAGCGCTCATCGACGGACACTCCGAGTTGGATGAGAAGACAGGCAAGAGGCGCCCCAAGTTCCGCGTCGAGCTGCCCGGTAACCCCATTCTCGGAGACGGCAAATCGGATAACCAGAACCACGCGATGATCTTCTACCGCGGCGAGTACCTCCAGCTCATTGACGCCAACCAGGACAACTACTTGGAAGAGTGCATCAAGATCCGCAGCATCCTTGGCGAGTTCGAGGAGACGTCCGTTTCTGGCCAGAGCCCGTACGCGCAGTGGGGCCACAAGGAGTTCCAGAAGTCCCCGGTCGCCATCGTCGGTACGCGCGAGTACATCTTCTCAGAGAACATTGGTGTACTGGGAGATATCGCTGCTGGCAAGGAACAGACGTTCGGTACGCTGACTGCTCGTGCCCTCGCGTGGATTGGCGGCAAGCTGCACTATGGACACCCCGATTTCCTTAACGCGACGTTCATGAACACGCGCGGCGGTGTCTCGAAAGCGCAGAAGGGTCTCCACTTGAACGAGGATATTTTCGCTGGCATGAACGCCTTTGGACGTGGGGGGCGCATCAAGCATTCGGATTACTACCAGTGTGGCAAAGGCCGTGATCTCGGTTTTGGCACGATTCTCAATTTCCAGACGAAGATCGGGACGGGTATGGGTGAACAGCTGCTCAGTCGCGAGTACTATTATTTGGGCACGCAGCTCCCGATCGACCGCTTCCTCACGTTCTACTACGGGCATCCTGGATTCCAGATTAACAATATTTTGGTCATTTATTCGATCCAGGTGTTCATGGTGACTTGTGCGTCTTTTTGGTTTTCATCCGCCGTCTTGTTGGCTGACATTCTTCATTCGCTAGTGCTCTTTATCGGTACGCTCAATAAGCAGCTGGCTATTTGTAGAGTGGACGACCTGGGCAACGTCATTGCTGGGCAACAAGGCTGCTACCATCTTATCCCGGTATTTGACTGGATTAGACGCTGCATCATTTCTATCTTCTTGGTTTTCTTCATTGCATTCTTGCCCTTGTTCTTGCAAGGTGAGTATAAGCACAACCTTTGTCATATCAAGTTTTAGATACTGATTTCACATGTAGAACTTGTGGAAAGAGGTACAGGCAAAGCGCTCCTTCGTCTCGGCAAACATTTCTTGTCTTTGTCGCCGATTTTCGAGGTCTTCTCCACGCAGATCTACTCCAACGCCGTCTTGAGCAACTTGACCTTTGGTGGTGCTCGATATATTGCCACTGGTCGTGGATTCGCGACAACGCGCATCTCCTTCAGCATCCTCTACTCTCGTTTCGCAGGCCCTAGTATATACATGGGTATGCGGAACCTTCTCCTCTTGCTCTACATCACGATGGCCATTTGGATCCCTCATCTCATCTACTTCTGGCTATCTGTCCTCTCGCTATGCGTCGCGCCCTTCTTGTTCAACCCCCATCAATTTTCGTATTCCGACTTCATCATCGACTATCGCGAGTTCTTACGATGGATGTCGCGCGGCAACTCGAGAACGAAAGCGAGCAGCTGGTATGGATATTGCCGTTTGTCGAGGACGATGATTACGGGTTACAAGAAGAAGAAACTTGGGCATCCCTCGGAGAAGCTGTCGGGCGACGTCCCTCGTGCGACATGGAGGACGGTCATTATCTCAGAAATCATCTGGCCCGTTTGTGTTGCCATAGTCTTCGTCATCGCCTATATGTTCGTCAAGTCCTTCCCCGATGAGAATGGAAACCAGCACCCGAGTCCTCTCATCCGTATCGGTCTTGTTGCTATCGGGCCCGTCGTGTGGAATGCCGCTGTGCTTATTTCCCTGTTCTTCATCGCGCTCTTCTTGGGCCCAATGATGGAATCATGGACCAAGTTTGGATCGGTGATGGCGACACTCGCGCACGTATCGTGCTTGGTTGGACAGATCGCCTTCTTCGAGTTCTTCGTAAGTGGTGCTGCGTACAACTTCCTTATTTTCATTGACAGTCTGTTTCCAGTGGTTCCTCGAACTGTGGGACGCCTCGCACGCTGTCCTTGGTGTCATCTGCATGATCGCGATCCAACGGACCATCTCGAAGTTCTTCATCGCCGTCTTCCTCACTCGTGAATTCAAGCATGACGAGACCAATCGTGCTTGGTGGACAGGTAAATGGTATGGTCGTGGTCTTGGAAACTCTGCCATGTCGCAGCCTGCTCGTGAATTCATCGTCAAGATCGTAGAGATGTCGATGTGGGGAACTGACTTCCTACTGGGACATATCCTCCTCATTATCCTGACACCACCAATCCTGATCCCTTATGCCAACACGCTGCATTCCACGATGCTCTGTACGTCGCCCTTTTTACGCTCGAATTCAGGTTTCTGATATTTCTTCTTTCAGTCTGGCTTCGACCCTCGAAGCAGATTCGCCCCCCTCTGTTCTCCACAAAACAGAAGAGACAGCGCCGGTGGATCGTCGTCAAATACACCGTGGTTTATGTCATCATGGTCGCTCTGTTGGCGTCCTTGATCGTTTTGCGTAAGCTTTGTTCACTGGCCATCCCTTAACATTGTACTTATGATCGCTTTCCAGCTGCGCTCTTCCGAGACCACATCAACTTCGACTGTTCTCTCTGCAGGAATATCTAACAATCTAACGCACATAACAAGACCGCATTGTGAAATAGCCTACACATATACACACTTTACGCCGCAAATCTTTTATGCACCCCACAGCTACCAGGGACTTCCCACCTTCTTGTACTATCATACTTAACCTAGACATCCTTAGTTCCGTGGTGTGATGAACAATAATTGGGATGGGCCTCGTCCACCTCACAGTTCGTCACCTGCTAGCACATTCTTTCAGACGACGCGCTTCTTCGATTCGTGCTCCTAACGAGTCGCCACTCGTTTGCTTTGATTTATGTAAATTGGGCTTATGAATTCACTTTTTTTGCATCGAAATTCTGGCTTCGGTTTGTGCTGAGCAGGTAGCATGGGACCCGGTCGTCTCTCGGTCGAAGTTGTCGCCAAGCTGACCCCTGAATTGGCTTTGATCCCCATTAGGGCATCGAGAGTCGCGATTGCTGGTGTTGAGCTCTCTTACCTTCGTTGTGCCTACGTCTAATGGACTATTTCTCTAAATTTCTTCGGCCGACCGCTCAGACAACTCCAAAGGTTGAAATAGATCATGCGCAGGAGTTTCATAAGTCATGGAACTCTGTTAAGGTGAGTCCGGACAGGTTCATCGCGTGGTATTTCTCCTCCTCATTACAAAATGTAATTCACGCCATTGCCAGGACACACTCCTTATGCCAGATGAACGACAGTTAACGAAAGGAATAGCCTCCACGGATGTTCCGGCTCAATTGCGGTCTATGGTGGATTCTCTGGTCTGGGAATCGACGCGAGTGGAGGAAGGGTAGGGATTCTTTTTCCAAGGTTTCGGAGATCGTCTCAACGCGACGTTGTAGTGGTACTGGTGCTTGCTTGGAGTACCTCCTGAAAAACGGTGTGTCCGCATGATCTAATCAATGGGTATTGTATCTCATCCCTCAACAGATGTGTTGGGGACGCTCGTCCGCCTTAGTGAAAGCGATCGGCCTGCTGGAATTCAAGCAGAGGTTCTCCGTGCTGTATCAAACATGGTCGTACTATTGGACGAACAGTTTCTGGTGCATTCTGCTGTACACAAAGCCGTTCTTCGACTACTTCGCAACTGTGTGGGAGATGATATCCAGGAGCAACTAGATGGCAGAGGGAAGCCCATGGGCGCTGCTGGGAATGTCATCCGGAGTCAACCCTCAGAGCACGAAGAAGACTGTACGTCTGGTTGACCCGATCTCCGAATAAGCTAATTTTCTCTTAGTGGTCAATCTTCTGTGCATTTTGTGCAGTCGGATACGGACATATCGTGAATTACTCATGATCTTCTTTCATGACAAACACTGGTATCGTTCCGAGCCATTGTTCTCTGTCGAGGAGGAAGATGAAGATGAAGACGACGAGGACGAGGACGAGGACGAGGACAACGGGGAAGAGGATCCAGACGATACCTTGAAGGGCATCAAAATTCAAGATCCTGCAGCAAATGGACCACTAGAGTCGTCCAATGCACTTCAAGAACCAAACCCGTCCGAACAACCAGCGGCGCCTAAGAAGACAGAATATGAATTTCTCCTCTTCAACTATCTTCTTCGTTTCGTCCACAGGGAAGGTCACATCGGCGAATTCGCGCGTGCAGGCTTGCTATTCCTCATGGACGTCGCGATGTCTCCCGGAGAGTCTGATGCTGCCGGAGGAGAAAGCTCGACCGCGCCAGATCCCGTCAACGATGCTGCACTGGCGCTGGCGGAATACATCCTCGATGGTGACTTCTCGGAAGTGTTGGGAGCTGGCTTGAGCGCTGTTTACTCGCTTCTACCCTCAAAACTGGGCTTTTTCCCGCAAGCTTCCCCATCGGAGGCAGACAACTCCATGACGATCGGTGGCACCGGTCTGACCTCTGACGCCGAGATACTTGCACTCCGAGAGAAAGGCCGGGAAATGGGAATGGAAGACGCCAGAAGTCCTGAGTTCAAGGCGAAAATAGATCATTTCCTTACACTGCTCATGTTTCTTCAAGATGTTCTGCGACGAAACGTGGCGCACGACAACGTCGATGCCTCTGCCTTGGTGGGCACGGCAATTGTCCAATCCATCCTAGATGCCGTACGGCGGATTTTCCTCCAGAATGTGCTTTATCCCTCAATTTTGGAGTGCTCAGACGTGGATGGAAGCGCAGTTGCGGTCATGTCATACATTGAAATCATGGTCCGGACAATGCGCGACGGCCCGCTTGCCAATCTCTTAGTCGATTTCCTGGTCAGTGAAGACAACGATGACCCTCGTGTCAAGCAACGTCCTCAGTCTATGGTGACTTTGGGCCAAAGTAGAGGAGTATCGTCTGACGAAAAAAGGGCGAAACACCGAAGAAGGCAGAGTAGTGCAATGACACTTTTGGAAATGGAGGCGCCGGAGTCCAGAAAGCCGTCAAACTACTTCACATCAATGGGACGGTTCACTCTCAAGGACCTTCTGCTTGCCAATTTGCGGTCTAAATACCAGGCAACAGCCACGTCGGCACTGCAACTCTTCCAGACGATGCTTCTGTACCACTCTCAGTTGACTGCTGAAAGGATTCTCCTCGTCATCCCTGATTCCTTTGCAACATCCTTCCCTCATCCTGCTTTGATCAAATCACCCTCTAGTGCTCCTCTAGATTCCACCACAACCATTCAAGAGGAAGAGGAAGAGGAAGAATTTCACTACCCCGGCGTTGTGGACCCTTTCGATGACTTCGACACTTCGTTCTCCGACCGGTCACAATTCATTCAACCAGAAACGACATACTCGACGCACGAGCGCGAAACAGCGCTTTATCTCGCCCTTGTCTCGAGAGTCGATCCCTCGCGTAACGTCGATGCTGACAGCTTCAGCACAGGGTACGACCATTACCTGCATGACGCTCTGGTAACCATCCAAGCGCAGCCTGCTTATTGGAAAGCCATTGAAGAACCTGACGACACCCCAAGATTCAGGCACCGTCTTAATGTCAACGACCCCATTCTCTCTCTCGTCCTTGAATCCCTCACTACCTTCTTCTCCAACACCCCTGACTTCAACATCGGCTTGACTGGTGTCCTGTCAACATTGGCCACCCACCCTGATCGCTCGTTAGCTGGTTGGATAACATTTGCTATCAATGACGAGCAAGATACGTCCAAGAGTCGTTTTGACCGAAACGCACTTAACGGCGATGGCGATGATCGTTCAATAGACTTTAGCATAGAAGATAAACTCGCGAATGAGACGAACTATCTTCCAGCTGCCAGCATGGACGAGAATTCGCGACCTGTTGTCTACACAGTATTCCATGGCCTCGTCACACAATTGGAACGATATCGCCAGACAGTGGAAAAGTTCGACAAATTCCTTCTTGAGCGGCGGCAAGGCCTCTTGTTCTCCGAGAATCTCACAGATGCTCTGAATTTGGCTCTTGAGACGGACGAACCAAAGATGGTCAAGCCGACGCCCCAGCCTGTGCAAAAGCCGAAAAAGCCTAAGCAATCGGCGTCGTCGTCTTTCGTGTCATTCCTTACGCCCAAGAAAAATAAACCCATCAAACGAGCGCCCAAACCTGAGCCTTCGACTCCGCCTCGTAATTCCGTTCCCAAGTCCGTTTCAGCTAGTCCTTTCGGCAGCCACTACCAGCACACTGGGTCAGTCAAGGTCGAGCCATTCGTTGCGCCGGTACCGGATTCAGGTCCTTGGACACCAGCCAAATCCAAAAAGTGGGCTATCCCGGAGGAGGATGTATTTGGATCAGTGTGGACGGACAAGTCCCAGAGCCAGCAGGACAAGAAGCAGGAGGAACCCGAAAAACTCCCACCTGTAACGTTGTCGCAATTACTGGACAACGTCGTCATCCTGGAAGAGAGTATCAAGGAGCTCGTCGCGATTATCCATGCCCGAAGAAGTCTAGGGATAGATTCTTTACGTTACCTATGATAAAAATACCCTTACTTATTCATTCGTTTTCTTTGCTATTTGCTTTCATAGATATCCACAGCACAGACTATTATACTAAACTAAATGATACAAATCCCAAGATTATGACAGCAAGGTTCAACAGAACGAGAAAGCGAAATGGAGGTCTACAAGTGGGAGTTCTTTACTTCGCTTTTCGACCCTTGGCTTTCTTCTTTCCAGAAGAGTCCGACGAGGCCTTATTCTTATCTCCAAACAATTTCTCCTGCAATTTGACAAACTCCTCCTCGTCGATCTCAGGCGGAGCAGGGACGTTTGAACGTGACTTTTTCTTGGGAGAATCCTCTTCTTCGGCAGCTTCAGGACCACGTTTCTTGCCCTTGCCCTTTGTCCTAGGAGCAGGCTCCGCGTATTTAGCAGCAAGACCATCAAAGAAGTTGTTCATATTCTTCTCTTTCTTCCTCAAAATAAGCGCCTGGAGAGCGGAGTGGTCATCATCATCCTCTGCCTCCTCCTTACCCTTGTCTTTAGCCTTCCCCTTCTTGCGCTCTGTGGCTTTCCCACTCCCGTAGAACTCGTCCCACACACCGAGCTCCTTTGCCATCTGTTCAGCTTCCTTCGCCTCCTTCTCTGCCTCCTTCTTTCTGACCATTTTGGCTTTTTCGTCCTTCGAGGTCGAAACCCAAGTGGGCGTGGTCTTCAGCTGCTTCTTCCTGATCAAGTCAGTTATGATCACGATGAAGCGGGCCTCGTCTTCATGAGTCGAATGCGGGATATATGTCATCATCTCCTCAAGAGAACCATTCGTAGTGTTGTACGCCTCCTTGAGGTCCTCGATCTCTTCAGCAGAGCCTGTACAAAGCAATGAGCGCCCGCGTCTTAGATATGGCAGAACAGCGCACCTTGGTATTCCTTCTTCATTTCATCCAGTTTTCCGCGTGTGACGCGGTCGAAAAGCTCTTCGAAATATGCCTCCCACCCATCGTCGCCCGCGCCAAGCTCGAATCCTTCATCCGTCTTGCCCGTAGAATCATATCGGGCCTTCCGCTTGGGGTCACTGAGTACAGCGTACGCAAATCCAATCTGCTGGAACTTCGTCGACGCGTCCTGTTTTGCCTGGTCGCTCGCCGACGCGTGCTTGTCTGGGTGATACACGAGAGCGAGGCGACGGTACGCCTTCTTGATGGCGTCCACATTGGCGTCTTTCTCCAGAAACAAAACGGCATAGAGGTCTACCTCCTCCTCTCCAGGAAAGAACTGGGATATTGGGTCGTTGTCGTCCATTCGAAGATGATGGTTGGAGAATGAGTTGTAACTACTGTGACGGACTGACTGGACCTCGTTAAATCATTACACGTGACTGACGCGACCGCGTTGACCGGAACAGCCAGCATCCAGCCTCGTCTTCCTTGTGTTCTTAAGTCAACTCTCCATCCATCAATCTACCTACGTCGCAATAGATCCTGTTCACAGCTCTCTCTTACTTAGATATATGAGAAGTCCGGGGAAAGAGGCATGAAACTTTTGCTCAAGCTCCCCGCCCACGTCATTTAGCCCGTTAACCCACAAGGCATACCAGATACCCGCCCACGCCATTCCAAGCGAGATTCCAGCGAATACCTGCAGCCATGTGTGGTGCCCGAGCCATACTCTTGACATGGTTATTGCTGCCGCCCATGGCAGCGCGATGAGAAGCGGGGTTGCACGAATGAAAATGTCGGGTCGAAATGTCGGGTGGACCGGGAGATATGAGGATGCCAGCACGATGTACGTCGCGAAGAAGCTGATTGTCGCCGAGTGAGTGCTAGGCATACTACCGCATATCATAGAAAGGACATATCAGTCCCTCCGTGGCCAACAAGCACGACAAGGCTCGTACCCATATGATTTCTTCAACTTCCCTCTAACAACCTTCAGCGGCCGTGGCTGTCGGACGACTCTCTTCACCGCCTTCGCCAGGAAACTGCATAGCGTAGCCCCTACGGCGAAATAAGCAACACCAGCTGACTGCGTATATAGCACAAAGCAAGCCGTCAATCCCGTTACGGTGATGTTGGTCTACATAGAGACTGGTCAGCACCAGACATCGCTCGTAGATGACGAGTTAAGACCCACCTTGTCAAGGAAGGAAAGACATAGATATTTGAGTTGGGCGACCATCGGCAGCTGGTGGGCGTGAAACTGTGTGGAAGTTCAGTACGACGCCACTCGGTCAACTGCACAACTATTCTTGTCTCGGCAGCCAACATCATCTTATCTCTGATCTTTTCAACTGGTTCGCCAGGACATCTCGGAGTGATCCATCGGGTCCCGAGTGTGAGGACAGGATAGGTTATTTCCACCAAATGGTGTTATTATCCGCCTCCAACTACAGTAAGGAACATGTTGGCGGGGATGCAACGGAATCCTAGTACTAGTACTCTCTGTAAGGTCCAAAAAGATTGACATGGCATAATATAGCAAGGATATCGCAGCTACCCTCTGTCCAATCCTCTCAAAACAACAATTGGGCGGGCGTGGAGGGACGACGCAGCTGTGCGGGGAATACTAATAGCGGGGAAATAGCGGGTAAACAAAGCAAGGGTTGTGGTTGTACACATCTCAAGAAACATCAGAGCACTGTGATCATTCGATAGATATCCGTGGACCCAGTGGGACCCCGGGTTGGCTTGATTCTTTCTGACTCATGCCAGAGTTCTTTGTCGACGCTGATGGACGGATAGGCACGGCTACAAGATGATCAGCATGGACTAGACTAGGATATGTATGGAATGCTTACAGTGCACCTTGGAGGTTTGCAGTCCACGGTCGAAGTCGGAGAAGCAACGTAGGCCAACAGCGAAGGTGGCTAGTAGCAGAAGAAAGGCGATGATTGCTGGAAAAAGTGTTAATCAAGAAATAGGAACGAAGTGGAAAGTCCCTACTGAAGACAGTCAAGGTTGCGCGGGTGGTTTCATATTGTTCGCTGGAGGAAGGTTGGTAGAAACGGACGAGCTTGTATACTGTAAATTTGTCAGTCAACAGATGGATGGAGAACTATTCTAGTGCAACAACTGACAGACTAGAAGAGGAGCCAAGTCAGTACCTGTTAGGACAACACTTTCAGAACCAGCAATGCTTACAATAGCTTTGGGCCGCCAACATTAGCACCAGTGAGAGCGTCATGACGCTATGGAAATCGTTAAGTTGCCGCTTGACTGGAGGAGAGCAAACCTTACGATTTGATTTCCCTTTGAACGGCAATGCCACAGAAAATAAGCAAGAGGAGAACAACAGGTATCGCGGCAATGGTAACACCAAATTCTGCTTCATTGCGTTGGAGCACGAGAATGAGAAGCTGTGCGCGGCGTGTAAGCGAGGGATCAAATAAGGGGTCAGGAAGCCCCGCACCTGCATCGTGACCGCGGCAAAGAAGAAAAAGTCGAACTTGAGCAGACAAATCATGATCTGGTAATATTGGTACATGGCTGCGCAGGTTAAAATTAGCGACGGTAGATAGGTCCACTCCGAGGGGCCGCTTACTCTTCATCTTGGGATTTGCTCCGACTACATGGAAGATGGCCCAACTGTGCCCCGTGTAACCCTGTCAGTGGGGTTGCAATCGGAAAGGGGGAAACTGCTATGCCCACCCAAATTCACCATAGAGCTGCTTGATGAGGAACAGCATGAGAAACCATGATGCAGCGATGACACAGGGTGCAGTGATGAGGAGGGGTTGGATCTTCCGCCATAGTGTACCAGGCCCGCCACAATTCTGCCCTTTAATTAGGGAGGCGAGTAAGGCGTGAAAAATCCTTTTGGACGCACCACGTAGTTATAGGTACAGTCGTCCCCAAGAGATACAAGAGCGGACTTGGTTTGGTGTACTTGCAGAGCAGCGGAGACCATGAGTGCGGCGTGGAATACTAGTGGGGCCAGATGGATCCTTCGGTCAAATGCAGCCGCAAGGCCGCGGAAAAGACGTACTTAGCAGTCCAACGAGTTGGATAACGTTGCGGAGCCTCAAAGCATCGAAGGCCATGAACAGTTCGAATAGCCTTAGGAAGTGTAGTCAGTTCTGAGGTGAGATCGGGGAGCATGAGTGCAGCCTACTCTGCGAGCGCGTATAGGGCGAGATAGCACGGAAGAGTCTGGTGAGTTGAGAACGTCAGGATCGAGGCAGTTTCAGCTTGGAAAGTCGTAATGCCTTGTATCTCGTTTGTCGTAGAGGGACGTGTTCATCAACCTAGGAAGAAGACAAGGTTCGTGTCGCCCACAACCCCAAAGTAACGCAGGACCCACCAGACGGAAGGTCACGCCGACCAAAACCAACACCACGACAGCCTCTGTACACGTCCAATCCGTCATCGACTGCTAGACATCCACCAAGGAGAGGATTCACTAACGTATTGTCACTGGTGTACATCAAATCAGCTGGGCGTAAACGGCGGCTACAAGTGTGATGCGTGCTTACCAGTCGCAATGAACGCACGTTGTGCCCTCGTCGCAAGCAAAGGCTCTCGGGCCATCGGTGCAGAAAGGAAAGGAGAGGGTGAAGAGGATAGCGGCGCTAACGCCTGTAGAGCAGATGATAGCAGAATGGAAAGAGAAGCAACAGCCTTATAGGGCGTGTTCCCGCGCCGTGCGGCAGAGCCTCAAGTGTATGTATTCGCGGGCGTCCCCTTGGCGCGCCTTCATCGTGCATCTGGCCTAAATTGAATACTGGAAACAGAGAGCTTAGTACAGAGAGCTATACAACAGGAAAGACAATTGTCTCCCCAAGTAATTATGGCTCGAGATAATTGTGCTGATCGATCGGATCGAGGATCGACTACAACTTACTTGACTTGGAGGTCGCTGATCCTTGGACCAACAATGACGAAAGAGAAACTCGAAAGAAGACACGCTGCACTAGCATCGCATCGGGGAATTCTAAGCGCTCATGAGCTTTCTTAAGAATCCCTCCTGAATCTCACATTACGGGCAACGGGTACTGCAACGGGCCATTAGGACTCCCGATGTCAACATCACAAAGATAACACCTCAGCCTATCACTGGCAGCTCCTGGTGTAGTAAGACTATGTTACTTCTGCACATCAGTAGCTTCTGGATCTCGATTCTCAAGTGGCGCACAACAGCAGAGGGCTAGCTGGTTGAAGATATAGCATTGTACTTATGCACACCAAGGCCGTCATACTGGGAAGTCTTTACATTTGATGGCATAATTGGAAAAGTATGTAGAGGGAGAGAGCAAGAGAGAAGCCACCCCAGAATCGTGACGCTTACATACGTAAAAAAGCCCGCACCCATGTGCGGGTTTTCTTCTTCCCTCCCTACTGATAACCAACTGCAAGCCGAAGTGCCGCCCGACGACTATGTCGCCCTCCTTCAAAGTTACACTAAAGGTCCCCAGAAAGCAAAATTCTATTGACTTCAAACGAGATCAGGAAAAGCTTTTGTCGATCTAGTCGAGGTCAAAGACGGGTAATGAAGGGGGGGGAGAGGAAAGAGAAATTTACGACTGGGCCAGGAGCTGACCGATATAGCAGGGAGTCGTTGGACATGTAGAGCATAACATATAGACAAGGCAGACTCTTGCTTCTGCGAACGTCCTCGAAGACACTAGAGAGTGGAGGCGAGAGAGACAAATGTGACACCGACAGATGGTGGGTATTCAGAGGAAAGACGCAATCATATAGGGATGGGGCTTATATATCTCATCGAAGACCACTTTCTTTGGGGAAGGATCACATGAGCAATGACTCCGCGACTTGTGGGCGAGATTTCTTTGAGGCGAACGTTTTTGGTAGGCCGATTCCCAAATTAGGAACAGGCACTCGTCGGCTGCGTGGATTTCGAGAAGGCGGTGGGAAAAAGGCATACTGGCCTTACGGTATGTATGCTCTACTCTAGCAATGGTCCCGTTATATCCCTGACCTGTATGTAGGTCAGGATATATGATTCCAATTGACGAAACTAATGTTGCACTGTTTATGGTTTCGCTCGAACATTTAAGCGCGATGCTACGACAGCCTTATCAGCCCTCATACGCGTATGCACACGCCCAGCCTATTTTATTTGTCTGCCAGAGACCGCGTCAAGCATCAGAAGGGTTCGCAAACCAAAGGGGTTCATAAGTAGAACTCCTCCGCCCCATCGAGCCCCTGCATGTTATGGGTATATGACTTCAAAATTCTGCGTGATTGTTTAAACTTTCAATAACGCTTCTTGCCACATTCATCTCCTCTCGCCAGAGCGTCTCGATGAAGAGGATGCTCGAAGGCAACCACTCCTTTTGCGTGTCCAGACAGATCTCGGATACCATTGCGAGATCTCTCTGCGCATTAGTTGCCAAATCTTCGCACATGTCGCGCAGTGTCATCTTCCAACGGTGCTCGTTTTCTTCCGAAATAATTTCCTGCAGTCCCAGCGTAACGTTTCGCCATTCCTGCACATACTGGTCTGAGTCGGCCGGGACGGCGTTGGCTGATGCTGGGAGTATGTGGTAGAAGCGAAGTGTTGTGATTAGTCGGTATGAGGGATGGGCCGGTGCTGGGATCGCGTGCATTGTCCAGTCACTGTAAGGTGAAACGATCAGCGAGAGAACATAGAAGCCAAAGCGCAATGCTCACCCCCAATAACCTTCCTTCGCTAGTATATCCTTCATCCATAATCCCAGTTCTCCTCTCTGGTCAAACAATGTCTCGACATAGGTGTCGACCTCTATCTCTCCTCCGGTTTCTTCTTCTGGAGCCTCCCAGTCTACGACGTCGACGAAACCATATTCAACAAACAAAGTCGACTTGGCATGAGCACCATATTTCAAGAACAGCTCCTGTCCAGCAACCACGTGCACAGACGGTGAACACAAGGTGAAATTGTCTCCAAATTTTCGCTTTGGTGCGGGGCCAGTGTTCCAGAGTTTGGCTTGCGTGGCTTCGGGTGACGCTGAGGGGATAGTCATGTGGTGATTTGCGAAATCGAGGATGGGACAGAGAGTCATGTTATCCAGGTCAGAACGAGTTTGGGCAAGTCGATGGTATATGCATCGTGTATTCACTGTTCTTGAAGCTTGACATTCAACGCCAATTTATACACCAAAAACATGAGCCACAGACCATTCAGCCATCCCCAGAGAAAGTCATCCACTCGGAGGCCGGTTTGAACGGGACATATAGCTGGATGGCTTTCCTACTTTTCTATGCCCATTGAGAGCAGTTAAATGTGGACCACTATCGAACACAGACCAAATATTTCTGGATCACACGCCAGTCCTTTTTGAACAAAGCACAAGTTCTATCGAGTTTCTCAACAATTCTGGGTGGCAAACTCTCGCATAGCCGCGTTTCAAGAGGCGCGTCATGGCGTTGAGTCTTGGTCTTCCAAAGCCAAGTGAAAGGATGCCAGTCAAAGTCTCGAGGGAGAACGGAGATATAAGGACCAAACAGGGGATCGTCAGATACTTCTCCCAACGGACGGTGCAGTGAAAGATGCAAAGAAACAAGTTGAGTGCATGAGAGCTTCGGCCGAGCTGCCGGATAGTGGGGAGACAGAGTGAGATGATTGAGCAACGTGTGCGCAGGTACCGTGAACAGGGGAGTCGAAGGTCCAAGATTTTCCAGAGCAAACAAGCCGTAACCGGCGCCTGTGGATAAGAGATTCAGGTTATTTGAATTTGTAAATTGTGGCGATAGGAAGCGATAAAGATCTACCTGGTGCGGTTCGTGCCACGACGCGTATTTTGTCTGTCTGCATTCCCTGCGCGGCGAGCCACTCAATGAGACGCTGCCAGTGAGGATGAAGCGCGCTCATGGTGGTGGAGGAAAGAAGACAAGAGAATTAGTAATTTACTCACCATGTGTCGCGTCAATTATCGATCACGCGCCGATCGCGAATTATGAGGACGGACGGCCATGTTGATGCAGATAAGGGGCTGGTGCTCCCACCACTATCGATTCGCGCGTCATCTCTCAGGCAAGCCCTCTTTCTTCCCTTCTCCCAACACCTTTTGTCGCAATATGTCCATCTTTAACGCTTCTCGACTACTCGGAAAGACCGTCCTCGTTACAGGTGCTAGCGGAGGCATCGGGGCTGTAAGTAGGACGACTACCGCTCTGTTTCCAGTCACTGACTCCTGTTTTCCAGGCAACCGCAGTGCTTTTTGCGAAGGTGGGAGGCCGTCTTCGTTGTCCTAAGTTCCCTTTCTTTTACTGAGCAATTCCTAGGGCGGAGCCAATGTAATTCTTCTCGCTCGCCGAGCAGATGCTCTCGCAAAGGTGACTGAAGCCTGCGTCGATGCTCACAAGCAATCGGGTCTGCAACAAGGAGGGAAATTCGCGTCGGTGCAACTGGACGTGTCAGACCTGGACGAGGTTACTGCTCTATGGTCCAAAGTCCCGCAGGAGCTTCGCGATGTCGACATCCTCGGTAATGTTCCGTCTTGCATCCCCTCGAATGCCATCGCTTGACATAGTGGCTAGTCAACAACGCGGGCTTTGTACTCGGTGTTGAGCACGTTGGCGAGATATCTCGGGCCGACATCGAGGCCATGTTCAAGACCAATGTGTATGGACTCATCTCCGTGACACAACTCTTGGTTAAGGGTGCGTATGCTTCACACCTTTTGCAAGAAGAGGCTGATATTCCGGCAGATTTCAAGGCTAAGCAATCTGGTCATGTTATTAATCTTGGATCCATCGCTGGTCGCGAGCCATACGCAGGAGGAAGCATCTACACAGCGACGAAGCACGCCGTCAACGCTTTCACCGGTTCCCTCCTGCGAGAGCTCGTCAACACACCCATTCGCGTAACGGAGATCCAGCCAGGCAAGTGCGTTCTCACAAACTGTCCTTGTCTTCAAGACTGATTCCTCCTCAAGGCATGGTTGAGACTGAGTTCTCGATCGTTCGATACCGGGGGGATGAGCAAGCCGCGAAGAAGGTTTACGAAGGTCTTGACCCATGTATGCTCCACTTTCTTGCAGTAATTACGGTCATAGACTCACCTTTGTTGCAGTGACTGCCGAGGACGTCGCTGAAGAAATCGTATGGGCTGCATCGCGTCCCCCTCACGTCAACATCGCTGAAACCCTCATCTTCCCCGTCAACCAAGCAAGCGCCGGCATCAAGTATCAGAAGAAGTAAAAGAAGGCCATTTGTGTATTTCTACATCCAATGCATGTAATAGGAGAAATTATCCTTCCTGTAAGGCCGGCTGTGCAATAGTGCAAGGAGATGATGGTCATGGTCATCAACGAGCGATCCGTCTTTCTAAAGACGTATATAAAGTAGAGATGCCAGCGTCAAAGATGTAGTCATATGGTACGTCGTAATTGTAATCATTTCTTTTTGCCCTTTGACCGTGTGCTCTTCGCCACTGGGGGTGGAGGTCGGACAGGGATGTCGTTGTCGTAAACGAACTTCTTTACAGTGATGTTCTCTTGTACGAGGTCCGTAAGTGGGGTGTCTACCTGAAGCAAATTTCCCAGCATGTCTAGTCGAAGAGCCTACAGGAAATTTGAGAAGACGATTTTGCTAGGGATAAAGAATTACGCACCTTCGCTGTCGGGGCTAGAATACCCTTCAAGTCCCTATTCTCCTTCAGCGTCTGCCGGCTTCCGAGCTTGACCTCGTCGATATACACCGTTGTGAATAGCCCTCTATCCCATTGGACTCTTCGCACAGGCGATTGAGGAACGGGTGTCGACCGATCATCGAACAATCGTCGTCTGCAATCTGGTCTTTCAGGGGTCTCATAATCATCTTCGTCCCCTGCCCCACGTTGGTGCTTCATCAGTGATTCACCCTTTTTGTCAGAGCTCTCTTCCTCGCACGGGCTAGAATACCCTATGTCACTCGACGGCTCGACGTCACTCGAAGTCATCTCATCGCTCCTGCGCGCACGCCGTTGTGCACGTTCTTCCCTCCGCCTTTCCTTCTCTTCCTGCCGTTGTGATATTGTCCGAATCTTAACGGCAGGACTCTCGGGCCTCAGACCTTCCCTGCGAATAACCTCCGTCTCGAGCTTGGCGGAAAGGTACTGCTGGTTCTTGACGGTATTGGAAGTCGTCAGATCTTTCAGTGCCGTGATGCTCATGCTTGAGAATACGTCGTCCGAGTGAAATGAGACAGCGGCTTTCCGACGCGACGTAGAGGATCGAGAGCTTGATTCCGGGATAACATCATGCGTGACTATCCGCCGAGAACGAGTGGTACGCCGTAGGCCTGAAATGACGTTGGAGTCCGCGGTTGAGGTTGTATCAGTGACGACGATAGCCGGGGCCGCGACTCGTGCGGGTTTCTCGTGCTCGTTCTGTGGTGGATCCTGCTTCATAGGGGAACCAGGTGGAAGGTGATCATTGTCGACACTTCGGACCTCTGGTTCAAGCGTCACTGGTCGAAGTTTTTCGTTAGATTGTTCTTGGGGCGGTGATCGCGGTTTAGACACAATTATCGTGGCTCCAGGTTCGACAGGAGTGAGGATTTCAGGTAGATTTGGCTGTGGGACAACTGGAGGCTTAGGCAGCGGATCCGGCACACGACGTATCCTAATTGTTCCCCCAGAAGGTTTCTTGCTTTTCGAAGAAACAGCAGACGTTGAAGGTGCAGGTGCGATCTGAGAAGATGATGGTTCGCTCGGTGACTGCATTGGAGGGACTTGCCGTAGCGTGATGAGGCGAGGCTTGACCGGAGACCTCTCTGCCTCTCGCTTGCGCTTCAGCAGTGTCGTCGAGGTTACGATAGTTGGTTTCACCCGAGAGCTGGAACTAGCAGAAGGGACATTTGATTCAGGTGCCTTGTTAACGCCTCTTCTGATAATCGTTACACTTTCCATGACCTTTGGCTTCGGCGCAGACTGAAAAGAAATCAGAACCGGACTGATGTCAAAAGCTATAAGATTGAATACCTTGGACAGATCGACCATCCTCGGGATCGTGCTCTTCGCTTTCTCCGTAGCCTTCTGATCTACCGTACGTGCATACGGTTTTGCTCCAATTCTCGGTATTCGGCTGGTCACCTGCTTAAGGCTCGATTTGGCTGGACTAGATGGTGGGTCAACCGCGCTCCTTGCAGCAGAAGGGGCTGAAGATGGCGATGCCACAGAGCTAGAAACCACAGACGCAGCAAGAGCTATAGGGAAGGGCAATTGGCCCGGCTTGATGACCGACGACGACAAGTCCTGAGTGACAGAACCCGCCCTTTCCTTACCCTTCAGAGACGACATGACTCTCTGACTCGGCTCCGCCGACCTCTCTCGCTGAACGGGCCCTGCCTTGAGCGGACTCGCAGGCCGTACGGTACTGGATTTCGACAAGGGTACTACCGTCCTCTCCGAGATTAAAACCCGCCTTGCTGGTGTCGACACGGACGGCAGCGTTGTTCCATTAATACTGGCTTTGAATCCGAGCTGAGCGGCTTTTTCCGGAGAGACATGCCCTTGCGCAATTGCCTGTTCCATCGGTATTCTGCGGGCAGGCGTATTGGTAGGATCGTTGGGCGCAGGCGTCTGTAGCTGCAGCTTACTGGGAGAACCTTTGGAGGGGCTAGAGAATCGAATAGGACCGTCAGAACGCACAGGTGTGCTCGGTGCGGCAGACGCTTCAGCCGAGAACACGGAAAATGAAAACATGGATGGAGGGTTGGAGGAAGACAGCGATTCGGTGTTGCTCGTGGAAGGTTGATCTGCGCTGAAGGCCAACGTGGACAAAACATTTGCAGAAGTCGGAGAAAGAGAGCCAAGTGCTCTGTGAAAGGACAACGGTGCCTTCCCTGGACTGCGCTGTCTAATTCGATTGGAGGTCGGTGTCGTTCGTGAAGGTGATGCTCTGAGGCCTTCTCCTTCATCCTGGGAGTCGCTTACAATCTCATCATCTGCAGGCATATTAGTGACCCTTTTCTTGACTTGAGTACGCGCAGGGGACGGCGAGGGAGGGACAAAAACCGGTAGAGGTGCAGGGAGAGGATGCGGCGACACGCTTCTTCGAGGACGCATAGATCTGCGCAAGGGTGTTGTCATTAATTCATCTCCCAGGCTAGCTTGTGGCGCGGCAGGCTGCACGACGTCCATTTGCTCGCTCTCATGACTTTGCGGCTGAATGAGCTCATTAGTTGGCGGGATGTGATCGTGCTCCATCTCAACAGCCGTTTCCTTAGGGTAATATGCGTCAACAGCCATGCATTCATCTTCTGTGTGAATGACCTCCTTCGGCGGCTCGACTATCAGGACAGGAATATGAATTGCCTCTTGCGGGCCTGGTGTGTTGCGGTTCGGCGAATGTGAGAACATGTCGTCCACAGAGAGGGCCTGCTGAGGGGCAGGATACGGGGAATTGAGGGTCATGTCGTTATCAGGGAAGACGGGTGCAGGAATGTCGGTGAAGGAGTCAAATGATATCAAGTCTCGTTGAAGCAGGTGCTCCTCTGCAGACCGAGTTGGAATTGGCGCCGACATCAAAAGAGATGGTGGGTCTGTGCCCGTGAATGCGACCAAGGAATTTGCACCCCCTCCTTCGGTTCCATCGTTGATTCTAAGAGACATAAGGTCGGCTTGGTAGTCCCCTGAGGTCTCCAGGAAGCTCGTGTGCAAGGGATCGAAGAGCGTCAGTGCAGCGGGAGGGCTTGGTGGCGGTGAGGGATTGTCAGGGGCATGGGATATCCTTTCTGCCAACGCAGATGACGGTTCTAGAGAGACATCACACGGAGCACGCAAGAGAGATGCAATGAGACTCACCATCCGGCGTGATATCACCCCTCTGTGGCGTCCCAGACTGCGAGTTCGACGTGTCCTCATCGTCCTCCTCGTCTCCATTTACCAGCTGAGCTACACGCTCGATATCTTCATTCTCTTCTGCTGTATCTTCTGCATCGACTGGGGTGACTGATCTTGGCCGAGGACTTGATAGGCGCGGCGAACGACGAAGCGGCGGGGTTTGCACAGGTGGAAAGAGATGCTTGGAGGAAGCCACAAATTTTCGCTCGGGAGTCTTGAGCGGGCCAAAGTAGAGGCGCGCCGATTCTGTGTTGTAGGATTCGCTATCTGACGCTGAAGATTCGGGGGATGCGGGAACTTCAGGTTCCATGTCGGAGGCACAGCACTGTTGAAACCACTAGGAAGGAATCGCTGATAATTGCAACAACCAAAAGATAGTATCCTGCGTTGGATCAAGGAGAACGAAGGCAGACTTGTTCAGGGTGGTGAGAGAACCCGCCGCGGATTTGTGCCGCCGCCGGGAAGGAGAAGGAGGACAAGTTCAAACAACCCACTTTCTCCACGCGACAAACCAAACACGGCTGCACGTGACACCAATACCCCCATTGTTGGTCCACTCTCCACTTTCGCAATCGCAACTCTGCTCCAATCCACATAAGTACGTGTTGTACCACTAATCGACCTCCTATGCAACTGATACTACGTTCAAGCGTCCCCTAGCATTTAACGGCGCCCTCCCGACAAGGGTGAAATCCCGACAGCTCGGCCATACGTTGAAGGTGTCGATGGCGTGTACTGCACCGCAGACGACCTCCCAGCAGCACGACTTCGTAGCTGTGTCCGATCTCCACATCAATACATCTGCCACCTCATTGATTCAATACTCCATACCTCGTTGTTTTCTGTTGTCAGACGGGCGAGAGCTATTGCCTGCTGCTCGACCTTCCATTTCATCTCCTCGAGCAGTGTCGCTTGCTCCGCCGGGCCTGGATTGTCGTCCATCGATCCTTGCGGTGTCCAAGACCCTGACACCCGCATTCTCTTCCTCCTGTCCTCTCGTAATGCCTCGCCCCATCTATCCTGCGAGGACGAGCTAGGAAGGGGACTGTCAGTCGTGTGTTCCTCGCGTGCCGGCTCCCCTTTGATAAATCGGTCGTCATCTCGATTTCGCTTATTCGTTCTGTCAGGGGTCATCCATCCTCGGGCCTCTGCCTCATTCCTGATCGAAAGCAATGCGACTTGAACATGTCCGCTAACAGCACGCTTCACGTCGTCCACGAAGGTATTCACCGCATTCCTCCATAGCTTCTGGACCTCTTGATTGTTTTTCTCGATGCGCTTCTTGCAATCTTCTTGGATAGTCATCGATTGAGAAAGCTGTGGCTCGACTACTCCTTCAGCTGACTTGGAAATCTTCTTGAGAGTGTCAGAAATTTCTGTAAAAGTTTTAGTTTTCATCTCTTCCTTTTTCTGCACCTCGACCAGCGCATCAGATTCCCGTGAGAGTCTACAAACTCGTCAGAGGTGCTATTGCAAAGAGGATGAAGGGCCATGACGTGCCTAGCCAGATTCTGGAATATGTGCAGCACCTGCTCCGATGAAAGCGTCGATTCGAGTTCTACCAAAAGGCCGTCTAGCTTAACGGGTTGGCCTGCGCCATGATGAATTCTTTTGTTCTGCTTTGGACTTGGTGTATCCAAACCGGTCAAGGAGATTCCAGATATTTCTCCAGGGACCCGAGTGGACTGAAATTCGCACCCCACATTGGCATATATAGTCAGCCGTGTTCGGCTACGAGTATACCGCAACCGCCGACATACGAATTTAGAAGAGGCCTCATCTTTCATTACGTCCTGTTGGCTAATCTTTACTCTCTTGTCCCTGTGTTGTCAGATTAGCCTTCGGATTCTCGCAAATGGACGACAACTTCACCTTGACATTGTTCTGTGCTCGGCACTCGGACTCCTTCTCCAGTCTTGACCATCTCTGCTCTGGAATCTCGATCCGCTAGAAGCCCTAGCGGGAGTCCTGGATCGCGGAGATCGACGGCTCAGCTTGTCTCGTTCTTCGCAATAAGGCTCTTCTTTACACCTCAAAAACAAATCGGACTGGGGTACAAGCGGCGCCGCGCGCGGTGTTTTCGACTCGGAGATGGCCCCTTTATCTAATCGACAAAACGAAAAGATCAACGAGGCACAGATGACGACGCCAAGGCGACACAATGATAAAAGCTTCCGCCTCGACGAAAGTCGGCGGCTCACCTGGCCAGTTGCTATCTGTCGGGTGGATAAACCTGTGTGAACAAGCATTTAAGCATTTGAATGTGAATGGTATATCCAAACGCGTAAATAATAATCAGAAACCCTACTCACCGACATCTATCTCCCTGTATGCATCCAGGACTCAATGGACGCCCTGAGCGGTCGAAGTGCTGTGAGAGATGTAAGCATGGGCGTATCAATGGCTCGAAAACAATACCAACGCGGCAAGGCAGCCTTTTGTACATTCTGAATGCTGACGGAGCGGCGTGGTGACTGACAGACCTGTTGACTTGTAACTCTGCGTTGAGGATTGGACGTTTGTGGCGATTCCCAAAAAGAACACTTACGTCATATAGGATGGCATGTGAATGGCTTCCGGGCGAATCTGTTCCGGGCCCCGGGCCAAACCTTCGAATCCGCTGCCCGCCGAAACGCCTCTTCTCTGGAGTCTACAACCCCTTCGCGTTTTGTTTGTACGGGAAGTACTGATGGTAGTGCATAGACATCACATGTAGATTTAGGCTTGTCGAACGAGACAGACTCGGGGTTGGGCAGACTCCTGAATGATTACTCTGCGTCGCTGTCGATGATGTCCTAGAAGATATAAAATAGGCTCTCGCCCCCGCATATGCTCCGTTCCCACTGCCGGTCCTGCTATTTTCTCCCCTCATGGGTGCGCTTGTTAGTCTCTTCAGTCTTGCTCTCATGGGTGGTTTCTTCTCCCTCGCCAGTGGACTCTGGCAATCTGACGATGTACCCGAGATCCACTTTCCGGAGAAGCCTGCACTCATAGCCGTCAAGAAGGGCGAGAGCGGCGAAGTAGAGCATATATCGCTGCGGACTTTACTGGAAACAAGATGCAAGACCCTCTTTACCCCCTTTCGTCCACTATGGTGGCTATCCAAGTGAGTCTATCGCTCTCCGAGACGCGTACGCTGATACTTACGGATTCAGTGGTCACCTACAGACACTTTACTGTGTGGTGGGCGATTTTTCGAAGAACGATCGAATGTGGTACGATCGGTATGTCCGGTGTACCTTCTATTCACTCGAATACTTGCTCATTGGTCCCCAGCACATATCTACGACTCACGGACGGAGGAACACTGTACGTCGACTACAAATTTGACACGCACCTTCTCTGAATTACCCACAGCGGCCTTGACTTCGCTCCGGCTGGCCGGCAATCCGATCTGCCCAAGGACACACCAATAATTGTTGTTCAGCACGGCCTAACTGGTGGTATGTATACTTGCGATGCCTTCTACCCTTCTAAATGATGCACCAATCTAAACTGTAACGCAGGTTCGTACGAAGCCTATGTTCGAGCCATTCTCAAGCAAGCGTGCGCTCCGGTGGAAGAAAGCGGCCTGGGTTATCGAGCAGTTGTGTTTAACTTCCGTGGATGTGCGTCCGATCCTACTATTCTTCTGGTGGTTTGGCTTACGGATGGTGTAGGCGCTGGAGTTCCGATCACCAGCCAACTACTATACTCAGCTGGTCATACTGATGATACCCGACAGGCCTTAATGCACGTCGCTCACCTTTACCCGGATGCGCCTCTCCTAGGACTAGGCTTCTCACTAGGCGCTAATGTCATCACACGATATTTGGGTGAAGAAGGCGATGCGACTCGACTGCACTCGGCATGTGCACTAGCCTGCGTAAGTGGCCCCTATTTTTCCCTGATATTCAACCCTGAATCGCGAATCTTATCTAAATTGAATACAGCCCTGGGACCTCAAGCAAAATAATGATGGGTGCGCCACTCATCTCACTTCATCAGGCCTTGCGATGTTTCTGACACTTCATTTCTAGTCTGATCAATTCTTTCACAGGGAAGCACATTTATTCGAAGGGCATGGGAGGAAATCTCTTGAGACTTCTGAAGCGACATCTCAAACCACTCATGGCCGATCCGGACCACATAGTCGCCAAAGCTGCAGAGAACGCCATTAAACTGAAGAACCCGACACTCGAGAAGTTCGACGATACGTTTACCAGAATAGCAGGTGGCCCATCGCCGCACTTCCCATTCCGAGATTCTAACGAATACTATCACTGGGGCTCCAGTCACAAGGTGGTTGGCGACATCAGGGTTCCTTTCCTAGCTATCAACGCTGCTGATGATCCCGTCGTGCGACATGTCCCTATGGATGGTGGTGGAAATGGTCTTGTTGTAATGGAGCTCACGAAGGGAGGCGGTCATCTTGGTTGGTTCCAAGCGGGTCCTGGTTATGTTGATCGATGGACGACGAAACCTGTTCTTGAATGGCTGAAACTGGTTGGGGACGATATGGTCCACAAACCAAAGACCAAGTGTCTGCCTTTGTATGTCGACGAGGATGGATTCTTGAAGGAGAAGGGTAGAGAGAAATTGGGTTGTAAGGTCATAGAGACTGGTGCTGTGATAGATGGTAATGGCGGAGAAGATGGTATGATTCAAGGGCTATGATTATGGGGACGATTTGGGCGGTATTGAACATGTCGGCAGCTAATTAGAATGTCATTGCAAAATATACCATGATTAGACGTTACAGGGAAGGTTGATGTCAGTCGCTGTCGCTGAACGTAAGGATTTCTTCTTGCTGTTCTTCCTGCCTTGTCCGTTCGTATTGGCTAAAGTCGACAGAAACTGAACCTTCTTCCACAAGATTTTCGTCTTCCAGATTTTTGTTCTTTTCGAAAAGTTGTCTGCCTAAATTGCCGATGGGTCAGGAGGTGTCCTTGGCAATATGTGATCACCCTACCTGACAGCCGTGTGCTTGCTTTCCTCCACTCTTCCCGCTCTTTGGGAGTAAAGGCTTTGAGCCTTTCTTCCTCTTCTTGCGCTTTCTTGAGCGCGATTTCCTTGTCAAATTTGGCTTTCCAGGCCTTGAAAGATTGTGCCGTCACAGGTGTACCTCGTGTACGTTTTTCCTCTTCCTAAAAATGCTAGTGAGCTCCTTGACGTATGAAAGAAAGGAGCTTCTTACCTCCAGGGCTACTCGCTCCTTCTCTGCCTCGATCCGTCTCTCCTCTTCAATCTTTGCCCGTACTAGCAGTGAAAGTTGCTCTCGGAGATGCGAGACGAGCGTGAATGTCATGGCCATTCCGATATTTTCTTCTCCCTGAAGGATGGGCTAAAGGTGTGGACACCCTAACGCGGCATGAGTAACTCACCACCTTCCGTAGCTCCTGCAGGAGGTTCTTGTTATCCTTTTCCGTAAATGTGGGATTGTCCCATTTAAGTGAGAGACCGGGTAGTTCATCGGGGTATGCGTCCTGATAGTGGACGCATAGTGTGACCTGGACTACCAAATGGTAGAGGAATTTGGTATGCATCATTTGGAAGGAATGAAGAACATACTATTCTCCGCAAAATCTGGTATATCATCTGCCTCGGCATCTATTTCGATCTCGTTCTGAGAAATTTCTTCAGAGCACGAAGGATTTCAGCACCCGATCAGGCTGGATTACGGTTGAAGACACACACTTTGAAGCTCTGTGGGGTAGATCGACTCTAACACCTGCTGTGATGAGAGGGCTGGCTTGCGAGTACAATATGTGCATACGTACTTCAAACTCTTCCAGGAGTGCTTCGGACATCTTGTAAAAGGTATGGTCAGGCTCAAGACATGGAATCAATTTCCGAATCTTTCTGGCGGAGTTGTCAATAATCATCTTATCGGTTCCGCGAGTCCCGGGCCGGAAATGTCACATCAGTGGAACTGTGACATCCTCGGGACAACATCACGCTTTCCGCGTCTTGACTTTTTCCAAACTGCAAGGTACACTGGAAAGCACCATGCAGAGGCTTTCCAATGCATTCTCTACTTCGTTTTTCCGCCTCTCACCCGCGGCCTTTCTGCAAGCGCGATCACAGACTATTCTATTGAAATCAATCCACCCCGTTGCTCATCCATGTCGCATCTCCGCGCGTTTCTCTTCCGTCTTCCCCTCGATGGTCGCCACCGACGCTGTAAGCGACAGGGTGAAGAACACGAAAGAAACGCGAGCAGAGCAAACTATTGAGGACAGGTGGCGTGACCAGTCCAGAAGAGCATTGGAGGATTCAAAAATGTACCCTCCTGCTCACGCATATACAGGTACATTTCTTCTTCTAGCGCATATCAGAACTCTGTTTACCATGGCTTGTATCCGTTTTTAGGCAGGACAGTTGAGGTTACGAAAGATCTCGGGATGGCTTACAAGCAACTGGATTCAATCTTGTCGCGCAACCAGGTTCGGCAGACGCTCCGACTGACAGAGAGGCACGAGAAGAAGGGTGTAAAGCGTCGGAGGTTACGAAGCGAGCGATGGAGAAAGCAGTTTGCAAATGAGGTGCGTTTCTAGCTCTGACTTTCCATGCATTTGTGAAACGTGTTTGTTTCCCTGCTCCAGGTGCGAAAGAAGGTTCAATTAGTTATGAAAATTCGAGACCGCGGAGCCTGATAGACTATGCTCCATGAGCCGCTATACTGTGGTGCATATGTATCTACTGCGCCACGTATCGAGCTTTAATTTTTCTTCCTGCGTTTCTCGAACACCTTTGGCGTCATGGGCGTCATGAGCATCGGGTGTGGTGGTGTCGCTCAAATCACCGTATCGAAACCAGGTTTGATGGGAATACTCTTTCCCCACCTCTGGCAGGGCATAGCTTGCAATCTTTGTTCCGGGAGAAGTGCACATGGCCCTACACGCAGTAGTAATAACCATTGCTGCCCTTGCATCATCTCGGCACGTCCTTCAACCCATCCCTGCCTGACATCAGTCAAGCTTTTGCCAATATGCGATCACAGGAGGCCTACGACTTGAATTCTAATACACGCAGAACGTTCGACTTTGCAGGCCAGCCACAGAGGAGCTTCGGACCATTCTGTCTCCCAGCCTTGATGGCCTTGTTTGCCTTGCTTCTCGCCGCCGCTTCAGATGACGAAATGGTAGGCACGGGTAAACCGCGCTAAAATTCTGAGCCTTCGCAGAAGGCTCGATACTACGATAGGGCCTGCCGGCAGACGCCGATGCCTCGCGACTTGTCTGAGTGCCTACTTCCAGAACGAGGCGACATGCAGCCTTTGCACCCCCTCAGGCTTAAATTTGGACGCATTATCATGACGGACTCAATTCCTCCTACTCCTCCACCCCATCCGCGGAAGGCTTTCCAGCATGTGCCATAACGTCCGTTTTCTTCTTCCAGTTGGCTGGTGACTTTGTTATTGACAAACACATCTCAGGTCATCGACGGTCGTTTCCACACTCAATGCGGTCATTTCTATTCTATGGCCACTCGCAAACAAGATTGCTATCGGCCAACCTGTCTCTTTAGTTGCCGGCACCCTCCTGGTGAGTCTCATTGTTTGTTCAAACACTACTGCCATCGTTCTGACCAATGGATTAGGGTGCAAACTATCGACTTGCACTCGGTTGATGTCGCCACCTGCTCACAACCCAATCAGAATGAGCCCGACAAATTGTGGGGAATGTAATCAGAGATTCAGAGTGGGGCAAGTCAGTGGGATCCCCAAGCAGTGAACGTTTGGACCTTAGCGCACAGTCGCGTGCCCTCAAAAGCATTATTTGCAACTTTATTCTCTCTCGTCCACGTGCATCCATACACGAGTTCGCATATTGCTCCTCAGTCCACGGTGTGTGACGTAGCTCGCGCACCTATACTTACCGTTTTGTTGGCTGGAGGACAACGAACGGTCTGCTCTGGTCTACCTTTATACCATATATGCGTAGTGTTCCTTGTAGTAATTTCTCCCTATATACTATCCTTCCTTTACTATATGTAGAGTTTGTGCGCTGAATTGTCAATCTGAGCAATCGATGGAATATACGGGCCGCAACCGGAACCTAAAGATGGATTTGCACAAACAGTTGCCTATTCTAGGTTCCCTTGTTCCGCAACCACCAGCTCTTGTTTTCGCGTAGGCATACTCATCGCCATGAAAGAGCGTAATACAAGGGTGGACTTGTTCTCGAAGAGAGATGAAAGGACGACTCAGTTGGTCTCTTATATCTTTTCGCTGAAGACTACTTAGTGGACATTTATCACGATCTCCCACTCAACCTTTACCAGCTCTCTCGCCTTGAAATTTCAACGATTGCTTCTCTCCGATATCCTCTGCAACCTGTCGTAATTTAAGCATGGGTCGCACGCCTTACGATTTTGAAACCTACGGAGTCCGCGACCTTCGTAAATTCCTCAAGTCCTGCGAACTGCCTCGTCCAGATCCGTGCAGTGCCATCGACCAGCTGTTCATTCTCGGGACGGCACCCTTTCCGCCTAATGTGAACAAGAGTCATAAAAACCACATCCTCGCACGCCATGAGAAATGGCGCACCCTTGAGAACATCAAACGTATCTCGGTTCATCCAGGCAAATGCAAGTCAACCCTTTTATTGCTCGTCTGCGTTTACTGACACCGAACAGTTTTCGAAAGGGAATTAATCGCCGATAGCATGAACTCGCTCGACTCGAACGAAGATCCACAATACATCCTCCCTGGTGCGCTTCCGCCGCTCTACACGCACGCTCCGACCGATATGGAGACGTAAGTTTGGTCCTTCCTGGTTTCCCGAACATTCAGCCTAACCGAAGAAATGTACCATAGCCTAGAGGAATGGTTGAAACTAGTGCTTGTGACCGCAATACGAGTTGTACATACCATGTACCCTAGGACTCGGGGATTTGGCTTCTATCCAGGGCCGATTTGCGAAGGAGATAACCAGCTATTCCGTTATACCGTCTGGAGTCCACAAAATTCCATCCCTTCCCTGGAGATCCCGACTATGCCTGCGCCTCTTGTAGTCGCTTACCAACCGCCGCATATTCTGACCCAAAAAGATTTGGAAGAATTTGCCTCCTGTGAAGCTGTAAGGCCCATGGTTGTCCTTAGTCCATTCACTTTGCTTAATCTATCCCTAGTTCCCTCCTTTCTACGTTTTGGGTGCTCACCTGGCAAGCAAACACCGATTATGGGCCAAGGCAGGCCGAGTTCCGCATTCCATTCTTAGAATCTAAGCTCTTATTTTAGATCTGGGATATCTGCCAACTCAACAAAACTTCGTACTTTGTCCTCACATCGTACACTCATTGGATATTCGGTACCTTCTCTCCCGGTATGCACCCTATGTTAAACGTTTGAATCAGAGATCTCAATTTCTATTTGATACCTAGGCATGAGGGTGGGGTTCATATCACCGATATACCTTTACAACACTGCAGCCCCGAACCCAACGCTCCTCGAGACGTTCATTTATTGGCTGTGTACATCCCTGAGCATCCCTGGCACTTTCACTCGCCCGCTGGTTGACGAACCCATATTTGCTATGGAAGATATCGATATGGAAGAAATCACCGACTTGCCGGTTCCTCCCTCCTCCCAATCCTTTTGGTTTGGAAAAGATGACGGTTCGTTTAACTACTTCTGACCCCAGAATGCTTTTTTAATGTGTTTATCTAGAACCAGGTTCCTCGGCTGGCGTGGAATTGGAGATCCAGTCGTTCGCGGGTGAAAGCATCAGCTCTGCGCTTCCCGTTCGAGATCGGCCCTCTGCCCACAGAACTGTTGGGGAAATTCGCAAGTGGCTTGCTACGTGCAGTAATGCGAACCACAGAAGGCTCGATGAAGATGATCTTGTATACAGCAAAGACCCCAGATCGGAGCTGGAGGAGAACCAGTTCCACCAAGATATGCCTCGCGGCGAATGGATGATCTCTGCATGAGGCAAGAAATATGAATACAAATAACGTGCGTACTGCTCTACCAACGACACAATTAATATCATACAATTGATTGGAGTCCATGTTATATTATTAGTCTACGTTCATCTGGTCCGGTGCCAACGGAGTGCGGCCACCATGTGAGGAGCTGGGTGTTCGACCAAGTCCATCCTGATTACCTGGTTGTGATTCGGTCGCAACGGGCAACGGCGCATCCAATTGCGAACGGGGGACGAAGAATGTATCTCGATGGCTTCGTCGTGTTGGGGGAGGGACCTAAGGAAATAGTTAGGACATGACTGCAGTATCAAGAGGAAACGGTACAGCAAGTATAGAGGTTAAGTATGGTATTTGATTTTGATCTTGGACAGAATAAAATTCAAGTATGATATCGAGAGCCTCTGTCAAATCAATTTCATTACCAAAGTTCCAGCATTGAATGACAAGGAGGAAAAAACCTGAAACGTGGACGACGTCAGACTCTTGAAGATTGTAGTGGTCGACTACAGCTCTTGAAGCATCAGGCGACGCAGGCTGGTGAGAAGGAGGAGTAGGTAACGATTTGGATGGTGATGAAGCAGAAATGCGGGCGTCGAGAGAAGGGGAGTTAGGCCCATCGACGATACGTTGGGCAAGGACATAGCAAGCTATGGCTATCACCCTCGGGGTGTATAGGATGGAAAGGGGTGTCCTATAACTACAGCAGCATCAGATACTCACAGGGAAAGAGTAAATACTGATCCTTACGAATCATGGGCAAGACTCCACGCGTATTCCTGAACCTCCAGATCTGTCCCTAGGGATTCGAACAGATCCAACAGTTCGGCGTGGGGGCTTTCAACAACGAAGTCGAAACACAGTGCCTCGAGTAAAACTTCTTCCGTCAAAAGAATGGCCGCTTGACACTGATCGACATCCTACGGCAAGTTAGAAGGTCTGAACGCGGTTGCATGACGGTCGAAACAGACGCACCTTGCTCTCAAGAGGGATGGTGGCGACATCGACGCCCTGTACTTTCGCTTGGTATACACGAGAGACATCACGTAGTTTCCGGCCACATTCTTCGGTCTTGGTGGCTAGGAAGATACATGAAGCGGCGACATCCTGCGAGAGAATTGGCAAGGTGTAAAGCCTCGGAATTGAGAACCAGCGTACCTGACGATGGAAGTCGTCCATGGAGAACCGCATGTAGAACCTGTGAAACCATGTTGCAGCCGTGCACATCGCGGAGGTGGGACTGTGGTTGAGTGAGAACGTTGTCTTGGGAATTTATCCTTGAAGAGCACGAACAGCGCTAACGAAGAGCCCAGACGGAAGAGAAACTCGACACCACGCGCCCGTTCATAGAGCTCTTTCTCGCGCGAGCACGTTGAAGGGGTTCCGTTAAGAGCGGAGAGGGCAAAGAGCCATTGGGAGGAGGAGTGGGACGCGTTGTCCATGGTGGAGACCGTAGTTCGCCAACAAGTCGCCTCGCGGCAAGGAATGTCGGTTACGTAATTGATCGAAGGCACTATTTTTACTTCCAAAAATCGACATAGGTTTGATTTCGGTCCAAACCTCCTCTTCATCAAACGTCCGTGCCAGTCCTCATTTCTGGGCGTTTGTGTCGGAAATCCCTCTCAAGTTCCGTCTGTCCACACTGCGAGTTCCCCGCTGCTTTTTTCTCGGGCTTTCCAGGCCTTTCTTTAACCCCCCTCGCGTGGCCAACTTCTGGTCCTCCCAAAGCCATTTTCAGCGTTTCGCCGGCGTGTGTGTTCTTGAAAATCCAGCTCGTGCTCGGACTTGGCTCCTGACCTGCACCATGCTATATATATGGGGCCGGTTCTACGGCCACTGACGTGCTGGGCAACCACGGGCTAGATCGTGGTGTAGTCATTAACTTGGCCATATTGTCCGCGAGGCGCTGCAATCTTTCCCCACAAAGCTTTCCTATAGGCATATGATCCGGGACTGATACGACCTCTTTGTCCACTCAACGTCGGCGACAGATGAGACTCAAAGTACGCAGTTCCGAGTCGAAGAAAGTCCGGACTTCTGAGAGACCTCTATGAACGACAGTAATCGGGACACATATCAGATTGCATCTATTACACGGCCACTGCGATTGGCTGGGCCCTCTCTCCACTCCGATGATGCCTCTAATATTTCCGGTACCTCTGCATGTCATGGTGGGGCCATTGCACAGATCTTCTCGTACAAACGGGTGCAACACTAACTCAAAACTGTTGCTTTAACTGTCCAAAATGCCGTAATACATAGCCTAAAGGTCTCTAGTACTCGCGAATGACACCTGCCACGATACCGTTCATTTATTCCCAATGTGTTCATGAAAGGACCTGTGGTCCTATGCTACCGTCCACGGGCCCAGAGGTCTACCGCGAAACGTCCTATCATGTTCTCATCTGGTCCCGAGCGAACAATGCACTCTACATGTTCATATGACCCATATTAACCGCGACACATGGGGTAATGGTTTTCTTCAGTGTCAATCCAACGCAGTGTTTTCACTTCCTTTTCACGCTGAACATCATGACATTACCCTCGTGGGAACTCATGGAACCGACATCCTGCTTTCGTCATCGTTCGGTTGCTTTCTCTCGACTACGTTCTGTTACAAGTTCTCTTATCTGGTATACAAACAAAATATTATTCATTTGGGGCTGTAACTTGTCGGGCGCCACTAATTTCGACGATAATGTCGACTACGACCTCTATGTGTCTGGCTGCTTCTATTACTTCCTGTTTTTCAGCGCCGCCTGCTGTGCAGCGGCGTTTTGCGCCTGTTGACAGGCGGGACATAATCTATCGAGCCTGCGGTCTGTTCCCGCTTCTATTCAGTATCCCGGTTCGACGGCCGTATCTGACGCTTCACGTACCTATCTGCTCGGGGAATCGACGACTAAGGAAACCAGAAGAAGGTGAGAAGGCGATCTTCGAGGGACTCGAAAAGGCGACTTACTATTGCCAGCAGGTTGTGTTGCAATTGGGACCACAATTGGGTGGGTGGTTGGGACTGAACTTGCAGTACCGTTCCGGGCAATACACCTGTCAAAGCGCGGGCGTTAGTAGGACCCTTGATCACAGAACCGTGAAGAAAATGAAGTAACCATTTCGTCGGGCTATAGAAATAATGAAAACGACGTCAGAAGGGAAGATCGCAATCGAGAAAAGAAGGTGTTTCACCAGACGGTACGTGTGTTCGCAGTGCGCGTACGTATCTTGGATTCTATGAGGTAACATGAGCCGAGGTCATGGAGAGCGGCAGGACTCCACTGACTGGCGCCACCTGCACATTGTTAATGGAGAGATGCTGTGAGGAGGGGAATTAACGGGGGGCTGTGGATGAAGATCCTAGAGAGGCTCGACGAATTTCCCTCCCTTTTTATATGTTTAGGAGATATTCGAGAAGCATCCTTGCGTACAAGGTGTGCCACTGATTAAATATCGATTCGGTCCGCGCTGAGTGTGAAGGGCACAAGGCAATAAGCTGCGCTAGTTTGGGCTGCTCAATACTTTGAAACAGGCACCGACAGCAACCTCGCCACTGGAACTCCCCGACCGAATCCCAGACCTTCAAGATGACTGACTCTCCGATGATCTGTTAAACCCTATAGCTAAAATCCAAATACTCATATGGCACAAGCGGCCAATTAAGCTTCCCAAAGGTAGTCAGCACGTCGGCCTGGATCAACGTCATGCACTCGACCTCACAGATACATATAATGCGGCTGGAACAGTGCCGGTCGTCGAGATCGAATCTTCAGTTAGCGAAGGTGAGTACTCGAGCATTGAACTCACGGCGTAGACATGGATTGCAGCATCCTTTCAAAGCCATGCGGAATGTGAGTTGCCAGAACTGAAATATTAATATCCACAGTTCCGGCAATTTCGTCTCAAAACCGTGTCTCGATGGCATCATGAAGCCGATCTGGGACTGCCTCCTAAGTCAGCTGAAATGTGCTCAACGATCCGTGTTGGAAAAAGATAGATTATCTTTCTTATCGCACCAATCCATCTCTGAATTTGTGTCATCACGAGGATGAACGGTGAGCCGTGCTACATGGGTTTGACGCAATGTCGATCCTCAGGCCTGGTCGATTTTATCCCGCAAACATGCCTACAAGATACTGGCTTACGCCCTCCGGCGTTAAACTGCCCACATCCGAGAACACGAGCGATATGAGGTCGGGCCTGCGTCGGAGAATCAGCACGGTCATTTCGGGGGCGGTAGAAGCCAAGAGCAATGACCTTGTATAGTCAACGTCCGGATTGTTCTTCGAGATTTGCTCTTGCGTTATTCTGAGAGGCACGCGTTCCGGTTGACCACCGGTGGGATAATTTGATTCGTTTTGAGACGGCGAGGACGGACTTGATGTATTCATCGAGGAAGAATTGGCGTGAAGAATGCTGGGAAATGAGAGGATTTTTGAATTGTGACTGGGAAGATCGTATTGTGATAGCGGAAACAGACGGTGGAATTTGTAGCTGATAGAGGACCCTCTGTCAGCGATTGCATCGATAGTGTCGGTCAAGTAAGAAATACCTTTCAGCAAGAGCATAGAAGGGTTTGTTGGCTGCTCTGGCGATGATTGCGATTTGATTGCTGCCTACGGCGTTCACCAGGCCGCCGCTCTCGACTACTGCCTCCGACCCAACCAGAACGAAATCTACCTTGTCCATGACATACGCCACCGCGGAGTCGAGAATTACAGTGCTGGGAACACCTGCGGCAGTAAGAGCTTCTGCTGTTTTAATTCTGTGATCTGACAATTAAGGTTTCGTCCCCCGAACGGGAAAGATATCACGTACCCCAGGCCGCGAGGACGCGCTTCTGTGACAAAAACTGGAGAAAAAGGAATTAGAAACGTTCATCTCCGCCGAACAAAAAGGGGAAAGTACCTGAGAAACGCTTTCGTTTGTGCGCAAGGAGGAGAGTTTGCATTACGACGCGTGAGTAAGAGTGGGTTAGAATCTAGTGTGTGAAATGGTTTAATATAATAATTGGAAATATAGAAAATGCAAAACGACATAAGCTTACCACAGAACCATCCTTGATGAATCCGAACGCTAGCTCTGCGATTTTCTTGCGATATGTAAGGGCTTCCGCCGCGTAGTTTTGACCCTGTCGAATGAGCTCCTTCTTAAGGTCGGTAAAATTCTGATGCCGAATAAATGAAGACAAGGCGGAAAAACAGAAGAGAGGAACATACGTCTGAATCGTGAGGGAACAGGGTGACAAAGGCAATAAAGAGTTCACAGCCGGCGTTCACGCTGATCGTGTTCGATGCCTGTTTCTTCAGGGCCTCGGCGCCGTCATTTAGAGCTTTGACAAGTTCGAACATCGTTCCAGCTTCATTGTGATGAGCGGGGAAGGGGTCTGGAGCGGGGCAGGCGCCGTACCATCCGAATTTTCTATGAGTTCTGTGAGTGCAAGAATAGCAGCGAGGGGGGTTGATATCTGACATTGTGGAGATGTGAAGACATGCTAGAGAGACGCGAGGGAGCTTGTACGGACCTCCTCATCGGCGATTTTGCGCTTGAATGCGTCGTATATGCTGAACATGGTGGTGGTGGAGAGATGAGATAGTCACATGTGACCGATCGCCGCTGTTCAAGCGGCTGGGCAATTGTTTGTGCTCCTGCCTTTTCCTCTCTTTATCATTCATGAGCAACCTCAAGATTTACCGTGAATGGTGATCTACTCATCAGGAAAGACGGTGATCGACTCTGGGGTCGACTCACGGTCGTGCGTTTCTGTTTCGCGACTGCAGCTGCTCTTCGGCTTCCCAGCCTCAGTCAAAGCGGCAGCCTGTGTTACCATTTAGCCTTCTCCTCGCGTCTGGATCGTGCCACCTCATCGCCCAGACTGGCACCGGTCAATCAACCAGATCTATGTCTGACGCTCATCGCTTCGTTTTGCCTTTCGACCCCAAAGATTGGAGACTATCCCAGGCGCGTCGAATGCAACTGCCCAAATGAAATGGCCCTCCGGGAAGGAAACACGGCATAGGTCTTCACCATTCTGGGCCCGAAGGTATGCCGGTCTTCTGCAAATCATTTCGCTAAGTGCCCGTACGGGAGGCTGAGAGCGGAGGGTCGGAAATTGGGTTGCATGTTCGAGAGCTTATGGTACGTGGTTGAAGTTCACTTCACATCTCCTGAAGGGTCTTCAGTACGCTGTATTCCCGAAATGTGGAAATGGACCTAATGACTTTCAGGCCGTCGACGCAGGGTTGGTAAGACGAACATGTGATCGACTTGTCCGGGCATATTTGTGGTTACGACGTCCCCTCGTCGAGGGATACGCGACGTGGTACCTTCTGCCGAAAGAACAAGTCTCCAACGTCCAACAGCCTAGCAATTCTTCAGACTAGACCGCAGAAGCTGAGAGAATGGGCCTGCCAGCAATGCTAAAGTGATGAGAAGGTATCGAGGAACGAATAGTCTGGAACAGCGTTTCCTAGAACAAGGTGTGATGTCGTTCTCAAGTTTCTCTGCGAAAAACGGTACTGAACGCGGAAAGTCACAGTACGTCGAAGTTCTCTTAAGCGAACATATTATCATACGCGAGGGCCGACTTCGTGCCTGGACCCGAGGCTGAAGATTTCGTCTTGAGAGGAATCATTGCGGCCTCGAAAGTGGATAATGACACCAGGATTCCAGAACGATGTCGTCGCAGTGACCACCATTTGATGCACTCGTACTGTGCGTCGACAGTCAATTCTTGATTTGACATGCCGTGGATTACCTTTCGAGGTGAAGTATAACAATGACTCCGAATTGATAGACACTGACAAGGCTTTTAGGTGCCGGCCTAATACACTTTTGTTAAACATTGTTCTCATGAAACGCGCCGCAGGTCGGACGAGGTATGGCCATCTAAGCTTGCATGGGTATCGAGCTCAAGGGAGAAAGATTACGAAGATTTTGTTTAACTTCCTGTCGCCTGGACGCTTACCGCGATCGAACGGAAGCGAATGTGGATCGTTCGCCATTGATGGTACAGTCGTGGCGCCACACAGGAGAAACTTTAACCGCATCTGTAGAGCTCTGGACTGAGTTGGGAGGACCTTCAAGGGGCGAGATATGACGCTAACACGTTGGTCGCAGATAACAAGGTTCTTCCCGTGCTTCTACGGCTATCCTCATTTTCCAATCTTTCCTCCCTTTATTCGCGGTGACAGCACTGCGCAGAGGCAGGATACGCTGTGACGGGCCGGCGCTCCGGGTGGAACGGAAACTGTGGTAGGTGTTCTAGCGCCAATCTGCCTTGTACTTGTACCCTAAATTCTTATCTGTTGCGGGGTGGATGAATAAAAATTGAGTTGCTAGACGTGTTGTTGACAATGGCCTTTTCTGTAAATATTTTTGTTCCCTTAGCGGAAGCAAATCACGTCCAAACAGAGAGCAAGTATCTTTTTCCGGCCAGTGGGCGGGGCGCGTAGGTGAGTTTGGGCTGACGCGACGAGCATTTGGGGATGTTGTGGGCTAGGACAAAGGACGGGGCCATGTCTGGGCGGCTTGGGTGTTGTAGCAGGTGTGTGGTGGTCTCCGGGGTCCGTGGACTCGTCGGGGTGAATACACGTGTATTTTCGCCCGACGCCGCATAGGCTGGATCGGTGATCCCTTTAATATTCAGTTCTGTTCGGTCCAGGGTCCCACATACAAAAGCCTGCCCCATTCCTCTTCCTCTCCGCCATCTTCTCCTCCTTCGCGACGCGCCAAAGTACCTCCTTCCTCGCCTTCTTCTTTCGTCCCGCTCACTCTTTTCTTTCCCAGTCCACATCCACAGCTCATGGCAAAGCCGCGCCCAGAGGTCGTCTTCTCCAGCGACGTCGCCAACATGGACGAATGGGCTCGTCGCACACACATCCCGCTCACTACCGCCGACGCCCTCGGCAAGACCTACGCCAAAGCCCACCGCTGGCTCCAGAGCCTCAAGACACAGCTCGTCCGTGAATACAAGTGGACAGACGTGGCCTCCAACGACCCTCGTCTGCTCTTCTGTCTCGAAACATCGTCCATTTGGCGCTCGTCAGTCGACCTTCCGGCCGGTCCGAAGCTCAGGCTTCAGCTCCCCGTGCATGCAACATCCTTCTTTTCCCCGGAGCGGCGGATACAATGGCAAATGGTCTTCCACAGCGATATCTTCGAAAATGTCCGCAAAATATGCCCCCCAATTAACGACATCCTCAACCTTGTCCAGTGCCTTCTAACAGGCGTCGTGACTGTTCAATTCGAGGAGAACCTCCCAGACGGTGTCTATCGCACAACTCGAGGCCTGCCGCCCGTTGCTTGGATTAATGCCAACGAAGCACGGCTTGCCGAAATATTCGAACCCTCCCACTTTAGGGCTCTCTGGAAGGCCTGCAGTGACACAAAAACCGCGTTCAAGCTCGACGTCGTCTCGCGTCGCTAACCCTACGCCGACGCCGCATCTTCGACATCATCTTTTCGACCTCACACATCATAACTTACTCGCCCACTCCTCCTCTTATGCTTTCCTGTATCGCTTTCGATCTGCAATAATTCTTGACCCATAGACTATTTTGGCCTTCATTCCTCTTAGTACTGACGCATTTTTTCGCCTTCATCCTTGCACATATTTTTATTTTTTGGTCATTCGAGTTCCCCCCTGCATCATTGTCCACAACCTCATAGTATGTATTCCTCAATCCGTCAGTACGTTACCCGTATGCGAGCCTACTCCTCTAGTCTACCTGCACCCGCTCCAATCGTGCAACCGCTTGATATAATTTAGACACCTCCACTAGCCTCGACTTCCATATGTACACATTGCTACTGATACGAATTGAGCGCCCGTTGCAGTGCCTTTGCTTCCATTTGGTCGCGGCGCCGCGGCGTGCAGGTGTGCTGCAATCTCAAAGAAACTGAGAGTGTTTATGTCAGGGGTGATCAGTAAACAGGAGCCTTTTCTATTCAATCCCGATCACTTCGCGCTTGTAACAGATCGTCTTTTATTTACAGCTCTGTCCACTTCTCCCATGTCGTCCGGAGCCAGCTCCGTCCTTTGCCAGAGCAAGTCCTGCCCAAACGGGAACCCCCGGTCGCGTCTCGAGTGTCCTACCTGCAATAATTATGCATGAAATTACCTGTGGCCTGCCCGATTATAAATTTAAACCGCGATTATTAGACTGGGGATACGCGGCTCGTTTTATTGCGGACAAGAGTGTTTCAAGGCTGGATGTGCGCCGTTTCTTTGTCTCGACGTTCCTGGCAACAACATCTGATGCCTCCAATATCGCACAACGCACAGGGGTTAGTGCTCTCTTACAATTGGCCGCACAGTGCTACCGAGCTAAGCCGCATCCCGTCATCATAGAAAACACACAAAATTATCCATGACCTCGCAAAGTCCGGTAGTGCCACCAATCAAGGTGCGTCACTTGCCTATCTGGTGGCATGAATGGCGCGACATGGCTGTGCATGTGTAATACAGATGGTACCTATAATCCGTTTGCCGACTACGCCTTCACTGGGACTGTGCGCCCTGTCTATCCTCTATCGCCAACTCGCAAAGTGCCGGACCACATACCTCGACCTGACTACGCCGAAGATGGTGGGTAATATATTCTTGGATGTAGAGCTTTCGAGGTCCTCACGGGAAATTTTCCGCTCTTCACAAGGGAAACCGCGATCTGAGATGCAGCGCGCCGGCCAACCTCCTCGTATCTTGAGCCCTGAGGAGCAAGAAAAGATGCGCACGGTCTGCCGCGTAAGCGAAGCGATATTTGCTAAGCCCAAGCCACGTCGCGCTCACTCCCGACTCCCGGTCTAGCTGGCACGCGAGGTTCTCGACATCGCTGCAGCCAGTGTCCGGCCAGGCATTTCAACGGACGAGATCGACGAGATCGTCCACAACGCCATCATCGAGCGAAACGCGTATCCCTCCCCACTCAACTACCGGAACTTCCCTAAATCCGTCTGCACGTGCGTCTCTCGTGTCTTCCTCCCATGTCTCGCTGGGTTTACGGCGCCTAAATGACCCTGCTCAAATATCTAGGTCTGTCAACGAGGTTATTTGCCATGGTATCCCCGATCAGCGGAGGCTGAGAGAGGGAGACATCGTCAACATTGGTCTGTCTTCCCGTTTCTCTAAAAAGGTCATACAAATACCTACTGTCGTCTAGATGTGTCGTTATACTACGAAGGTATGCATCGTATCCTTTTTTTTCCCTTTGCAGGGATATGGGCCAACCTCATCGCTATAGGCTATCATGCAGATCTCAACGAGACATACCCAGTTGGAGAAATTGATGAAGATTCGAAGAGTCTCATCCGCACGACGCGTGGGGCTCTAGATGCAGCGATCGCTATGTGCAAGCCCGGGGCATTATTCCGAGACATAGGCAAAGTGATGTAGGTCTTATGTCTCGCAAGGTATGCTCCGATCTGAACGGCGTATCCAGTGAGCCACTTGCACGAGCAGGCGGCTGTGCGGTCGTTCGCACATACACTGGACACGGAATCAATGACCTCTTCCATTGCTCGCCGACGAATATCCCCCACTATGCCAAGAACAAGGCCGTCGGTACCATGAAGGCCGGAATGGTTTGTCGAAATATCGGGATCCACTTTCACTGGCTAACCTTTGTCTTCGATAGACATTCAGCATCGAGCCGGTTGTCATTTTTGTAAAATGACCTCCTGCTGCTTGGCTAACCAGTATTCCTAGATGTTGAACTTGGGCACCAACTGGGGCGATGTTCATTGGCCGGACAACTGGACGGCAACCACGACAGATGGGAATAGAAGCGCCCAATTCGAGGATACAATATTGTAGGGCGTTTAGCTTGCTTCATGTCCACTTGTTGATGAAATACGTCTGTCAGAATTACCGAGAATGGAGCGGAAATCCTCACAAAGGGCACTCGTGCAGTTTTATGATGATACTGATACGTAGTTGAGGAAATACACTATGTCCACTATCCACCATGACAAGGAGATATAGAAACGCAAACTAGGTGACTGACCACTTTTATGGACAAAACCACAGAGATTGATTTTTGTCGATTACTTGATCTTCGCATGCAGGATTTCATCATTCAAATCCTGCGTAGCATTGTCAAATGGTTGTTCAGGATCGACAGCAGCAATTCGACTGACAGGAACTCTATCCGAGAGACTTGCTCGGCGTGTTCTGTGAGGAGAATGGTCGTCGTGGCCATCTTGATGATGGCTATGGTTTGTGTTGCGAGACTGTGCTGAAAGAGGGGCCATACGCAATCGCTGAAGGTCGGCGTACGAGCTTTGACGACTGCGTGACTTTTGTGGTACGTGAGAGTCACCATCGGTCGGTAAGAACCCAACAACGTTGTCGTAATCGCCGGCGTCTTCTTCGTCAGAATCGTTGGGGGTGTGGATCCTGCTGATATCGTCACCAGCCCAGGCACTAGTACCGCGTTTTGAGCTACGGCTCCAGCCAAAAAGACGCTCGTCGATCCATGTCATAGGATGTGTAAGTCCGAGTCCTTGGGCATCAACGGCCCCTGTGCTGCTCGTCCTTCTCCAGAGGCCCGATGATCCGCTGGAAGGAGGTGCGCTAGCTGAAGGGACAAGAATCCGTGCCTGAAAATAAAAAATAATTAATCGCCGTATATGAAGGTAAAGGGATTGAGTAAACCTGGTCAAAATCTTCGTAAATTTTGGGTCCGTAGTCGTTAATGAGACTCGCGACTTCATTCGCCAAATGTATCCTCATTGCTTTAAGTTTGTCCAAGGAGCGTTGTTGGCCAGGAGCCAAAGCAACAATGAGAGGAGGTAGAGACCTGAAACAACATTTTGAATCATCGTCATGGATAAGGAGAAAGCACCGACTTTAACACATCCATCCCGGCTTCACCAAATTTGAGGGCGGCGAAATTCATGAAAGGCAAGGCGGTGCTAACCAAGAATGGAGTTGCTATTCTCCACTTCAACGGAGCATGAGCTTGTATCACGACCATGGTAGCCACAATGGCGTAGAATGCATAGAGAACAGGTGTAATACCCAATGCAATCAGAATCTTCCAGGTTGCCAGAACGTCGCGTCCAGCAATTTTGACAACAGAGGCAGCAAGAGCCTCTAAGGGCGAAGGGTTAGACTGGTAACAATACGACGTGAGCACTGCAAACCTTTTGCCTTTTTCCTCGAGATAATGGAAGCGATGATGAACATTGGGCCATTCAAAATCGTTCCAGGTAATGCGAGCAATGTCCAGAAGAGGAGTAATCCAATACGATATGTCAGAAGACCAAGGGTTTTCCAGCCTGCCTTTTGAGCACGGGGAACCTGGGGGACTGTTGGGTACTCATTTTTAACACGACACGACGCGAATGGGCTCACTTGATGATCTCTAAGGCCAAGATCGCGGACAAGGCGGTTATACTTCAAAACATCAGCACGAAGTTTCTGAACACGAGGCTCGTCCTTGAAGTGGACATAACCTTCCAGCAGTTTTCGGTTCAGTTCGACAACCTGACCAAGTGTCAGGTGTTGCCCTGGGGTTTTGTACAACCTCCGAACGGCTTGGATGAGCTGCAATAAGAAACATAAAGACTAGACTGACGAAAAAAAGGGGGGAAACACTTACCATAAGGGTGTCATAATCGGGGGCCCGAATGGTGACCGTTTTTAAGCCATTATAAATGAGATCAAGAAATTTGGCAACAGCCTCCCGCTTTTGAGCCCCGCCTTGCTTGAACATCTCCACGTACTCTGGGGGTACGTCGAGAGCGGAACCAAACTCAACCACTGCTCGTGAACGAAATCGATGCGCGTGGAAATAGGAAAGGCCGACGGGGACAATTTTGACTTGACACCTTGGGTCATTTGCCATGGCTCCAAGGGCCATGATAGATACTCCGGCCTTTAGAGGAAGGAGGTCGGTGCGGTCATGGCTGCCCCCTGACGGAAAAATAAGCTACAGTAGAGCGGAAGAAAAGGACGTGGTACCTTCAGGGAAAATACCGATACTACCGCCCATTGTGAGGCATTGGTATACATGACGGTACATCTCTTGCTGGTCAACATAAGGCAGTTTTTGATAGTCGAGACCAATGATTCCTTCAGTATGCAGTTCTGCAACCTTTTCTCGGATTCGTGCCGTGCCTTTACCACTTTCACCGCCGAACTCTTTCTTTATGCGCAATTCCGTGTCTGAAATAACCTCGCTGACTTCGGCGACTGCTGAATTGAGGGCTTTCGGAAGCATGATCTGCATACGAGGCTTAAATTCGCTAAGGAACTTGGTCCCTTCACCCAGGACGAGACACGGATCGTCCGGAGAAATCCCAATGCGACCTGTACCGGTTTTCGCAGAATCTGCAGCGCGCGCAACAGGAACTAGTTGTCCCTGTGAGGTGAATGAAAGCAGAAAGGCGGCATGTTACACATACTACTGTCCATTAATCTTGCAAAAAACCCGATCCACTTTCGGTCCATACTTTTCGCAGCGGTAAGGAACTGAACGCGTCTGTGCGTCTCTTTGTAAACTTCTAGACTAAGCAGGAGGGGATCCAGAAACTAGGCCCGAAGCTATCAGTAAATCAGGAAATTCAGATCAAGGTAAGTACCTACTTGATTGTTGTGAGGAGCTCCGACAAAGATTACTGGTCCGGTTCGAGGAACATGGAAAGCCCCCCGAGGTCGTACTTCACGGAAGAATATCTGCGTGATAGTCCGCCAGAAGAGCATGGCGGCATCGTAGGAAATGGATTTCTCGTCCTTCTTTAGTAGGAGAGACATTCTAAACGCAGTAGAGACGGAAGGATGTGGCTGGGGCAGAAACTCCTGAGTCTGACAACGCTGTTTGAATGAGAAGCCTCTTGTGAACGGTGATGGTCCAAGGCCAACATCATACATCATAAGACCCTTTTGGGGCAACAACGACAAATACTTCTTGGCACTCTAGACAAAACGAAAAGTGAGGTGTCCAAGAAATAAATTATGCGAGGTATAACGATTATTATATGCTGAATGTACACGATGACGTCGAGAAAATTCCACAGTACTATACACTTCCTAGTCCTTATCCCGTAGAAGTCCGCAAACCTGGAGTCGATCGCCCATGTGAAGAACCAGTGCTTACGGTGCTTGACCGATACTGGAAGATGTCATGCAATCTGGAGAGGCGATCTTGCTGGTCGGACCCTTCCATAGCTGAAGGACGCGATGGGGGTACCACCGCGTCCGAAGGGGCAGTCACGGGATCCTCTGCAGCAGTCGTCGTACCATTGGCTATGGTTCTCGTCCCGTTCCGAGATTCGGTGCTATTATATTCGAGTTCTGAATGCAGTATCAGATCAATGGAATGACAAGCGAGACACTCTATACTCACTCGATAAGGTATTGGCAACAGCAACATCGCGTTCTTGGTCCTCTGCAGCACGACTGGCAAGTGCCCGATTGATATATTTCCTAAAGGCAGCACCAGTCGACTCCAACAGCTTCTCCACACGAGGTCGTTTATGAGGATAGGCTTTGAGAAAATGATGAAGCTCCGTGATGCCCTCCTTGTGCAGCGCTCCAGTCGTCTCGCTTGATATATGCCCAATGATGACAAGCAGTTGTGCGTCTGGATCTGGCTCTTCAGCATTTGGGGAATATTGACCATTACCATGTACTGAGGACGAGCTAGTGCTGGTTCGTTGACTGCGGGGATGATGGCCAGAGTGCACAGATGCAGTTTCCGGAGGAGACTGCGGCCGACTGGAGGCAGGAGATGTCGGACGTTCATAGTGGTCCGCACTGTTTCCGTTTCGCTTCGATGTTGTCGCCTCATTGTTCGTTCGGCTCGAAGAGTTCAAGATGCGATACACATAGGGATATACTATGGTCGCTGATGGATCATCAAAGGATGCCGAAAGGAGCTCATACACGTCGTCGGCATAGTGTGCTGGGGGAGTGTAAGCAAACTCTCCGATAGCAGGGCAAGGAGATAAACCTACCAACAATGTGTTGGATGATGACCTTGATCGTCCTCAGTGGCATATCTCCACATGGGACCTTGTTGGTTGCGCGGGCGCGCCACTCATTCGGGGGGACCGACTGGAGGAAGTGCTCGATCGCAGGGAACAATTCGACAGGATCTAGCATCGCTTCGGTGAGATCTTGTGGTATGTTTCTAGCTAGTTTCCAAACGCATTTAAGCACTAGCTCAGCCACACGTGCTTCTTGGGAGTCCGGAAGCACGCCGTTACTCGGGAAAGGCTTGACAATCTGTAATAATAATGCAAAGAGTGCCCTTTGAGGAATTTGTTAGGAAATGCCAGACTGTCCTTCAAAAGTTTATGACTGACCTGAAGATGGACATTCTCCTTCCAGTGGCAAATAGACGAAGAATAATCATGTTAATAAAGCGAGACAAATCCTTGACCTTTCGCACAGGACTGTCGTCTGTTTCGAGAAGACGAAGTGTTAACTCCTCCAGGAGGGAGGTCAATATCTCAACAGTCAATGACTCGGCGAGGAAAGAATGATCGCAAAAATTGTTGAGTGTTTGTATCAGATGCTTTGCGAGTCGGAAGTTTTCATCCATGCAGAGCTCGGTGGGTGACTCGAATACATGAGCCATCTGAAGTGTTATTGTTTCGATAAGGCCCTCTGTATGCTCGGCGAGTTCGCGATATCGGGGTGAGGATGGTCCTTCATCAGGACCTACAGAAAGTATTTTCTGTATCCGCTTGAGGGCATCAACACTGCGAGATGGATCGGCACTCAAGATGCTCGATATCGTCAGAGTGATATCTTCTGACCCGTCAGATCGAGCACTACGTGTGGCACGAATTGTGGCAGCATCGTCATCAAAAGCAGGAGCAACGGGTTGCAGTTTGAGCGGAGGTGGTGCTTGCACTTCCGATGGCACTGGCGCCTCCTCGTGAGTCTGCAGGTTGGTGGATGGCTGAGTGTTTGTGCGAGGTCGACCAAGACGTGATGGTAGCATGCTTCGCGGCCTAGCTTTGCTGGGTGAAGAAGGAATGCCGGTTGGTGCCTGCGAATTACTTGATGCCGGTCGCATAGGAGACTCAGGACGCGTTTGAGAGAGAGCAGGAGAAGCCGATCGAAGAGGTTGGGCGGGGGAGGTTGGGCGGGCTATCCGAGATACCGCGGCAACGGAAGGACTAGCTGGCCTGGGGACACTCGTGGCGAGACGAGCGATGGCAGGGGCATGGGCAGGAATTGCGCTGTTTTCGGTTCTGCTTGGACCAGGAACACGCCGCAGTCTTTCTTCAAGCTGTGTTTTGTCTTTGGGGGATAGAGGGCCAACCAGTGACCACACCTTCTCCCCAACGAGAGTGTAAGCTTCACTAAAAGAAGCAAAGAAGTTGACTAGATATCGTCTCCTGTGTGTCTGAGTAGCACATACCTCAGTGTTCCAAGAGCCGACTTCCGCACTGATGGGTCCTTGTCGGAAATAAGAGCAGCAACCGCTGGAAGAGCTTTGGATGGTTCGCAAGCACCCATCCCAGATTTCTTCAAAATGGCGGACAGTTCATCTAATGTTCCTTGGCGCGTCTTCGCGACCTTCGCCTTCAATCCGTGTTCGACCAAGAGAGAAAAGACACGGCTATAGGCGTAGACTGTAGGTAGATTTCGAAGTATTTGTTGAACACGAATTCGCACGGGCTCTCTTGCATCCCCGAGCTGTAGGACATATAGGTTAGAGTGTCACTAGGCGGTCACGTCGAGGAAACACCACCTTATGGATAATAGTAGGGACAAAGCAAGTCGCCTCCTGATCGGTTAACTGGTAATTAACGTTGCGGAGGAATGCAATAACCGCCTCAGCAAGATCCAGACACTTGGATATTAAATTGGGTTGTGGTTCGTGTATCTTAATCGAGAGATATTTGAGCGGAAGGTCTATGTTGGCAACGGAAAGCTTTTCGATGGTTTCGTCAGCATCCAATGCACCAACATAAAAGTCAGTCATGATTGTTAGACCACTTATATGATCGTTGACAGCATTGTGGTCATGGCTGAATAACTTCGCCACCAACTCCTTCGAGGTATGGGATTCCATTTGGCTTTGCAAGAGCTCTGCCAAATCTTTTCTGGTCGGGCCGCCTTCATTTATCCATCTATTGGTATCTTTCCCTAAGCGTGTCTTCTTGGTCTCGATATTCAGATTAGAAAACGGCAGGGCAGGATTGGGTGTGATCGGAGCGCTGCTTGGTTGCTTTGTCGAAGCACTGCCTGGTATGGATTTCTTAATCCCAAGAGTGGCGAGCTTATTTGGCATATCGACGCTGTCGGCTCGAGATTCTGGTCTGCTGGTACCCAAAGGGATTTTTCGACGTACTCCAGAGAGTTTGCTAATAGGTTTTGTTTCTGGCATCGCGGCTGCGACCGGAGACTCTGGCACTTCGGCAGGGGGAGCCAGGGAGGGTACAAGCTTTGTTGGTGGGGGTGGCTTCGACGATATCTCCTTTACAGCAGTGCGAGCTGCTTGTATAAGCGGAACAGCACTCGCACGAGATGCAGGCTTGAGAGGCCCTGTTTGCTGCATCACGTAGTCAAAACCCGCGCATTCAATTACGACTGGGAGAAGAGCCTGCGATCCCTTGCGGACATCGGCATTGCGATCATCAAGAGAGGTTACGACGAACGGCACCCAGGCTTTCAAGTCGAGGGAGGAAGATAGAGGATGGTCTTTGAACCAATCTACCAACCATTGGAATAGAGTGGCTTTCTGCAGTGGATTGGTTGTTTCAAGGGCACTTGAGAAGCCACCGATCAACGAATCGATCCCTTCGCATGCTGTGGCAATGGCGGTAAGAGTTTGTAGAGCAGCATTTCGAATGGGAGCCTTCTGGTCTGCCAGCACTGTGCATACTGATAAGGCATATAGACGAGAATGCTTTTCGAAGGGTTTGCCCATGCCCGTTGCAATACGCCCTACGATATCGAGAGCCAAGGTTTGCACTGCCTTATTCGTATCGGTCACTCTGGCCTTGAGGACCTGTCCAATTTCACCTTTATAGACGGATATAACTAAGTATGAAGACCCAGGATGCGAAAGAGGGAACTGACCCATATTTGGCTTCAGTCGCTTATTGCTTCCTTGATCAAGGAGAGCTTGTAGGCCCTCTAAAGCCTCTTTCTTTGTCTTCCACGCATCGCTCTTCGCGTCAGCCAAGATAGTATTCCCCTTGAGCAGTGTGTCGATCTCGATTCGAGGGAACAGATCGTCTAGTGGATCACTGCCACCTCCAGTTTTGCCATCGCCGGAACTAATGATCACATTGGCTAGATCCGCCGAAGTCCTAGTTGGCTCAGGCGCAGACTGGCCTTCAACCTTGTCAAACTCGGAAGTGATGGTATTGAGGAGCTGTGAGTTCAAATCTTCGATGAGATCTTTGACGCCTACACAATAGGTCAACTCAGAAAGGATAAAAGGTAAAGAAGGACCTTACTCGATCCAGCAAATAACTTCACCGTAACAAGAGCCTTTGTTGCATTCGTCCTCACAGCAGCATTGGAATTTTGCAATGCCGTCTTCAAGAACTCGATCAAGGCGCGCAGAGATAATCCTGCGATGCCAAAATCGACCAAAGCTGCATTGATCCAGGTAATCGCATCAGCTACGACTTTCGGGGCCTTCTGTTTTGAGAGAGGTTCATAAGCTTGCGAAGGTATTTTAGTAACTCTCGTAACAAGACACTAGCCACGTCTTACATACCTTGACCGAGAACGAATTGAAGAGAGGATTTCTCAGCGAAAGCAAGGAGAGCATCACCGGCAGGCTTCTTCAACTTCATGTCGCCCAACTTGTCGGTGAGATGCGCGACGGAAAGGGCAATGCAAGATCTACCAAAAGAGGGACACTCTTGCGAAAGGAGAGTGAGGATACCATAGATTTTGGCGGAAACCTGTCGATAAGATAAGTCCCATTGAATTTAAGGAAAGGATGGACAAGTGACCTGGAAGTTCTTCTCAGACCAGCCCTTTTTCGCTAAAGCACGAACAAGAACTTCAGCATCCAGGCTCTGTATCTCGTTTTCTAACCAGGCAGACGTTTCATCCAAGGCTGCCAGACGAGTCTTCCAGTTAGCATCTCCTAGATCCGCAAGGATAGATCCAGGTATCAATTCAGCAGCGAGCGCGTCTGCGTCTTCTGGCGTGTGTTTATATTTGACGGTGTCAAGGCTCCCTGCTGCTGCCGGAGCGGCCTTGGCCCCCGCCTTAGATGCTGCGCTTGAAGGAGCCTTCTTTGGAGCCGCTGCAGCAGGGGGGGCAGCAACGGCAGGTTTCTTGGGCTAAGGTTTCCAAAGAGTAGTAAGAAACCAGTCATGAAGCGAGGTCGAGTAGCATACCGGAGGTTTTGCCATAGGCTTTGGTTTGGTGGACGGTGGCGGCGGCTCGTCTTCTTGTGCAGGTGGATGCAGCGCTTTCGCAGGCGCCTTTGACGGGGGTGCCTTCTTCGCGGGCGGCGGGGCAGAACCTGCTTTGCACTTGACGACTGCCTTCTCGAAAGCTTCTTTGATTTTGGCTTTCCTAATATCTGCCACTGTGTCCATCGTGGCATTAAGAGGGCGTTCTCCCACCATCTTCATCAAATACCCAAAACAGGTCGCAGATTCGTTGCGGGCACCTTCAAACCCGTCCTCGAGCAAGGCAGCCAATGCCTCTGCTAAAGGTTTTACTTGTGCCTGTTGGATGGGGGTTGTGGCTGACGCCAAACAGCGGCCTAAAAATTTCAACGTCCCTTCTTTGACTTGGGGATTTTTGGACTTCAAAGAAGGATCCAGGTCGGGAATGATGTCGTTCAAGGTGGTCTGCAGAGTCCATGAGTATGTTGTCACGAAAGTCGAAGTTAGCAAACTCACCGTGGAAAACACCGCATCCAGAGCAAGACCAATTGCATCGGTGACATTTGTTTTGCGCTCCTTCAACCTCTCCAACATGAGAGGCACGACGGCCTCACGATACTTGGCGAAGAAACTCATCATTCCTTTAGCAAGATCTTCCAAACATTTGGCCGCAACCATGACACAATTAATGTTGGCGTCTTTGGCAATACAGCTAGCCAACGATTTAGTTAGGTCAGAAATTTCGGCAGCGTCCTTTATTCTGGGTGTATTCGTCAGAAGGGTGGAGAGGTTGTCCAAAGCCTCCTTGCGTTCCTTCCATTTGGGAGACTTCAGGTCAGTCTGGAGTGACGGGGAAAGCTTTGGTACAATGTCCACAATTTCGGCAAAGGTTCTTGGATCCGGAGGTGCCATGTCTAGATTCAGTGACGGATGAATTAACAATTCAATTAAAGACGCAGTTGACCTTACCCTCTGGCTCCTCGGCAACAACATCACCACCATCTACAGCCGTTGCTGCCTCTCGCGCTTGTGCACGCGTCAAACGTTCCGCTTTCAGCGTCTTGTGTCCTTTCCCATCCTTCTCAAGGCCTTCAAAGGAATCCTTCAACTCCTTGACCTGTACCGGCTTCAAGTCGGCGAGCCATGGCTCAATACCAGATCCAATATGCTGGTACAGAACTAAAGCCAGATTTGTTCCTTCAGCACGGACAGTCTTGTCGGAGTGTGCAAATATCTTAGGCAGAGCTTTCAGAATGGGAGGGGGAGGTACAGCCTGGGTGCCGAAAACCCTGAAGAAACGTAAGAGCCTGTAAGGGAGGGTGGTGGCATGTTCTCACCGTGTGGCCTCTTTCAGCGCCAGGATGCACCCAGCTACTGCTTTCGGTTGCTTTGCACCCAACCCGATGAGCAGATCGTTCTAATAAAGTGTGCTTGGGGTCAGACGACGGCGACCTTCGACTCGGTGGGACGTACCACAACTCCAGCACCACCGTTCTCGACTTCAATGTATTGTAGAACGAGCTCGATAGCCTGGTTCTTCGTTCCGGCACGCGTAGAGCCTAGACACTTATCCACTAAGGCAGGTACAACGACATCACGCGTTTTAGCAGCTGTTTCCCCTGCAAACTTTACGAGGGCTACAAGACATTCGACGCCTTTCTCTTGAGCCACAGCATTTGCATCTATCACAATCTTCTTGAGGAGATCCCCATGGTTAATATACGGTTTGAAGGCGGGATCGTTATCGGACGCAGTGTTCTCGAAAGTCTTGATGAGCGATTCATATCCGCTAACACGGGCTTTCCAGTTCTTGTGAGCAAGTCGTTCAGAGATCGGAAGTGTGGTAAAGTCCTCTTCCGGTGGCGGTGGCCCGTCCATTCTCCAGTGAGGCGGAGGTCGGTAGGCAAAGGGAGCAGAGGTCGAGGAAGCAGAAATGCAAGTTGGAAAGTTCCAACTTTCAGCACGGTGCCGATATGGCCCACGTGACCTCAATAAACAGTGCCCAGACTCCGAAATGAGAACGCGCCTCCTTGGCGCCTTCATGAGCATCGGATGGGTCTTTCATTCTCGAATACAAGCACCTTTAATATGCATATTATACATACAATATACAAATAAATACACGTTCTACCTAGATGCCAAGGAAGCCCCTATCGCAGCAGACAATTGTAGTATTTCCTGGATTTTTTCATCGAAAGTGATAAATTCCAGAGTCCTTTGATGGGCTTCTGTATCAGCATGTCGTTTTGCGGCATTGTTGCGTTCCGTATCCATGTCCAAATTGTGATAGACAATAGATAGCATGTATTGAACATCCTTAACTGAGCCATAGATTTCTAATTTCTTGAAGTCCGACTCTGCCATCAACAGATATGGAATGGCTTCTTGGAAGGCAGCAACTGAAATTCCACGTTAAAGCAACGCTGTTATGTTCTCAAAACGGAACACTTACGCGTTGAACCTTCAGCAGCTATGATGCATCGGGCTAGGGTAAAACAGGCGACAGCCCGCTGCTCTCGGTCATCGCCGTTGATTATCTATAGCGAGTAGAGGAGCAAGTCAAAAAAGCTCAGGAGAACGAATGTACTTCATACCTGGGGCATAATCTCTTCCAGAATACGCCGGGATCTTTTTGACATTCTGAATTCTAACCCGATGTCTGCAAGAAGAATGATCCCGGTTCTGTAGAGGCCATATTTGCACAGAAATTCAGAGTGCCAGAGATTTTTCAGCAAATAATCAACCCCCATCGTGAATTGATCGTGTTCCTTCGGCGGGGGAGGTTTCAACTAGCTGCACGGGGCAGCTGCAAGTACCACCCACCTTCAGTCGCAGTATTTGATGCAATGATTCTCGAATTGGGGACATTTTCTCGCCCTCGGCATCAAGGAAATATTCCCTTGCGTTGAACGGCCCGTTTGGCCTCTTCGGAAGCAAGAATTGTCGATACAGACGAAATTGTCCTCTGAACCAATCATTAGAGACTATTCAATGAAAATCGCTTTCGACATACCGACGGGTGGCACGCAATGTCAAAATGTGCCACAGTTGGTGGCTCCAATGTGAATACTCATATAATGTTAATCCACACCAGATGGAAGGATGCAAGAGAAAAGACAAGGCTTCCTCGTATTCGCCCTGTCTGGCTTTCTGAAGCAAGAAGATGTAAGTGCGTTATTTCTTTCGTTTCAAACCGTGTACCTTGTATGCCTTGTTGAGAATTACGGAAAGTCTATCGGAGCCTTCCTCGCCAGAGCGGGCAAACGCCATTACAACGTTTTGTTCCGCGCTTGCCAAACCTTCACAGCCTGGTGCCGATTGCTCGATTGAGGAGAGAATAAATGGATCAAGGAGTATCACTGACCTGCTTCGGCCCAAAGGATTGACTGCGCTGCATGTTGCGCCCATTGCTCGGATTCAACTGGCTGCGCGGATTGCACGTCTATCCAGTGATCATATAAAGCTATAGCCTGAAATAGTTTGATGAAGGCTGCGCTCAACGGTTGCTCCTGCAAGAGCTGTAAGACTCTATCGTGCACTCAAAAAAACCTCTTTACGTTCTCCTCCGTCATCAATTTTTTGACATCGTAGAGGATTTCCAAGGGGTGTAAGTCGGGTTGAATCTCGTGGAGAAATGGCTTCTTTTCAGTATTTTCGTAAGGAATCCGATGTAATAAGCTGAGGAGGTTATCAAAAATGGATCGATGCTATTCCGGACTTCAGCCCACCTGAGACAGTGGTGCAGGGTGACTTTGTCTGAACTTGTTCGTGCTGTATCGATCGCCTCAGTCAGCAACTTGAATCCCGAGATGTCAGTGGAGTTTTATGGACGTTTCGCATAGCGCTCTACCTTCCGTGCTGCTGCATATTCTCCTTTGATGTAATGCATCCTAATCAAGCTGAGTATCCCATGCTGACGGTATCCCCTAACGATTCATCAAGACGGGTCGAATATTTGACCGGCGAGCCACTTACGAGTCATGGCTGTCGTGGAAATGTTGCTCGAAGAATCGACGCAAACTCTCGACTGCAAGGTTTTCATCGCCCGTAAGAACACCTTTCTGCCATCTGTCACTTCGTTTGAATGACTGAAAACTTAGAAAAGAGCAGTTCTGTACCCCTCATAGTAACCGGCCCTAGCCCAGGTTTTCTTATCGGCTTGTGTCTTGAAGAGTAAGAGATCCGCTGGGAGAGAGCAGTAAGGACAGGATCTAAGTGCTTAAGAGAACACGTACAGGTTAATTCGTCCTTTTGGGCGACAAAATATCCAGCTGTAGGAGCATCGTTGACCCACGCTTGATAATCGGCGACCAGACGATTTATCCCGATGTAAGATAGCTTCACGAAACTAGTAAAGCATCGGCGCGTGAAATATCCAAATATCGAGCGGCGAAGCTAAATGGGTAAATTAAGAGACGGAATAGAGTGCTGGAAGTTGAGCGCTACAAATCTAGGTGTTTCCTAAACATAGTTCAATCAAGTAGTCAGACCTTCGAAGAGCGCCAAAGTGCAAACCCTTTACATCGATTTTGGGAGAGAGAAGGAAATTGGTAGCTTCAGAGTCAATCAGTATAAGCAATTAAGAGTCCATTTACACTCAACTTGAAAGGAAAACATGCATGTCATCTGGCGTGAGGAGCTGGTGAGGCTGTATATCATGTCAAAGAAGCAGGTAGTCGTGAATGCAGCCGCTAGAGCGTACAATGTGGGCTATTTCCGCATTGAACGTGGCACAAATAGGCACATCTGCCTTGGGACCTGAGCTTAACACCTCCACTATTTCTTTGTGCGACTTGGGGATGGATACCTGTCAAGTTGACAGAAATTAAACAAAGTATGTGGTCAAGACGATTTGAATACTCCCCTCAGATATCTCATTCAGGAGAAGGCGATGAACGTGGAGAGAAAATTCATCAGGAAACTTCTTTACTTTCCAGTCTTGATAGGCATTCATGAGAATTGCAAGCAAAGTAACATGGTGCGGTCGCAAGACGTGATCGGCAGGTGGAGGCGCGTCGTCCATGACAGAAAATGTATGTGTGGGGCTTAAATGGTACCGATGGTTGGGATGGCGCAATATTGAATAACTTCTAGGCAGTCGTTCGTGGACGAAAGGCAGATGCAAGCAGCAACAAGACAGTGACTGCTAGGGAGTGTTTCGTCCACGTGAGGGCGTTGCTTGCTATAGATGTCTCTGGTAAATAGACCGGACGAGATAATGTCCCCTTTGGGTTCGAAAAAAGACTGACCTCAGTGCTCACCGCACCGGCGGCAACTCTCCCTAATGGCGGGCAACCTCAAGAGCAAAAGACCTGCCCCTGCACCTTCAGTTGAGTCCAATCTTCTCTACATTGGCCACAACTCTCACATCCTTATAGACATCCTCCAAAAGGCGGAAGCTTAATAATGGAAAGCAGAAGAGTACAACGGGGACTTCCAAGGGCAAAGTCAAGATAGTGAAGAAGGAAAAGGCTGCAGATCGTGGCATAATCCCGATTCCAAACCAACCTGACGACGATGATTTGGATCTCTCCGACCAGGATATGGCCGTCCTCTCAGAGTTCGGGAAGCATGCGGGTTTTCTGACCAGCTTGAATCATAAAGGGCTTATGAGGTGAGTATTATTTCAATGCTCCACGGTGCATCCCTAGTTCATTTAATGACACGATAGGAGCAAAAAGGAAACACAAAGATTGCATGAGTTAACCAAACCTGTACGGAAGCAGCCTGTCGCTGACGACTTACCCTCCCTCAATTCGGATCATGGAGAGGATGACTGGAGTTCGGGCGTGGACGACCTCGATTCCAACCTTCCAGAAGATGAAAATACTTTTTCGGATATTTCGGATGATTCGAACGCGGAAATGTCCTACGAGACGCAGCCACGAAAACGTCGTCCATCTTGGGACGAAGAGGAGAACGCCATAGTGCGACGCCTTCCTATTAAACTTGCAGACGGGAAGATTCAGGATACTGGTCGTAAAGAATTCCGCACCGTAGTTTCAGACCGTGAGTCGTCCGAGGAAAGCGATGGTAGTGAACCAGAAGAAGAGGAAGCTGAACGGATCGACGATGTTTCAACTGGCGCGCGATTTGGTCGACCGGCGGTCGTGGACGTCCTACAAATCAAATCGCGGAAGCAGAAGGTTGAAGCGGCGAAGAATCAAATAGCAGGGATCTGTCAAGAAATCTTAGCTGACCCCGAGAACAGTGTAAGGCATTCTAGCTTTCGTCTATTTGCCGCAGCTGAAACAACCATCCAGCTTGGTCTTCTCAGAAGATTGCATACTTTCGCCTTGTCTACTGTTGCGACACCCACGCATCCCGATCATGTACCCAACGACCCCATTGTTCGACAGTTGGCCATCCTTTCTCAACTTGCCATATTCAAGGATATTATTCCAGGATATCGAATCCGCGCACTAACAGAAGCGGAAAAGGCGGAAAAGGTTAGCCAACAGGTTGCACGGACGCGGGATTGGGAACAAGGTTTAGTGACGGTATATCAATCTTACCTTCGCCTCATGGAGAATGAGCTGAAAAGTGAGCAGACCTATTCCCCTCCGACTTCATTTATGTTCACCTTATCCCAGCACGGAGCAATCTAGCAGATGTTGCACTGCAATCGATGTGCACCTTGTTGACTGAAGTGACGCACTTCAATTTCCGAGTGAATCTCATGGCATCTATCGTTGCCCGCCTGAGTAAAAAATCATGGGACAAGGTGGGCGTCCTTTTAACGCCGAATCAGCGTGGTTGATCATAACCTCTCCCAAGTCTTCGGAACAATGCTCTAAAACTCTGATTACGGTCTTAAAAGCTGATCTGACCGGGGAGGCATCACTGGAAATTGTACGGCTAATGAACAGGATGATTAAGGAGCGACACTTTCAAGTTCACCCCAATGTCCTTTCCTGTCTACTTTCCCTTCGTCTTCGGACCGAACTCGGTGTCCGAGCCTCTGATACTCATGCTGACAAGTCTGAAACCAAGGATAAGAATAAAAGAGGCAAAAAGTCGCAACGGATACATCTCAGTAAAACCACTAGAAAATTCCTCAAGGAGAAGAAAGAAATAGATAAGGAACTCCGGGAGGCTGACGCAGAGGTCGATAAGGAAGAACGAAACGCGACGGTAAGCTATATGAAGTGTTCTCCGCTTCCTTCAGGTGACTCATGGCGCAAAACTCTAGCAAACGGAAACTCTTAAGCTTCTCTTCGCATTATACTTCCGCATCCTCAAGAACCCCACGCCCACTCCACTTCTTCCTTCCGCTCTCTCAGGCATTTCTCGCTTCGCGCACTTGGTGAACATCGACTTTTTCAAAGATCTCATGAAGGTCTTGCGAGATCTAATCGCCATGGAGGAGCCTGTCGCTTCTGATACCCCAGATCTTCGATCAGCGAACACGCAGGACATGTCTGAAGGCGTTTCACGACGATTAATGTGTATTGTGACCGCCTTCGAACTTCTATCAGGGCAAGGTACCGTACATTGAAATATCCTCCGTTAATTTAGGGGTTAGGACTGATGATGGTGCGTTATCAGGCGAGGCGCTCAACATCGACCTGGGCGAATTCATTACAAGCCTCTATGGGATGCTCCTCCCCCTGGCGTTCGCCTGCGGGATCGACACACCCGGTTCCGTTGGGAGGGAAGAAACAACAGGCGCCGGGCCGACGAGAAGCTCCGTCGCGGACCTTTTATTCCGCGCTCTGAACCTGATTTTCAGTCCTCGAACATCGGGAACGAGCGCGCCTCCCTGGCGCTCGGCGGCATTTGCCAAGCGCTTGTTGGCGGTCTCCCTCCACTGGCCATCAGCCGCCGCCTTGCGGTCTCTGGAGTTCGTGAGGAGTCTGGTCGGGCGCGACCCCAAGTTAGAAGCCATGCTGTCGACTGAAGATCGGATCTTCAATGGCGTTTACCGTCCGGACGTTGATGATCCACAGCTGTGTCAACCTTTCGAATCTTCCTTCTGGGAGCTACACGCTCTACAAAAATACTACTGGGATCCACGTGTCAGAGAAGAAGCCGTGAAGTTACTTAAATTTCGCTCTTCGTAAACAGTTGTACCGAATGCGTGCTGTTTCACTCTTTTCTTGCGTTCCTTTCGCGATGAGGTGCAATCACGCTATGCAGTGTGCCATTTTACATCTCTTGTATGTATTCGAATGTTTTCCATGTTACAAGTACACGTGCGGGGGATGGACTGGCCATGGAAGATACAACAGATATGCTAAATACAAACGACTCCGTGTCGTAGATGGAGTACATAATATAGTACGAGGGGAGAGAAGAAACAAGGTCCGTGTGCGTCTGAGATGTGCAAAAGGGTGTTATAGGAATGTCGAAGATATGGTAAGAGATTATGTTACAATACCAATAAACATACAGACAGCCGCTTCGAAATCGGGGGTATGTTTCTCCAAAGTAAGGGTGAGAGGATGAGAAGGTGATTAGCGGTGGAAGAATAGTCTATTCAAAAGTGCGGCCCCGTCGAAGCTGGGTACCGCATGGGGGTGAGGTTGTACGACAATGGGGGTTGTGTCGCTGGTCGGCTATAAGGCGTAGCGTGGGGAGGCGAAATTGGGGCACTCGGGCTAGGTGAGAGTGGTGACGGTTGGGGAGTGCTTTTATCAGCCGCCCGGTATTTTTGGTACCCTAAGAGCGCTGCAGAAGGCATGGGACCACCAGTTCTCCTGTCAAGATCGTAAATCACGAAGAGGAGGGTTTCATCGTCGACGATAATTTCCTGCGTGAGAACGATCGAAAACGCTGGATAGACAAAAAAAAAAGTTTTTGTCAGTATAAGTCGAACAAAGGAGAAGGGCAAAGGAAGCAAGAAGACTGACAAGGATCAAAGCCTCTGCACCTGCTGAGCGGGGATTCTGGGAGGACCACGTTGACGGTGCCAACGTTGATGTGCGTGATGTTGAGGAATCCAGTCTCTTCTGCAAGGCATACGTTGTTTCCGTAAGTCTTTGTGACGCATCGGCCAGTCGCGCTCCACACGCTTTCCAAGGCGATGCTGCCAAGGAAGCCGCGAAAAGTAGGGGGCGTCCGCGCGTCATTCATGGCCGGAACGCATAGCCGAACTCTCAGGGTGAACGGAGGTTGTATTTGGGCGGTTGGATGAACGAGCGCGTCGACCTTGACGGAGAACGGAGTCATACCGTCTGCCTGGAGGAAGATACCAGTGACTTTATTGCGAGTACTCCGATGATGCGTCGGAGTCGCGTTTTGGTGCCGGCTGACGGACTGCGCTTCCGCAGGCTGTTTCCGAGGCGCTTGGTAAGGCGCCTGTACGGGTGAAACAGAGGAGTGCTTGGACTGAGGCAGGGAGAAGGGTGAGCCGTCGTAGCCCGGGAGTTGTTGGATGTAGCTCCCGTGAGGTGATATTGACGGGCTCGTCATGCCTGGAGCAGAGTAGGAGAGGTCCAAGGGCAAGCCGTGCACTTTGGGATGGATAGCGCCAAAATCGGAAGGGAACAGATTTGGGCGGTGTTCTGGAGTCGGCGGGAACTCTGACTGGGAGTCGGCAGGGGAAAAATCAGGGGAGACTGGATTCGAGGAGGGAAGGTCACCCTCTTCCCAGTCGAAAGGAATTAGCGCATTGGTGTCGTAATGCTCCTCAAGCTTGACCGGCAGTGGGGAGCCGCTATCCGGATATAGTTCATCACCGCCTGCTACGAGAGCGAATTCTGGTGAAAGGAACGGGTCAGACGCGGTGGCACATGGGCAGAGACAAGCAAAGACATGCCAGGTTCACCCTTCCACATATTCCGAAGGACTTGGATGTGGCTAGCGACCTGTTTCTTTGACCGGTCGATGCCGTGCTTGGTCAGGTAGTCGACAAGAAACTGGTTTCGCCAACGACTGCGGCCACGGGACTGCGAGTAGGTCGCATAGGGAGACTCCCAGTACTCTCTGAGGCCTGGATGCGGGGTAAGATACTTTTTCCGGGGACACAGTGTGAAAGGAGACGGACCCTGGACGAAGACCTTCTCGATGCTCTCTGGCCAGACCTCTGTGCCACTGCCGTCCTTGAGGAGCTTGCGGTGCTTGCGCTGGGGGGTTATGCTCGGGAGGTGGTCGTGTTTCTTGAGGGACGAGGAGGACGCGCGGGAGGAACTCATTTGGATGAGCGGGGAAGGAGGAACGGGATGGGAGATTTCAGAGTTATATATGATGAGGGTGTAATTTTCGAGTCAAGATCCGATGTCGACCGAATGCGGAAGGAGGGGACCGCTGAGTTGGAGATAGGCCGCTATCGTGTTCCTGCTGGGCGATCGGGCGGTTATTGCCTGTTTCACCGCTCTTTCATCCTGCCATATCCGGCACAAAGCGCCGGCCACCCAACTCCGCCGCGTAGCAACCCGGCCCCTCCCCGGACGGCCGGTGGCCACTCGCCGGCCCAGCACAGTGGCCAGATCTCGGAAGCAGATGCACGCCCGATGCGCGCCGGATCCGGCAGGCCGCACCCCAGAACCCAGCCAAGGCGGCCAAATGGGGTCCCGTGCGAGTCGAGCCCTCACGGCGTGACAACTTCGCCGGTCACAGCTTCCCTCCCGCCATTGACGATGGGCTCCTCGCTGACGCACAAGTGGCTGCAGCAGCACGTCCAGCCGTACCCCAACGCGCCACGCGTCTACGCCGACATCGACGCGGTCCTCACACGCTTCCCGGCTCTCCGCCCAAAGTCCGATGTCTACAGTTCGTGTCATCAGCTCAGTCGCGTCTCATCTGCTCACAACGCGTTCCAGCCTTCGATGACGGCCGCACCCAGCTCCTCCTGTGCGTGCACGGCCTGCTGCCCATCACATACCGCCAGGCGTCGTACAACATACCCATGGCCTTTTGGATCGCGCGTGAATATCCCCGCCGTCCCCCGATCGCGTATGTCGTGCCTACAAGTGATATGCTCGTCAAGCCAGGCAGGTACGTCGATGTCAGCGGCAGATGCAATATCGAGTACCTCCAGAACTGGGAACGCAAGGCCGAGGTGTGTGCTCTCCCGTTGCTGCTTCCGATCGCTTCACATCTCTCAAGGGCTGCAGTCTATCGGCCCTCTGTGAAGCGCTGCAGGATCACTTCTCTCGCGAACCCCCGGTGTACTCCAAGCCCAAGGGCCACCAGCAACCCTCTTCGATCAGTCAGAGATACGCAGACAAGCCTCCACCTCCCGTTCCATCAACTTCATCTACGCCAACACCTCCACCACCACCCGTCCAAATCTCTTCTCCCGCCCGGCCCGCTCTCCCGAATAAACCTCCTTCCCTCGTTTCCCCTTCACCTGCACAGTACCAGGGAGCTTACAGACCCGCAGGCGCCACAAGCCATGTGTGTGCTACGCCGGCCTCGTTTTTCTCTTCCTTCTGACTCTTCAACAGGCACCTTCATCACCTGTTTTGCCACAGACCGCACCGCCTCCTCCCCTTCCACCTCATCCTCCGGCAGCTCTGATCGGCCATGCAACACCAATTTTTTCGTCCGTCGGAATCGTAGGCGGTCCTTTTTTCTCGCCTGCTCCACACTCCTTCCGTGGCGACTCCGTGGCGATCTCCAACACCTCTCCCCATCCACCTCTTCGGCCACTGACAAGCTTACCGATTTCACCGCCACCACCTCCTGCGCTGCCACCACCAGTACCTCTCCCGCAATCTCATGTCGTGTCAAGTTACCTCCACGTCAGGCCTCCAGACCCTCCTCGGCCGGAGCCTCATCACCCTCCCATCCCCGATTTACTCGATGAGGACAATGACTCATCCACCGCCGCAGCTCCCACAGTAACTTTCCCAGCACCGCCCCCACGCCCTCCCAATCCCGAGCTGTTGAGACTACAAACGGAAGTTCATCAGAAGCTAACCTCGGAGCTCAACTCTCTTTCCCAAGCGCTTTCGTTGGACGCGGAGAAACTGCGTGCACAACAAGCAGATCTTCTAGCCGGAGAACCGGCCATCAAGGACGAGATGGCACGTCTCGAAGCAGTCCGTGATGTCTGTCGGAATGTGGCAAGCAGAACTGGACAGGCCGTCCGTCAAGCTGAGGCGAATATCGCGGAATTGCGCAGGAAAGGCGATCCTGAGGTCGACGAGCTCGTATGTGCGACTACTATCGTTGATAACCAGTAAGATTTTCTTTCTTGCATTTCTTGTTTTCTCTTCCTGACGTAGTCCCATCAGACTGATCAATCTCATTGCGGATGACAATGCTATTGAAGATACCTTATACCACCTCCACCGAGCGCTAAATGCCGGACGTATAGACCTAGAGCGCTTTTTGCGGGTATGGTCCTGTCCCTCCGACACGAGCGCTAGACTAACGTAACCCTCAGTCGACCCGCGTGCTCGCTGAAGAGCAGTTCATGAAACGCGCACTGATAGAGAAAATCCAAAACGGCATGTCATCAATGCCGTCATCTTCGTATGCACATGTCTCCTAGGGTCAATCCGGCGCCGGGCAGGGCGCGCCAGACATCTGTTTCCAGAACGCGTTCGCGTTTCGTCCGCGCCTCTGTCAGACTTGGACGCGTCTAGCCCCTACGTATACCGATCTGTGTAATGGCGATGACCCCCTGTTATAGGCCGTCCCAATCTAGCCAAAGTGCTTAGGAATAGGAGGAGTCAGCGCCAACGGGCTGTATAAGTATAGACCGACTTCCTGAGTTTACAGCTGTGACATGAATGTCAGATGATTACACGGGTGTGAATACGCATCTCCGGCCGATACACCATTCGCTGTAAATAGCGGGCTGTGCTTGCACACCTTGTGGCCAAATGACCATACATGTCGCCTACACTCGGTGAACTGGGCGCTCCTCGTCGGTGGATAATTTTTCATGAACCCCGTTTGCGTGTATCCTCGATTCGTCAGACAGACCCCCCTCCCGAGTCAACGGGCTGGGCCAATTGGATGGGTGTCGCCCGGCGAATGGCACCTTTTCAGGGCGTCCGTTTGACTGACAGACTGGGGTGTCGGCCTTGCAATCGGATTCGAGACTCCCAGACTCCAGCCCTGTCGAAAAACAAGAAAGAGGTGTAATCGTAGTGTGGAGCTTCCGCTGTTCTCCGTTATCACGAGGATCGCAATCGACACAATCGGTCACATCCGACCGCAGTGTATCCATCGTCTTGTTCAGGCCAGTGCTATCTTCTTTGTTCTAATTGTCGTCCAACAATAGGGTCTGGACCGAAGGAGAGGTGCAAGGCCAGAAGGAGGCACGAGAAAGTTGGAGGATCCTTCACAAGCCACCTTGACTTTGGGGGTTTGGGGTGCTACACCCTACAACACAAAATAGAATAGATAGTGCGGGATACACAAGAAAGAAAAAATTGTTTGTCCTGGGCGCTCTCATGCTCATTCCAGACTGTCCACTTCCTTTCTTCCCGGAGTTCTTCCTGTGCTCCCTACCCACCTCCAGACCCTCGTTTCGTCTCCACCCTCGATCTCAGCAAGATTAGCGCGTACATTCGCATTGCTTTCAACCACGCGTTCCACACGCTCCCACAACCTTCTTCTTGTTGGCACCGAATGCTCGTCTTGGAGAACAAGATCTCGCAATTGGATGGAGGACAGATATGGTTCCGGAGTGGTCAGCGGGTCAGTGTAGTGCGCCATCTCCTGGTTACGTAAGGTGTCCAAAGCGACTTGGACTAATCCAGCGATCCGTCGACTTTCCTTTTGTTTCTGTGTCATCCGGAGACGCAGCCCTAGAGTAGTGAGCACCGCAAGAACGGAGGCTAGAAGGAGTCAAAAACGTGTTCCTCAGCTCATTGTTCTCCAGGATAGTCAACGGAACCTTTTTCTCACCGAGCACAGTCGTGCGCCACGCAGCCCAAAGTTCCCTAGATTTAACGGTAATCGTACAATTCCAGCTCATTTCTGGCGTCTTGTGCGCTACATAACGGGTGCCACTACATGCAGTGCATTAGATTTGAGAAAGACCAGAATGAAAGTACGCACTCTTCAGCTTCACCAACAAACACACCACCCCATTGGGTCAGTTGCTGAATTGCCTCATTAAACATATCATCAAACACCGGGAGCAAGGCTGGCTGCAGAGGTAAAATTAAAAACAAAAAGAGCGCTGGAGGACTCCGCACTCACGGAAGTGGTTTTCTTGAAAGTGTCCTTCAATTGGGTCATTTCAATACCCCACTTCATGGCCTCCTCTGGCCCTTCCTGTGGGATTGTTGCGTTCACGGGATCACCACGACAAACCCGACGACCTCGTTCCCTTCCCAGCTTCGACTCGATGGCCTTTCCGAGATTTCCGATATGTCGTTTTCTCTTCGGATCCTCAACACATCTCGGGGGTAGGCCTACACTGCCGAAACCCGGGAGACCGTCGGTAGCGGCGGAAACGGCTTTAAAGAACGACTCAGTCAGATACGGCGCATGTGTTGTGGTGAGAATCGACGAAGACGCTGAGACAGGGACGAAAGACAACAAGATGTGTGGCTTCACGAGGTACCCTGAGTCGCAGGTGACGCCAAACTGTGCACATGACGCGTGGTCAGGACAAGGCGTGCAGGCCTGTGGCTGTGGAACCGGGATCAAGGGGAGCAAACAGAGTTCTTCGGGTTTCGGTGTTTCTTCGTCCGATGTATTCTGGACTGAGGCAAGGAATGGTCTGCCCTCTTTGATACAGTCTTCGACAGCCATTCGTTTGGACAAGATTGCCTCGAGAGCTTGGCTGGTGTTACTGCCCGCGTCACAGTAGCCGATGGAAGAAGATTCAACCTTGTAGTTGTAGGTCGCATACCCCGAAGCCAAAATCAGGACCCAGATGAGAGCGCGGGCGAGGACTTGCAGGGTACTTGGCCGATAGATCTCTGGTATCGGTTGAGACTGAATGACACCCAGTTCCTCGGTGGCAACCTGACTTGAAATCTCGTCGTCCACTGAGCTTTCGCTATCTTTAACAGATGCGACAGGAACGACTTCTTGTGACGGTGGCTCAGTTTCTTCGATGATAGCCTCTTCGACCGTTTCGCTGAGAATAGATTCTTCAGATTCTTTCCTTGTCGGTTCAAGAGGCCTGAATTCCGGAACCGGAGTAATTCTGGACCTCGAAGGCGGCGGGAATTTGAACTTCGAGAAAGGAGGGAGTGAAGGCTGAAATGAAGACTGCGGCGGTGAACGCGCCGCATCTTCGATCTCGGGTGCTCGAAGAGGCGATGACGATGGGTCGCGCACTTGAGGAGGAGCAGACGTCGACTTGCGTGTCTTCCGCGGTACGCCACTTGTCCTGGAAGCTCTTGGTCGAACTGGCGAAGGACGAGCCGGAGAAGACGATTCGGCTCCGGATTGAAAGATGTTGTTATCCTCCCAGCCGCTTTCTTCGCCCGACTGAGAAGGAATTTAGGATCAAGACGAAAACTGAAGATAGGTTACCTACGACGTGTGAGACGCGCCTGGCTTGGCCAGCTGAGGTCTGGTAAGTGACATGTGAGAATAATAAAGCACCCAAATGAATACAATCGCATACCAGTTTCTTCGTGCGGCCCACCTTCTTTATGGGCATCTCGTCTTCCTCTGGCTCACTCTCCTCTATAACAGTTATTGGAACTGGGGCCACCTTTCTCGAAGTTCCACCAAGCGTGGGCTGAGCTGAAGACCTCCTTCGCTTCGGCTATTATGGAGCCATTAACGTCAACCTTTGTATAAAAGCAGGATGTATGCCTGACGCACCGGTTCCGGTCGTGTTGGAGAACTTTCCTCATCCCTGGGAGCCTGTGAAAGGCGCCTCGACGAGCGTCTAGCAATTGGCGCAGCTGCCTGTTGAAAAGTTGTAAGAAACAGGAATCAAATTGATAACGTTTGACTCGCCTTTGTCCTACTGACTAAAGGTTGTCCGGTGTGGCCATCCACGATCCCTTCCTCACTTGCAATACTATTCGCCCTCTTCGCCCTCTCTTTCTTAAATTTAGCAGCTCTCGTCTTGACTTCATCGTTGAAAACTTGGACCAGCTTCGGCTTTGTGTAAGGCGTTGGATATTTGATGTTATGGAAGCCGAGAACTCCGAGAAGCTGGGAGACCGTGAGCGATGAAGGGTCGAAGTCTGGTTCCAGATATTCCCCCAAGCTGATGATTTGGGCCGACGTCAAGCGAGACATGACTGACAGACAGCTGCAGTAGCAGAGGCCCAAGTGTAATTGACAACAGTCGAAGGATGGAGAGGCTTCACTCTGGATACAAGCGCTATCTTGAGGGAGCGGATCCAAGGTGCTATCAATGCAGTCGTTTGTCGTCACCCAATCAACGTGTTCAACACATGGCTTCATTATGTAAGAAACGCGTCGCGTCATGTCATGCCCTTACTTTGCTTCGGATAGGGGCTCTTGGTGAATGTCTCACTGGTAACGAAAGGATACTGATACGACAGCAAGTAATATCCACACAGTTGATAAATAAAGCATTTATCTAAGGGAAACTGGGCCTCAACACTCCCCTAGATCCAAACCACTTCCCTTCCACCTGGGGACAATGAGAAAAACCAACTAAAATTGTCGAGAGGGAACTTACCATGTAGTTCCAGTAGGCATGTGGGAAGAGGTCCTGTAGACGATATTTAGAACAGTCTCACGGAAGATATTTAGTCGTTAACCCACCTTTTTGAAGTGATAGAAAAGCCTGGAAGGAGAAAAGACATCAAGAGGAAGTCATATTCAGGCAGCCATAGCATACCTATTGCTTTTGCTTTGATCGAATATACCCGAAAATGATTCTTTGGGTTCAAGCCCATACTTGAATTCAGCCAACATCAATTCGCCATACCCGGTGAGTAGCTAGAAGAACAAAGATAAGAAGAGATACTGGCATCAGAACACATCGGGAACTTACAGGACAGCTGGTATACCTATCGTATTCACCAACGGCAACGCTGCCCGTGTCAATTAACGAGAACAAGTTCTCCGTAAGTACAGGTGCTTGGGCGATGATAGCAGCCGCCGTCTTTGATGTCGGGAGGGAGGAGCAATCCCCCAAGGCAAAGATGTTACTGAACTCGGGTTTAACGTGTTGAAGAGTACTACTGTTGACAGCCACCCAACCTGCGGCGTCAACAATTGGTGATCCCTTAAGGGCATCGAGAGGCCCCATGCGCGGCGTCACATGAAGTAGAGAATAGTCGACATCGATGGTGGAACTATCACCTCTCTTGAAGGTGGCTTTCCGATTCGCGATATCAATTGAAACGAGATCGTGGCTGAAATGTCCCCCGACACCCCGTTCGCGTCGGAGTGCGTCCAGAGCATCCGAGTATTTCTTCACGCTGAACATGGTTGGCATACCGGTGTAGAAATCGACCTTGATGTCGCCCCGGCCCGTTCGTCGAAATCTGTCCCAAGCCATCCACATGATTTTTTGCGGCGCTGCGTTCATTAGATATAGAGACATCGCCTGCAAAACTGAGATACTTACCACCAGCGCACTTAATGACTCCAAAAGGCTGCGTGAAAACGGCGCTGCCGGACTTGAGATTTTCAATGTGGCTCCAAACCCTGTCGCATGTTTGATATGAATATATCGTAGACACCCCGGAGCCGGGGTCAGCGAGCGCTTCAGGAAGGCCTTTAATCGCGTCATAGTTTATCTGAAGTCCAGTAGCAACGACGAGAGTATCATAGGAGATATCTCTCCCTGAGGTCGTGGTGACGGAGGACGTGTTCGGAGAGAAAGTCTTCACGTTTTCGGGGATGAGGGAAATGTGGCTTGGGACAAGTGGGGCAAGGGGTCGCTCGAAGTCACTTTTAGGAGCAAGACCAGAACCGACGAGAGTCCTGTAAAATCTTTAGTTCGAGACGGCTACATCGCCGTTTATTTTTCGCACCATCCAGGCTACAAAGCGGTTTGTAACGCGTCAGCGTGAGCCATTACTAAGACTAGGGAAGCACGGGACTGACTTGGTAATAGTGGTCCTTTGTTGCGTCCACAATCGCAATTTCTCCAACCCCCAGCGTCTTTCCAGCGGCCTTGAAGCGATTGTAAATCTGTTGGGCAGCAGACAGACCACCGCTCCCTGAACAATCGATTAGATAGATTTGGAACTACAAAATCAAATTGAATTCCAGACCTCCACCCACGACCAGGACCCTGTACCTGGATGCACTTGACGCAGTCGTTGCTGACCTCGTTTGCCAATGGTGAACAGCAATTTTCGGGGAGGCCCCAGCACGTCGGATGAGATTTGTGGTGAACATGGTGGTAGCTTGGTGACAGGTCGCGAGAAGGTGGGCTCGAGGAATCCTGCATGGTGGGAACAGAAAACGAGAATTGCCCAGGATTTGCTCACTATGATGCGATCGTTGAGGCTGGACTTGTCACAGATATGATAACGATTATGGTTCAGGAACGGACCGGCTGTCAGCAACAGAGGAGGACCTCCATCCCCTTTCATGAAGGCACCCACACTCACCGACATCCATGAAGACCCTCTCAGCTGTTTTTTTTCCAAGTGTAGGGCTGCAGAGGCAGCGGAATATGAGATTCAATAATTTCCTTTTTTGGGACACACAATCCCGTTTTTGCAAGGACCGGAAAGAAGGATCAAGATCCTCGCTTACAGAGTGCTTCGAAGTCAAATGCCGAATGGGCGCTCGTCGTTTTGGCCAAAACTTTGGATTACATTTCTACGTTTGTGGAACTACAGTTGATGTGGCTTTTCGCCTTCTTCCCCCATAGCGAAACTGCATGCAAATGCTGCATTGGCCTGGTGCCCCGACGCCAGACGGGCAGCTTTCATACGCACAAACTGCGGGCCGGTCGTGAATGTCGGAAGCCCACAAGCCGAACATAAGCTGCGAATGTCGACTTTCTTCCCATGGCACATATCGAAGTCGGAGGTCGACAGTCTTCCAGGCGTCGAGGCGGGGGCAGAAGGAGATTCACGTAGATGGTACTTTTATGGATCTTATAGAGCTTGGATATTTTTCGGTAGTCGACACAAGTAAAAACACGGGGATACTCAAGCATGAGTACAAGGCTTCGTGAATGCTTCGGAATTGAGCGACTTCGGCACTGGGAATAGTAGCTGAGGCTATCTGAAGGTGCTCCAAAGGGACGCGTTTGGACGCGTTGGATAAGCTGAAGGTACTGATTACAATTCGTTTTCAAATGTAACCCAGCCTCATTGACATAGATCTGTATGTGTACGCACATGCGTAAGGAGAATAACCGCAGAGCAGATGCTACACATCTATCGTCAGGACTACGATTTCCAAAAAATGCCCATCAACCGATGCAACGTCCTTCTCGACACTGTCGCTCAAACCCTCTCAGACCCAGTCAAGCGGTCATGTGAGCCTATCATCATCCGATTAGCACTGGCAGCAGAACAACAGGGTGCACACTTTGTCTTCCTACCTCTAGCTTGACCGTCAAGGACGTTCCCCAGTGGAAGTTCTCTCCTCTTCACCCGTGCCGCGCACTCGTTCTTGGCCAGCCGGACTCTGGCTCTTCTTTACATCCACCAAATTCCGTCAATTGGCCTCTATCATGTCCCGTGTTACCGCTGGTCTTCCCACAAATCCCCGCCAGCGTGTGGCGAGGCCGTTCCCGCCGCCACAAGCAGCGCCTCGCCAGCAAGATGAGCAACGTCCGATGCGGTCAATATCGACACCGCGCCCAAGACATGTCTCCACCCATAGCGAAGGAGTGCCGGTCACTCGTACCAGAACCCAATCTCGTCCTCGAAATGACTATCAAGCAACAAGAGACGCCCGCCTTTCTCGTGAATCGAATTCTACTTCGGCGTCGTCATCGTCGGCATCGTCGGAACGGTCGTTTTGGGCCCGCTCAAGTCAACGATCGTCCAGGACCACGCTCCCTAGCGACGATAAATTGGAATACAATAACGGAGGCCAGGAAGGTTACAAGCCTTCTGGGTCTCAGGAAGAAAGGTGGGTACCGCCTCTAGCTTTATGTCTATAAAGGAATGATGCATCGCAGTTGCAGCTCTTTCTACAGTTTCAGAGATATCGACACAGGCGTTGTTTGGAGTCGTGTTACTGGGGCAGCATCTACCTTGACCCAAGAGGTGAGCAAGGCCTGGGCATCGGGGCTAGGTCCCCTCAATCACGAAGATGATGATGGTGCGTCCTCACCTTTTTATTGGTCGAAAGGGCTCGCCACGACCCTTCAACTTGTTTAGAAGAGGATTCTCATCTGACGCGAGTGATGAGGGCGTATCACCTTTCCAAGGCACGCACTCCGGCTGAGCTACCTGACTGGCTGTTCAGTGAGCGAGAGAGAGGGCAGGGGGGTTTGTTGCGCCCCGACGCACCTAACGATGGCAGTCATGTCAAACCCGTACCGTCCACGGAACGTCGTCACCCCCGAGATATGCAGTCATTCCCCCGACCCACACACTCGGATGCTCAGTCGAAGAGCATCCGATCTCGTGCAGGGCATTCCGAAGAAATGACGGCGGCTCGCCCACGGCCCACTGGTATGGATCGCCTGAAGAGCATACGGGACCTCAAACGCAATGCTTCAAACATCAGGCCAATGGTGAAAGTGTAACTCGAAGGAACTGAGGTTACAGCGGGAGACCCGGAGTATGTTATATGATACTATCAGTCATACTTGTAACACTGTCCAATACGAATCGCCGCCCAGTGCCATTGCCGTCATCCAAATCATGAAGGGTGCATCTTTCAAGGTGATTTGATGTGATTTGCTGATATGCTGCTTTGACGTAGCCATACGATAGCACGAAGGTCTTGGGGGTATTTTTAACGACACTCATGGAGGCGAGCTGGGACTGTCGGGCAGCAACGATTACCTACAGACTCCCTTATCACCAGCTACCGACGGAGAAAGTGGTGCCGAACAGGGACCCTTCGTGAACAGTGCCCGAGGGATTTCTATGAATCAATTCGATGATTGGTTCCCAGATGGCCAAGCCCAAATCAAGGCTGACAACCAATCCGAAGTGCCCGTCACAAGGGGCAACCATCGCTACTCGAGAAGTGACGGTGAGCCTCGAGTTGGCGATGTATGAGCACAGCTAGGCCTCGTTTTTAGCACCTGGCGCAGAGGATGTGGATCTGTGGGATATTCTGGCGTTGGCGGATTGGCAGAAACACAGGATGACGGACGAAGATCAGGTGGAATCGAAGGCGGTGAGGAGACCCGTAGGAGTGGGTCAGGATCAATGACAGCCAAATGCGTGTGTTGGCAGAAATCCTCATGATCCCTGTTTCCATGGTTGTGTTCGCACTCCGCGATGCCCTGGCTGAATAAATACCTCGGCAGGCCACACCTGCAACCTTCCTCACCTTTCCTCAGGCCGCCTCTTTCATCTCCTTCCTTTCGTTCTTTTTTCCCTCCTTTTTGTCGAGTTGATCTCCGACCCGTCCATCTTTCGTTCATTCGAGGCGAGCATAGTCTACGCCCTCCCAAGCGCCCTACTAACGCCCTCGTCGTTGCCCCAGATCATCCTCTGTTGACAGAGATTCAAAGTAGCAGTCCTCAGGAAGGTTCACATTTACCGACAACTACAACACTCCACGGTCCTTTCGTTATTCTATAATGGTTTTCATCACTCCCTTCATCGGTGCTGCTGCTCTCCTCTCCGGCTTCGCGGCCGCTCTGCCCCGACCGGACCACCCTGCGTACGTCCTCTCCTTATCTCAATTGGGTCTGCATTGATTTGGATTACAGTGAACCCGTCGTGACCTCGTCTGCTGCCTACTCCCCCCCTAAGTACGAGGCGCCGAAGTACGAAGCTCCTAAGTACGAGCCCCCCAAAGCAGAGGTTTCCACCAGCAGCGTCCTCTCCATCGCTGTTCACGAGACCACCTCCTCCGTTGCTCATGAGACCACCACCGCTGTTGTTCACGAAACCACCTCAACATCAGCAGCGCATCCCGTCTACACATCTCCCTCGTACGGATCAGGTGCATCCAACTGGAACAACCAGGGCTACAATGACTGCGTTCAACGTGAGTTTCCTTAACCTTTGTCCGTTGCATTTCTATTCTTCTTTTCTTATCGGCTTTTCCTTCCTAGAATGCGTTGCCAGCTATGGCTCGCTGCCTCCTGCCACCTACACGCCCACGGCCACCAACGCTGGCGTCTACGGCACGGGTGCAACCCACACCGTTATTGTCGCCCCTACCCAGGGCGTTCTGAGATACATCCCCTTCGCTGTCAACGCATCTGTCGGTGACACCATCAAGTTCATGTGGGGCGCCAACAATCATACCGTCACCAAGTCCTCGTCTCTGCAACCCTGCAACAGGTCATCAGATGCTCTCTTCGCATCAGGTACTCAGAACAAGGACTTCGTTTGTGCGTACTTCACCATTTCTCACCATTTTAACAAGCTAATATCTTCCTTCAGTCACCCAAGTTGTCAACGAAACCAGCCCTACGTTCTTCTACTGCGCTACTCCCAATCACTGCCAGAGGGGCATGTTTGGTATCATCAATGCCCCCAACGCGTTCCAGGCTCCCACATCCGTCGGTAGCATGATGAGTACCCTCGCTGCCAACGTAATTAATTCGTCATTTCTCCGCGCGCATTGTTGGCTGACTTGATGCCTTTATACAGAACTCTAATATCGCCGCGTATGCCGCCTACACTGCTAAGGAGACCACTGGCAACCCTGCTGCTGCCAGGTGGGGTGCCAACATCGACATGTCCTCTGTGCCAGACTGGGCCTATGAGACCCTCGCTGAGAACGTCATGTATACCCGCACCTTCCTCGCCGCCAACCCTGAAGTCCTCAAGGAAGACGGCTCTGTTGACCTCAGTGCTGCTGGATCCACTCCTTTGATGATCCCTCAGGATCTTGGCGCTGCTTTGAACAACGCTGCTGCTGCTACCCCCAGCGCTCCTGCTGCCACCACCTCGGCCTCGGCCGCCCCAGAGCCGTCGACATCTGCGACCGGAACCACGGAAAACCTCAGCAACGGCGCCTTCTCAGTATCATCACACAGGGTCGTAGTCGGCCTTGCCGCCGCCCTCGTTACCTTCATGATGATGTAATGCTGTTACGCCTTGCGCATTAAGTTATGAGGACTTTGTAGCTGTAGACACCATGTTGGACCATCGTAGAATAATCACACGCACCGTATACCACTTTTTGTTATTGTCGGACATTTTCGAACTTCGTTCGCACCCGCACTGCTATTTTGGGGATTTCGTTTTTCTTTACCACCACCTACATTAGTAGTTTTTGCCAGCGGCTACGGAAAGCTCAATTGCTTCATTGTGGCGCGACCGCCTTTGTATTAGTTCTGAAATACACTTGCGTTCCTGCTTCAATTCTCTTTCAGTGGTCTTGACATTTTCTGAAGGAATGTAAGCGATCTGATGTCTATACTGGGAGCTAATAAGTCCCAAAATGAAAAGAGCAACGAGTCGCATCTTGATTTCGAGCATACATTAGGTCAAAAGTCAAATATCTCGTCTATCTCGTTCTTGGCTATTTTCCTTCTTTTCTTCTTCTGAGAAGAGACACTATCAAATATCCGTTTGGACCTTTCTAATGACTCTTGTGGTTTGCTCGATTTCTTGCGTTCAATAACAATCGACGTCATGACTGTCAAACAAATTAACCTCGTATCCCGAGATGTTCTCAGCGAGTACCTTTTGTTGGCCGGACCTGCCTATTATTTGGCATGACCAGGGTTTGAGGTAGGTCGGACATCTCCATAGAACACGATGTTGCGGTCTCTTTCATTTCTTCGTCCTCAGCTTCGAGACTTCTCTGCGGAAGAGAAACAGTCTTGTCAACCGTGACTTGGGGATTGCCGTTGTGCTTGTCGCCAAAGTTAAAATACCGACACATCTTGGAGGTGAAGCAGACTCACCTGCAGGAAGGAAAGCAAACTGGTGACATCAAAAGATACCTGGAGGGATATCTTGCTGAGTTCCATTGCGACTGCACGCATCCTTGAGGAGATTGCGGCGAACATGAGGAGAAGTTGCAGAAATGCAGCCGACTGAAGTGAACAATGAAATGACCTAGAGGTGTTGCGAAGACGGAATGCCTTGAGCTTTCAGTGACTTACTGATACGCTCGCAGGCATACGTCGGACATCTGTGGACAATGGGATTTGTGAGCTTGGGAAAATAAAGACGATAGGCAGACATACCTTGTCCGCAATTTTCTGGGCAGTATCGAACTGCCTGCTGATATTGGCGAGATATTTCTCCGGCGGAAAATGAGTCCAAGGCCCTTTCATCATATTTACGCTTGTAGCAAACGTCAGACATGTTTGTTTTCAAAGAAAAGGGTGAAGCCTCACTTTGGGGCTTCAGAACCGTGAAAAGACGAGCGAAGGCCGTTGAGTAAAATGGAAAGTGAGAGATTCTCGATTCTTTCGGAGTAGCGTCGCATTTCGACGACATTTCTCCAGAATAGCGATCCCCTGTGTTGATTTTTGTTCTTGTAATACAATCGCTGGAGAAGCTGGAGTTCGGTTGCATGAGAAGTCAAGGCGGCCTGAAGCCGACGCGACAATAGTTTTAGCGCCTTGAGTTCGGCGTCGACTGCGCCATGTCTGGACGAGACGATTGACACTCTTAGAATAGGCCCGGTGGTCATGGTGCTGGGCGCTGACGAACGCTGACTGGTCGGAGATGGGAGAACGGAACGGAGATGGGAAACCAGCATCAAAACGTTGACAAATATCGCAGGCGTACTGAACGCAACCATCATCATGCACTTCCACTCTCGTAATTGCTGAACAACTGACCCTTTGGACCCTCAGGCCTCAGGCTACACCGCGCACACCACCTCGTTACACCACTCCGCCATCGAGTCGGTCAGCTCGCCGCCTGCTGCAATGGCTCAACCAGGGCAAGATGCGAAATTCTTCCAAAGGGGAAAGATCGAGGTGTGCCAAGTTCAATCTCCTCGTCTGCACCTCATTGACACCCACCAGGAATTCCGCGCAGATCTCCAGGCAGCAGAGACGAAAGACAAGAAGTTTGTGAAGAGGAAGACCGTGCTGAAGAAGATTGTCGCCAATATCACGATGGGCAATGACAGTTGGTAGCATCAATTCCATCTGACGATATGGGCTCAGTCATCCATGTCTCAAGTGTCCCCATTATTCACGGATGTCGTTCAATGCCTGGGAACACCGCTTCTTGAAATAAAGAAGAGTGAGTACGTCGCTAGTCTACTGTTAATCGCGATGTGACCGCCTACTCAGTGGTATACCTCTTCCTAATGAGTTATGGACGCGCGAAACCCGACCAAATCCACCTTGTCATCCCCAATTTCCTTCAGGCAAGCAACAATCCCTCCCCTTGGATTCTTCCCTTCCAACATCTCACACCGATACTCTTAGGATTGCAACGACCGAAACCCTCTTATTCGCGCACTTGCTATTCGAACGATGTCATATATACCCATTCCCGTTGTCACGGACGCGTTGACCGAAAATCTACGACATTGCCTCAAGGATCGAGACGCATACGTACGGAAGACAGCTGCGATCTGTGTTGCAAAATTATACAACGCTGACCCACGACGGGCGGAGAAAGGTGGCTTCGTGGAGATGCTCCGTGACCTCATGCTCGACTCCAACGCGACAGTGGTAGCTAACGCTGTGGCAGCGTTGTCAGAAATTGGCGATAGGCAGGATGGTGTTATTTTTAGGTTGAACCTGACAACGGCCTACAAGCTTCTTGCTGCTCTCGGGGAAAGTTCAGAGTAAGTTCTTCATTGCCTCGAAATCATACCGTCGCTTAACTGCTGATAGGTGGGGACAGATTTACATCTTGGATTGTTTGTTACGATTCGTTCCTGAGCGACATTCAGATGCTGAGGACATGGCGGAACGCATCATCGTTCAGCTACAGCATGCCAACTCAGCGGTTGTTCTCACAACCATTAAAACTCTTCTATACCTCATGAATTACATGGAAAACCGTCGTCTCATTGATTACTGCTGTAAGAAGATGGGTCCGCCTCTAGGTTTGAGTTTTGCTGGCCCTTTTTTATCTCTCTACTAAACATCAACTCCAGTGACTCTTCTTTCTTCTGGCCCAGAGGTTCAATACGTCGCTTTACGAAACATCCTATTAATCATACAACGCCGGCCATCAGTGCTAAAAAATGACGTCAAAGTCTTTTTCTGCAAGTACAATGACCCAATATACGTCAAATTGGCCAAGTTGGAGATCATGTATCGCTTAGCTCGTGCAGAAAATGCGGGAGAAGTGCTATCGGAGCTGCAAGAGTAGTGCTCCTCTCCTCTGGTATCTTGGATTTGCACTTACCTCTTTGTTCTCAGGTATGCCACTGAAGTCGACATTGACTTCGTTCGCAAGGCAGTACGCTCAATAGGTCGTCTCGCCATTAAGGTGGAAGCCGCTGCAGATCAGTGCATCCAAGCCTTGTTAAATCTGCTCGATACCAAAGTTACCTATGTCGTTCAGGAGGCCATCATCGTCATCAAGGATGTCTTCCGTCGCTATCCAGGAAAGTATGAAGGCATTATTCCAACACTATGCGAAAACCTCGATTCCTTGGATGAACCTGAATCCAAGGCCGCAATGGTGTGGATCATCGGCCAATTTGCGAACAGAATAGACAATGCGGAAGAGCTTCTCGATGATCTCTTGTACACGTTCCTCGAGGAAAGCGTAGATGTGCGTATTTGGTTGTTTTGTTGGTCTGATTTCTCAACCCTGAACACCTAGGTTCAACTCGCACTTCTCACAGCCGCAGTAAAACTCTTCGTGTACAAGTCTAGTTCTGACAGGGCAAAGGAGCTTGTGCATAAGGTCCTGAAGTGGGCAACAGAGGAAGTGGATAATCCTGATCTACGTGATCGAGGTTTCATGTATTGGCGCATGCTGGCCGTAAACCCTGCTGCTGCCCGAGATATCGTCTTGGCAGACAAGCCCCCTATTACAACGGACTCAGACCGAATGGATAGAGGAGCCCTAGATCAACTCCTGCTGCATACCGGCACACTGGGTAGCATATACCACAAAAACCCTGAGGTCGGTGGAACTTTTGATAGGCGTTGTACTTGCTCAATTTTTTTTTGTTCAGACTTTCATTCGCAACGCGACGGGGAAAGCACTAGTTGATAGCCCAGCCCTAAATCCGCATTCTCGAATGGTCCTCGTTCCTTTGACCCAACCCCAGCTACCACCAACTGTTGTTAGCGTGCCAGGTCCTGGTCCAGTCGAATCCCATGCTCTGCCGCCAGCAGCAGCAGCAACAGCCGACTTGATCGGTACAGATCCAGATAATACCGTTCCGCCTCCGCCAGTATCAAAGCCGTCGATGCAAACCAACGGGGACGATGGGGACGCGCAATCTGATCAAGAGGACGATGATGCTGAACCAACGTCAAGAGCAACAGCGGACGATCCGTATTCGAATCTGGGAGGGGCGTTTGGGAATTATTTAGTCGACGAGCCACGTCCGATGACGTCCAATACTCGCGGTCGGAATGACGAGGATGATCTCTTATTTTAGGTTACACGACGGCTGTATATTTGCATTTATTTCACGAGATATATTGAAATCTATATGACGGAGTAAGAAACAGGTGGTGAAGAGGTATACAAGTACAGGCCCGCAAAATGTGGTCACCATTAGGTGACCGGAATGCTACAGAAATTAATCACGTCAACGTTCAGCGACGTGTCATTGTTTAAGGCGGGGTCCTCACCGTCTTGGTCCCGGACGCAATGAATTGTAATGCTAGGAAAATCATTTGGAAAAGGCAACGCAGTCGGGAGGAGAATTAGACACACACCTCTCCAAGGCCATAAAGCTTTCGGTGATAGCTAATCCAGACAGTAGGGCCATTTGGATCTCCTGCGTCTCCTTCCCTTGGGTAATGCTTGACTATTGAGGGATTGCCACCCTGGACGACGTGTATTGGTATGTTGAATGCACGACTCAAAGCAACGACCTCAGGTTCGCCTCCCCATGTCGCCGTGTCTCTGACCATTTTGCAGTAGCTATCGAATTGCAATGGGTTCATGAGGCCAGCATCAAGCGCCCCTTCACTATCCTCCCCTCCAGTGGAAGGTAAGAAAGGAAGGAAGTCATCAGGATGAGAGCGGATGTAGTTGGCAGCGAAATTACGAATCGCCGCATAATTCATTTGCGCCGGGGAGGCCAGTCCTAGAAGTACCAATTGGTCTGCTATAGCAGAGTATAGACAGTGTCCATCTGGATTAATCTGTTGGCTGAATGAGACTGGAGTATGTGGTAATCGAGAAAGTTATGTACCTCAAAGACTTCTAGATTCAAGTTTCTACACACGTTCTTGATGGCGTCATCCTCGTCTTTCGCTTCTTTCTCGAGTCTGGCTTGGTGTTCCGGATCGTCTGGTGAAAAGGATTGGGCAAGTGTGGCCGCCTTTCTTGCCTAGGGTTTCATGAAGGGTCGGTCAATGGAGGAATGCGCCATCCGAGTAGGAAGGACAACCTGTCGAGCTTGGAAACGACTCTTCGCATCTTGCTTCTTGCCTTTCTCTATTGCGTTGGCCTGTTCATTAAGATTCATGTCATTGAGCACTTGCGCAGATTCTGCCTGGACAGTCTCGTCCCTTGAGTCCAATTGCGCCAAGAGGTCATTCATTAGCTCATCAGCATCCTGATTCATGATGGGTGGAGGGGTTGGTTGTCGCGAAAAGACCTTTTTTGCCTTGTTTTTCTTCGAGCCAGCCATGAGTGGAGTCTTTTTGAAGTGGAGTTGGAAAGAGACTTGCAGCGATCTTATCTTATCGTCCGTTTTTGTACATGGTATGCATATCTCAGAGTCATCATCAGGACAACAAACATTGACTCCCGAGACGCGCATCTCAGTTGCTCTAGCTGTTCATCCCAACTACACACCATCCTCGTACTCGGATATTTTACTCCCTCTACCAACCATATCTCCTGCGTCTCTCTAAGCCACATTTCGCGGTACACATCAACTTCAATAGCACCTTCGACCTATGGTATCTCAAACCTCGATCGATCTCCTTTCACTTGGACGCCTTTTGCGCGACCTCACGCAGTCCATTCGTAGCGCTGAAGGAGGCGACGCATGGCTCACGGTTGAAACGACATCCAGGGAGCTCGCAAATCACCTGCGTGTGCGAGACTCACCAGGTACTGTTTCTTCAGCGCCTTGACTACAATAATTCACTCATGCCAGTGATTTGCAGTGGACAATCACACTTTACTCGGAAAGTCGGATCTACCGCAGACTTTGACGTCTCTACTTTCGTTGGCCCTCGGCGACGCCCATATTCCAGACGATGGCAAGACGACTCCTGTCCTCGAGATACTACGCGTTGGCGCTAATCTGTGCATGGATCATGGTCAGTGGGCTGGTAATGCTCAGAGGACGGCCAGTGATTGCAGTTCGATAGACGAAAACCGTGCAGCCTTACTCGAAGTCGGATTTCCGCAGGCTGTCGTCTCCTTGTTAGAAGGTTACGCAGAGACCATTCCGACGCCTCCCAGCTCAAGCCCTTTGCCGCTTTCTACCCCTCACCTGAAGGTCGTGCGAACTTCCATAGGAGTACTCTTGAATGCAAGCATAGGCTGTGGTAAGCGCACCAGAATCGTCATTTCGTTCGAATACTGAACAAAAGGTCTTCCGAAAAGATGCGGTGAAGTATCGCCTGATATCATTAGAAGCAGCGTTGACGATGATCAAACTATCAACAACAGTTTATCCGCCGACCTCTTGGGCACTAGAACAAGATAGATCATCCGCAGCACTCTTCGTAGAGGAATGGGATCTTCGGAGTGGAATTTCTAATTGGGTGTGGAGAACGGTTTCAGCTCTCAAGGACGTTCAGGATGACAGTGCGTCTCAGAGCATATGTAATCTTCCTTTCTGATCTTTTTCCTTTGAACATGAACAGGTTTGCCAATAATCAACTCCGATGTCATCCCATGGATCGTATCTCCTCTGCTTCAATTCTGTCCTCCACAACCCCCTGAGGAATCTCCTCTGCTGGACTCCGAACCCGACGTCCTCGACAATCTGGTACAGACTGACTTTGATTTCCTCGAAGAATCTTGCACGCTCATCGAATCACTTGCACTTGATGTTGAGGACTTCAGACTGGAATTGGCACGTTCGAGTTGTTACAACCAAGGTAACGAACCAGGAACCTGTCTTAAGGCGGTCTTGCAATTTATCGAACATGGGTCGTACCCTCCCATCTGGAAACATCCAATGTACGATACCCAGCGCAAGACCAAGGAAAAGGCCTTCGATATTTGCAAAGCTGCTCTGATCAAAGCTGTCGTCGAAGTTTTCGGAGAGGAGAAAAATGAAGAGATTTTGTGGAAGGATAATGATCCCAAATACCCTGGCGGCGCCCTCACTCAGAAGTTGGTTCAATGGATACAGGACTACGTTGATTCCTCTGGCACGAACCCAGCGGCTCCGGGCAGAGACGATATGGCTATTTGTGCGAGTCTCTCACTTGGAAACCTTGTAAGGAAAGGTAAGGAGTTGACACTATCGATTAGCAAAGACTGACTTCGGACGCAACTAGCACCAATTGCAACGGCGCTTTTATCATCCCCGTACTCCCTTGCTCCTACCCTTGCATCTCATCACTTCCTGTCTCCTTCTACCGATATCAAACTGAAACACGGAATCCTTGGCCTCCTCAAACATCTTGCTCAATTCTCCAAATTATCTCCTGTTATACCCACTGCTTTAGGAGAAATAAACATCATCCAGAAAATTGCCGCGAGTGGTATCTGGCACCAAAAGAGCGATGCAATGGCCAACGTCATACAACTAAGCGCCATCGGAGTAGCTAAGCACATGTGCAATGCAAACCGTAAGTGGCATGAGACTCTCCCGTATCTTGCCCCTTACACTATTGTGTAGTTGACCAGACATTCGCACTCGTTTTGACCGGGGATCCCAACGTTCCAACAGGCCTTTCTCAGATTCTTGCGTTGATTAAGCGCTCAGACTCCATTTCGGTTAAGAGTGAAGGGTCCCGTGTGCTTGTCAACGTTGTGAAATCACTATGGCTCGTCGAGCGTGGCCTAGAACCGTCCGATAAAAGGCAGAAGCAGAGGGAGCAGTGCATCTCAACGATACTTACCGCCGAATGCGCAACTGTACTCACCAGCCTTATCGGACGCAGCAACAGGTATCCTATTCTGGTGAACGAGGGTATCGTGGCCATCACCCTTTTGTGCACACACAAACTTGGCGGTAAATTTTTTTCTGCTTTCTTTCCGCTTATCTATGGTATCTAAGTTTTCATGTTTCCAGCATTGCTTGTTCTTGAAGCGCTATCTGTGCCCCTGCGTGAGACCTCCGCGACAGAGGAACCACCATCGGCAACGACGAGTAGCCTTCCAACACCGTCTTCGGTGAACGATGGCCTGCCAGTCCCACGGCACGCACTCGACATGCTTGTCTACGTTCTCCGCAACGTAGATAATCCGGTCAACTTCCCCATCGAGGTCAGAGTCAACACATGCACCTTCTTCCTTCAACTCCAACGGCACGCATCAAATGAAGCCTTGGCCCGTGTGCGTGAGGAAGTTGTGCCAGTTGTGCAGCAAGTTTCCGAGGAATCACAAGAAGTCGGCGGAGAAGAGAAGTTGGTCAAGGCTGCGTCCATGCTCCTCAACTCTTGGACACAAGCAACCCAGCCCTCTGGCTAGACTCGGACCTAGGAGAGAGCTGCTTTTTTACCCCACGTCTGTACAGCTGATATGTATTGTATTCGATTAGAATCTGACCTCTTTGTACTTATGAGTAATGTGAATGGTTCAAATTGACGCCTACTTAGATGTAGAGCATACTTGGGGTCCTTGTAATCGGAAACGATGTATGACCGACGTCGTCTCCTGCGGGTAAGTAGCATCGGCGACAGATTACGAATACCGTCCAGAGCAGGTCGAAGAAAGTTGTAATGCACAGAAGCGAGGTTATCGGAACGTTTGAACCAGACTCGAACTGAAGTACTGACCGCCGACGCCAAGGCCCTGAGACGGAAAGATCTAAAAATAGATTGATGGTGCGGGGATGAATGGACACCGCCATTGCCACCAACAGCTAGAAAACTGCGGTCTTTGGAAGAGGGCAAAGGAGGAACTTATCAATGCGTACAGACGGGCCGTCATATAGTCCACAGGCCGCATCAGCACGATTTATCGAGCACTCATCGCTGTTGGCACTGGAAGAGGATGCCGCATAATCGGCCCACCAGTACGTCCGCAGGATCTTGGCAATCGCAATCCTGCCCGGGTGTGATCTGGCCTCGGGCGCCAAGGATTGCTATATCAGTCAATATAAATTTTCAAAACGCTGCTCTGGTGTCCTTTCCGTGAAGATCTTGCTTGTTTTTATCGCCATGGCCATTGCATTACCTTCGTGTTTATTTCTCCAGGAGTCTTCATGTATGTATCCAAATGGCTGCTCTACCACAGGTCCAAACAAAGTGCATGGAGCCAAAGTCTTGGCGTGCACATGAGCACGTTGTGTCCTGTTGTGTCATCTCGTTTCCTGCCCCATAAAGTTCGCGTGGCTATCTCGTTGGCGTTTACACTTACTCCTTCAATATCTGGATCCGTTTACCCATGCGGACATTCATGCTTCTTCTGCGCATTTTTATAGGATTTTATCTGTTTTTATTCCCTTTCAGCTGACTTTGTGCTGGAAGATGCTACTTTTGATCCATGTTATCGGGACATGCTCTCCGTTGGATCTACGGACAGGCCAGCTGGAGATTGGGAATGATGGCGCTATGCTTCTTTTATAAGTGCTATCGTGTGCTTCTCGAAGCCCCCTGCGCTCTCGCCTAACCCCCCACCTTCTCTCGCCCAAGTGCAAGATGGCCTACGTCGACGAGAAGAAAGTCGATGTCATCGACAAGGAGAAATCAGCGAGTTTCATCGACCAGGAGGATGATCAAGCTCTCCGCGAGCCCCCGGCTGAGGAGACTCTGCATCGTGGGCTCAAGGCCCGGCAGATTTCCATGATCGCGGTGTGTATTCGATCGCTTCATCCTCTCAACTTGCATCTCATGGTTCACGACCAACCTAGCTGGGAGGAGCTGTAGGGACAGGTTTGATCATTGGTTCTGGAACGGCTTTGACGAGAGGTGGCCCACTAGGTATGGTCTCTCGTGTCCGGTTGATACTGTCATTTATTCCTTGTCCCAAAGGCCTTCTGTTGGGTTACGCCTACGTTGGATTTGTATGTTACCTGGTGATGGTCTCCTTGGGAGAAATGGCGGCCTTCTTGCCTCACAAGAAGGGATTCGCTGGATATGCAACACGTTTCGTCGACCCTGCTCTTGGTTTTGCCCTGGGATGGAATTATCTTATGAAATATGTAAGTTGCATTTTCAACTTTCATATCTTTCAGCCCTTCTCATTTTGATAATTCCTCGAAAGCTTGTTGTTACACCAAATAATATCAATGCTGCGGGCGTTGTTGTACAGTACTGGACACGCTCTGTCCATATCGCTATCTGGATGGGTGAGTTCTTTTGGGACGGGCATTTTCTCGATGTTAATTCCTCCTGAAGTCATATTCATTGTATTCAGTAAGCTATCACTCCTTTGGTGGATCGTATCAGTCTCCATATCTCATATCCCTAGTTTTTGTCATCAATCTTTTGGGAGTTCGTGTTTTCGGAGAGCTGGAATTCTGGTTCTCGAGTCTCAAGAGTAAGTGCCGGTCTTCCCCCTTTTAAATGACGGACACTGAATGTATCTGATAGTTGTTGCGCTTATCGGCCTGCTGTTGATGGGTATCATCATTGATCTTGGTTAATTCCCAATATTGTTATCCTCCCACCTGAACCATGTTCACTGTGATCTTAGGTGGCAATCCCATGCATGACCGTATTGGCTTCCGCTACTGGCGAGCACCTAATGGCCCTATGGGAAAATATCTCCTTGATCAAGTTCACAACGAGTCGCTGTCCATTTTCCTGGGTTTCTGGGCTACTCTTACGAACGCACTTTTCGCCTACATGGGAACTGAGTTGATTGGTGTAAGCGCTATCTCACTTTCCGAGATTAATCGTTCTTAGTCTTTTTCTTCTAGGTGACTGTCGGAGAAGCGGAGAACCCGCGCAAAAACATCCCAGTTGCTATCCGGAGAACGTTCTGGCGTATTCTGGTCTTCTATGTCGGCGGCGTTTTCGTCATTGGTTTGATTGTCCCAAGTACCAACGAGAACCTCTTCACCGCCATCAGAGCGAGAACTGGTGCTGCTGCTAGTCCTTTCGTTGTTGCAACCACCCTCGTATGCCTTTATTTCGTCGTATTTGATGGTATTGCTTACCACAATTGTAGGTTGGTATTAAAGTTCTCAATCATGTCATTAACTCTGCCATCCTCATCTTTGTGATGAGCGCTGCAAATTCCGACTTGTACATTGGTTCGCGTACTTTGTACGGCTTGGCTGTAGAAGGAAAGGCCCCTGCTATCTTCAAGAAAGTGAACCGCTTAGGTGTTCCATATCCTGCATTGATCTTATGCACGTTATTCTGCGGCTTGGTCTTCCTTAATGTCAAATCTTCTGGCGCACGAGGTACGAGGACTTTCACAATCAACCCACCCTCACGTCGTTAATATTTATCACCATAGTTTTCGGTTGGTTCGTAAACCTAGTCTCAACCTTTGGTGCCTTGACATGGATGTGCATTCTATACTCTCACATGTGAGGCAATCTCTTATTTACCCCCTTGGATTTGGCTCATCGTTACACCCATTTCTTAGTCGATTCATGAAAGCTCTCCAGGCCCATGGCCTGTCAAGGGACGATCTTCCATACAAAGCACCGTTCCAACCATGGGGCGCCTGGTTTGCATTAGGCTCAACTATCCTCATTACCATCTTCAAAGGCTTTGACACGTTCTTGCCCTGGAATGCGCCCAATTTTGTAACGTGAGCCAACTTTGATTACAGCCCAAACTGAAGTGCTCATGACGAATGTCTATTTGCAGGAGCTACATCGCTATCCCTGTGTTCTTTCTCCTTTGGATAGGTTACAAGCTCATATTCAGAACGAGAGTCATTCCGTACGAAGAAGTTGATCTCGTCACTGGCCTACGCGAAATTGACGAAGAAGAGGCTAAATACCTCGCTGACGAAGCCGCCAAGGGACCAAGATCCAGACTCAAGAGGTTGTGGGACTCTCTGTAGACGTTTACTTGTTCATTCTTTACTGCGCCTACATGACCACGTCTCTTCTGTAGGAATATATTTCCTTTTAAGTCAACTTTGTCGCGTCGCCGCGTGATTGGTCAGTCGGTTATCTAACCCTCTTGGTCATAGGAGCCGCGTAAATAATCGATCACTGCCTAAAATGACGAGTATTTCAGTACTTTCCATTTTGTTGCGACATGACGGCGACCCATGACTATAAAAGGGTTCTGGCCTTTTTTCATCGTCTCTACTGTCCTCGCTGTCTTCTACGCACAACACTTCTTAACTAACCTCTCGCCAAGCTCTCCGCTCGTAGAAGTAGGCGACATGGCCCTTGCCGCAATCTCTCGCAACGTCGTGAAGAAGGTCCTGGCGGTGGAGACACCAGAGGTGATTTTGAATGTGCTCTAGTCCTCGCAAAGCTGCATCTTACAGGTTGATAGGGTGCAGGAGCTCTGGTCAGACGGAGCATTGGCTCTATGACCCTCCGCAACCTTACTCCCTTCTTGATGCTTGATCACTTCCACGTTAGCGAGGGAGCAGTACGTCTTGTCCATCCTGGCATTTAGCGTACCAAATACTGAATCAATCGGCTAGGGATTCCCTGATCATCCTCACCGGGGACAGGCGACGGTGACATACATGCTCGAAGGGTACTTCAATTATCATTTCGTTTGTGTGACACCACTGAAGACGACATTGTACTCAGCTCGAGTCAACACGAGGATTCAGCTGGACACAAGGGAACCATTCGTATGTCAAATTCTCTTCCGCGATACCAAAGATCTTATCAAAGATAACCGTAGATGCTGGAGGCGTTCAATGGATGTGCGCTGGGAAAGGCATTATCCACGCTGAAATGCCCGTACACCAGCAAGGATCTCCTGACCCCCGAGGTCTCCAGTTGTGGGTAGATCTCCCTAAACAGGTGCGTATTCAATCACAAGGCTTCAGAACCGCTCCTCACCGTCTTGTTTCTTCAGTATAAGATGGTGGTATGTCGTTGGACCGGTCTTAATTGAACGACTGCAAAGCTTATTTCTTCAGGATCCCAGCTACCAAGAACTTGGTCCAGATCAGTGCGTCGCCAAGATTAGCATTATCGTGGCGAAGGCATACTGATGGGTCGCTTCTGAAAGGATCCCTGTGGCTTATCCAGCAGGACCTGATGGACCTGTCAAAGTCAAAGTCATCAGTGGAAAGAGCCATGGCGTCGAATCACCAGTGAGACCGCTAGGCGGATGCTGGTTTCTCCATATCACTTTCAACAGGGATGGTGAAATGTTCCAACATATTCGTGAGTTCCCTTTGATGCTGTACTACTCTGGGCGGCGCTGACAGCCATTTCGCCTAGCTGGTGGATGGACTTCGTTCTTGTACAGTGCGTGCGCTAGTTGTCAGTCTTAGGAGATATTCCTAACTCAACGATCTTCAGTCTGGAAAGGAGTTCTCACTGTCGGCTCTGATGAGACTGTGGTTCCAGAGTTTCATACTGCGGTTTTATCAGCTGATGCTGATCAAACTGGGGTGAAAATATCTGGTAAAGAGAATACTGAGCTCGTGCTGGTAAGCCTGGTGCCATGGTGGTTACTTAATGTTGACGCTCTCATAGGTTACAGGGGAGCCGTTAGATCAAACTGTTTTCCAATATGGCCCCTTCGTTATGACTACCCGTGAAGAAATTCAAAAAACCCTCATCGACTGTGCGTACCTCCATTTCAACAAGTTTCAGAAACTTACACAAAACAGATCAAAGTGGCAAGAATGGCTTCGAGCGAGCGCACACATGGAAGAGCGAGATTGCCCACAAATGAACGACGCTGACGATCGAGTAGACAGACACAAGTGTACATGCTTGCTTTCTTGTAGAATTATTGCCCCCATATGCATTGGAATATTATACGACATTCTCCAAGTTATCCCAGACGTCGTCGTTATCATCCCCATGTTCGTCATTACGGGGTGACATCGCTCGTTTATCCCAGACAACGACAGTCGGAACAGTAGCGAGATACCACTTGCCCAGGACTTCTCCCCTTCCGTCTTGATTATTACCCGACGTCAGGGGAGGAGGAAAGGTCGAGTGCACACGTGCATTTCTATCGAGGGACGCTGATGCCATAACCTTGGGTGAGGCAGAAATCGATGTTACAGCACCAGAAAACCCTGGAGTGAACTTGAATGTTAAGGTTACAAGGGTGGCCAGCCAACTCATGCATACCTTTGTATCCGTACAAGATACGTCCTGTTCTCAGATCGATCGAAGAAAGATTTGAACCGTTATCACCCATGAAAAGTTCACTGAAGACAACTTTTAAGTACAAGAAATGTAGAGAAATAAGTGCCTTACTGCTCTGAAATGCCTTTCTCAATCACTCTGACACCTCCCCGTTTACCCAGCCCTGTCCAGTTCGAAACAGGTCTGCGAGCTGCCCTGGTATCGTATCGTCTGAGATCACCAAACTGAGTGCCAGTCATGAGATGGTGGCTATTACAAGTCGATTGCAAGAAGGTCAAGGTGGTTATGCGGATTGGCTGCCGCAGCGTGAAGTGGTCATTAGGAACCTGAATTGCGAGGTCAGCTAGCACAAAAAGAGAAACATAATACACAATCTGACATTGCGAGCCCTCCATGCTTCTCCTGGGAAGAGGTCGTCATTGCGTTTGCGTTTCCTTGAGGTGGCGGAGTTCTTTGAGGCTGATGTGAATGCAAGTTCAGTATCCCATAACGAGAGGTCGACTTCATCGCCGCCGTAAGCAAAATTGTTACAATCTTCAGGCATTTGCCAATCGAAGAGTCGGCTAGGAAGAGTTGAGATATCTGACTGTGGAAGTTGATCCGAAGCTTCTTCAAAGTTATTTTCCACAGTGAAGGGTACCCGACGAAGCATTCCGTTGGAAGTGCAAGCAAAGGCAGCGCTGAGGTCTTGAAATCAGAACGTGTAACAAATTATACAGAACTAACGCACCTCTGATTTAGGGACAAGCCAATGAATTGATTTTGTGTGATACGAGGTTCGGTCCACTTAAGATTCTGGGTCAAGGTGTCGTCGTCGTTCAGTGTCGATAGGGAGCAAGACCCGTCGGAGAAGGCTGCAGCGAGCTTTGCTTGTGATCATGAATAAGTCATATTCCCATTTGATTGGAGAACCATAACGCATACAGTAGTTTCACTGTGTGGTCCGAGTGCAGTTGCAAGCTTTTGCACAACTTTCGGGAGTGCAGATGAATCCTGAGAGTAGACCGTTTTCACCTTAGTCTTGCATCCTGGAGGCAGGTCTCTAGCATGTCGGAAGACTTTGATACTGCCGAGCTCGTCACCTATCACAAATCGAGACATTTTGTGTTGTTGGCGGTAGATAAACTCGAAGTTGAAAATTGCTGGGTTCAAAGGCTCAACCCAAAAGGAAATTAGACGCGCCTCTGATTAGTCAGCATATATCATTCACTTGATCTACTCCCTGATCCTGCACCGCACCGTCGACAAGGTGCCGATCATCTGTGAACATGGATGCGCCTTTGAAGGAACTGACGAAGTTGGAGAAATTGACTGCCGCGAACGCAAGGGGTCCGTCAATCGGTCGATCCCTAGATTCCCTTCTCGAGTCCCTTCGCGAGGCGAGATCTGCTTTTCTGGCTGGCAATTGCAGTGAAGAACATTTCAAACAACTCGCTCAAACTATAGAATCAAAGAAGAAGGAGGTCGACGAACGTCAGAAAGAAGTTTACAATGTGCTAGCTCGTCTAGGGAAGGCATTGGACAAGGTACGAGACTCCTTCCGGTCATCATATCCGGAAGGGCTGAGATCTGTTCGTAGAAATTTCCGACCCCCCCACCATCCTATCCAGACCTTTTTTCATCGACGGCGTCTGTTACTGCTCTTGAAAGGACTATAGCGCTGCATCTACTCCGAACAGGACAATTTGAAGTGGCAGAGACATTCTTGCAGGTCCGAATTCAAGACCACTTTCATGATGAGCCTTCAAGCAACTCATGTGCATTACCAGGAGTCTAAAATTCAAATTTCTGAAGAACTTCGAAACCAATTTGTGGATTTACACCAAATACTCAAAGCCTTGCGAAGTCAAGATATCGCTCCGGCGCTCAAGTCCGTCTCATCCATTCCCTCACATTTTGATTGCTCATGATGCTTGATTCAGATGGGCAAGAGGTCACCAATCCTTCCTCAAATCTCGCAACTCGCCTCTGGAGTTCTACCTTCACCGTTCGCAGTATATCAACTTGTTGCTCTCATCACATCCACCTGACCCCTTACTTGCCATTGCCTACGCGAAGACAAATCTCTCGCCCTTCTGTAGGGAACATGAAGCCGAATTCTGCAGGCTGTTGACATGCATCGCTTATCTTCCTCTGGCGAAACTTCAGAGTTCGAGTTATCGGGATCTCGCGCAACCGACCTTGCATTTTGATTTAGAGCCCTTGTTCGCAAAGGAGTATTGCGCCAGCCTCGGTATGAGTCGACAAGTGCCTCTGAGGGTGGTCGGTGACATTGGGGGTGGCGGTGCATTAGCAAGGATTGAGAAAGGCAGGAAAGTCCTGGGTGATAGGAAGGGTGAATGGACACAAATGGATGAACTGCCTGTAAGCATGATTCGATTCTTCACTTTGCCGTTGTCGCTAATCCTTCTTCTAGATCGAGATACCTCTTCCCTCGGAGAACAGATACCACTCGATATTTGCCTGTCTCGTATCCAAAGAACAATCCACGGAATCGAATCCACCAATGATGATGTCATGTGGACATGTCATTTCGAAAGACAGTCTCCAGAAACTCAATAAATCCAGCGGGTCAGTCATTCATCTACTCCTCGGGCATTACATCCTTACCCATTGCATCTCACAGGAGGGCTAAGTGCCCATATTGCCCTGGCGAAACAAATCTTGGGGCGGCTCTCAGGTTATACCTCTAGCAGTCCACTTGCCGTCATCCTGCTGTCAATCCCCTCTGATGAATCGCTGCCCTCGTACTTCTATTTCATTTCTGAAGTATCCTTGCGGCGGTCTCTTGAGCCCCTTCGTGCAAACCCCATGGTTCCATCTCCCTCTTGTCGGACAAGCTACCGAATAGACATCTACAGAGGTGTTTCCCATTCCAGGAGACAATAGCATGTAATGTATAATATACTAGATTGCTGTAGTTGTAGAAGCATACATTTTTGAACGAATTCTGCTGCATAAACTTCCAGCAAGAGACCTCATTGATATTTGCGACGGTTATCTGCCAAACATAGTCTTGATTTGCCATTACGGCGGCATCAATACATCTGGCTTGAATGAACAGGATCTCTTCGATCGATCCTCTTCTATGCTTCACTGGCCTCGCCAATCATGTTCACTACTTCAGCTCATATCGAGGCGCTCCAGTCAGTTTCTGCCTAGCCTTAACCGCTATCAGAAACCTAATGCGACTCATGCAGGAGCCTGTATACTCGACTCTTTGCATCGGGTACTATTCTATCTAAGCTCAAAGACGCGACCATATCCGAGAAATTGTACTCCGGAGCAACGGATTCCATCACTATTTCTGGGCGCAGTCTTGCATGGAAGGTAACTTCAAGTCTAGCTTTACCGCTTGCTTGTCCGAAGACTTACCAGTGACCGCTTTTTCCAAGCTTTTCCTAGCGAAGGGGGGTCCCCTCCAGGATTCTTTGCCGCCTAAGGCTTCTTCTCTTCTGGAGTTGACCCGTCATTCCAGGAAGAAGTTTTCAGAATTACTGGAGGAGAGGATGCAACCACCTGACGTCAGACTCGGTCTGCGAAGCCATCCTGCCATTACGAAGCAAAAGTCAACCGAAAGTGAGAGCAGCCTCGATATGAACAATCCTCTAAGCCTTCATAATGAGGTACGGCCCCTGCGTTGAAGACAATCAAGGTCGACTTATGCTACAGGGTGGCTTAGAATCCCTGGAACGAATGGTTTTCTGGCTTGGAGTTGCGGAAGGTGATAGCACAGGACGTTGAACGAACGTATGCTGTTTTCTTCATCCCCTGTGGACATGGACTCATTAACTGTAGGTTCCCTGATATCCCGTTCTTTCGAGAGAGTGATATACAGGATCAACTAACTGATATACTCTTTCTCTACTCGGTCCTACATCCCTCAATTGGATACCGACAGGGTGCGTAGTAGTGGCATCTTTGAGATATCGCTTACTTGACTTGCACGTAGGAATGCACGAACTGCTAGCACCCCTCTATTTGGCTGTCAATTTCGATTCGATCACGGACGACGAGGTACAAGATGAACAATTCAAAGATATGCGGGAAATTTGCTCTGCGGATTTTGTTGCTGCAGATTCATGGGCATTGTTTAATTCTGTCATGGACGGGGTTTCTCGGTGGTATGAGTGGCGAGACCCTCTGGAGGGTGACGCCTCGTCACGAAGTTCATCATCACCGTTTTTTAAACAAGCCGTTGTATCCGAAGGTCAACTCGGTATCTCACCATACGTAGCGCCCATTGTACAGGCTTGCAACCGCATACAATCGACTCTCCTTCAAACATGTGACCCTCTCTTGTACCAGAGCATGCAAAAGGTTGGAATCGAGCCGCAAATCTATGGGATGTAAGCTTCATGTAATTTCGATGTGTGTGCGTTGAATGTTAACGACCCGTGCCCATAGTCGTTGGCTGAGACTCCTATTCACCCGCGAATTCAACATAGCCGATGCTCTCAAGCTATGGGATTGCCTGTTTGCTTGTGATGCATCCCTGGACTTGGCGCAATGGGTCTGTGTTGCTATGCTTATAAGAATTCGGAATGAATGTACGCGATCTTTCCTATGTTTTGACATTTGTTAATTATAATGGGTCTAGTGATACCTGCGGATTATAGTTCTCAGTTGACAACGTTGCTACGGTACCCATCTCCATCGGCTTCAAACAGAGTAGATGGAGCGCCACATCATGCCATTTTACTCCTTCGACAAGCCCTGGCACTCCAAATGGCTCCAAATCCTGCGACAGGCGCTACCATCGTAATGGAAAACCGGAGTCTCCTGAATATCCCAATAGATGTTCCCAGAAAACCGTCACCTCCGCCAACAAAACAAAGTCGCATACCTCGACCACCATCGACCTCTTCAGTTGGGTTGTCTTCCCAGTCTCATTCCAATGGCAAAAAAGGCGGAAACCATTCCAGACAAGCATCTTCCCCGGCTCTTGCTTTCTCTGAAATGCTTACTCGTGGTTTGGTTGAGCGAGGCGAAAGTTTGGGCATTAACAAGACACTCTATAATGCTGTGACGGAAATTCGGGTGAGTTATTGCTTCACGGCTGGCCTCAATTTAATTTGAATACATTTGTGTTGTTCAGAGAAACATTCCTGAACTTGCTGCCTCGCTTGGGGTCAGAACACCTACTCAGGTTACTCCTTCATTTCCATTGATTGACGAAAGACCAGTTGAAGAACGTCCTCCATGGGAGCCGCTCACTCGTTTTGAGATGGAAAAGAATATTTCCGAGCTGCGCTCAAGAGACAAGACTCTAGGAGAGTCATTGGCCTGGATCGTCGACGCTCTCCTGCAAGATGAAAGCGAGATGGGGAACATAGAGAAGATCCAGCGGCAGAAGCGCGAAGCTCTGGAGTCACTATCGTATGTAAGGGACGTCCTCATGACCAACACTCTGGAGCTGGACAAAGACAGACTAATAGGAGGGGAAGAAAAATCGAGACGCAAATTGAAAGCGCAAAAAGAGGCTGAAGAAGTTCAAGCCGCTAGCGCGTTTGCTCTCGTTGTGCCACCAGTGCCTGTCCCTGTTGTCAACTCGCAATTGAAGCGCGCTTCGGACACAATTCGCAGTAGACCTCGATCCCCTGTACCTCCCAGTTTACCTTCGGCAACTCATGTCTCGAAAAACAGCGCGGAGTTATCACAACGGGCGCCTTGGAACCGTAGCCGCTCGAGCTTTGGGAGTCCTACGTCTGCAGTGCCGTCGGCATTGATGCCTCGACCACCACCGCCAACCTCGACGGGTCTGAGACGAGAAGGAAAGAGGGCGTCCGATCAAACACCGCCAGCCAATGGCGGCTATTTGGATCCTCTAGGAGCTCTTCACTGAATTTGCAATCTCTAGAAATTGACTGGCTAATAATGTATAATACTTGTATCGTTTGAGAGTTCTGTGGGCGTAGATAGATGCCAGGATGAATATGAAATAAGATAAAATGTCGGGGAAGTCGGACGAGGACGAGAGCCGGAAAGCATAAATCACGAGGAGATGATTGGTCGGAATGTTTCGCTCACGTTTTCGCTTGTGATCGGAGCAAAGCGCGCACGGGAACCAGGCTGCCTCCACTCCTTCCTCCTTCACCACCACCTCCAATGTTGCGCAGGGTTCTTCCAAGAGCTGTTGCGCGTTCGTCGCGCGCCTTCCATGCATCACCTTCTGTCTCGCGCGTTGTTGCAACCAACCCCGCAAAGGCGGGAGAAGTCAAGGCAGGTCTTTCCGTCCATCCGGCGTTTCTTGTCTAACTCTACTACCAGTCTTGGTCCTCTGGGAAGTACCCTCTCATCGAGCATGAATTCGACGCCGTCGTCGTGTAAGCACCACTCTTGCTGCCCGTATTATGTCTTAACCCGCATTGCAGAGGTGCCGGTGGTGCCGGTCTCCGAGCAGCCTTTGGTCTTGCAGAGGCAGGGTTCAAGACCGCTTGTATCACCAAACTTTTCCCTACTAGAAGCCACACTGTCGCTGCTCAGGGTGGTATCAATGCTGCTCTTGGTGTGCGTCTTTGGTCTGCCCGATCCGACGCGGTCAAGTAACAAATCTTCTCACAGAACATGACGGAGGACGACTGGAGATGGCACATGTATGACACTGTAAGTTCAACGCATATATGCTCTCCATGCCATTCCAAATCTGTTTCAGGTGAAAGGATCGGACTGGCTGGGGGACCAGGATGCCATCCACTATATGTGTCGCGAGGCTCCTAACTCGGTTATTGAGGTGCGTGCCAACGTCATGGTCGCCCGGCGTTGTCTCACTAATTTACCCTTCCAGCTCGAACACTATGGAGTGCCCTTCTCCCGTACGAAAGAAGGGAAGATCTACCAACGGGCTTTCGGAGGACAATCTTTGAAGTATGGCAAGGGTGGTCAGGCATATCGTTGTGCCGCGGCAGCTGACCGAACTGGCCACGCTATCCTCCACACTTTGTATGGTCAATCATTGCGACACAACACCAATTTCTTCATTGAATATTTCGCTCTTGATTTGATAATGGAAGATGGCGAATGCGTCGGTGTCATCGCCCTCAACATGGAAGACGGGACTCTGCACCGATTCCGTGCTCATAAGACGGTCCTTGCTACTGGTGGATACGGTCGAGCATATTTCAGTTGCACTAGTGCACATACCTGCTCCGGAGACGGAAACGCCATGGTTGTCCGCGCAGGACTGCCGCTTCAGGATCTTGAATTCGTTCAATTCCACCCAACTGGTATCTATGGTGCTGGATGCCTAATCACTGAAGGTGCGACTCCTCAATGAACTAAAGCTGGAGGTTTCTGTTGCTGACCCTGTTCCTCCTAGGTTCTCGCGGAGAGGGAGGCTATCTCTTGAACTCCGAAGGTGAACGATTTATGGAGCGTTATGCGCCAACCGCGAAGGATTTAGCTTCCCGTGATGTTGTTTCTCGGTCCATGACTATCGAGATCCGTGAAGGCCGTGGCGTTGGTCCTGAAAAGGACCACATCTACCTGCAACTCAGCCATCTCCCACCTGAAGTCCTCCATGAACGACTACCTGGTATCTCTGAGACAGCCGCTATCTTCTCTGGCGTCGATGTTACCAAGGAACCCATCCCCGTTTTGCCCACTGTTCACTACAACAGTAAGCCTTGCACCTAATCTAATGTCGCATGCTCTAACCATCGTTATAGTGGGAGGCATTCCTACCAAGTACACAGGCGAAGTTATCACCATTGACGAAAACGGCAAAGACAAAATTGTTCCTGGACTCTATGCTGCAGGTGAAGCAGCGTGCGTCTCCGTCCACGGTGCTAACCGTCTTGGTGCAAACTCTCTTTTGGATATTGTCGTCTTCGGCCGTGCTGTTGCACACCACATTCGTGACACCCTTGCGCCCGGTAAGCCTCACAAGGCCATCCCTGAGGAAGCTGGCCTCGGCTCCATCGAGTTTTTGGACAAGATCAGGAACGCTGAGGGCTCATTGCCCACTGCCCAAATCCGCCTAAACATGCAGAAGGCCATGCAATCTGATGCTGCTGTCTTCAGGTATGCAGCCGACATTACTTTCCCCGCTACGCAGGACTTATGTCTGGCGTAGGACCCAAGAATCTCTGGATGAAGGTGTACAGAAGATGCGTGAGATTTACAAGAGCTATGTCAACGTTGGAATTAAGGACAGGAGCATGATCTGGAACTCGTAAGGACCTCCCTACCTCATTGGGTAGAGAACCCTGCTAACTCATTGCCTTAAGTGACCTCATCGAGACTCTCGAGTTGCGCAACATCCTCCAATGCGCCATGCAAACCATTACCTCTGCCGCTGCTCGCAAGGAGTCACGTGGAGCTCATGCTCGCGAGGATTATCCTGATGTAAGGGTTCCAGCTCGTATCTGTTGATTTCATCTCAAATGGGCCCCCTCTCAGCGTGACGACGAGAACTGGATGAAACACACACTCTCCTTCCAGCCCGATCCCGAGAGCCCTGAGGTTGTTCTCAAGTATCGTAGCGTTATCGACACCACTCTCGACGAGAACGAGTGCAAGCCTGTACCACCATTCAAGCGCGTCTACTAAGCAGCTACGACTTCTTCACAGGATATGGTACGAGGATGTAATCAAAATTAATTGCCTTTGCCTTTTTTCCGGAGCACAATTACGACAGTGATATATAGATATACGTTGGTCCCTACAATAATGCGCGCCAGCAACGTCGTCAGAATGGATGATCAAAGTCGGCCTGGTTGAACGCAGTCTCGGGGAAGTATCGCGCCCGAACAGTTCGACCGCCGAAGTATCTGCCATCGAGTTCGCGCACGGTCTTCCAAGCTCCAACCGGGCCAGCAAAAAGGACAAAAATTCGAACAGCGTCTTCCGGGTTCACAGGTGTTGGATGGACGGCATGAACGATGACTCTTTCCACCGTTCCATTCTTAGAGCACTCGTCGCCTTTTTGGTGTATCAACATTTGAGATACCCAAAGAATAGTGAGCTCAGCACATACCAATTTCTCCCCGCAGGTCTTCATCCTCGACGTCTTCAGGGCCAACCATGTTTGTCAATACCACAACGCGAGTGGGTTCGCCAAATCTCTCCCTATCTTCCCGTGCTTTTGCGTCTTCGTTATTGTTGATAATCTTGCCTATCTTTGAGCCGACGCCGACACCCTTTCCTGAAGGCCTTGCATTACCACTCTTATTGCCTTTTCCCTTGGAAGAACCAACTTGTTCAACAACCAATGCATTGACGATGCCTGAACCGTCGACACCGAGCCCTTGTCCTTCTTTGTGGCCCCATTTGGCCATGAGGCGGGCAGCGAAACCATGGGGATCAGGTCTACAAATGAATCTATGGGTGAGTGAAGGTGTCGGTGGAATTGTGGAACGTACTTAGTTTCTTCCTCAGCCACTGGCGGTGGAACTGCCGGAGTCGGTTGTGAGGCAGCGGAAGCACCCAGTGCGGTTAGTCTAGCCGCGATGGCCGCTGCTGCCTTAGCTCTGTCCTGGAATGCACTTGGGACATTGACACTAAGTGGCCCTGGCGGTGGCAGTGGAACGGACGGTGGCGCGAATGGATTGTATGCCAAAGCTGACGGTGAGGGCGAACGTGCGATTTGTAGAGGAGGATTTGTGGCAGCTGCAGGTTGGTCGCGGTGTATCGTTGATATTGCGATATGTCGGAGGTAGGCATCTTCGCCCGTCTCTGCCGCCAGATGGTCGGGGTTCGGTGCGGGTGATTCATCCCTCACGAACGATGGCGGCGTTGATGATCGAAGTCGCGGTGGCGCGGCTGCTGAGAGGGCGAGCCGTCGTTGGTAAGCTTCATCGCCTGTCATATTTTTATCCAGCACAACAGGAGGAGCATCACGTATGGGAAAGTCTTCGGCGCTCTCGCGTCCACTATCTGGACGGCCTCTTGACCAGTGATCAAAAGTATCATATCTCCCTGTAGAATATTGCATTGGACATGAGGCGTGAAAAGCGCAGTCGAAATTCGGGTGTTACCTGTCTTCCGAGGCCTTTCCTCACCCCCAGAGCCAGTAGCTTCAGAATCAGAGTAACTGGCACTCTTCCTAGACCTTTTCCGGTCTTCTTGCCGGCGTTGATCGTGCAACCGTTCACGTCTCTCGATGCGTTCCTTGGTTCGCCAGATCTTGTATTCGTTGTAATCATTTGGACGAAGGGGATCGTACAGTTCGTATGGATCCCAGATTGGGACGACGGGGGCATTTTTATTCTGGATAATTCAGACATTGTGAGAGTATTGCCAACTGAAGTCGCACACCTTTTTGCTCTTTCCTTTACCAGGCTTCTTCCTCTGCTTGTTCTGGAACCCGTTCACATCTTCTTCGAGGATCATTGAGGGTGGTTTGACTTTCCTTCCCCATCCCTGTGTCGTGGCAGCCTGAGTCTCTTGCGCAGCGGGTGGGTTGCTCGTATCAACCAATGCGGGTGGGGCGAAAACGACCGCTGTAGACGACAATGCCACTGCTGCTGGTGTAGATCCGGGTAAGGTCGAAAGTATCGAGGCACCCGCAGGGAGTCTGGGTGTGGTAGCAGCTGCAACCGTTTTTGCCTTCTGCGCCTGTGGGCGGCGCATTGGCGCAAAAGCAAGAGCAGCGGACCAGGCTTGTGAAGCGTAGAAAATCGAACATTTCAATAAACGGGTTCTACCAGGAAGCGCGTAGTAGATTGAGAGATACCAGCTGTGGATTTGCCTGGCCCCGTGGCCCCGGCGGCAGCAGGAGGTCCTGTGGCTGCCTCTGTGGTAGACTGAGTGGGTTCATCGGCTTGTGGTTTTGGGACTTCAGCGGGCTTGGGCTCTTCTGTAGTTTTAAGAGGTGCAGGGTCTGGATTAGAGAATGCAGGTTGATAGGAAGTGCCTGAGGAAAATTGGATGCCTCCGTAGAGACCTCCAGCCTTGCTTGACATAGATGATGGTGGTACAAGTTTGAGTAGATACGATTACGTAAAAATACAGGTAGACTTTTAGCGCCACTTGGCGCGCAAAACTTTTTTGTGGAATCTCGACTTGAATTTCAGACCACTCGCGAGTTACTTTCCACTGCGAGCCTTCGAACTCTGGCCTTCGTCACTATAAGTAGAGCCAAATGGTGGGACTCAGATAAGTTTACCTCTCAAGGCAGTTTCGTGATGGAGAGGCTCAATGTCGGTGGATTCGATGATACCTGGGTGGTGCTCAATGACCCCAGAGGTTTTGTTCAAGGTACGCTGTGCATGTTTGTCGCCCGCGAAGTCGGAACCCCCGCCAGCACCAACAGTGGGCGTCGTGGGGTCATTCACCTAGAGAGGACTGAGAAGCCTGTACGTCAAATGTGGAATTGCTACACACGAAGGTGGAGGTTAGAGCATCAGTCTTGCTGGGGTTGGCGATCCCAGGGTGGACGTCTGCAGCCTTAGCCGACTGGTCGAGAAGATCTCGGTCGTTGAGAGACATGGTTGTAAGTAATTTGTGAGAGTACAACCAGAGATAATTTATATAGAGCAGGGTGTGGGGCAATGAAGACATTTGACGTCAATCGAGGTCGATCGTCATAACTCCCATCCTGTTTGATTGAAGTACCTCTCGCGTGCACCTTTACTCAGGATATGAATTGCGAATTGACCAGCATCGATCATGACCCACTCGCTTCCATTCTGTCGTCGTGACTTTGGGGGAAGAGGCAGAGGTGGTTCACGCTTCAGAAGCTGAAGCAACAACGTTAAGACAGCACTCCACTGAAATGAAAACAAATTACGCACTGTCTTCCGAACAAGTCTGACCACGGATTCTATTGAACCTCTGTTTTCGGTGCCCTCCTTCACCTAGCCGTTGCAAAATTAGCTGAGCACAATGGAGGAGCAAGACACAGACAGACCTGGCCCATGACGACCCAGCTCCAAATACCACCCAACCCGTTGTCGTAATTCGACTCCCCAGGGTAGGTTCCACCCCGTTTTCTCCGTCCGTGAGGCGGGGTAATGGGCAGAGGCGGTCCGGGGGCTGGAAGCACGGCGGGTTTCACGACCAGCTCAGACGTTTCGAGGTGCGGTGACTGTAAGAGCTCAGCATGCAGAATTTTGAGGACATCCGGGGCCTCTTCTGGAACTGCCGGGGCGGCGATAGGTCTCGCCAGCAAATGAGGAGGGGGTTGCCTCTGGCCGAAGGCTTGTGGGACAGGATTAGGGTCGACGAACCATGGCACGCGCGCAGCCTCTCGCGCAGCTGATGTCGATGCAAAACTACGTGTCCGTCCGCACAGAGAGTTCAGAAAGAGGCCGTTCATGACGCGTGGAGGGTGAGTGCAGCGCAGAGCCTGCATGTTGTCGCGGTACTTGGGAAGGCGGTATGTAATAGCGAGCGGACTTTGAAATGCGACGGAAGATAATTTGGCGTGCCGAGGAGCTGTGTTCCTTTCTAACCACCATGGGCGTACGAGCTGGGATTGTCGTCTGTGTCACCAGCTTCCTTCTGGGTATGTCCAGTCTTCTTTCTTCGTCGTCGCTGTCGGTTAACAGCGCGGTATAGGTTCCCTCTTCACCCACTGGATCGCGGACTCGCTCACGCTATGGAAATCACCTGTCACTGACGAGCACCTCTGGACTGCGGCATCCTATTACTCCATTCTAGCCAAGGGACCCATTGAGGCCCTGTACTTCCTTGCTGCAGTCGTCATTTTTGGAGGGACCACCATCCTCTGGAGTCTCAACGACTGGCGCGCGGGCAATATCATGTTCGACGGCGGAAGTATCTGTATGTTCTCGCGCCGCTCATACGCCCCCTCGAATTCTGATGGCGTTCCTTTCCCCTTCACTCCAGTCCTATTTGCAACGACAATTGCGATGTACCTTCATTCAGTCCTTCCCAGTGCGTCATTTATACTCAACTCGTTCATACTGCCTGTCAATTCGTGAACTGACCGACCTCCCACAGGTATATTCGCCAAATTTAGCACCCTGCCAGTGCACTCATTAAAGGACCCCATCCCCCGAGCACTCCGGAATGCCACCCTCGAGCTCGCCTCCAACAACCTCATCTGCAGTGTTGCCCTCACAGGCGTCCTTGCCCTCCAAGCGGGTCGCTTCTGGGCCGAAAGCGCAGACGACGACGATGATGAATTTGTCGTGATCGAACCCGAGGATGCTGCACCAGCCCCACCAACAAAGGGAAGAAGATCACGAGCAAAGACGCCTGATATTAGCATCCGAGACGACAAGGTCAAGCCTCTACTTCAGCAACGAGTACAAGCATCATAAACGCAAAACGATGCGACGACCCCCCCAACTAAAACCACAATGACAGATGGAACGATCTATTTCGTCTCTTCTTGGCATGACCCCGCTCTGCATGCACATTGCACAGTTTATTTATTGCCTGGGACATTCTGCTCAGTTTGCTATGATATCTCTACCTCGCTGATTTGGATGCTTTTCAACAAGCCTCAACACCCCATTTCTTCCCTGTTTCAATGTATTATCTACACTGTCCCGCTTTCTATTTGAGACTCATTATAAGCTCCTACGAAACCTGTTGTGAATAATTTTATCCTGATAAATGATGATTTGGGATTCTATATGTCTAAGCAATTACTCTTGCACAATGTCCTCCTTGCGAGGCTTGGAGTTTTTGATCTCATGTCCTTGGCCGATGATGGATTGTGCTTCATCATCCAGTACAATGCCTGTGATCGGGCAGACATCATCAGTAAAGCATGTCAGCCAGCACAAGAAGACGTCACTTACCAAGACCCTCTTCCTTCACAAGACCTAGAACGTGCTCCAGCTCCACGAAGCCGTCCTTATCGACATCCAGTTTTTGGACCACTGCCTGTCCCACCTCGTCATCTGGCTTATGCTTGATGACGGCCAACGCCTTCTCCAGGTCTTGAACCGAGATACGGCCTTGGGGGTCAGCCGATATCAGTTGGAGAGAGCTACCAACTCGGCTGTCATATTCCTGCAGCTGTGTATCGATCTTGGTCAACATGGTCCGTATCTTCTTCGTCAAAGCACCGGAAGGAGACTTGGGATCCTAAATGACGCATTAATTACGGCTGCGCCAAGTAATGGTAAACATGCCTCCTCAGCCTGCAGATTTTCTTCCATGAGTGCACGTAGTTCATCACGTTCCTTGAGGACACTGGACTTCGAAGACAGAATGAGGAGTGCATCGGCGAGCTCGTTGAGCTGTTCGGTGGTCATGCGAGCATTTTCAGTTTCAGTTGTCTCTGGCATCAACTACACCACCGAGGAAGAACATTAGCAAAGGAAGAACAATTCTATGTTGAAAGACATACCTCTGAATCGGGGAGAAGGGATTGAGCGAGCTGGGCCTCCAGTTCAGCAGCTTCTCTCTTAGCACGACGAGCATCTTCCTCTTTCTGTTCTTGCTCGGCTTCATCGTCAATGAGCTCTTGTTGCTGTTGCAAGACTTCGAGTTTCTGCTTGTAGCTGGCCTTCTCCGAGTCGACCTCCAGTTCAGCTTCATTGAGCTACAAGGTCGGGTAAAGAAATGATCATGACGAAATTAGACGAGTAAGGAGAACGGACCAAATTATCTGGCAATCCGCAGAGCACACTTTCCAGACTGGAGATGACAGCCGTCTTGCCGTCCTCGTCATCGCCTGGCTTCTTGTGAAAGTTGAACGCCCTGCCCAGAATCAAGAGCACGCCTGAAACGCGGTTATGGAGATGCAGGTTTATCCAGGTCGTGAGCTCCTCGCGCAACCGGGCAGGGGAGATCCCCGTGGTCCGGATTCCGCGCGACTGACAAGCGGCCTGCAGCTCTGAAGTGGACAACTCGTCTACACCCTCCGCGTCAATGAGCTGATCATCACGCCGCAGGTGGAGGAGTCGAGCTCGGATGGCGCCTCGCAAAAAGTTGTCCGTTCCGAATGCGTTTATACCCATGTAGCGACACATCGACACTAGCTGTGGCCGAGACAGATTGTCAAGCGTTAGATCGTCATCGAAGAGCTTGGCTACGTTGATAATGTCCGCGGCGGAGGGCGATTCACCGGTTGACCGAACCTTGAGAACGCCACGGCATGCGGGGTAAATTTAGAAAAGGTCGACGCGGCGGTGACGACATGAGTCGGCTTACCTTGCGGAAGAATTCTTTGAAAGCCTCGCTGCCGACAATATGCGCGTTCGCTTTGAGACCAGACTCTCTGAGAGTTTCCTGAAGGAATTTGGCCATGTCCAGGCGGACCCGAAGTAGTTTGCGTTGTTTCTCTTCCTAAACCATGGCGACGCGTTTAAGACTAGAAATGAAGTCTTGGGAAGAAACTTACGGCCGAATATTTGTCTTCAAAAGTGGACGGGAGCATATTCGGGAAGAGTTTCAGAGCGACAGGGAGCAGAAGCTCCATGAAAGGTACGACGATGAAGACAGCGAAGGGCACAAGTCGCAGCAAGTCTTGCGTTGTGCGTTTCAGCTACGGAATATTTTAGTACTTGCAGAGAAGAAAGAACAGATCGTTCCTCGCCTGTCTCCTTTCCCTACGCGTCAGAGGGTCTCCCTGCAGAATTTTCCATTGCAGCTTAGAGGAGATTCTGACTTCTGAGACCAATAGCTTGGATCCGTGCCAGTAGTGTTGGGCTTCATGCTTGACTTTCTTCCACACGCGAGTTGAGAGTGGCTCAGTCGGGACCGCGGGAGGACCTTGTTTGGGGTCGGACGGCGTAGATGGCGGTTGAGGAGCGACCGAGCTTTGGTAGCGGAGAAGGACGGGGAGTGGGCGGTGGGGCAAGGAGCGGGGAGCGCATCTGAGAATTAGGTGTGAGCGGTAGGTATAGATAGAGCGACTATAGGAGCGAGAGACAAGGGCTGGGCCAGGACGAGGAAGCCATAAAGACATCAGACAGACGTTGCAAGAATCCTCTCGGCGCGTGCCCCGCGACTTTCCCTGCGCTATTTGGTCCTGTTGTCCTCCACCTTTCCAGTCCGACATGCTTCTCCCCGACAGCCCAGAGTACAAAAGGGCCCAGCGCCAGCATAAAAAGGCTACGAAGAACAGGCCCATGACCATTGACCAGGAATGGACGCCATTCAGAGCTGCAGAGAAGCGTTTCAAGGCCCGCTTCCCCCCACCCGATCTCTCTGGAGTGCTTGACCTCGCTTGCAGGGACAAAAGCAGGGTTAGTGAACTCGATGCTGGTGGTTGGAAAGGCTCAGCGAATGCTGTGGAATGCCTGGAGATCCCACCAATGAGTGAAACTGGAAACACAATCGCATATCGCTTCCCAACAATCCATGGTGCGCCACACTCTCGATTAGACCAATCACCTTTCCAGGTCTGACAATCTAATTAGGGCTCGTTCTATTGCCTTCCTTTGTCTCTAAAGAGAAGCAAAGGGAGCTTGTTATCTGGGCTCTCTCTCGACACGCTCGACAGCCTAACAATACTAACCTCGACATTCACTACTTTCTCCCTGAGAACGGTCTCTGGAATTCTGCTCGAGTCGATTCCCAGAAAGATGTGCTTGTCCAACCGCGCGCGCCGCGTTCTACTGATGTAGAAACAGCATCTCCTGGCCCCCGCCAGCTCGTTAATAACACTCCTGCCTCACCTGAAAACTTCCAGTCTATTAACACCACGCCTAAACCACCGCAATCCCCTTCACCATCAGTCCCGCCTGCTTTGGCATCCTCCTTACTTTACAAGCTACGGTGGGCTAATATTGGATGGTTTTATCACTGGGGGACCAAGCAATATGACTTCTCGAAAGGGAAAGGTACAATAGATGGTGAGTTGCAACGCATCTGCAAAGACGCTGTGAGGTCAGTGGACTGGACGAAGGTCCACGGCTCGAACGACGATGGTTGGGGATCAGAAGGACCAGACTGGCATACGTGGGACGAAACTTACGGTACATTGTCTACTTTCATCTTCCTGGGTTTGCTGCCAATATGTCTGTACCTCCTTCGCAGAACCTGACGCTGGGATCATAAATTTCTATCAAGAAAAGGCAAGCTGTCTGACGCCTGGACAAAATGCATATCCATTGAGTTCTTATTATTCCTCTTAGGATACTCTAATGGCTCACGTAGACCGATCCGAAGTATGCGCCACCTCTCCTTTGGTCTCGATGTCGTAAGTTCACAGATATGTCTTTGGCATCTCCCCCTTCACATCTCCTACAGCTTGGGAAACGCGGCCGTATTCTTGATTGGCGGCCTAACCAGAGATTCCGAGCCTACTCCCATCCTTCTGCGGTCTGGGGATGTGGTCATTATGTCTGGTCCTGCATGCCGACGTGCATATCACGGAGTGCCTCGCATTCTGGAAGGAACACTTCCAGGGCACTTGGAATCTCGGAGTGTTAAAGATGAAGTGATGGCGAAAGAATGGGAGCCGTATGAGGCGTACATGAGAACGACGAGAATTAATATCAATGTGCGACAGGTGTTTCCGAAAGGATTCGACCCATATGCCAATGCAACATAGACCGGTGCCGTAGCTTCGCCAGACTTCGGGCAAACCCCAAGATGAACGCGATTGTAGTCGTCCATTCACATTTGGGCGACGAATGATACGAAGATATCTTTAAATGGTTATGCCACAACCACACAAGGAACGATTGGAAGAGTCAAGATTAATTTAATCTAATCTCCTTGCCATCAGAAATCGCTATCAGCTCAACTGTACAGTTTATGTCAGAGTCTCCCACGATCCCAATTTCCGTCCTCACCACCATCGTCACCGAGCTAAGCATCCCAAGCCACAATGGAAAACGACCAAGTGAGTGACTCTTCTGGTCTGCTACCATGAAACGGCATTCTGACGAATGTTACAGGGTGTCCTCGTCGATCTCTACGTTCCCCGCAAGTGCGCGGCTACCAGTGCGTCAAAAATTTTCGGCCAGCGATAATCAGCGTTCCTAACCGCTTTCTGTCTTTCGCAGACCGACTGATCACCTCCAAGGATCATGCCTCTGTCCAAATCAACATTTGCGACGTTGACGCCAATGGCCGGGCTTTGAACACCTCCACCACCTTCGCCCTCTGCGGCCAGGTCCGATCTCAAGGAGAGAGCGATGATTCTATTAACCGGCTGGCAACAAAAGCGGGTCGTAAGTTGCCGTCATTTTTCCTCTGTAACTACTCTCATTAAAATCGTTTGACGTTAGTTCTCCGCAATGTATGGTCATACGCGAAGTAAATTAGATTGGAATGTCATGATGTACCCTCTGCTTTCGTATCGATTTCTTCATTCTTCTTCCCTCTGTCCCCTTCATGAGTCTCCCCGCAAAACACCAACTTCTTCGATTTCTCCCTTCCCTGAAGGCTTCTCGCGGACAATCAGCCTGGTTTCTGGATTCAATACGCAATATTAAGTGGATTCCTTAATTGAACGTCACGTGATATGACGAGGAGCGGCGCAGCGGCAGAGGGACGCAGCAGCGCTTGACAATGTCGTGATCTCGAAAGCACTGGTACACACTCCATCACCCTCCGCAGCCTTTCTATGGTTGACTACGACTGCCGCTCACCATCAATAGATAGCTCTTATTCCACCATCTCTGTAAGTCGCCCCGCCAATTCAGCGCCCTCTTCAATCTCCCCTGACATCACATGCAGTCAGACTCCATGGTTGAAATCAAACGCGTAGACATCCCTGCTTCGGGCTCGGCGCCCAAGAAAGCACAAGAAGACGACAAGTATCGTCTAATATATAGCAAGTCAAAGGTCTATGTGAACCCGACTGCGTATGCTCGAGACAACATTCCAGGCTTTGTCGCCCTTGTGAAGCGAGTATGTCTTCTTGTATTGCTTCGGTTCTACAGAAGTATCTCATACAGATGCGTACAGGAGGCTGTCAATCCTATTTATCTCCTTGGTTGGATTCCTGAGACCCTTCTTAGTGAGAGGGGGCCCTCAGAGTGGGATAAGTTTGTGAAGGTTGAGGAACAAGCTGCTACATCGGAAGCAGATGACGATGGTGCGTACTGCCTATCATATGCCGCGTTCATTGACTAACTCTCAGACAATGTATCGTGCAGACATCGTCCTTATCGACCTCCCGACGCAACGTCCGGAATCATACGCATTCTCTGTGCCTATAACATCGATCTATTCCCTCATTGTCCAGCCGCCGACGCTCTCGTCTTGGTGTGAGCGCTCTGTTGCACCTTCTCTCGGTTCTATACCTAACTCTATTTCAGATGGATCTATTGGGATCAATCTGATAAACGGCGACACTCTGCCGACTCTCCACTTCCACGACGATGAGTCGAGTTCATTTACCCTCCAGAGCCCGAGGTCTTCCTCAAGCAATGGTTCTAACGTCACCGCCTATCCTCCACCTCCGAGTGAAGGCTCTTCACACATTCCAAAACCGATCACCGCTTGGGGTGGCGATAATCTGTTGTCTCGACTTCGGAATTATGCTCACCTACTGCGGTCAACTCTGCAACCCACGCTGTTTCTCGTAGATCCGTCTCGAGCTGACATTGAGGCACATTCAACCCAAATCTTTGCAGATGATGCTGTGGATGACATATTGGGCCACTCATCGTATGCTAACTCTCATTCCCCTGTTCCGGCACATCGACGACCAAGGCCATTGTCAACATCTAGCAATGGTTCCAATCCCTATTCCCAACGATCATCAATTTTACATCGTTCACTGGGTGGCCCTCCTCTTTCCCCAGGCTCTGGCTCTTCATCTCAGGCCCGCATGGCGCTCCTTCAATCATTCTCGAACATCACGCGGGCTACCCGTCATGCCGCGCAAAACATCCTTTCGCATCCTCTCGCCAAACCCATCGTCCCCCATTTGCCAGATCCGGTGCGCAGCCTCGTGAATGCGAATGGCGAGTGGGAATGGGGGAGCTGGGTCGAAAAGGGTGGCGTCGGAGAGTTTGAGAGCGCCCGTGTTTATCTTGCTCGATGGGCGAGGATCGTGGCCGAGGAAGGAGAGAGGGCTCGTCGGAAGGAGGCACAAGCGTTGCCGCCCCATTCTGCTGGCCTGGCAGAAGAAGACTCTTCACTGGGTATCTTTGAGCTCCTTCATTCGACATCAAACCTGCCCACACCGAAATCGTCTCGAGACCCGTCTCATCCCGTAGATGAGAAATCATGGGCGAAATGGTTTAGGAATGACGGCCAACCAACAATACGATGGGAGGAAATGAGACGAGAGGTCTTCCGTAGAGGTATCAGTCCAAAGGGCTCTCTGCGGCAGAAAATCTGGCCTTATCTGCTCGGGGTTCTGGAATGGGACGTCGACACCGAAGAAAGGGACAGGTTGTGGCAAACGAAGCAGTGAGTTTTCTTTCTGTGATGCAGGCAATATCTTATATATTTCTCGACAGTGAACTGTATCACGCCGCTAGAGATGAGTGGTGTGGAGTTCCCGAAGTATTTGAAAGCCAGACAGTCTTGGAGGTACGTCTGTCTGCGTCCTGCGTGACTTTCGCATGCTCAGCTTCGTGTATAGGAACGACACCGTATCGACGTTGATTGTCGAAGAACAGACCGGAATCAACCAATGTTCTCTGCACCTGCCGAAATACATACGACTGACCTGGACGATGAAAAGGGGCATCAGCGACATTATTCGATCATCTCTCCCAACATGACCGACATCGGCGCCCAGTCACCCAGCAATGAGCATGTAGACCGTATGGCCGCTGTTCTTCTAACGTATAACTTCTACGAGAAGGAGCTGGGTATGTCTTATACCCTCGTAAGCATCTACTCTTATTCAACGATGGTTGTTACCACATCTAGGCTACGTGCAGGGTATGTCGGATCTCTGTGCTCCCGTCTACGTTGTGATGGGTGGAGATGAGGAAATGACATTCTGGTGTTTCGTGGAAGTTATGAATCGGATGGTACGTGAGAGATCTTGCCCGTGACAGTTGTGCTGATTTCATTGTCTTTCAGAAACAAAACTTTTTGCGAGACCAAAGTGGGATGAAGAAACAGTTATCTACGCTACAGCAGTTGATCGAGGTTATGGACCCGGAGTTGTTTAGGCATCTAGGTGTGTATTGCTTCTCCTAGATGGCACCGTGTGGCTGATCTTTCACGCCCATGCTCCAGAGAAGACAGATGGCTTGAACCTGTTCTTCTGTTTCCGGTATATGAGCAATTCTCAGCTGATTCTTGTAATTGACTATAGTGGTCTTTAGTTGGGTCCTCATCTCCTTCAAACGCGAATTTGCCTTCGATGATGTCCTTCGACTCTGGGAGGTTCTATGGACGGACTACTACACAAGCGGCTTTGTTCTGTTTGTCGCCCTTGCGGTGCTTGAATCACATCGAGACATGATATTGCGGTATCTAGTAGAGGTTCGTCGTTTGGTCGTCTATTCCTTGGCTTCTACTTACGACAACTTCCTCGGTAGTTCGATGAGATACTGAAGGTAAATACCTTCTTAACCTAGTGGCAAGTTGATCTCACTCATTCTGTCCACAGTATTGCAACGAACTCAGTATGACGATCGAACTCGACACTACACTGGCGCAAGCCGAAGTTCTCTTCTTGTCTTTCGCCCAAATCGTAGCCGATATCGACCGCCGGAAGGTTGACCAACTGTCGTCCACTACCTCGAACAATCTGCGAAATAGATTGTCTACGTCATCTGCAAAGCTGGCAGGAACCAACCTCGCAGCCCTGCAACTTTCAGACGAGTTGCGAGATCTCCTGAAGACAGAACGATCTTGAGAAATTCGCTTGCCCGGGCTCTGGCAGAGTGGAAGCATTTGTATGAATATAGCAGACGCGAATCTGTCCTTCCAATAGCTGTACTACTTAGTAGCTCTATTTCTCCAGCATAGATGAATGCACCATAATATAACACATGTTTTAGAGAAACATAGAAAGCATAACTACAAGTTCAGTCACGGTTTGGTTTGAAAGACGCGTCCTTGCACAAAGACATGGTGGATCTATGCTCTAGCGAAAGCAAATGAACAGAAATGATAAACATAGCAAGAAAAAACAGTTAACAGCCCAAAAGGAACGGCACAAGAGACACGCAGCTACAACCCAGAAAACTTACAACTCAGCGCTTCTTCCCTTTCTTGCTCTTGCCACCTCGTCCCACTCCCGCCCCACCACCCGAAGTCGGGGGAGCACTGGAACCTGAGGCAACACCTCCTCCCGCGCCACTGACGGATGTGGCACGACTCATTGCATTCAATTTTGTATTTGCTACCGTTGCCTCATCAAACCCATCGTCGTCTTCGTTGGGGCCCATAGGATTCCATACGCAGCTCCAGGCCCTGAACCAGGAATTACTGGTATTACTGGTGCACTAGTCATCATTGGCGAGGACGGAGGCATCGAAGGGATAGGCATAGGTACCAACATGGGCGATGAAACCGGCATTGTGGGCATCGACATCATGGGAGAGGAGGGATTGGGCAGCGTGGCAGGCACGTAGCTGCCGAAACCTCCTGGAGTGCCCGTCACATTGGTTGTTGGGAAACGGGGAGTACCACTTGAGCCAGCGACACCTGCAGGGGGCCCGTAGATCCCAAACCCTGAACGAGAGGTGATCGTTGAAGAGCCCGTAGGTCCGGCACCTGGGAGGTCGCGTGTCAATACACCCGGCGTCGCCCCGCCTAGGCTGCCAGAACGCTGGTGAGGCGTGCTCCACGATGCACCGCCGAATCCCTGTCCAAAGGTAGAAGGTGGGCCGCCAGGGGCATCTGGAATGACAGGTCTGTTGGAGCTGGAAGGCGAGTGCGGGAATGTAACTGGCATCGACGGGTCAGGCGTCGGGGTGGAAGTTGGAGGCCGTAGCGGTTGGTCCTGTTCACGATTCCTGTTAAGTGGATTTCCATAAATCGGTGCGCTGCTCGTCGATGGGCCAGCCGAACCAGCTACACCCGATGGACCACCAGGTTTCTTGATGTCCAACCGGTTGCCCTTTGGTCCATAAAGCGGTCTCTCGCCTGGGCCGTTCCATATCGGCGGCTCACTGTCCGTACTTGCTCGACTTGCTGACCTCGGAATAACTGGAGGTCCGGTTGGCCCTGGCACTCCAGGTCCCCCTGTACCTGGTAAACCTGTCCACCCAGTAAGTGGTGTGGAGATACCGCGATTGTCAGTTATCATCTGCGGGACAAATCCTGGAGGTGGAGGGCCATCTAATACTATGGGCATACCACCACTGACGGCAGCACTTTGGACAGGAGAGTTCGGTGCAGTCGGGATACCGCTTGTGTCGAAGTCATACGGAGACCTGATTGGGGGACGGACGGGTAAAACAGGCGTTCCGTGCGATCCAGGAGTATGGCGTCGTGGTTGACTGGGTTGGATTTGAGGAAGTGAGATAGGCGTATGATTTGGTGAGAGGAAGGAACCTGTTCGATCGGCTTCCTGGTTGTCGATGCTTGAAGGCGGACCCGACTAGAGAAAGAACAATGCGCGTCTGTAAGCTTCATATCTTGGAAGAAAACGAATGCATACCGGAGGTTCAATTGTGATGTTGTAGTCTGACCCAGAGCTAGCGTTTGACGGTCGGCGTGAAAGTGAAGGTGGGTAGTTAGGAGCAAGGAAGTCGGGATTCGGCGCTTGCTGATATGGGTTAGTTCTATATACGCTTGAGCCTGTCGATGGTGGCTAAAGGAAAAGATATCAGTGAGCCGGTTCCTACGGTGCCGGATTTAAGCCGTGAAAGAAAAGAACGTACTGCATTGCCAATGCTCGATCTCCATCCCTCAACATTTGGTCCTCCTCTGGGAGTTGCACTGCGCAAGGCCTCCATCTCCGCCCTCGCATGATCCACTGGTGGATGTGTCATCCAAGTCGGCACGGGCCTCCCTGGCGGGCCACCAGGGCTGGGACTCACACCTCTGACAGTAGAGCTGTCCTCCGCTTCATGGATTACGCTCAACTCGCGGTCGCGAAGGCGGTCGCGCTCCGACTCGCTAGGGAATTGGAGCATGTCCATGGGCATAGTCGACGCTGAGGAAGAAGAGTCTCCCGATTGGCGTCGTCGTGCATGCCGGGAGCCAACCGAACCAGTACGCGGTACGGGTCCTGCACCCAGCAGCCCGATAGAAGGCGCACCACCTCCAGCACTACCGGCGCGGCTTGTCGACACTGGAGGGACTGACGTCGGAGGCTGGGGCATCACAATAGGATTGGGCATGGGTGGCGGCGGCATGGGCAGATACGAAAGGCGCTGCTGCGGTTGGGGTGCGAGCGGAGGAGCGTCATTCGCGCCAGACGCGGATGCTGTAGCAGCTCCAACAGCTGCAGTAGCTGCAGCAGCGGCGGCGGCGGCAGCGATCGCCGCGCTGGTGTCACGGTCTTTATCCCTCTGGTCTCGCGCAGCCTGCTCCTCCTCGAGGCGCTTAAGCCGTTCGCGTTCCCGTTCGAGCTCCTCGCGTACCCGTCTCTCTCCCTCTTCTTTCTCTCTGTGCAGCCGAGAGTGCTCGCGCCTGAGTTCTCGTAGCTCTCTATTCATTTCCTCCTCCATACGGCGACGATCTTCCTCGTCGCGCCTTCGCCTCTCTTTTTCTCGGGCTCGTAAGTCTTCTTGTTCTCGCTCCAGCTCGCGAACCTTCCTCGCCTGGCGATCTCTTTCTTCCTCGAGGCCCCTCTTCTCAGCATCTAATTTCTCCCTTTCCACTCTCAGTTTTTCCCTTTCACGTTCGCCCTCCTTTAAGCGCTGCTCATTCGCATCGAGCTTTCTCCCTAGATCTGACAGTTGCATCTTCACGCGGAGATTCTCCCGTTCATCAATCGCTCGCAAGCTAGCTCTGGCAGTCTCCTCCTCAAGCGAGTTCGGGTTTACGGGAGTCTGAGCACCCGCCCCGGTACCATTCGACCTCCTCCCTCCACTTGTACCATGACGTGAAGCGTCTCTCGCTGAGGGTGGCTTGCGTGGCTTAAGTGGTGGCTCTTCCCTTTCTTCTACTTCTTCGACCAGTGTTGTAGGTTCTTGCTGTAGCGCTGCCGTCGGTGCCTCGGCGAGGGCATGCATATCTCGACCTTGACGAAGCCCTTCTTCGAAGCCTTCTTGCCGACCTTCCTCTCGCGCCTGTAGGAGCACGGCCTTCTCTTTGAACTGCCGCGCCGATGTGCGTGCGCGCACGAGAGCACGATCGGTTTCATCCTTCTCATCTTCGAGGTGTCGGACAGCGTCGCGTGCACGATTTCTGTTGAATAGAGGAAAGCAATCAACATCTCATATCGCGTCTAAGACCAAATGCAAACTGACAACTCGGTCTGCATATTCTGTACTTGCACTCTGGCAACTCGGGTCTCTTCCCTGGCCTGCATCGCATCTCGTTGAGCATCGATGATCGATTTGGTAGTTTTGACGCCTTGCACCCTCTTTTCTTCCTCTAGCAACCTGCGCGCTTCCTGTTCGCGCGCTAGCTTATCTCGGACATTCTCAAGCTGAAGGAGAGCCTTGGTAAGAGTAGATTTGGCTTCGGAGTAGTCATGCTCGCGTCGGATGGCTAGCTGTATGAGCGCCTCTCGTGGAGTGTTGGCCAACTGGCGCTCGCGCTCCCGGCGGAATTGAGGAGAGGGTCCAGAGACAGAGACACTGTGAGGGTGGTGGGCGGCATGAGGATGGGAGATGCTGTGCCGCTTCAGATGATGAGGGACCGTAGGTTTACTCTGCGAGGTGGGTGAGGATGATTGAGTATTGTGGGTAGATTGCGATAGCGATGGGATCGCAGTCAGCTGCACACTCTGTCGCGATGGCCTAGATGGCTTTGTAAACGTGAGTGGAGATGGTGGTGTGTTCGCAGAGTCGGAAGTGGATGGTTGGACGTTAGCATTCGCTCGAAAGAACGTATCAGGCGAGCCGGGTGCGTAGCTTTCGAGAGGGTAGGAGGGACTACGAGTCAGTGCAAATCTGTCATCAGCAGATAAGCCATGCGCACTGGTTTGGAGGAGAGAACTCGAAGTAACCGTCTGGGGGAAGTGGAAGGCCTAAGGAAAGACCAATGCCATCAGTATTGCTATGCGTATTTGGGTTCGAGTTCCTGTTCGTTGGGCGCTGACCGCCAAATGGAACCAGAGGGTGTCAACGTACTTTTCTGCGATGCCATTTCTTTCCTGTACGTGCGTATGTCACTTCTGAGGTAGTTGTGAGATAGAGAGCATTGTGGGAGCGACTCCAATTGTGATAGCAGAGAACGACAGAAAGCCCACAGTGGCGCGCTCCCATTGTCTCCATCAACAACCGGCGGCCCGCCTAGTCCGGTTCTGGATCTGAACTTCAAGCTTGCAACCCTGCTTCATTGCGTTTATGTACCGGCTCGACCCTTGTTGAAGCTTTCTGTTCAACAATCATGTCAAACCTCACAATCCTACGAACATATGCCCAGAAAGCACCAGAAACACTTCCCCCTTCAATTCTGTTTAAGCAAAGCGCGAAGAACATAACAATTTTCGATGGTTACCCCAAGTCCATATTTCACTTTCTCATCCTGCCGCGCATACAGGAACCTTTGACCGCAGACACCCTTCGCAGCCTTCCATCGCTTTTGAAAGGTGATAAAGAGCAGGCCAAATCTGTCATTGACGCGATTGCAGAAGATGCCAAGGCTGTAAAGAAGGAAATACAGGAAGAAATGGTTGAACGGTATGGCTTCAAATGGGACATCTGGACCGGGTTTCATGGAGTGCCGTCAATGGAGTACGTGCATTAGCTTTCTCCAACATCTATTCTTCTGACGATGGTGCCCTAGGCACCTCCATCTACATGTCCTTTCCGCGGACTTGTGCTCAGAGAGAATGAAGAACAAGAAGCACTACAACTCTTTCCACCCTAAGCTTGGTTTCTTCTTACACCTTAATGACGTTCTCTCTTGGTTCGATGCTGAGTCTTCTTATTTCTCTAATCAGGTTGGGTTTACTGCCAGCGTCTGTGTTAATTTCTCATTCGCGTCTTTCTAGATCAAGAATCTGAAGCCGAGCAACTATGAGCCAATCCTGAAAGAGCCTCTTGCGTGTTTTCACTGCAGGTCTGAAATGAAAAACATACCGTCCCTGAAAGCTCATCTCCAAGAGGAATGGGACAAACTTGAGCGTCGCGCGAAACGTCCCGCCCCACGAAAACGAAAAGCTCCCAACGCTGAATCTCAGGCAGACAACACTGAAGCCACCGGGTCCAAGCGGGCGAAATCAGAAGCGGAGGAACCAGAAACTGCCTCAGGGACGATATGAGTACGCATATTCTATAATGTCCGACTCTACGAGATGTCGGTGCTATATGAGTTGTGTGTCAAATTTGTTCAAGGATGTCCGTGCAATTCTTTTAATCTCAAGTAACCTTTGCGGCTTCAGCTACCTTTTTGACCCTATCTTCTCTGCACTTCTCGGTAGCCTTTCGGATCGCCCAAGTAAATTCATACGTCCTGACAGCGTCTGGACAGCAGCAGTCAATGACCCGTCGTAGTACAAGAGAAGGGGATTGACAATACCTTCGTAGGAGCTCAAGATTGTGGCTGCCTCGGGGTCCTCTTCAATATCCTCGATGATATCAATCAAGTTAGAAACCTCAGAGAAGAATGGATCGTCGTCTCCGAATCGGATTGTCGTCTCATTGTCATCTCCTGGCTTGCGAATGTAAAGCACGGGCTGCACGTAGGGGTTGACGAGTCTGCAAATGGTGCCATGGTAAGATTTACGCACACACTTGCTTGACATCGTACTTACTTTAGCGAATAGCCGTCTGCATACACTTCGAATTCGCAACTGTAATTTTTTCCTTGGAGAGCGACAACGTGAGTGAAGCTGCCGACAGCTCCGCTCTCGTATTTCCTGCATCGCACGTAAATATAGAAGGTTTCGACCTTACTGATCCAGCAACAAACCAAGTAGCTGCCGTGACACGCGGAATCCGATTCTCAGGGGCAATCGTGCTTTCGTTGATGTTGATCTTCGACAGATGCCCAGCGTTTTCGTCCCATTCCAAAGAGTGGGCCTGGACTGAGGATATCTCGACTTCGCCACCAAAGTAGCGAGATAAATCGCAGAAGTGAGTTCCCTGTTCGATAATTGGGCCAGCACTAAAAACATTATCCCTCAGCAAGGTACTGGTCCACCTCCCAGGGACAAATCATACCTTTTGGACTTGTCCCACCAGTCAGGTTTGGAGATCGACTCATACGCACACGCATAGCGTGCGATAGTGCTCATGACGGTAAGTTGATTCTCGTCAATTATTTTCTTCATCATTTGAACTGCTTTCAAGTATCGAAGCATATAACTAAGACATATGGTCAGCTGGGTGATGCCAATAATGCTAAAGAGTTCTCACCCGACAGAGCAGACGGTCTTCGAATCCTCAATCATTTTCGAAATCTTGAATGCCTCTTCGATTTCGCCTTCAGGGCCAGTAGCGATAGGCTTCTCAATGAACATCGCGACACCAGGGAAATGCTGCAGAATTTGCATTTCTATATTGCGTCCAGGTTGAGTGGAACCGCGGAACATGGGTGGACTGCCAACAATAATTGCACGAGGGCGGTCGCGAGGATGCATGTTTCTGACGAAGTCTTCGAAGGTTTTGAAGACTCGGGTATCTTGGTATGCGGACTTGACGAAAGTCTCGCATTTTTTCTGGAGAACAGAGGTTGCACGCTCAATGGCTGGGTCGATGAGAGCGACTACTTTGAGGCGGGGGCCAAGTTTGCTGGACTGCGAGTTAGAGGAGGATATATTATAAACTAGGAAAGGAAACTGACTGTTCAAAACGGAAAGAATGATTCCAGGGCCCCTCGTCGGATCCTAGGCAGATGAAAACACATCAGCACGTTGGGTTGATAAGAAGGAATAAGGTGAACGGACCAAACATGATGTTCCCTGCACCGATGAAAACGACGTTGAAATCATCTGACCCGGGGACTTGGTGGACTCTAGATGGATAATGACTGCCGGGTCTCAAGAATGGGTGGAGGTGCCTACCTGTCCATAGGAATGAGCCTGGAGGGGTCAATGGAGGCTCGACGGGACGATGGCCCGGACCCTCTGCGGTGCTCGGAGGCTCGTCGACTAGGAAGAGACATTCTGCTGCTACGAGGTTGAGGGCAGATGTGAGACGGATGGCAAGGGAGATGGAGATGGGAAGAAAGAAGTGAAGCGGCGCTGGGAGAGTGGGGGAGTTTATATACGAGGGGTTATCGGACTGCCAGATTAATATTGGATTGGAGCAAGATGAAGCGATAATGGCCATAGGGCGATCACATGCACGCTGGGGGTCGGCGACTCTCTGACCCTCTCTGATGACCTCTCGCCCTCGGAGTCCAGCTCTGTACCGTCGCGTCGGCCCCTGAACGCGTCTAACACTTCCGCTTTGCCTCCGTTCCGTCACGTGTATACATAGATAATCGACACTGCTAGTACTACTTTCCTTTCAATATTCCTGCAGACATCCATCGGCGAAGAAATCATGCAGAAACGAGGCATCCTCGTATGTGCAATCCAATTACACAAATAGACCGTCTCCACAATATATGTCGGTGCAGGGTATCTCGCTTCAAGATGACGGTTCCTCCATGATCTTCTGCTCCTTTTCGGCCAGCTGTGCTCGTCGGCGCTCAGCAGCCTCGATCCTCTCCGTCATTGCCTTCAGCTCTGCTTGAAGTCTCTCGTTCTCCCTAGCAAGCTTCAGCACGCTCGACGCCCTTTTTTGGACTTTCTCCTCTCTGCAGCAGTCATGATTAGCCACTGTACAATGAGACGCGACGCGTCGGCGAGGAATTAGAATAAGAAAAACTGCTCACTCAGGGTTGGAAGGGCCCAGGATAGACGATAAATCGAAGCTCAAATCCGGCATCGGGATCTCTGGTAGATCCTTCAGGACAGGGACACGCCCTTCCCGTGGTGGGTCGATCGGCGCCGGCGAAACTCTGAAGAGTCACAATCAGACTGTCCGTTCTCGCGATAAGCAGCACAGTATGGTCGGAGACACGGACCCTGTGTCTCCATGGTGTTCCTGCACGGGCTTCTCTGAGGAGCTCATGGTGTATGAGGTGCAAGTTGTATTTGAAACAGGGTGATTCAACTTGACTAGGTTTAACTACCAACCATCAGTTACATAACAGTCCTTGTTCAGATGCTCTTCGTCATGATTCCCAGGCTTAGACCTAGTTAGACTTTTTCCTTCTCTTCCTCCAGTTCCAGTCTCGTCCATGACGTACAACCAGCATGCCCAGCTCCAGTCACTAGACGCCGGCCATTTCATTATCGCATCGTCCATATTTTTCTTTGCTCTCGCTGGCTACGCAGTCCTATTCAGCGCGTTTCTCCCGCTTTCGGGCATTTGGGTAAGTTCATGGCACGACACGAACACTACTTGGTAGAACTTATTGGACTGCCTCAAGCTCTTTGATATCCTCGCAAAAGATACCCACTACAAGTACTTCACTCTTCTATTCATACCCACGACGTCGTATTTCGTAATCGCAAACTGGGTGGGATGGCAGTATTATCGCAACTCATAGGGTACTTACGTTGATTTGCCGCACTGCAGTAATGCCTTACTGATGAACCAAAACATAGCATTCCATAATCCCTATCGACAACATGAACATACACGAAAGCATAGACGACAATAAGTTATAAATAAATTAGTGGCAGCGTTCCAAGGGGAAGGCATGATTCATAGGTTCCTGGGTCGACGTGTTTGCCCTGCCTTTCGAATGGCAGTCCAAAGACTTTCGCCTTCAACTGCACTGCTTGCTATTGAAGCAGGAGGGTTAAACGATGTCGGAGTCTTCGATCGTCGGTCGGGCATGGAGACGATTGAGCGAACGGGGCTTGATTGACGGGTGACAGATGGGGCATATTCTGAACGAGTGGGACTCTTCTCGGAACGCGCTGGGATGGCGCACTCTACCCTTCGTCTCGAAACGAAAGGAGTTCTCGAAGATACAACAGACGCAGTCTCATCTGCATGGCTTTCGTCGACAGGCGTTGGGGGTCTCCGACGAGGGAAAAGGCCACTCGTGGGTGCAGAATAAGCAGGTCGTAATGCAGGTTGTCGTGTCGCAGTCGTAGGTAATCGCAAACATTTCGCCCGACTAACAGAACTTTAGAAGAACTTCGAGCAATAAACAGTAGAATCACATACGCCACAGCCTTGAGGGTGGTCTTGGTTTTATAGGTCTGCACCCATTTTGAAAAATACCTGGCTGTTTCGAGGGCAAGATGCGTCAGACCAGATTGCCATGAATGCAACTGAATTGAAAGACTCACCAAGCGTGTTGGTCCTATCTGTCTCGCGGGCTTTCTTCACCCTCATGGCATTGGGCATAACATTTCGCCATAACTTGAAGAATTTAGCCTTCAGGTGCTTCGAATGGAACCTCACAGCAGGTAGGGACTAAACCAATTGATTAGCAAAATGCCTGGTATGGTATAAAGGTCCACAGACATCAGATTTGCCGACCCACGCGCTGAAAGCGCGGAGCATAAGATTTCGCCGGTTGGCCAGAATAACTTCATACTCCTAATTGAAATCTCAAAACGTGATCAGGGAGCACATGTAAATAATTGACTTACCAGAGGCAGCAATCTCTCTTCCTTGAACCGTTCTCTCCATTTATCCCAAGCAGTGACGATGGCCACTTGTCTAAGGTGAGCCTCCTTCCGTTGGTGGGTAACACGGCGGTGCTCAGCTAAACGCTTCGAGGCCATCCATCGATAGAAAGTCCGGCGGAGGAGATCTAGGCAGTCGTTAATTTCTGAACGACGGCCAGAAATGAACCTGCATACCTTCTTTCTTGACTAGAAGATAGTTCTCTAGGAGACTCACCTCCTCTACATGTTGCTGGCGGCATATTCTCCATTTCACCCATGCGGCTCTGAGGAAAGTGGGTCAAGGCTGTAAATAGGAGTGATACAAGGGCATACCGCTGCAGAGCAAGATCACATTGGGTTGCTACGTCGAGTTCCCGCGACTTGATCTCAATAACTCGGTTCGTCCACCTAGTCAACATTGCGCGGATTACGCGCTGAACCCGAACGTCAGCTGAAGGACTGAAGGAAATGTTGATGCCCTTACGTGGTTTATGAGCTCCTGCACGATTTCTTCGCATTGTTTCATTTGACGTTCTTTAGTTGTCCGATGCCGCCAAACTGCAACCAATCCAATAAGCAACGAACCATGTACTAGAGAGAACTGGCGTACCGTTGAACAATGTGCGCAGTTTCGATCTGTTGAATTCCTGCAATCGCCTTTGCCGTCTCTTCTCTTCCGCGGCCTGGATCCAGAGTTGCCACGCTTTGCGAGTTGCAAAATATCGGTGTGCCCAACGTGCAACTTTGGCCGATTGAATATTGTCAGCCAGTCGAATGCGCCACAGGAGCAAAGCTCTTGCTTGCAGATGGGTTTCGTCGTATTTGACAGCATAAGCAAGAGCATTTCGATGAGTGGTCTGAACCTCGCGCCATCTCATGAAAGCAGAGGCGACCACTCGCGAGTTGATGCGGTTCAAGAACGTCTTAGAAACCTCTGTCAGAACGAAGTTAGACAAGAAGCATATGCTCTATAAGTCGTCAAGATGCCTACCGAGTTGGGCCTCTTCCTTTCCAACTCTATATCGCCATTTTTGCCATGCATACTTCATGAGCCTCAAGGTTTTGAATTGTTCCAGTCGTTTACCTCTCATGCGAGCTCTCCATATCCGGAATACGGCCCGCAAGAGAGATTCGTCCTGTCGAGCAACATATTTCTCTGCCCGATTATCCAAGGCCTAACCTTGGATGAGCATCGCTCACACTTGGAAGACGAGTTGACCAACTAACCTTTAATCCGTTGATAGACATTTTCCACACAGACAGAGCGCGTTTTTGTGTGATTTTGTGGCGGAACGTCTCAGCGACCTCGATGTATGCCCTGTTTCACGCTTCAGCACCAGCAGTTCAGAAACTGATCAATAGACTCACATGCGGTTCCTCCATACATCGAACGCTTCTGCCATGATTCTGCAGTCAACTCGTTGACTCACAATAGCTCCTTGGTGCTTTAAAATTGTGCTACCTTTCCAATAATGCCAGCAGCGCACGACGGCTTCGAGAGCAGTCTTTCTCGAAAATTCTTCTGCGATGTTGTCCAAATCATCAATTCGAACGAGTGTTTGCTTCCAACGAGAGAGAGATCGGGACAATAAGCCGAGCTCGTAGTGTTCGTGTGCACGGCGTGCAAGTAGCTGTTGCTGCCATTTCATCCAGACATCCTTCTTGACCCGAAATTCTGACTTATTCTTGACGACTTTCATCTTCTGGCGCATCTCGATTCTCCAAGCAATTTGACGTTTGCGCCCGAGTTTCACCTGCCATGTCCTAAAGATTCGCTTGAGATGACGTCGCATGAACCGTGCGATGAGCTGTCCCTCCAGATGTCGCTGAGAAGCCAAGCGAGTTCCCCAGCGTTGCATAAACACTCTCAGCAAAAGACTGTCTCTTGCTTCTTGTATTTGTTGATGGGTTGTCTAATGGAATATACAATTAGCCATAGGTATTGAGTGCAGCATCCTATCACTTACCTTGATCCAGAAATAGCCCTGTTTCCAAATTTCAAAGCACTTTGCAATGAGTATTGTCTCTCGGAAATCATCTGCGCACTTCTCGTCCTCTTCCATCTTGATGTTCTTCCAGGCATCATCCATATCTGCCGCTTTTTTCTTCTCCTTCGGCGGCGCGACGATCTTTCTATGTTTGAGCATGAGCTCGGGGCGGGGATTGTGGCTCCTGTTCTCCGGCTTCTGCAACAACGGTGCAACAGGAAGGGTATGTTCATGAGCCGTAGATTTATAGGATGGTGGCACTGGGGACGAGATTTCTCCATCTTCTGAGCCGATAGTGGGAGCTACACGTGTTCTGGCTTTGACTCGTTGTACCGGCGTAGAAGAGATGAAATCATCTGGCTTCGTTGATGTCTGCTTGACGAAATCTGCCTTCTCGAATGGGGTAGATTGAGCGACCAGCGAAAATGTCTTGTCGAGGTCGCGGGATGTATACGGCTGGCGTAACGGGGCGTGTGCTTGTTTTGCAGCAGGACGCACGTAAGGTTGCTCAAAGATTCTGCTCACAGATTCGAACGGCGCAACTTCTGACTCGACATCTGAGTGGTCAACCGCGGATATAACAGCTCCCTGAACAGTCATCAGGTAAACGTGTGGTCAAGCACAACAAACAACTCACCTTTCCCAGCTGTGCCTTGACCAGATCCCATTTCTCTCCCCAATTCTTTCCCTTCATCGTTCCCAACTTCAGCAGCTTTCCATAGTACACCACTTCCTGAGGATCCAGACCACGCTCCTTTAGGACGTCGGAATACGCCTTGAAAACGGTGAAAAATGTCGTCGCCGAGTGACCCGCGCGGTGGATAACAGCGTCGAGTATAGCGATGTCGCTCGAAGAGAGATGTTGCAACTCTGGCGCTATGGCACCAGTAGTGTCCTTAGGGGAAAACTCTGAAGCGTCCGAGACGGAGGGCGACTGGTGTAGCTGAGACGCGCTCTGAGCTTGAAAGCGCTGCATAGCACATCCGCCTGTGCCTTGGAGGGATTCTGACGTTGTATAAACGTAAGTATGATGTTCACTGGCAACGTTAAGTCCACACCTTCAGCTCAAGCGCGTCGCATTCATTCCCACGCGTGACCATGTATTGCTTATTGCGAGCATTCCTCGGCTAAAGGGCTGGGAGGCCCGGACAAACAAAGCCAAACTCCTGTTGCAGAAACTGGGCCGGGTCGATGTTGGTGAGCCGTATTTCGTGGGGTGGAGGTCGTATTCTCCTCTGTAATGCTCCATGTAGAATATTTATATGCTATAGAATATGTTTCTCCAAGAAAAATCACTTTTAAGACCTTGTTTTGGTGTTCTGACAACCTTGGGCGCGTCCCCTCATGTCATAGGCCGGCGGGTTTTCCCACAGTCCGCATTATACTCTGCGCGTGCACAACCAACGTAACAATCCCCAGGCTCAGAAAAAATACAAGGTAATTACATTGGACACTTCAGTGAAAAATATTCCGTTCTGAGATGAACTGGCGAACTAAGATGGCGCAGCGGGGGGCTCGCTGCGCCATCCTAGAATTTTTCGGCGTAACTGCGGGTTCCAAGGGTAAGGAGCAATTTCGGAGGCCTCTGCAGCCTCACTCGTCCATCCTCTGTGGCTACGCCACTTCGTTTTGAAGCTCCGCTTCTCCACTTGCTGTGCCGTGGTCGCCGTGTCTCCCTTTGGTGCTGAGGATTCAGCGGACGCTGAAGCGGAGATTATTGTACGGTGAGTCACCCTTGGTTGGTTACTGTCTTGGACAACGACCACCACACATCCGGGCTGCGCCCACTATTTTATCTTCTATTATTCGTACTCTAGGCTCCACCTAATCCTATTTTCGTTCACCCGCCCACCTCTTCCCTTTATTATACTTCGGAGCTTGCTTCTTAAAAAACGGACTCTCTTTTTACACAAACGGACTCTTACTGTACTACTACTTACAGACATGTTACATGTTATCCTACGTAGCCTGTCCGCTCTGACCTCAATCAAAGTGGGGTCCGCCTTTTCGCGGACCTCGTTATTGCTACCATTGTTTGGAGTGAGATAACAGCAGAGGTGCGCTGCAGTAATTGTCTTATTTTTTTGGCCTGAGCCTAAGTAACAAGATGAGGGCTGTCGGAGAAACCCCAGTCTTCATGATGCAGCATGAGAGGACGTGCCTCAGGTTGCCAGAACACCAATACAAGGTCCCCAAAGGTAAATGTTCTTGGAGAATCTTATTCTATGGCACATGAATAGTCTACATGCAACTTTACAGAGGAGGATACGTCTTCCATCCCACGGAATACGACTCACCAACATCGACCCAGCCGGGGCCAGTTTCTGCAGCAAGAGTTTGGCCTTGCTTGTTCGGACCCTCCAGCCTTTTACACTGGTGTGGGAACCGACTTTGTGCGGTCAAAAAGGCGTGATAGGGGTGTTAAACTTTATATACACCATTTTTTGTGTCAATAAAGTTTAAATAAAGTTACAGTAAAATCTTGCTTTCCCATGTTCATAATTTTCCGAAAATTGTCACCTTTGAGGTAATTAGTAATGATTAAATTTACCTGCCCTTTTGTTGCTCCGGAAAAGACAGTAAAAGTGTGGAATTTGGGACGACAAAAAGGATTGACATAAAGGATTCGGGGATACAGTCTATAAACGGTCATTTGGACGCCGAAAAGATGAATTTTAAATATCTTATGAAGGGCGCAATGTCTCGGTTTGAAACTTGGCATACACACTCTCATTACACTTTTAAGTGCCTGTGTATGCTATTAAGTTTATCTAACGACATATGAAGCGTCCGCTGGCAAATTACAGGTGTACAAACTACCGATCAAAGGAAATTCGGACTCCGCTCGAAATTACCCATTTTCATGTCCTCAATTGTGGGGCCAAAACACCTCTATGTCTATCAAATTTTGCATTAATCTTGAGTTCATAAGCACCGGTTTATGAGAATATTATTTAGGTGATGAAAAGCGAAAGGGAGGTGGAGATATCTGGATGCTAAAAGTGTCCAAACGACCGATCATGTACAATTGACCGTTTATAGACTGTACTATAAAAGAAAAGCCCGAACCCTTTACAGTAATTCACTGCCTTCTTGTACAGCAAAAATGAAAATGCCCTCTACTGTTTGTCATAGATGAAACTCTTGTTCATTTCTGTATATATGAGCTGCCTATATGTCGAAACTAGGTCGGTGTGTGATTTGAACACCGTCGGGTGAGAAATGGACACGCTGTCAGTAAATCCGTGCCGGGGTACCCTTTTTGGGCAAAACCGGGCAGTTGTACAGTGTCACGCCGTTGCCGGTGGCTGTGTCACGCAGCTCAGTTATCTTCGGTCCGATGCGATCAATCGATAAACACTTGTTCTATTCTTCGTCTATCATACCGTCGCCACCCACATCCTCCTCAGGATCCTCCTCAGGATCTTTCCGCGCCTTCTTGGTTGGGGGTTTTACCCGGGTCTCCTTGTAATTCGAACGCAAAGGCTTTGGATGGGCTTTGTCCCAAACCTTCAGCTTGCGGCCCGCCTCCTTCGCTGCTACTCATGCTGCTGTCCACTTGTTTGCATCCTCCTGAAACTGGCGATACAGTGCCGCATTCCTAGCCTCCCGACCATCCTCATGTGCCTGCCACGCTGCCATCCGCTCCTCGTATTCAAGCTGCTGGGCAGCCCTCTCCTCCTTGTCGTGCGCCTCCTTCACCTTCGCATCCTCGTGCTCCTTGACGGCTCGAATCACGGCGGAATGTGTCATCAAACGAGGTAAGCCGTCTTGTAGAATACCTCCTCGCCCCTTCTTCTTCCTCTCTGCCTTTCCTTCCTTCGCTTGAAGCTGACGACGCAGTTTGTTGCAGTATAATCGCTGCAACACGAGCATGGATTGCATACGGATCGCCTGCTCCTTGTAGTAATCTGCTGCCGCTGCTTTCACAATGAGAGCCTCCTGCATGGCGTCCTCGTCGGGTGTGGATGTTGTCTTTGTTGTGAGGTATGTGACATCTTGCCTTGACATTGACGGTTTGGTAATGCGACGTTTCATAGGCGAGATGAGAACATTCGGCAGATCAGGTGGATTAGAAGACGATGGGATAGGCGTTTGTGAGAAGAGAAAGCCGCAATCAGAGTTGGCAAGTTCTTCGAGGGCGGCTCAGATGGGAAAGGTGTCAAGCCGTGGGTGGGCAGGTTCATCATTTACAGGTTCTTGTTCCTCCCCTTCTCCCTCCTCACCCGCTTCATGACCAGCCTCACCACCCCCCTCCTCAACATCATCTACCTCCTCATCAGCACCATCCTCCACCTCCTTGTCCTGCTCTCCATCCGCCACCACTTCTTCCTCCTCTTCACCCACTTCATATTCCTCATCACCTCTCTTGTCAACCGCATCCTCACTGGCTCCCTCATCCTCACCTTCGGAATCTGTATCCGAATCATTGTTTGGAGACGACGTGATGAAGATAGGCTGGAGGGTGTCAATGATCAGCTCCGTCATGATGCGGACAGCAGCCGGTGGCTCGACTGGGGTGTAATGCCAAAATGAGGTGTCGCGGCTGGGAGCGAGCTTATCGGCGGAGATCACATCGCGGTTAAAAGGTATGATTCCTGTCTTCGAGAACGCCTTCTTGATTAACTCCGGTTGTAGTATCGCAAGATGGGTGTCACCATAAACCTTCAGGAAGTTCTCTTTTGAGATCTCCTGGCCCGTCTCTCGAAAGAGTTTGTCACGGTTCTCACCGAACCTTTGCTTCATCGGGCTGAATATCACGACATCCAGACCTTGGTAAATGTGAGTTGTATGGGCAGGATAGCACAAGACATGGATCTTATGTGCCTTGCAGAACATCAAGAACCCACGAGTGACATGTGAACCATGTCCGTCGACGTAGAGGACTCGCCACCTGCCACCCGCCTTCTCACGAGTCATTCGCTCGAAGTGCTTTGCGTACTCGATGCCGATCTCGTTATCCGTCCAGCCCTTCTTCGAGTATCCCAGCCTTGTCGCAGTAAGTACATGATATGATCCAAAAGGTTATCATTACTCACATTGCTTCTGCAGGGTTATCTTGCTTCCACCGAACTGCAAAGCCCTTTCCAGAAAACAAAACGGCTGGAGGTATGGCAGTCCCATCCGCACAGATATTGACAATGACAGTTGTTGTCTCCCTCGTTCCAGCTTGCTGCTGGTACTGGACGTTCTTGCCCGCTCCGCCAATCACCCGCTCTTCTCCCTCATCACCGTTAGCCTGAAAACCTGCCTCATCCAGTGCGTATGTGTTCTCAGGTGCAATTGCATTGCCCTCATCTCCATGCAGCTGGACGTTCTCAACGAGATCACACCAGGCCTTATGGTTTTCTGGGTTCGCAGCTTTCCCTCGGACATCATGGAGTGGCCGAGTCCGGTATACGTGAAGGCGTTCGTGATGCCGCTCAACAAAGCGGTGGGACCAGTGCTTCCCAAGACCAGGAAAGGAGGTGCCATAATGCGCTCGGCAGAGCTCTATGACGTGCTCCTTCAAACGACAATGTGACAGCCCGAAGCCCTGAGCTGCCGTCTCGATGAGGTAATTGACAACCTCTTCTTCGACGGCGCTCAAATGAAATGAATCCCATTTAGTCTCCTCCCGAGGATGTGTTTTTCCAGTTGCGTGATTACGGACAGTGTTGTGATTCAGCTTCAGCCAGTGGCCTGTCTTGGCATGCCATCGCTTGCGTGCCTCCTCAGCCACCTCCCGGTAAGACAGGCGCTCGTCTTTTGGCTTCTGTTGCTCATCCAGCCAAATTGCGTGAGCAATCCGGTAAGCTCTTGCCTTTTCCTCTTCTTCTTGGCATTTTTTTAGCGTGTCGGAGGCTGCGTGCTTTGCCATGGGGGTGTATTAAGGTAGTTTAGTGTTGACCATAATAAAGCGTGTTGAGGAGCTTGCGGAAAAAGCAGTTATGTGTTCGAAATTGAGGAAAACGGGGGATCAAGGTGCAGTGTGATGGGTGTGTCACACTTATGATGCGGTGTGACATTCCCCATCACCGATGACCAATTTCCCCCCTCCAGATGATCTTAAGGCCCTGGAGCTCTCTTGGTGATAGCCCAACCCAAAATTTGCATTTCAGTCAGTCAGAACATGATATTCAGACATCTTTTACTCTCAAAGTTGGTCTCTAGTGTCATGGAAGAGTCACGAAGGATGGTCGATTTTTTTGCCCAATTTCCGCTTTTGGAATGTTTTCCCATCCCTGTCAGCAGAAGCAGTGCCGCCTCTCCCACAAAGGTTGCAAATGGTGATCCAACCATATATTCACCCACAGGATTCAAGAAACATACCCGATCATAGTCCTATCACTCAAAAAGTCACTGTGTACAACTGGGCGGGGGTGTACAAGAAGCCAGTGAATTACTGTATATCAAATTTTGCTCACAATTAAAGGCATCAATTACCTAACAATTATAGACGAACATACTCATGGCTGCCATGGGTGATGTCGCTTATGTAATAGTTACGGTCACGTTGCTTAGGTCGCGTCTCTTTGTTTACCTTTTCCTGTCTTCCACACACCTTCTGTATACATGTGAATGGCACCTCCGAAAACCTCATGCCATGAGGTCGACACACCCATGAGAAATCAAATCATTGGTTATGCCCAGGCCTCAGGAAATGCAGCAGCAGCAGGCCGGAACGAGAACGTCAACGAGCGTACGGCACAATGCATCTACAAACATTTCCTGGAGACCGGGGAAACATCCAACAAACCTCGGCTGGGTCCGTCAGAGAAGCTATCCGACTATGGCAGACGACAGGTCATCCGCAAAGTAATCAAGCATCGACGAATGCCATTGACAGAGATCACAAACCAACTTGCCACCCGTGTATCACCTTCGACTATTCGACACGTCATTGCCGCACAAGGATTTCACCAGAGGGTTGCACGCAAGGTGCCATACCTCTCACCTGCTCATAAACGAAAACGACTCAATTGGGCGCGCATCCACCAATCTTTCCGGCCCTCCGACTGGCGATGTACCATGTTTTCCGACGAGTGCTACGTTTACCTCGGGGATGATCGCAGTCGGATTTATGTTACGCGGCGACCAGACGAAGAATTACTGGAGGAATGTCTAGTTCCAACCTTCAAGCAGTCAACAGTACATGTTATGGTCTGGGGTTGCATCGCTGAGGATTGGAAAGGGCCTTTGGTTGTGTTGGAGTATCCAGGGGGCAAGGGAGGAGGTATGAATTCTACATGCTACCGAGAACAGGTTCTCGAGCCTGTTCTCCTTCCTTTTTATTATCTCTTAAACCAAGAGAGAGGGAATATGACATTTCAGCAAGACGGCGCTCCCAGCCATGGCAGCAAGGTCACAAAGAGGTGGTTTGCCCAACATGGCATCCCACTCTTCCCACATCCTCCTTCTTCGCCCGACCTAAATCCCATCAAACCCATATGGCACCTTCTTAAATCAACTGTCAGACACCTTCCACATCCGCCTACAACTGTCGATGGGCTGCGCGTTGCCGTTTTGCGTGCGTGGGAGGGGATTTCCGTGGTGGTTATCAATCATCAAATTGGAAAGATGGATCGTCATGTTAAGGCTGTCCTAGCTGCAAGAGGGGGACATACTGGATTTTAATATTACATTCATGGACTCCATATATCTAAGTATCTAATGTCAAAGTTTTGTGGCTTGATTTGCAGAACGAAGACCAGTACTTGAGATTTTAAAGTCGTCAATCAATCTGTTTGGTGTGACACATTGGTGTGACCGACATCACCCGTGGCGGCCATGAGTAAAGTGTTGATATAAAGGGTTCGGGCTTTCCTTTTATAGTATCTCCGAATCCTTTATGTCAATCCTTTTTGTCGTCCCAAATTCCACACTTTTACTGTCTTTTCCGGAGCAACAAAAGGGCAGGTAAATTTAATCATTACTAATTACCTCAAAGGTGACAATTTTCGGAAAATTATGAACATGGGAAAGCAAGATTTTATTGTAACTTTATTTAAACTTTATTGACACAAAAAATGGTGTATATAAAGTTTAACACCCCTATCACGCCTTTTTGACCGCACATAAAGTCGGTTCCCACACCAGTGTTAGTGGATGATTTGCTCGCTTCGCTCGCAATTAGCGCATAGCGATTACGTACAAATTTCCAATAATTTATGCAATTACAAATATGTGCTAAGTAGGTACAGTGTTGAATATACAAGTTTAGAGTCTCTAATGATAGCGATACAAACTATGCGGCAAAAATTTAGTTATACAACTCTCCAAATAGCGGGTATGGGAACAGGTTCAATCCACGCAGGTTGTTGGGGTATAATCGTATTTAGATCCCACGTATCCCAGGTCTGCGTCAGGTCGACCGGCGGTGGTGGCGGAGGCGGCGTTGGCTGCGAAGTGACAATTTTGATGAAGTGAGATAGGCTAAAGTCCATCTCGATTTCGCCCTGAAGTTGATGACCCCCAAATCCGCCAGAGAACTCAGATGAGTCGTCTGACGATTTATCAGGTATAGACCGGACATCGGGCCAATAGAATCCATCGGGAGGCGTTGTGTACCTGTCTTGTGGATTTGACGGCCTGGAATTGGAGTCATCGCCTCCTGATGGATCGAAATTATCAAGGCCCAGATTGTGCCTCGCCATTAACGAGGACAGAAACCTTGAGTAAAGGGCTGGCGTATGCCTCCCATCTAAGGCCACATCGTTCGAGCCAAGGATTGTAATCAGCCGGGTGACGCTGATGATGATTTCTCTTTGTAAGTGATCATCGAGAAGGTCTACAAAGCGAGGTCGGAATAGCTGAAGTGACAGGGTGAGAGTTTATTTTGCACATGAGGAGATGAGTCAGGGGCACTTACGTTGATGAGGAATGCAGCTGCGAATGACACAAAAAGGAAGTGCGCCTCCATTGCATACCGCAAATAGCCAGTCGGATATAGGCGCTCGACCAATATCTGTATCGTAGTTCGTGCTACTTCAATCGATTTGACCACAACCTCTGAGTCTCGCCGGAGGTCTTCTTGCTTTGTGTGCTGGAATCCGACAAGGAGTACGACGAGCCTCAGGTATGAGGTTATCCTGCAGAAAATTAATTGGTAAGCAAGTCGAAGGCGTGGATGGAATTACATACATCTGCGTTGTGTTACCGCGGTATCCACAAATCGGAAGAGCTGCGGCCATGAAGAGGTGAACGAGATCAATCGGCCGGTCGGACAGGGCTGAAACGCCACTTACGAAGGAAGGATAATTCAGTTGCGTATATCTCGCCCCAGGCATCCATCTCTCGTGATAGTGTTTCTTGCGTGGCGATCGCAGCTGATATAATCTCTTCAGACTAGTCTTGTCAGTTGTGACATCTTCCTCCGCTAGCAATAGGTACTCACCTCGAGTGGCCTGGCCGTTGGGTCATCGGCGTGGATGTATGCCCTCCATTTGGCCATGTGTAAGATCATTTGTACATAGGCACAGAGATGAACGTCGAAAGGGGTATTTAGTGGCGAAGATCGATACCAGTCGCGTGAGTTCCTCGCGAGATAGTCGTCCAAACGTAACATCGGCATCTTGCCAAACTGTATGGCGTGCGACCCGTCCACACAGTAGCAGTTTAGCCATGTTCGCGTCCGATTCAGCGATTCGCGTCCGTCGCACATAGGTGGGGCAGGTTGGTTTAATTCGAGTTCAATGGCCATCCTAATGAGAAAGTTAATTATAAAAAATCTCATTTGCGTAGGGAAGCACATACCTTATGGCGACACCCATCAACAACCAACTTCTGTCCTCCGCCCACTTCTTCTTTGGAACAGGATACACCGCCATGATCAGGTAAGCCTGGCAGACGTCCACGCTACGGTATCCTTCAACGAGGGCCTTTCCGGCGAAGTCCCTTGCGAACTCCATAGCCAGTTGGTAGAGCTCGGGCCGGTCAGTGTAATACCGTGATGAGACCGCACAGACTAAGAAAAGTCAATCAATAAATTCACGAAAGTGATGTGGAGCCACTCACCAACTGTGAATAGAAAGGGACTTGACCAAATTAGCTTCTGGGGAGTGTGGTAGTCTTTGTCAAGAATGGAGAAGTAAGGCTGCCGTAGCCGCAATCAGATGCAAGTCAGTCGGGATTGAAGAGGGCTCACGTTGACGCGGGTAAAGAAGCTTTCAAGGTCTTGAGTACGGGTACATCATGCCGCAAGATACTGCGAAACTTACATGGAGAAAAGTTCTATGATATCTTCTGGGTACAGGGCGCAGTGTTTGACCATTTCTGGCGGAACCAGTTGCTGAGGCCCAGGCCCTATATCATGGACAAAAATGAGGTGATGTTCGAGGACAACATGCGCCGAACAGACCTGTGGAGAAGTATGATATTACAGCGACTTCGGGGGTTTTCCCCTTGTGAAACCACTTGATATGTTGTTGAAGGTTCATGGCATCTAGACAAAAAAGGATGAGCAAGGATGGGGGATGTAAGGGAAACATTGCAACCATTCCTCAGTGGAGGTGCTCTGGACATCCATTGGTGAATTTTCTGCTCTGCTCTGAGCTGATCATATTGGTGCAGGAGATTTCGAATGTGTATGTCCTGTTCGTGTGATCGTTCTTGAAGCTGTTCGTGTGTGCTGAGACAAGATTTGAGCACAAATACGACCGCCATGCGAGAAATACGCGCTTACTCCGCGGGTTTCCTCTTCTTCCGTTCTCGAGGATGGCAAGGAAGATTCTTGGTTTGACAACGACGACATTTCTTCTCGCCCGGTTCGAATTCACATCGAACTTTGACAGATTTGCAGTCAACACAAGCGCCAGACCTAAACGCTCGGTTGGATGCAGACTTGTGCATATCTGCACTAGGAACTCACGGTTTGCCTGCTTGGGCGCGACTGCGACGACGGACATCCGTGTCGTCTGACATATCCACTGACTCCGCGTCATCTTCGGCGGTGAACTGGAATAGCTTGGTGTTCGGAATTTGGGAGGGCATGTCTGTTGGAGGGAGGGCTTCGACAGAGTGCGACTGCTGTATTGAAAGGTAAATGATCTGCCTTTTATCGCGTCAGACGGGGACAAAAGGCGTTGGAGAGGAATGCCACCTTACCAACCCAAGTTTATTGAGAATAACCCCAATCAGCAGAGGGACGGGGAGGAACTGGAGGACTGGGAGCGAGGCGATCGCAGAGAGAAGGCGTCACTTGGCCCAGTTCTATTCTTGATTTTATGTGATGTTGTAAGTTGTGTGTTTCTGCAGAGCGCCGACAAGAACGGTTGTTGACACTGCACAACCGAATACGTTAAGCATTGGTTGCCGGGACGAGATCAGCTGTCGGAAATAGGAACTCGGGGGAATGACCGAAGATTGGGAAGGGTCGATCGTGGATGCTACAAGAGAAGGGGTAGCGTGGCATGCCGAAGCGAGAAATAAGATTAGAGCCATAGAGTAGGTGGGTGATGAAACGCGAGAGGATGGGCGGGCGCAGGGCTGGGGACGATGTGGACGCTGTTGAGGGCCGTGCCGAAGCATTTTGACGTCAGGCCGCAAATCAGGAGCATTTTCCCACGACCCTGACCGACGAGGGAGCGCCCACCTTGGGCTCGCCGACCACGACGGTTATCAGAAAATGATAAATCCAGTCAAGCCGCGGCTCTGCGTCAGCGATCCCCGTCGATCCTCCATGTATCCCACGCGTCCCCGATGCAAAAGATCTACCCCCGATGGCTTATACCACCGGAACCTCTCCGCCTCCAGAATCTCCTCTACCACCGCCCGAGCTCCTAGCGCCCCATACAGTCCCACAGCGGATGAGTCTCCATATGATCATCTTCCCATCGGCAATCGACCTGCCCATGTCGGCTGAGCTGACAAATGTCTCTCCCCGCATTTCCCAGAACTAAGCCCTTCCCTCACACACCCCGCTAACCTCCTTACCATCATGGCCCCCTCCAGCCTCCAGCAGAACGGCCACGACACCTTTGACAAAGCCATGCTAAACCACGAGAATGCCTTTCCCACTCCACCTACCTTTGATTCCCAGCTGGAGGAAAGGGACTACCTCAAGTTTCGCCTTGCTCAAGCGTTTCGCATTTTCGGTGCGACTGCATCCTCTGGTACCGGGTTCGTTGCCTAAGCCTTCTCTGTCCTAGGTAACTTTGGGTATAACGAAGGAGTTGCTGGTCATATTACCGTCCGTGTAAGCAGCCTGTAGCGAAACAAGTCGCCGTAGACCGCCAACGCTAACCACTCCTTTCCGATCTCTTATAGGACCCTATCAGACCGGATTGCTTCTGGGTCAACCCTTTCGTAAGTTTCAGGCCACTTTTCCTGCCTTTCGGGTCCTAACGGACCGAAAGGGGTTACACTTCTCTCTCATCCAGCCCTCCGATTTGTTACTTGTTGAGTAAGCGAATTCATCTATGACAGTCATTCGATATTGACCTCGTGGCCTAGTCACCGAGGCAAAGTCCAAGTGCGTTTTTAACTTGAGTAGCCGTCCTAGTTCCAAAGTCAAACCTTTCTAGGATGAGTCAGGCCCCAAAAGGTTGCTCAACACCGCTGCGTATATGATCCACTCCGCGATACATACCGCACGGCCCGATGTCCTGTGTGCGGCACACACACACTCGATCCATGGAAAGGCCTTCTCCGCCCTTGGGAAGCCCCTGGACATGCTGACTCAGGACACATGTGCTTTTTACAACGTTAGTAACCCCCACGACACGTTCCGAGCTTCGTTAAGCCTGTAAAAATAGGACCATGCCCTCTACAACCAGTTCAAGGGTATCGTTCTAGAGGCTGAAGAAGGCCAGCACATCGCAGCAGCTCTCGGCAACAAAAAGGTTGGCTTGCGTCACTCTTTGCCCTGTCTTTCTCACCATCACCTCTAGGCTGCTATCTTGCAAAACCATGGCCTCCTGGTCGCCACGAACACGATTGAAGCGACAGTCTTCTTTTACATCGCTCTCGAGAAGGCCTGTCAGGTGCAGCTGTTGGCGGATGCAGCGGCGGCCGGGTCCGGGCAAGCGACGGTAAAAATTACTCCAGAAGACGCTATCTGCACGTACAAGACCAATGGCTCCCTGAGGGCAGGGTGGTTTCAAGGGTTGCCTGAGTTCCAGCTCCTTGAACATCGAGAGGGACTAACCTATAAGTCCTACAAATTTGCTAAGTAAGATTTTATCGACGCCCCTTTTACCGACTCCAATCTCCAATGTACAACAGATGTATATCTATAAATACGTATCAGTTAGCCCTTTCCCCAGCCAGGCTTCGTGTTCGCCGTATGCTACGCTCTACTAAACCAAATTCTTTTCAAACGTGCGTCGATTTCGAGGCTCAGAACTGCGCATATTATGCATGTGTGTGCAGTTATCGGACGTAAAGACGCCACGGGCAGGTTGAGCTTCAGAGCTTCTCCAGTCGTTGAGCCGTATAAAAGGCGTGCTAGCTGTTGAACTCCCCCTCCTAAGAATAGGTTCCTCGTTTCAAAATGCGGCCTCCCAAGCATACCTTGTTCATCCCCTTTTTTCTCGGCTTCACACTCGTGAACGCAAATTTGTTCGGCAGGAATCTCGCCTATGAGTCTCCGTTTGTCGACCACCCTCAGGTATGTAAGGCGGAACAACTTGGAGAGATAGCGAACGGCCTGACGTCAATCCCTATTCTTAGCTAGCTCACGATGTTGCGGCTCTCCGCGACCGAAGTCTTGAACGCCGCCAAACAATCGATGCCAGTGGGTTCAAGGATGATCACTACGCAACATTCTATGGAGGTGATTTCAGTAACGTCAGTGATGTTTTGTTCGGAATAGAGAAGGAAAGAAACTCATCCGCTTTATCAGAGTCCCTTTATCTGGGGAGGTGGTGTCAATTTCACGCACTCGGGTAAGAAGCGATCTTTCTTTGAAGTATCATAGATATTGATTCAGAAGTAACAAAACGAAGTCGCGAGTGTAAGCTTCCCTTCCTTCTGATATTCGCAAAACACTGATCATGAACAATCATCGCGCAGGGTGACCCCTTCGCTGACTCTGTTCTCCTATGGACCCGCGCTGTGCCAATCTCGTCTTCGGGCTCCCTTCCCGATCAGGATATTCCCATCTGTCTCTCATACAAGATATCAACAAGCAAAACGCTTTCCGAAAATGTAATCGACAGCGGCGAGGCGTTCACGAGCTATGACGTTGACTGGACGATTAAAGTGGAAGCGACCGGCTTGCATGCCGATACGAAATACATTTACCAATTTAGCGATTGCGCCACAAAAGCCTTGAGCCCGATCGGATCTACCAGGACAATTGCCAGTCCCGATAGTAAGCTGGTATTTTTCCGAAATGAATGGGCCCCTCTCAATAATATGCGAAATCAGCGCCGGCGCGTTTCGTCAATGGAGGAAGAGCCCTGGTCCTTGCGATCTTTTCGTGCTCTCAGTACCAAGCTGGTAGGCGCATCATTTTTCAGGGTTTGATGCAACTTGAGCGCTTGAGCGCTTGTAGTCCTTACTCATGGTGACTAATCCTACTTTGTCATCTTCTGCTAGGCTGGTTCAACGCGTATGGATACGCCACGTACAATACTTCCGCCGACATTTTCGTTCACCTAGGTGACTACGTACGTGGAGGATCGGCCGACGCTGTACAGCTAACGTTACCTCAACTCCCAGATTTACGAATCCTTGGGAAATGGGTCAGCAACAATTCCTCCGCGAAGGGTAATGGTGATAACTGACCTTCTGTGATCTATGTAGTGCGAGAATCGGGAGGCAGACCCTCGGTCGTGAGCTGGCTACCATACGCGACTATCGCCAACGACTCAACCAGTATCGCACTGATCCGAGCCTTGTGGCAGCTCATCAAGCTGCGCCGTGGGTTACAGTCTGGTGGGTGAACTTATGTCCCGCATCTCTGCAATGATTCTTACTCTCCGAATTATTGTTCCCAACTTGGAATGAGCCAGGGTGAGTCGACGTGAGTTTGCAGTTAGCTGACGGGGGCACCTAAAGTCCGTTTCATCGACCTTCTTGACCAGGATGATCATGAGGCGAGTTTCCCATGTCACTCGCTCGGGCTGCTCCACCATCACTCACCTCGAGTCCCACCCAATTCCCAGGTTGCGGATAACGCTTGGAAGGCAGGAACTGCTGATTCTAACGATACTGCCTCCGGATGCTCTTTCTCCCCTTCAGGCGCCTGTTTCACAGACCGTAAATTGGCGGCCGTGCGCGCGTACCACGAATGGATGCCCATTCGCCAAGTGGATGCCCAGGACAAACTCCGAATCTGGAGAAATTTCCAGATCGGCAAGCTCCTCGATCCGACGATGCTGGACACGCGTGAGCCTCGCCCACATCGAAGAAATGTCAACCTCGTTGATCATTGCTTTTCTGTGCAGGACAATATGACAGAGATCTCACCGATGTAAGACCATAGTCCTAGATTTCATGCTTCTCATCCCTTTTGTCTCTATATAGGTTTACTACAACACAGGTATGGAAGAAATCTTTTGTGTTTCGGCTCCGTGAGGCTGGTCGCTCTCTGACTGACGGATACGTTTCAGAATGTAAGCAACCCATTACCACCGCGCCGTGGACAGTCAGTCCAACTTTTATGCTTACAGATATAAACACCATTGCCGCGTTTGAGAACCGCTCTTTGATGGGCGCTGCCCAGGAGAAATGTGAGGGAGAGCTTTTGTTCTTCTATGCGTCGTCTTTTTCGACCGTCCACAGGGTTATACAACACACTGTCTCAGTCGAAGGCAAGAGGAGCCGTGTGGCGAGTAATTGGGTTTGTCACCTCGAACACACATCGAGAGCTTTATCTAACCAAGCATCCTGGTCAGCCAGCAGATTGTCTTTACTCAGCTAAACGAGAGCGGTGAATGTGAGTATATTGTCCGCAGTCATTCCATTCAAACATCATTGCTAAGGCACTCTCGTCCAGTTGACTTAGTAAGGCATCCCCGATCACTGAGCGCTTAACTGTTCACTGACGATTTGAGGACGCATGGGATGGTTACCGTGCTAACCGGGCACGGGTTCTCAACCACCTTTACGACAACGAGATTAGCAACACGATAATTTTGGCTGGAGATAGCCATGCAAACTGGGTTTCCGATCTTGCACGTACGTAGTGCCCTATTTTCACTAGAGCGCCCATCATGATGAGAACGCCATCATTTGGCAGATCCCAACGATACAACGACGTGAGTTAATTGTCAGGGCCCACGAATCCAATGCAGCGCGCCGACGAACCTCTACGTCCTAGCTATAATCCACTAACTGGAGCGGGTGCGATTGGGGTCGAATTCGCGGGCACAGCAGTAACCTCAGGCTCTGCATTTGGGTCTGGAATCGCCCCCGCTGCGGCCAATCAAATTTCACGCGTCCTTGTGGGCGCCAACGCTGACCTTCAGTGGAGCGAAGGATCTTACCGAGGATTTTTTACACTAACAATCGACCTGCAACATATAAATGCAACGTACTATGCAATGCGCAACAACAGTGCGTCATACTACGTTGAAATTTTATTTATTTATTTATACTAAGTGATGGCGATGTAGCTTTCACTAACCTTGATGGATTCGCCAGTGCCCACTTCGTTGTCAAAGCTGGTGAAAACAGACTATCGCGCCCAGTCGGTGGAGGATCAGTGAATGCAGGGGTTCTGAAATCCCAGACTACTGCAGGAATGAAGTAGATAAATGGAAAGAAATGCCCAACGACTAGGACGTGTAATTTGGTGTACTTATGTTGGCTTTTCTTCGACTCATGAATCATGATATTCACCCTTCCGCATATGGAATGAGCGCTTACAAGTTCTCGAAGAGTCGACGTTCTAACGAAACAAATTTCTCTTACAGTTAGAGTCTTATGTATTCACACAAGTTTTAAGAGTCAGAAAAAAGCCTATTATTGCAGAGATGGTTGTACAAGAGAGACAAGATGAGAAGATGATTGTAGTGCTGTAAGCTTGCGGGTTCTAATGCTATCGTTACATGTGCGTCATAATTTTAGCGGTCCTCGTAAGAAAGAATGCATGAAGAGATTCGAGACGACGAGACAAGAAGCGAAGCGATTAGTCGACCTCCTCGACGCTGGGACCGTCCTCGCTGGCGCCGGGGAAGCCCCCGGGAGCACCGCCAGGAGCAGCACCACCCGGGAAGCCGCCAGGAGCGCCACCAGCAGCACCGTAGAGCTTCTGCATGATGGGGTTGGCGATCGCCTCGAGCTCCTTCTGCTTCTCCTCGTACTCCTCCTTCGACGCCTCCTGCGAGCTGTCGAGCCATGAGATGGTGTCGTTGACGGCGCCTTCGAGCTTGGTCTTGTCGGCGGGTTCGAACTTCCCAGCGAGCTTCTCGTCGGTCAACGAGTTGCGGAGGTTGTATGCGTAGGACTCGAGGCCGTTCTTGGCGGTGATGCGAGCAGCGGCAGCTTCATCCTCGGCCTTGTATTTCTCGGCTTCCTGGACCATGCGCTCGATCTCGTCCTTGGAGAGACGGCCCTTGTCGTTGGTGATGGTGATGCGGTTGGACTTGCCGGTAGTCTTGTCGGACGCGGAGACGTTGAGGATACCGTTGGCGTCGATGTCGAAGGTGACCTCTACTTGCGGAACACCACGAGGAGCAGGAGGGATACCAGAGAGCTCGAACTTGCCGAGCAAGTTGTTGTCCTTGGTGCGGGCACGTTCACCCTCGTAGACCTGGATAAGCACACCGGGCTGGTTGTCAGAGTAGGTGGAGAAGATCTCGGACTTCTTGGTCGGGACGGTGGTATTGCGCTTGATGAGGGCGGTCATGACACCACCAGCGGTCTCGATACCAAGCGACAAAGGAGCGACATCCAGGAGAAGGAGATCTTGGGTCTTCTCGGAGGTGTCACCAGAAAGGATGGCAGCCTGGACGGCGGCACCGTAGGCGACGGCTTCGTCGGGGTTGATGCTCTTGTTGGGCTCCTTGCCGTTGAAGAAGTCGGAGACGAGCTTGACGATACGGGGAATACGAGTGGAACCGCCGACAAGGACAATCTCGTGGACGTTGGCTTTGTCGATCTTGGAGTCGCGGAGGACCTTCTCGACGGGCTCGAGGGTGCTGCGGAAGAGGTCTTGGCAAAGCTCCTCGAAGCGGGCACGGGTGAGGGACGTGTAGAAGTCGATGCCCTCGAACAAGGAGTCGATCTCGATGGAGGTCTGGGTGGCCGAAGAGAGGGTGCGCTTGGCACGCTCGCAAGCAGTGCGGAGACGGCGAACGGCACGAGGGTTGGCGGAGAGATCTAACGGAGGACATGAATGAACATTTTGAAGTGACTGATAAGATGAGGCGAACATACCCTTCTTGTTTTTGCGCTTGAATTCCTGAATGAAGTGGTTGACGAGGCGGTTGTCGAAGTCCTCACCACCAAGATGGGTGTCACCAGCGGTGGCCTTGACCTCGAAGATACCCTCCTCGATCGTCAAAAGAGAGACATCGAAGGTTCCTCCTCCAAGATCGAAGATGAGGACGTTGCGCTCGCCGGAGACCTTCTTGTCGAGGCCATAGGCAATGGCGGCGGCAGTCGGCTCGTTGATGATACGAAGGACGTTCATGCCGGAGATGGTTCCAGCGTCCTTGGTGGCTTGACGCTGAGAGTCGTTGAAGTAGGCAGGGACAGTGACGACGGCGTTAGTGACAGTCGTTCCGAGGTAGGCCTCAGCGGTCTCCTTCATCTTCAGAAGGATCATGGAAGAAATTTCTTCGGGGGACTAAAGAGGAAAGTCAGATAACCGCTGGCGCCACACAAAAAAAAAAACGTACGAATTCCTTCTCCTCACCGCGGTACTCGACCTTGATGTAAGGCTTGCCACCCTTGCTGAAGACCTTGAAGGGGAAGTGCTTGATATCGGACTGAACCTCTGGGTCATCGAACTTGCGACCAATGAGACGCTTGGCATCAAAGACACTGGAAAGTAAATAATCAGAAACAGGGGCCGAAGACAAAGGCGATATGAAACTTACGTGTTGTGTGGGTTCATCGCGACCTGGTTCTTGGCGGCATCTCCAATGAGACGCTCATTATCCGAGAAGGAGACATAGGAAGGCGTAGTACGGTTTCCTTGGTCGTTGGCGATGATTTCAACGCGATCGTTTTGCCAGACACCAACACATCTGTAGAAGTGAAAACAAAAGATTAGAAGGGTCCAAAGGCATCGATGAAGGTGGCACTTACGAGTAGGTAGTGCCAAGATCGATACCGATGGCTTTTGAGGAAGACATAGCGATATTAGGAGATTCGCGAGAGTACGAGTGGGTGAGGTGAGAGAAAAAACTTGAGGAGTAGACCCCATTCCGGCGCCGATTTATATATTCGATTGGATAGAACAAACCAGAAACTCTGCGAACCCTCTGGAACCTTTGAGAAGTCACGTGTCAGCGCCTTGGTCATGAGCGGTGCAAAAAGGGTGTGTACCCGATTTGGCGCGCATATTCCAGTGCTTTCCTGATCCCTCATTGCTTTGTGAAGAACATTCCAACAGCACGTCTCGAGAATCGTTATCGTGGTTTAGTCAATATTATACCCTAGCAAAACAAGCAGAACTCGCATGTGTTACGATATGGACGCCTGGGTGGCAAGGAGGGTGTTTACAATCCATAAAATGTTGGGACTTTGTGGGAGGCGAAATAAGAGAAGGAAGAATAGGGTGAGGATACACGTCGTAAGAGGTGGCGAGCAACTTGTAAAGCGCTAGCGCAGTCGGCTTGGAAGTTGCACAAAGATACAAATCCCACAAAGCAGTTAACGAGGTTTTTGGAGAGGGGGGTCATCTAAACTTCGATGTGCTTGAAGGTCGCGCAGCACAGTCGGATCGACTGGAGGTAATCGATCATCAACGCAGATTCCGTCTAAAAAATGAATTCAAGTACCCGGAAGGACGCTCTTTCGGCGGGCATGCAAACCCTGCTCAGCAGTATGTTCATGATTGCCAACTTGAGGTACGGGTCTCTGAACAATTCGAAGAGAAGGGAAATGCGTTATACCGTATGTACAATTGTAAAAGATAATTCATCGACGTACATCCAACCCGGGATCAGCCATGGGCACTCTCTCGAGGCCCGTTTCGTCAAGATCGCCCGGAACATCATCAATCGACGCTGCACTTAGCTCTTGCGAAAGATCCAGGATATCTGCGTCATCGATGGTAACAGGTGGAGGTGGTGGTGCCCGATAAGGCTCAACATAGCCTTCGGGCATCTTGTTGTTGGGAGCATTCTTCAATGCTATTTGACGCATCTTCTGCCATGCGTCGTACTGCCTAACTGCATGTTCTTGCTCCCTGTAGAAAGTCTGTTTAGAAACTCATCGACGCTATATTCGAAAGTCAACATACTCGATCTTATGCTGTCTATATTGTTGCATAGATTCGTCAAACAAATCGGGGTTGATTTCCATAAATAGTTTCAACGCATTGTACACCATGCCGTGAATCGTCCTGAGAACGTCACGTTGAGATGTGCATGATAACCCCAGATAGATGACTTACCGATTCCAATGCGATTTCGAATTTGTGTACAGAGCAGGAAAAACAATCGGGAGAACAACGGCAAGGTTGTCGCTCATGAGATTGACCACATATTCGTTGTTCCAGTACAGGAGAGCCCGCTCTGCAACCTGGAAATGTTGGCTGTTGATACATCTGGCAAGTTGTTGGAACAATGGAACCTGTATCTTCTGGAATTCAACAGGGTCTGTCACATCAAGGACCTCCTCGACTTCGTGGAGGAACATGACTTCCTTCGGTGAGTTAACCTTGGGCCAGTACTTGAGAAGGCCCATCATGACTTCCTCTGCGAGTGTGGAGTCTTTTTCGAGGAACTGGACAACACAATACGCGAGTTGAGGATGATAAAGTGATAGGCTCTTGACCTTGTGAAGAGGAATAAGGACGCGAGTGAGGAACGTCTTGTGTTCCTCCTTCAAGGGAAGGGCGAAGCCGTTAATAATTGAACCCAGGATCTCGAGAAGTTCAGCGATGCCGTTATGCCGCTCTGTCTCGTAAATGAACTGGAAGAAGACGTTGTTGATCGAGCGACGGATGAAGGCACGAAGGTTGAGGAATTTGCCATAAATACGATGAAGTGTCGTCTTGAGGAAATCGCGTTCTCTCGGGTCTTCCGAGTCGAAAAGTTCGAGGAGGTTGAGAACGAATGGCTGATCAATGTAGCGCTTTGCCATGTTAGTGTTGAAGTCGGGGTTCTCGACAAATCTAAGGAAGAATTCGTAGACAATTTGTAAATGTGGCCACGCAAGTTCGAGGACGGGTTCATCCTCTTCTGGGTCAAATGCGTCACCAGTTGGGTTGACAGGTGGGGGTATCGAACGGAAGAGATTGGTCGCAAACTGGCGGGAGGTGAGAGCCAGGCTAGGGTGGAGGGCGAGTACTAACCATGGAAACCACCTCTGGGTATACATTCTCGGTAATGACACCACGCTGGGTGGTGATGTATTCTAACATCTCATGCAAAGTCTGGGCTTTGATTTGCTTTCCCTTGAGCTCAGCACTGGCGTCGTTGAAGTCAAACAAGACGCGACATTGATGAAGCTTCTTGATGAAGAGCTGGGGGCGCTCGGCTGGGGGTATCTCTGATTGGAAGATAAGTGAACTGGGTATCATGAGAGGAGGGCGGGATGCGACGGACCCATGAACGGAGGAAGACGCTCGATCTCGACCTTTTCAGTTACGACGAAACGACTGCTGCGCTGCTTGCGGGGGGGTTTGCCAACCATGGGGATGGTGTCTTTGGGACCAGCACGCAGACGATTGAGAGCAGTGTTGCGAGGAACGCTGCCATTGGAATGATCCAAACCGAGCGAGGACCTATCCTGGGCAACAGGTTGATTGGAGCCCCGATACAGGGCGTCCGAAGGAGGATCAGGGCTGACGACAACGATAGGAGGAGCGGCGGCGTCTTGTCTTCTCAGGGGAGCATGATCTGGCTGTGACTGGGAAGCCGATCTGGCTGATGACGACGAGGTCTGCGCTGAGGAATAGCTAGCAGAATTCAGGTGGTTAGAGGAAGCATTGGGGGGAGGTAAAGGCTTGGCGGAATTGGGAGGGGGAGGCGGTGGTGCAGAGGAGGACGCGGATTGGGTTGGAGTTGAATACTTTGACTCCTTCTTGGACGAGCTTGAATCCTGCGAACTCTTTCTGCTGAGCTGTGGAGAGCTGTGAGGGTGTGCATTTACGAAGGATAAGTAGGGCGTACAAGAGACTTTTTTATTGATTTCATGGCGCAGAGGTGGGGGAGAGACGGGGAGGATCGATGGCATGAAAGTTGGTCACGCGCGTGACTGGTTGCTGCGACTTGGACAGGCGGGTGATTGCAACAGTCTCCTCAAACCATGGCTGGTATGTCCTCTGCCCCCCTGTTCTGCTCATGCTGACCCGTGCCCAGCGATCTACGCCGTCTACACATCCCCGTCGCACCCCCCCATCCCAAACCACCTTCCCACCCTCATCGTCACCCCCCACGGTCAGTCCGCCTCCTTTTCTCTCATCCTCTCCATTCACATCTCTCCAGGTCAACCGTCCAACATCCTCTATTCCTACCTACACACAAACTATGTCTGTACACCAGCTTTACCCTCTCTTGCCCTCTAACACATCCAGCAGAATACAGAGAACTATCTCTTGACGCCGTCTCCCCAGGGCGATCTTTGCGTTGCCAAGCTCTTCCCGCCCCGCGCCCGCGAGCCAGGCAAGGGCTCTGCCTCAGATCCAGGCCACTCTTCCCCCTCCTCATCCCGTGTCGTTCGTTGCGAAGCCTCCCGTAACCTCAAGTGGTCAATCGCAAACACAGGTGTCATATCCCCCATATACAAGCTCTCGCTGCCGTCCCCAGACTCCCCGGATCTTCCTCTCTTCCAAGTCTCCAAGCCCAACCCAAATGCCGCATTCTGGAGCATGTTTTATTTCGCCTACGCTGGCCACAACATCCCCCCAAAGCGCATAGAGTTTGGCAAGATTCAAAAGAACCCGCCCGGTCCCAACGGTGGCGGCACCCGCATCAGCATCACCGGCAAAACGCCCGAGGAAAAGGCTGTCTGGCAGACTCTTGGAGAGGGCAACGAGGACTGCGTGGAGTGGGTCGTCCTCTGCGCAGCGCTTAATCTTCTTGAGTGCGTATTTTTTTTTCTCGGTTTCTCTCACACATGCCGTCTCCGTCGCTTCTCTCATTATTGCTTGCCTCATTAACTTCTGATCTTCCATAGTGACGAAATCATGAAAGCTGCAGAGAAGAACCCGCCTCCTCCCTCGGGAGGTCCTAGTGCGCCAGTATCGCTGAGAGACCCCGGACCGGCAGGTGGGCCACCGCCTCCTGCTAGCCGCCCAGGAGGCCCTCCCAATGGCGGCCCACCACCAGGTCAACGCCCGCCAGGTCCTCCAAACGGCGGCGGCCCAATGCCCATGCCCGCCGGTCGCCCTCCAGGACCTTATCCTCCTGGCCCTCCTGGCCCAGGTAGCTTCCCTCCAAGCCGCGGCCCCCCTCCTGCGGGCTACGGTCCCCCTCCTGGTCCGCCCGGCCCACCTGGACCACCGGGAGGGTATGGCGGTCCTCTAGGAGGCTTCCCGCCTGGCGCTGGTCCGGGTCCGGGTCCGATGATGGGTCCTCCGGGTGGTCGACCTGGTCCGCCACCTCAAGGGCGACCAGGACCGGGGCCTCCGGGCGGGATGCCTCCTCCTGGTCCCGGCGGCCCTCCAGCAGGTTATGGAGGTCGTCCCGGCCCGCCACCCTCCCAGATGCCCATGCCTCAAGGTCCTGGCGCGCCTCAAGGCCAAATGCGAAGGTTTTGAATCTTCTTTTCCACCCTTGCTTTGACTCTAGTGCCAGCTTGGTTGTTCGACAAGGCATGGTATACCCTTCTCGTCAGTAAATTATTTATGTCCAGAGACTCTACACAAACTCTTTTTACCTGCGTCTGGTTTCCTGATATGATGGACTCTTCAAGCTTCTCGTCGCTGGTTTTCCGTGTTAAATAGCGAATATGTAGGCTTTTTCAAATTTCGAAGCAATAAATGTTGTATAATGCATTGCTCTGACACGCCAATATCCTAGTGAGCTATCTACTATCCCCGGATTCTCTTCGTTTTTAAGCCTGCTTGACGAGTTGTTGCAAGACATCGATGGAGACAGCTATGTGGCAATCAATTAGCTGCGGTTCTGATGAGAATCAGATGGCAGACTTACACTTGGGTCGCTCCAGAGGTAGGCCAAGAGCTGGAGAGGTCTGAGTAAGTTAAAACAAGAGGAAAGACGGTGAATACGAACCGCGTGCCCAAACCAGTTGCGTCAGCGCACCCAGAGCTACCGCATATGTCAGTCCACGACCATCAAATGTCAAGCGAATCATTAAACGTACCTCTGGAAACACCGAAAATAACGGTGTAATACTTGAACTCTGTCAAGCCATAATGGTAAAGAACGCATCCTGAAAGGAAAGATGTAATCAGCGCTGAATTGGACAGATATCCGATCAATGCGCGTACCCGATGCAGCATCGACGTTGGGGTAGGGGTTCTTGGTCTGAAAATTGCGCGTTAGTAACGAGCAGATTTGAGATCATCAGTGATTGAATACCTTTCCATGCTCTTTGAGAACATCAGGGGCGACTTGGAAGGTCTGTGGAGCCTTATCAGCGCCTGTCTTCACGGAAGAGAGGAAACACCTTTACCTGTTGGACGAGCTTGATAATCGGGCTGTCTCGCAGCTCAGGTCGGGTCTCGCAGAACTCCTGGAGAGCGATGAATCGAGGATCGGGGTTACGAAGAACACCGTGTCCGTAGCTTCGCAAAGATGAAGTCTCACTGCAAAGTCAACACTAACGGAGACGAAACATACCCAGGAACAACCTGTCCACTCTTGAGCGTCTTCCAGAGGTACTCCTTGATCTGGTCGAGTGAGACGTCGCTGCCGAGCTCCTTCTGCATGGCCATCTGCCATCTCAGGACCTCCTGGTTAGCAAGTCTATAGTATAGGAATATGTCGGGTTAGAGGCGGCACATCCTTAAGGCGCGAAGCAAGCCATTTACCCGTGCAGAGGACCAGCAAGGGCGGACAGAGCCGCGGAGTAAGCGAGGTATGGGTCGGCGAGGGTTGAGCCAACCAGATCTGTATTTTCAGTCAGCATTTAGATGACGAGAGGCTAGGAAAGACCAATCGTACGGGCAGTGTGCGCGGAGGCGTTGCCTCCTTCGTGGTCACCGTGCAGAGCAATGTAGAGACGGAGGTACTCAGTCAAGCTCTCGTTATCGCCATATCCCAACAGGTTGGAATAGTTTCCTGTCCACGGGGTCAGGGTCGGCATGGCATGCAAATGAACGCATTTAAACTCACCGACAAGGTCCAGGTCCTTGTTAATGGTAGGCAGAGGGGTGTCCGGCTTGTAGACATTGCGGTAAATACGCGCAGCGAGCGCCGGAAGACGTGCAATGAGGTTAATGCAATCCTCAAGGGTGTGAGTCCAGTACTCGGTCTTTTTTATGCCTTTCTCATAGGCAGCCTGGAACGAACTATCGTGGTTCAAGGCAGCAACAGCCATAGACAATTGGGTCATGGGGTGCAAGGTCTGAGGGAATCTGGCAGGTTGGAAAGGCCTGTTTAAGCCAAGTCCGGTTATGCAGGCAAGAGCAAAACTCACGAATCAACGAGGTCTTCGAGGAACTTGGGAAGCTCTCCCTTCTCGGCGAGCTCGCGAGAGAGGCCAAGGGTCTGCTCGGGGGTGGGCACCTGACCTGTGAGCAGAAGCCAGAGCATGCTCTCAGGGAGGATCTCCTTGCCACCTGGGGCAGGGGGGAGGACTTTTTGGCAGTCTGGGATGGAAAGACCATGGAAACGGATACCCTACGCGTCTGTCAGTAAGGCGAAAACGCGGGTATTGACGCGATTTGTACCTCGATGGGGTCGAGGACGGAGGCATCCCACAGCATGGCCTTCAACCCACGCATACCGCCGATGATGTTGTCAACCTTGGGATGTTCTTAATTCCGAATTTCTGACAGGGAAAAAAAAGTCGGCACGCACTTTGACATCACCGACAACAGCGTTCCCGTGCTCAGTTTTCTGACCATCGTGTTAGCATAGGGTCAATCCAGGACGATAGGTGTCAGTTACAAGCTTCTTGAGTTGTTCCTGCTTAGCAGGAATCACTTCCTGAAGAGTTTCGCGCAGCGTCTGGGGAAAGCGGGGTAAGGCGACGCGACGGGACTGAGTTGGGGTAGAACTTGCCTTGGTAGACGCGAAACGCTTGGTGAAGTGACAGGCGTTGCGAAAGCAAGCCTGGCGAGGAATAGCAGCTCTCGCGAACATGATTCGAGGCAAGGAGGGAGTGGAAAGACCGGGGAGATAATAGAGAGATGCGGGGCTATTTATTGAGAGCAGGCCTATGATTTCTCTCAGTCCGGGGTGCGGGAGAAACTTGTAGCGTGCTAAGCGCGCCTAGATCCGGCAACCCAACCGGGACGCCAAGATAATTACGGTCTGACATAATCGACGGCCTCTGATTCAAGCATGTGCACACCTATTACAGCGGATCCCATTTCGCCAGCACATTCACAAGTCCACGTCGTCGCCCATCTCTACGCATCTCAACCTCTACAAGTATGGCCTCCGTACTTGTCCCCGTAGCCTATGTGATCATCATCTTCGGTGGTCTTTTTGTTTTCAGCTTTTTCTATCGAAAACACACCTCAAGTGCGTCATCTCTCTCAAAGTTAATCAAGGGCTAATCACGAACGCATTTACAGCCAAGGCCTACGAGCCTTACTTTCCTTCGCATCCGGAGCGAAATGCATACATCACTCTCCTTCAAAAGACAGACCCTCCCGCCCATGACGCCCTTCTCAAATCAGCACTCGTCCGACGCGCTATGGCTGATGTGCAACGTGTACTCCGGATTCGTGAAGACAAGCCCGCTTTGCAAAACTTACTCCAGAAAGGTTCAATAGGCGACGACCTATGGAACAGCCTACTAGCAGCGGAGAAGGAACTAGAGGCTGAGATCATGGAAGTGGTTGCTGAAGCTAATTCTTTCGTGGAAGGCTGGGGTCAGCACATTTTTCCGACCGCAAATGAAATGTTAGCAAACGAGAAGATTCGTGCTGTGTATGAACGGACGAATGAGGTGAAGGCGGAGATCGGTATGTCAAATCCTGGAAATATCGCGCCTGCCTTCCTCAATTCATCCCCAGAGGCAAAGCATGGACTGGCACCGAAGAACCCTCCTGCAGTCGCCCCATCATCCAAGAAAGCACCAAATGGGTTGCTATCACCAACAAGTCCTACAGACAGTGTCCTTTCGAGTGACGGAGATGGTTCCGTGACCTCGAAATCTGTGCGTTGGTATTACTTTGTTCCGCTCCCTGGATTCTGACCAAGAACAATTATATAGGGCAAAAAGACTAAGAAACGGAGGTAAATTGGATGGCTGTAACGATACCCCGCGACCGGTCCCTTGTAATGTTTGCTACCTTCCGTGGTTATTTGATTAATCGACAGCACATACTATCCGTGCCCGCCTTTCGCGTTCGTATGGAAGGTGATTGAAAAGTACAATGATGACAAAAACTGGAATATAGTACGAGATGGATTCACGAATGTAAGCTATAATCTGGGTGGTTATCCTCGGATAACGATTGCTTTCTCCCCTGCCCCTGATCGCGTCTTCCCGGATTTGTCGACATGGTCTAAGCCAAGGACGTCCTCTGGCGCAAATTGGTGTTCGTAGATCGTATCCTCTATAGGAATTCAGTTAGTAAAGAGACACTAACAACAGCTATAGCCTGACCATCTTCAATGTAGGAAGGTTGCTTGAATGTCGACATTTGGATGAGGGCAAAGCGATATTTGGCAAGGTCTTTGTCTGACACCCCTATTCGGGCTTGCAGCCGCTTCTTGGTGTCCGCGAACTTTTCTCCCTATCATTCCTATCAGAAGTGGGAAACAATAGTGCAATCGTTCAACCTACACGTTTCACCACAAATTTGAAAGGCACGCCGTGTGTTCGTGACAAATCTTTCGAGAAGTGGAAGACACCAATGACCTTGTCGGAATCGTCCGCCTCTAGCTCCTCCCTCGGGATTTCCTATTTAATGATGAGTGCTGTACCACAAAGAAGGCTCAAGCGTACCTCGGCATACAGTTCCACTGGTTCAGGAATGTTTCCGATCATTTCCGAACCCGTAAACTCTTTCTGAGTCTTGCCATCCTTCGATATCTCAAAGATGCGGATCTTTCCTGTTCCCCCAGGTGACAGAGTGACAAGTTTGGCTAGATGGTCAGCCAAGTCGTGCACCATGCTCGTCTTTGGCAAGAGGAACGGATGTGTGCCCTCTTCCCTGTTGTGAATACCGGTCCAAGTAACCTTCAAACTCCGCTTCGTCTCGAGTTCGACGATGCTGACGTCCAGCTTCTCATACAGGATGATGGTGGTCGTTGGGTTTGCATAGTTGGGGGCCATAATTTCTGCTATACTTTGATTAAGAGATCTCTTGAGGATAGCTTTAGGTTGACCAGTTGTTGGGTTAGTAGTAGTGAAGCGTAATTTGATAGGATCGTGTCGCAGATATTCTCCTGCCTTAACAGACATCTGATGCAGAAGTGAGTAAGGTCGCTGATGCAACATGTACAGTGCGTACGATGTCATAATTTTGTTTCTTGCTGAGAACAAGGCTAAATTCATTTTCACTATCAGCCTCCTCAAATTTGGGCTTGAAGATAATCATAACGCGATTCTGGAGGAAGTCGTAAAATTGAACAGGATTGGAATAGAGGCCCTGGGTCTCCAGATCATGGATCCTACACAATGAGTCGTACGCAGATTCGACGACAGACTTCAACTCACTCTTTATCTGGGAGATCAACCTGGAAGCAAATGACATCGCCATCTTGGATTTCGCTCTGGCCGAACGACAATTTCGGTTTCATGAGCTCGATCATTCCTGGTTTGATTTCCTGGGCCCAGTTAGCTTCAGATATGCAGATGACAGGAAGTAGACCAAACCTCGTAAAGTTTGAGAGGAGTGCCCGGCGTCCAGCGCAGACGTTCATTAATGATAGGAATGAGATCGCCAACTTTGCTCGTCCGTGACACATAAACTTTACCAACTCCATAAAGTGTTTGCTTCGACGTGTCGAAATGCTTGAGGAATATCATGATTGATTGAGGAGGAGGGTCCGGCTGAATGACCTTAAAAATGAGAGGATATTCAGGGCCAAAGGGACGGTGCATACCTTGGAAGGATCAGTGATTATATCAAGATAAAGTCTGAGGTCGTTTTGTCTGGCAGCCATATTGTTCCGAATGACCTCGACAGCTGAGTGGACGTCAGTATGTTATCCCTTCCGTATAAAGGAGGACCGACTCAGTGATGGTTCGTTCTCAGGGATGTGGGTATCCGGTCTGACAGTCTTGTTCTGGCGATTGACAAGCACCCATAGACGAATTTGGTTTTCAGGGTAATTGAAATGGTGGGCGATACGACTCTTGAACGTGCTGTAATTCTCTTGCTTCAATACGCGGAAACTAGGCAACTCAGATGGAGGCCAGTTCTTCTCGTCGAAAGTGGCAAGGTCAAAGCCCTCGTGCCGAGCAAAGGTCTCATCTGTTATGACCTGGATTAAAGGGGGAAAAACAATCAGTAGTGACTACAAAGGAAGTCAAAACAAGGCTGACTTTCGCTGTCAAGAAGAGATGCTGTTCTTCACGTTCCCGCTTCTTGGCCTCGAGTTGTAGGCGTTCCTCGTCAAGACGTCGTTCTGCGTCCGCAAATGTGAGCAGTGTTAGTTCGATAGGGAAATCAAACTTACTCAAATGCGGAGGGGTGTCTTCATAGGCGAATGGCGCCAGTACTTCATCCATAGCCGACTCGCGGATATACACCAACATGTATGCATTAGTGAACCGCTTCATAGCGCGAACTTGGTTCCGTTGCAACGTTGGGGGCACTCCGTTGAGGACTTCTCCCCCGAAATTCTCCTCCAGGACTTCCTTGTCCGTTACAGGGGTGACCCTGTCGTCATCGAACTTCAGCCACCGTGTTTCGCGATCAGGTTTGATGAGGGCAAAATAATGTCCTCCGTGCAGGTCGCCGGAGTGCACAAGAACGCCGTGAAGTTTATAGACCCAAGGTTGGGAGCGATCTGCACTGGGAGAAAGGAATTCATCGAGGTTTATCTCGAACGGAAACTCGTGCCGATCGTTGATCTTGACCATTGCGTCTCGCTGGATGTCATACTCGAAACGCTTGAGTTGTAAATGAAGCACTGGTGGGAATGATTCGAAAATGATACCCTTCTTGGCATCCTGCAGACCGTATCCCTCCGCCTGATACTTGTTCTCTCCATCCAGCATTTCAACGGCGACGTAATCTCTGAATGATTCGTAGAGGTTCTTCATCCCCTTGACATTGAGTTGGATGTCTGCAGGCGGTTAAACAAACGTTTGCAAGTCATGGAGTTGTTAACATACCATTGAATTCTTCTATGCGAGAGGACTCGTAGTCGACGTTGACGCACTTGATATAGCTTTTCATTTTACCGACAAAAAGTTTCGTGATGGCGCCTTCTGCTTTGGTTCCCTTTATGCGACGTTCAAGCGTGCAGCCATTGCGGTTCGGGCACTCCACGCACCTTCATCTTAGACTCCAGTTTGTCTTGGAGGACACGATTGAACTCCTGTACATCATGTTGAAGGAAAGAGTCCAGGGATTTCCAACCGAACGACTTAGTCAACTCCGTCGTACCTGAATGCAACTAAGTTTACATAAAAACGTGGCTTACGGAACACGAACTCACCGACGGGCTGATCAGATGTTTGCAGATGATAGAAAACCCTTTGCAGCGCCAGAGCCACACTTTCTGTCGGAGTGTCATCTTCTGTCGGGATTTGATACACGGCCTTATAGAGATATCAGATGCGCACCGACCAGTATTGCAACAAAGACCAACCTTGCGGAAGTAGCGAGTACAGTAAAGAGACTGGAGAAGAGAATTCATGTAGCAGGTAGCTCCCTGATTCTTCAAGCCAACGAAACCAGTCTCCTTCTTGGAGTCATAACTACCAAAATATGAGGTCAAGGTCGAACTATATTTTGTGAAGGCCTTACTTCACAAAATTGTGCCACAGCACACCGGTAGGATCCTCCAGAACTCGAACATATACAGTTATTTCCGCGGCTTCGTCTTCAATCGTCGGACGCAGGTGCCCTTCTTGCACACTAAAAAGCTTTCGCAGCTCACTGAAGCGTGTGAAGCCCCAATCACATTCCTCAGCGATGAAACGGTGGTTAGCGTCTTCAGAAGTAATTATCAGCATATAGGCATGCTGATACAATAAGGATACGCACGGCTAACAGTAAAGATAGTTGGGTCATTGGGATTCGAGATGACCAGGGCAAATTGGGCACAAGCATGCCATCCTTCGGGAGATTTCTTGGGCTCTGCATAATCAAGATAGACCGACACAGTATCGTTGGGCGGTGCATTTGAATTTCCGAAGGGGAATAATAGGATACGCCTATGCGCAAGAATAAGCAGGATGACAGGGAGTAAAGAGGCGCTGAAACATAAGGCAGACAACTGACCATTTGTGGCCACCACACTCGAACTCGGGACTTGTCAGCTTCTTGTCAAGCTTCTTCCAGTTGGTCAAAGGCCATGTGTAGACGGTGAAGTCTTTCACATCGTGTCCCAGGTCTGGCATATGTTTGGAGGCGAAGGCTTCATCTATGAGTGATGACGACAATTAGCGACCAACAACAAGCGGTACGGGTTGAAATGGCGCACGATCTCGGACGGAGACTACCTCGTCAATTTCCATGGGAGGAGCACCGTTTTGTTTCTCATCGAGCCCGTCCATCGTGTCGTTCTAGAAAAGAGATCAGAATGAACTAGACGAGTCAAGGCGCCAAAAGGACACGAACCATCAAGGAGGCGACCACAGATTAACGTCAAATTGGTGCTCGACGACCGAAATATATGACTAGATACAATGCCCGATTGCAAGAAGAGCGAAGTCCGTTGTGCGAAGATACCGAGTGCCTGAGCAAGTCAGAGGGCAGACACTCCAGATACTAGCCCCGGCCAATGCCGGCGATTACTCATACCTGTGCCGCCCAACAGACATAAACACCATCTTGCTTTTGCCTTGACTTAAGCTCGCAACCAACCTCGTTCTCGCACTGCCTTTCTTCAACGAGCTTCACGCACTGGTATTCGTCTGAACCCTTGAGTAACCCTTCATATCTCCATGTGTGACTGATACACGATCCTTAAATTGTCTGGACAGGGAACCGTTTCGTTCCAGCAGCCTCGCAGCTGTTCTACTGTCCTGTAATGAGTCAAAATCGTGTAAGATCGATCAAGGGAGTTGCAGGTGGCTTACCGGGTTTCGTCTTGAGGCCAGGGAAGCCGAGGTCTTCTCGCTACAGCCCTCTTGAAATAGCCGTTGCACTTGCAGACGATCGCGGGGCATTCCTTGCCACCTGTCCCATCGTATGCTGTTGCATCACATACTGGCATACATTCTGTAGTTTGTATGCTCTGTTTTAGAACACACTTCTGAGTATCGAGTTACTGTGGAGCATCGCGTACTGCGTACTGAGTTAGCCTGAACATTCACAATGAAGTCCGACGCTTGCGGTCGGAGATGAAAACGAGCGCTGATTGTGAACATGCTACAATAGGGTACAGCATCTAGCCAACACCTGCAGGTGTCTTCGTTCTGCCTCATGTCGACGGAACGCCTTTATAACGCTCCAACACTATTTGCTTCCTTTTTGTTTTTTCTCGCATTTGGCAACATTCCGGACACAGAATACCCCTAGACGCTTCCTTCCAACAGCTGCATGAAAAGTTTCTTCTCTCGTCTACATGACAGCCAGACGGGCCATTCCAAATCTGCATCGCGAGAGACGTATAAATTCTGGACACCAAACCCTGATGCAGAGCGGAACGCTGAGAGGCCGGTCGCTACATCCGTGGAGACTGCACGTCCACCTCTCGAAACCCGACCGCCTAGTCGTACCCAGAAGCTGTCTCACTTCTACCATAAAGCGACGCATGAAAAGCCTCTTCCGACAACATACACCTCCGCGCCGGCAGAGAAGATGTCAGCTTTGTCGAGTCGGCCTAAACCCGGTTCTTCTTCGACTCACGTTTATGTCCAACCTCCTCCGAAAGCTTCTTCATCGCGACATCCCGATATCCGTGATGTCAAGCCACAGGCGAGTATGTACCTACACACTGGCCTAGTCTCCTCTCACCCTGCCTCATATTGGGTCCAACCTCAATCAACTGGCTACCCGAATCCCACCCAGGCTGTCCAGCACGAGTTGTGGATACCGCCATCCGCTGTTCAATCTATGTCCAAGCCGGGAGAAATCAAGCGGCCGCCATCCCGTTCTCATGAGAAATACACCGTTCACGAACGATATCGATCACGAGACGAAGGACGAGAAGCACCCAGAGAAAGTGGAAGGCGGGATCGTGATAAAGAAAGAACGAGGCAGGACAGGGAACAGGAGCGGGTTCGGGAAAGTGACAGAGAACGAGAGCGTACAAGGCACTACAGAGACCGGGAAAGAGATACCATGGGACGGGACTCGGATAAAGAAGGGAGACGCGAAAGAGAGGGAGATCGAAACCGAGATAGGGAAAGGGAGAGAGAGAAGGAGAAAGATCGCCTCAGGCGGCTTGAACGAGAGCAAGAGTTTGCAAAAGAGGCGGAGCGCGAGAAAGAGAACGCGAAAGAACGCGAACGACGGGAGCTAGAGAAAGAACGTGAACGGCAGGCAGAAAAAGAGCACCAAGAGCAGGAGAAGGAACGTGAACGGCGGGAACAGGAGAAGGAGCGCGAGCAGGAAAAGGAACGTGAACGGAGGGAACAGGAGAGGGAACGCGAACGGAGAGCACAGGAAAGGGAGCGCGAACGGAGAGAACAGGAGAAAGAGCGCGAGCGAAGAGAACAAGAAAAAGAGCGTGAACGCAGGGAACAAGAGAAAGAGCGGGAACGGGTGGAACAGGAGAAAGAGCGCGAGCAGGAAAAGGAACGCGAACGACGGGAACAGGAGAAGGAACGCGAACGACGGGAACAGGAGAAAGAACACGAACGACGGGAACGGCGCGAAAAGGAGCGCAATAGGCACGAGGAAAGGGAACGACGAGAGGGGGACCGGGAGATGGCCCGGGACTACCACCGCGAAAAACCGCGTCGGGATGTGGAACGCGACCGCAGGAGGGAACGTGGAAACGATATCAACAAGGGAAGCCCAAGCGGAAAGGATCGACCGCGAGAAGGCGAAACGATGCTCCAACGAGACACCGGCGAAGGCAGAGCAAGCCGAGATCATCGCAAGAGAGAGCGAGACCGTGGCGACACCAGATATCGTGCAGAGGCAACCGATGGTGAAGATCTCATGATTTCTCGAACTACTCGTGACAAACGTCAAGAAACGGGGTCTGGCTGGGTTTCCGACAACCAGATCAACCACGGATATAAACTATCACGACAGACTCAAGGGACAGCGCCTTCGCACTCTTCACGTCAAAGCATTGTCGAACTGCCCAACAGGATTCACAAAGCACCTTCGCGCAATGAGCCACCTCTGCTAGCACAATCGCAACCGTCTCGGCCACCTATACGGGAACCTTTGCGGGCGCTCCAGAGGGACTCTTTAACTCCCGAAGCCTCGCAGCCGGTCCTCAACGACCCTCCATTGCCACCTCAACCAGGAGATTCGCAATCCAACCCGAAAGATTCACAGGTGGTCGATGAGGGCGAGAGTTCTGACGGTTCCCTCAAACCGGCCCCTCTCTCGAAACGGACCCGAACAAATGACGCAGGCGCACCAAATCTTAAGGTTTGCACAGGCTTGCTTTCATTCACTTTTCATTTCCTGATTGATAAAGCAGGCAGCTCGGTCTCGTCAGGATCGAGCGCCAAGATTCATGCCACCATATAACCCATCCAACCAGCCGCACATCGCCAGTCATGAGAGGCCCCCAGTCCCAGCCACCCCTCGTCACATGCCTGTTCATCTTCCCCCCAGAGAGGCCAGGATTATTGAACGTGCGTATCAGCAATCCACCGCCTTGCCCAGTGCGGCGGAGAGCAAGGATCCCGACAGCGCTGCCCGAAGAGAAATCGTAAGGTGGACTTTCCCAAACAACAAAAGAATATTATTTATTTCTCGTACTTTCTTCAGAATCGACTCAGACTGCATTCTCGACCAGAAGATCTTCCGGTGGTGCCCGCTGAAGGTGTCAAAGCTATTGAGGTATATTATTTGGACACTGGGCTGTTCAGTATTTGACCAGTTTTTCTCATTCAGCCTCCCCTACGTCCCTCCTCCCGTGCCTTTGGCTTCTCCCAGAATTTTGTGCCCCCTCAAATGACAGTCTCATACACGGCGGGAGTAAATGGTGCATCCCAGTCACAGCAAGTGAGTCTGGAGCCTATAATCTCTGGCGATGCTCAATTGATGTTAGGTTGAAGTGCCCCCTGAAGCGCAACCTCGTACAACAGGCACTGCGCTCTCTAAGATCGTCAAAGAGGCAGCCCGGACACAGGCGTCGCCAGTGGCCCCACAAACTCTGGGCACATCAGACCTGGCTTCCAGCTTACCTCCTTCCAACGTACTGGGTAATTCCTCCCAAGAAAATCGGCTTCGTATATGGCCCTCAGAAAATCAGAACTTCTCGGATCCATCTACTGCATCGAGGAATGTTCTGTCGCCCCCTATTCATGTCGCCGCACGCGATGGAGGTCTGTCAAACGTTCTCCAAGAGCCGACTCGGCCTCCTTCCCGGATAGTGTCGGAGAAGAAGCTAGAAATCCCGAATCTCAGTGCCCGACTGGCATCAGAGAACCAGAGAGATTTAAACGAACGGCCCGTCGAGCCGTCGAGCAACCCCTCCCAAGTATATGCATCTAGGTTGGCAGTAGCCAGTTCTCAAAGTCGTGCTTTGCAAGGAAATTTAGGAATGTCAACCACGCTTGCGCAGAATCGCGAAACAACACGCACACTGCGGCCAATCGTGCCTACACCGGGATCACTAGCTCCACCCCCTGCAGTTTCACAAGCAATTCCGCAGCTAAGCTCATATGATCACGATGGTGGCCTGATTCCGTCCGCCACTGCTGGCCTTCCTCTAAACGCGTCGCCTTCCCTTCGTCGGCCTGTGCCTGCAGAGAAAGCCGATCAAGGTAGTGGACCCGCACCCTTTTCAAGCCCAGGAGTGGACCCTCAGGCTGTCCATGGGGAAATGGCCAAAAAAACCCACGACACAACAGAAGCCCCCACGGTACGGTTTCGTCTTGATCACTCCCCTCAGACTGGTACTCTTCATGGGAAGACGACTAACCTCGCCCTTTCACCTGTGGTAGTAGCTAAGACGGTTGCTGCGGTATGCCCGCATTTTTTCCCATGACCTACGACTCAATGCACGCCCACAGATCAACATGCATGTGCCAACAGTTCAATCTACTCCGCTGAAACCTTCCATAAATATGGAAGACGGTGCATATCTCGAGTCAGAGGCACGCCACCCGTTGGGTTCAACTGGCTTTCAGGAGAGTTCAACGAAGACGCCTGGTCCCTATCAGCCTGCTACTCTGACACAGCTCCCTACCAACTTGGTCGATCTCCAACCTACTGTCGACCATTCGAATGTCACTCTACCTACCAACGTCTCTGAAGGGCTAGATGCGAGCAGTCGAGAACCATTTTTGTCAAATCCTTCAATTTCTCATGATAATGCGGGCGCATTGCCATCGAACTGGGATGTTCGACTGCAGTTAGCTGTGCCCTCTGACGATCGAGCCCGTTTCGGAAGGCAGGATACCACGGGCATGTCCACCAGCAAGCCGGGTACAGGCACAGGATTCAAGCAAGACGCCACCAAACTTGGTCGTACTCTTGGGCGCTCGCCTTCTACCTCGACGAACATGGCGCCACAGCTGGAGAAAGTTGAAGGCTCTCCGTTCAGTCAAACTGCTATCAGTGCGAATACTGTCAGTACAACAACAGAAATAGATGGCTTAGGATATTCCACTCGTTTCGCTTCGAACACATCAGTGCAGATTCCCAATGCCGCTCAAATGGTCGCACCTGTGGTTAGCACAAAGCATATGCACGTCGCTGTACCTCCACAAATGGACGACTTGAAGAGTGGCGCTTCCCCTCTTGTGCCCGTGACATATCAAGGGAACTCAAGGTCGACAAAGCAGAGCACAGAATATCTTGTCCTTCTTCCTTCCAATGAGCCGTCAGGCGCGTCTGCTCTGAAATCAGACACCCCAGCCGCCCGCCTGGCAAATGTCAACACCAATCGCAGCACCGATAACGTCGTATTGCAGTTGCCCACTCCATCAAGTATGAAACAAGAAGGCTTTAGAGAATTACCTCGCGTCGAAGCTACACCCACTCAGCCTCATGTGGTTTTAGCCACGAGTGTCGATGGGCCTGCACATCGCAGCCATGGTTTCAGACCGTCGCAGGAGGATAGTCCGCGTCAGGCACATGTGGGGCAGTCCTCTCCACAAGCTGTATACCAATCTACGATAACACCTGAGGTGGTTCCGAATCCAGTTCGGCAGGGTAATAGACCAAAGAAAGGTAGTCCAAGCTGGGCACCCCATTCTGCGATTCCCAACACAGAGAGCAACCCACCCATCATGGGAGTTCCCAGCAACATACCTATCATTTCGCCCACACCACGACTAAATATCTACCGAACCAATCCTCCCTCTGGATCACATACGACTGTCGATGGCCCGCACCAGGCTCTCAGCGTAGGTCTTCCAGCAGTGGGAACTGGACCAAATGTACCTAAAAACACTGATGACACGTTGAATCTCCCTGAAAGTTGGTTTCTCTTCTATTGTTTCCCTCGTCCACTCATACTTATGTCACCGTCAGGTGTCCGGCCACAGCTTGCAGCCCAGTCAGATTCCTCCGTTTGGCAATCAAGCACTAGGTTGTACACCGCTACCGAGAATGCTGCCTCGTCAGGTCAACCCCGCCAAGAAACCACTTGGAATACTTCGACCACTATCCATTTAAGTGACAATTCCAAGCCTTCCAACGATGCGACGTCCTCGCTTGCAAATAAGCGATTGAGCAGTGCAGCGCACATGTTAGCTGGTCAACATGCCCCGACAACTCCGCATAACGTCACTCCTTCCAGTGCCCATACCGGAGCTCCAAGTGGTGGGCATGCTTTTCCTGGTGCGAATGATTCGCAACAGCAGTTAAGCACAGACGTTCCGAAGACGGAAGTGGCGATCGAACAAGGACGTTTGCAAAAGACTGGTGATACTGATTTGCTTCGGTCCGCTCGTCCCTCTCTGCAACCGTTACCCGCTAGTTTACTCCGCTCTGCGCGGCCTTCTGTCCAACCGTTGCCCTCTGTTACAACCCAGAGGCATCCACACAGAAATCCTGCTGTCCTTCAACCATCGACGACAGTGTCAGCACACCCGCAAATCCATCATCCCATTCTAGCCGAGATCCTATCTTCTCCCCTTCCCTCCAAACCATTCTCAATTGCCCAATCTGAATCCACGTCGAGGCAGCACGAAGTAAATCATTCTAGCCTTGGGCACCACCGTTCGAACACCCCTGCTGTGAATCAAGTGTCGGTTTCGACAAGGCATCCCGGCCCCGCATTTGAAAGGGTTCAAATCGAGGACTACCAAGAAAGCCGACCCTCGATCTCGAAGACTCCCAGTTTCCAAAATGCGTTCTCGAGCTTTCAGGGAAAGGATATGCCCTCCGCGCAGTCAGGGGTGGACACAACCGCTTTGTTCACCAATCAAGTCGAACTATCTCCCGTCCAACCCCCGACGACAGCTCCGTCAACAATTACACGGCCTCACCAAGATTCCAGTCGTTCGTCCCATGGAATCATGACAGATATCCCTTCGGCCACATACACCCCTCAAGTTCCTTCTGGAACTTGGGCTCCGTACCCAGAAGGCTACGCATCGAAGACATCACTTCAGCCAGGTGTCCCAAGTTCTGCAACTCCTTACACTCAAACCTTTCCTTCTACCATTTCATCACAGCACTCAAGTCGTCATCAGCATTCGGCCTCACTACCGACAAACCTTACTCATCCACCTGCAATGAACTCTTCGTCTAGCCGGACACGCACTGGACCCACAGTAACACAAACACCGCAGGTGCAATCTTCAGCACCTCTTCCACCCACCGTAGAACCCACCGCACGAGATACCTTACTTGAACAAGTGAATGCTACTTCATCTTTACCTCGAACAGCTTCGGAAGAAACTATTCTCATGACACCTTCGTCCCTCGCTCAGTCGATGATGTTGAAGCCAACGACTTCACGCCAATCTGTCACACCTTCTGTCTCATCTCAAACGCGGAAGAGGGTAAGCCTTTTGAGCATGTTTAGGAAACCGCCTGTCCCGCCTCCTCAGCCTCAGCCTCAGCCCCAACCATATGAAATATGGCACCCTGGTACTTCCAATCCAGAATCTTACTCAAGGTATCGCTCCGACGACCCAGAGACCTCTGACAGGCGGTACATGTCTCCAGTCCACAGAACGAGCGCAGCTGACAGAAGTTTCTCTGCCTCAAACCCCAGCCGCACAGAGAAGAAATCGAATAAAACCGACGTATTCACACCTTTCCGTTTTCTGGCCTCAAAGAAAAATCGCTCTGTGTCCGTGGCGTCCATGGAAGCTCAGGACGGAACAGCGGTGAGGGCTTGTTTCCAAATCCTTGATCGTTTCTGAATGACTATTTCTCTGCAGCCGAGCACCGTTGTCGGGTCTCCTACAGCGTCGATACACAGTCAAGTGCCTTTTCAAATTCCTTCCGTACGAGATCCTCAGCGAGCTACGGAAGAATGGAGGGACAGGGAAGAAGCAGGTACAAAGACTCGCACCAAGCACAAAAGACGACATCCACCTGGAGTTGTGTTTGATGTTTCGGAAGAAACTCCTGAGAATCAACAACGCCAGCGTTATAGGGGCTCTCGCTCTCGAAAGCTCGCTGATAACCACTGATATCCTTAATGAGATCACGCCCGTCATGAAATGTAGAGATATGTGGACTCTCATTTGCTTTCACGTTGCTGCTTTCAAGTTAGAATTATGAATTATGTCTGTACTATTCAATATTACAACTATGTATTACATGCTGTATCTATAACGTCCCATGTTTTGCGAATAATATCTCTTTCACTTGTGCATATTCAGCAGCTTGATCCTTACTTGCGAGTCCCAATGGCACCTCGAGTAACTCCATTTAGATTTTATTGACATTTGTTAAATTGTTTCGCGAGGAGTGGACTTGGCGGGCCGGTGTCCCGTTGCTGGCAATGTCAGTGCTTGTAGCCTTGTATAACAAAAAAGTTCTGGTACGGTAAATACTCAAGGCAAACGGGGGCAACGAAAGTGCCCAGCTGGAAGCTGTTGGCTTTGTATTATTCCCTTGTCATTTCAATTGAATTTCTATGCCTAAATAAAGGGCACAAAGTAGTTGCGCAGTTCACCCACTGCCGCGAGGCAACGAGCGGCTAGAACAGTTATGTAACAGGTAATTATAATCATACTGCGTTAGTGTTGCCATTGCCTGGGTATACTTAAGAAGTTGAGAGACGTGCTGAACCCGAAAATATCAATTAACAGGCTGGTTGGATGCAAAACAGCTCAATTCGAAGCGTTTAAATGGCAGTATTTAATTAGGCTATCGAGTTATAATCGGAGGAGATTAGAGCGGTGTCCAGGCGCGCCTGTAGGGCATGGAAGGGAATCCACTTTTGCGATGAATCATTGCCCTAATGGTGTAACATGTCACACCTTTGTCGTATCTTGTGACATCTCGTGTTCGTGACAACGCGAACTGACTGCTTTCACCAGGATCCCACGACTCAGCAATCGCGCGCTCAGGGTCTACACTCTCCTCCAGAATTCATCCATCATGTTTAAGGGAGGTCATGGCTCGCTGAACGAGTCTTACGTTCCTCAAGTTGCGAATCATGGAGTCTTAAAATATCCACATCGGATGAACTTGTGTGTACCCTCATTTCATCAATATTGCGCGACATTACTGACCTATGCGAGAGTTATGACGTTCCGCCTACATTTGACACGACGATTGAAGAATTTGAGAGATGTGCGCTAGATCGCCTACGGATCCTGGCTGAAATCGAATCATCCGCGGCTCGGAACAGAACATGGGAAGAGCTCAAGACAGTGACAAGGGCCCAATGCGAGAAATACCTGCCGTTAAACTTCAACCTGGTGGCGAAACACAACGATCTGGATCTGGAGAGAAGAAGAGATCACTTAAGCCATTTTGTTCTCAGACTTGCGTTCTGTCGTTCGTAAGTCAGTGTCGTGTCTGAGCACGATTGACTCTAACACCATGACAGAGAGGATCTGAGAAGGCGATTTGTGAAGGCGGAAACTACCTTATTCAAGGTCAGGTATGATGACGACATGGGCAAAGATCGAGACGCTTTCCTAGATTCGCGGGATTTTAACTGGACATCTGTGAGCATCGCGGACGTGCATTTTACGCTAAGCTCAATTGGCGCTAGGTTGGACAAGAAGAGCAAAGGCAATACAAAACAGAGCTCGAGGCTGCCTACCCTGTATCAAAGTCAGAGCTCGATAGGCCATCCGAAAAATACTACAAGGTGAGAGCCAGCATAGAGCGTAGGAACGACCTTCTTTGTACTCACTAATATGCCAAGGTGAAGTGGACGCGAGTTCCGGACTTGGTGGAGAGAAGGAAGGTTTTCTTGAAGGAAGGGTGGGCCTATGTTCCCAGCCGTGAACAATCCAGCATTGTTTTCCAGGAGTTCGAAACTCATCTCGAAAGGGCACTAGAAGTGCGTGTTGGACAGGTTTTCACGGCAAGAAACGACTTGAATTTTGTTTCCAGATGACTGCTAGACTGCTCCCACGTCTGGACGAAGATACACGTCTGCTTCCCATTCTCAATAACCTATCGCAAGGGTTCTTGGCTGGGATATCATCGGAATGGTCCAACGCGTCAGGATCTACGAACACAGACGAGATTAAAGCTGAAATGGTCGATGGCATGGCAAAGAAACATTTCCCGCTCTGCATGCGCACGTTACACGAGAGTCTGCAGCGCGACAACCACCTGAAGCATTTTGGGCGGCTACAATATGGTTTGTTTCTCAAGGTAGTCACTCTTTTCTGTGTAACCGGAGAAGCACTCAAAGACGACAACAGGTTTTGGGACTGTCTGTGGAGGAAGCTGTCGCCTTCTGGCGAAAATCCTTCAGTCGTATTACTGATGACAAGTTCAATAAGGAATACAAGTACAACATCCGACACTCATACGGCCTGGAAGGCAAGCGCGCCAACTATCCGGCGAAAAGGTAGCATCAGCTAATCTCTAGCTTCTGAGTAGTTGACCGAAAATCCTCGAAATAGTTGCCTCCAGATTCTCACCGGAGGTCCTTCTGAATATGGGTGCCCATACCGCACTTTTTCTCCAGAGAACCTCCAAGCTGCTCTTCTATCTTCTTACAGCCAGCAGGGCCTCCGCTCGGTAGATTTACCTGAAATAATGGCAGCTGTCAAGTCTAGCCATTTTCACGTCGCTTGCACTCGCGTTTTCGAAATAACGCATTCAGCCGACGTCAGAAAAGGTGACGGAGTAGGAGGAGAAAGTGTTACTCACCCCAATCAATATGCAGCACGGAGTATAGAGTTGGAAAAGGCAGCAAAAGAGGCGATGGACGTGGAATAATGTAACCTCTACAACGTGCACGGCATAGTGTTTTCATTGTCCAGCTTTCTCGCATAGTTATCCGTTCTTTGAACATGTGTTATTCTGGTTTACGTACTCCCACATGGTCTTGTGACGGTGACGATGCGATGAGTATAAGTAACTTGTCTGCTGTTCACTTCACTCCACTTCATTCCACCGTCACCATGAGCCCACAAAAACCCGTGACAAAACGTAACGACCATGAAGATCACAATAACCATGGACTTCACCAGTATCAAGACACAGACGGCCATTTTTCTCTGGTCAGGTGAGCACTCTTGCAGCAAGACAGAGTTGGAGCACCATTCTCATGATTTCACAACCTCCAGGAATTTCCGGCTTGCTGACCTTGTTACCATCATGAATGGCGTCTGCGGATCTTTCTCGATCTTCTCGTCGGCCAACTACCTCTTGACGAACGATCCAGATTACCTGTGGAGTGCGATGGCATTCCCGTTAGCGGGACTCATGTTTGATTTTCTCGACGGCAAGGTTGCTAGATGGAGAAAGTCTACCAGTATGCTTGGACAGGAGCTCGATAGTTTGGCTGACCTGGTATGTCTCGTTCTGCCCTCGGCACAGGACTTTGCCTGATTCGATGGTAGATATCTTTCGGCGTCGCCCCGTCCTTACTTGCCTTCGTCATAGGACTTAGGACGTATCTCGACACAGTGATACTCACAGGCTTCATATGCTGCGGCCTCGCACGCCTTGCACGTTTCAACGCTACTGTCGCTCTTGTCCCAAAAAACGAGGGGGGAAAAGCGAAGTATTTCGAAGGCCTTCCCATTCCCTCGTCTCTTGCGTTGGTCGGCATACTCTCATATTGGGCCAAAAAAGGTTGGATTGAAGGGGAGCAGGGTATCCCTTGGGGTACCGTCACGCTTTGGGGGCCGCCAGGGGGTCGGGGAGAAGTCCATTTAGTCAGCTTCGTTTTTGGCTGTTGGGCTGCTGCAATGGTGAGCAAGACTCTTCGTGTTCCAAAGATATAATGAGTCTGTCTGGACTCGGACAGAGACCTTTCCTCACATCATGGTCATGACGTACTCCTCGCTATCATAAATACATTGGGTAGTTGAATGCTTAGAGTCTATGTAATTTGTACTTGACACCACTCAACTGGTGTGGAGGTGATTGCGTTGTGCAATTGTACTGCAATTGTGGTGCCTTGGCGCGGTCACCATGCGACCCAGTGACCGTGGGCGCGTATCGAACGCGTTCATTGATCCTCACGCGATGCGTGTCTTTTCATTGGGAACCTCCGTCATGGTCTTAGCAGCAGACGTCGATCGCCTCTTCCTCCAAGCAGTTCTGTCGCGTGGTGTCCTCTCGAGTCAACTTGGGCAGGTGCTCTGGCAAAAAAGCATAAGCGTAGTCAATGGTGGGATACTTTCTTTGCCCACTTTGTTCCTTGGTTCACGAGCTTGAAGCTGCCAATGAGGCTCTCAATATCCGCACCTCCAAGAAAGAAGAAGATTGGCAGAATTACGTGACCCATATAAATGCAACTATCGATAAACTTGATCTGGAATTCCGCTCAATCCATGATGAATTATCTGGAAGGGAGATGTATGCACTGGTGCGTACAATCACTGTCGATTCGGACACTTGACTGATGATACTCAAGGTGAACAGGAAAGGAGACGAGATTGCCCAAATGGCGACGGATTACACCCCAGTTGAAATCGCTTTCTTCAAAGCTGTTGTCAGTGTCTACAAGCTTGTTGGCAGTCAGCATCGAAAGTTAACAAAAGCACACAGGTGGAGCAAATCATGCTTGCTCCTCATGAATCGTATTCCGTTTCATCTCTCGCTGCACTAAGAGAGCTCACAGCCGCGAAACTCAGCATGAGCAAATCCCAAGCTGAAATCGTGTTGGCAAGTTTCGTGTCGAAAGGTTGGCTCCTGAAAAGCGTGTAGGTCATGATTCATCTCTCATTTTGAGAACAAACGCTTACTTTACCGATATGTCGCAGTCGTGGGCGCTACTCTCTGTCCACTCGCTCGCTTCTGGAGCTCTTCCCTTACCTCAAATCAACCTACCCCGAAGAAATCCTGGAGTGCACTGTTTGCTTTGAGGTAAACTTTTTGTTTCTCTTCCACTGAAAACCTTTTCACTATACCAAAACATAGATCCTAACCCGTGGGATTGCGTGCACTACAAAAAACTGCAAGGTCCGGATGCACTTCCATTGTTTCACCACCTATCGCCGTAGGCATCAGGCTTGCCCGACTTGCACAACCGGATGGGCTGTCGAGAAAGAAAAGTTTCTCCGAGTTGGTGAGGAAGCTGCCAGAGGTGACGAGAAACGGAGAGTAAGAGTGAGGAGCGCCGAACCGAGCGAGGAGGAGGAGGAGGAGGAGGAAGAACCACCCACTCAAGACACACTGCCGAAGAAGGCGAAACGACGTCTGACGAAGGGGAAGGCTCGTGCAGATAGCATGGAAGTTGAGGCTGAGGAGGATGCAGAGGAACCCAGTCAACCTAGCCAAACTCAAGTCTCGCAAAGGAATCGCCGAAGTTCAAGACGATGAGACAGATGCAACGTGGAAGTCATGGCGTTTGCTCTACATACAATGTAATGTAATGTCTATGCGACGATTATATACTGCTATAGTACTTTCGAGGTTTGATACTCTATTAATAAAGCATGCAGTCATCATCAAGCAGACTCAGGGCTGTCCTGGGCTGCATCCACGAACCCGAAACGACCTTTACCCCAAACCTGACGTTTCTTCTTGTCTTTCCTTCCTTCACCAAATTCTTCGTTCCATTTTCGCAATTCTGCCAGACTTCCTAGCAATTCGGAAGAGGATGGCGTGATCTCTTTCAAAGCCTTGGTGAAATTGCGGAGGTGTAAGATACGGTCCAGATGTACAATTTCCGGAGAAGCGGATGTATCTTTCACAGACAGAGGATCTGACGCAGGAGATGTAGATTGCTCAAAGGCAACTCCACCTGATGTGGGTTCTGCGTGTTCGTTTGCAGCCAATGAGGGTTCTTTGTGCCCTTGGATCGGGCTGACTGAAGCGTCTTTGACCAACCAAGGAACTTCCATGTGTTCCTTCACAGCATCCAATGCTGCGGATACACATAGATCTACAGAGAGAATAAACCTCTGAGAACAAAATTTTGAACCGGGCAAGATAGATACATACGTTTGAGGTCAGAACCGGAGAAACTATCCGCTTTCTTGGCCAATGTGTCGATGTCAACGTCGTATGCCAACTTCTCATCCCGGAGGAGAATCTTCAATATTTCTACCCAAATTAATTGATCCCGCGCTGAAATTTCATTGAGAAAAGACACACCTGCTCGCTCCTTTTCTCCAGGAAGGTCCACAAGGAGGCGGCGAGGCAGTCGTCGCAAAACCGCGTCGTCAAGGTCGAACGGTCTGTTCGTGGCCCCAATGACGATCACATTGTCGTCTTTAGAAGACTTAAGACCGTCCATTTCCTGCATGAACTCGGTGATAACACCTCTGTGTGCAAAAGCGCTTCCACTTTCTCTCGCAGACATACGAGCCCCAAAGAGCGCGTCGATTTCATCAAGAAATACGACACATGGCGACAACCGGCGAGCCAGTGCAAAGACAGCTCGTACCAGCTTCTCGCCTTCACCGACATACTAAGGACAACAACGAGTTAGTTGAAGAGGAGGAATTGAGTCGGGACTGATTTACCATGTCCATGACGTCAGACGGTGAGATCGCCAGCATCCGGCATCCAGCCTCCTTGGCCAAAGCACGAACTATTAGAGTTTTACCGGTTCCAGGAGGTCCAAAGAGCAGACATCCTGTCATGCTATGCTCTTTAAGTATTCCCTGCTGGAAAGCACGAGGATGGAGCAATGGAAGAGAGACCATCGTCCGAACAGAGTCTATCGTGTGGCCAGGTAGGTGAACCTGGTTGAAAGTTGTTATTATGGAACCTGCCCGCAAGAAATGTGAAAACGACCCTGAACGCAGAAAAAGAAGTAAACATGCCTGTATCAACGATGCACGGCAGGAGGCGAGCTTGGTGCTGGTCGAGGTCAGGATCATTTTTCAAGCCCTCCACCACTTTGTCACTGCTAGTACCGGGATCTGACAGAGTTTCCTCTGTCTCTGGTGAGTCTTCGGCGAATGGTTTCTGGCTAACTGCTTCCTTTAGCCACGCTTTTCGTGCATCCAGCAAAGAGTGGCAAGAGGTCCACGCAGACTCCACACTCGCCCATGGAACCACAGTAGGCGAAAGCGTTGCCTTATCTTGCAAGCTCAATGCTTGTTCAGAGGCCATCACACTTCCAAGAGCACTATCAGCAACTTTTCGAACGGAAGCCCATGTCTCAATTTTGTTGCCCCACTCTTCCCACATAGGTGACGGTGTCCCCTTGGACACGCCCTCTTCCATTTCGGGTTCAGGTTCGGATTCGAGTTCGGGTTCGGAAAACGTAGGTGAGGATTCGATGATCCCACCCACAGCGCCAACCGCCATCTTCATAGTAATCTCGTTAATTTCCCGTCGACGAGCTATTCGAGCCTCGCGCTCTTCTGGTAGGGATCGCGTCTTGGGTACCAGAATAGAGGAGCGGAAGAACTTCGAGCTGGCGTCTGAGTCGTCCATGATCCCAATGCCTATTGACATGCCATCCATCGGCGAGACCCCTGACGAACCAACAGGTGATCCAATAACGATAATATCCGGGTTTGACGAAGCCTCCCCACCTTCCGGTCTGGTGGATAGCCTAGGAAACTCGTCATGAAGTCCAGACGCGTTCTTCTCCCATTTCCTAAGCCTGGAACGAAGGCGTTTCTCCCGCGCCAATTCAGCAGCATCGCTTTCGCTCCAATCGTGGAAATGTTCGTGTTTCGCACCGTGCGTCATCTGTGAGGACGCAATGCTTCGGTTCATGAGAAGACTCATGAGATTGCTTGTAGCACCCGACGAGCCTTCACTCCATTGAGGGCTCAGAGGTGGTGTCATTCCAAATATTATTGCTACAGGGGATGAGGTCGTATTTGACGAGCGAGATAGAAGGCCGCGCCGTCTTTGTCGCACAGCAGCAAGAAGAGAGGGATACCATGTCGATGAATGTGGGGCTAGGGTCGGGAAATCGCGGATGTATATCAGGCGCGGTCTATTCTTGGCGACTGGGTAAGGAGCCCCGTCAATGTTGTGAGAAGGAAACGGCATATTGACGAGGTTTTCGAAAAACACGTCCAGTTTGCTGGGAGAAATGGATTTCCTTGTGCTTGAAGGCATGATGGCCCGCCCTTGTAGAGACGTGAACGCCTTGGGAAGCGATATTGACATCCGTGACGGTGGAGAATACGCGAAAGGTGAGTCGTCTTCGTCTTCCTCACGATCCCGCCTAGGGGCTTGCCGAGTAGCCTCAGCGGGTGGAAGGGAAGGTGCAGAGAGGTGCAATGGATTTCTGGGAAGCTCTAGGGCAGTGGCAGCTACAGAAAACGGGAGAACTCACTCGTCAATCCTTGCAATATGACAACGACGTTGGTGGCCACGGACCTTTGCCGAACATGCCCCACTCTCCTGCCGCCAGGTGAACAGAATCCAACAGAAGGATTTCAGCGCCTGTCTGATACGCTAGCTCAGTGACTGCAACATCTATCACGTAGTCTCCTCCTTCAATGGGGCAATATAGGCCGAGCGTCGGTTCAACGGATCGACCAGACGCAGTCGGCGCTTGCATTGCCCTGTGTTGGCTTGTAGGATGCAGCGTAACAAGGAGCTTGTTCAGAGCCTCTTCGAATATCTCTGGAGGTGGTAAGGCAGAGTCCGTAACGCTCTCCATCGGCAGGTGCAGAATGACATGTTCGAGTCCTGGAGGGAATTCTGGAGCTTCTGGACTCGATGTCGAGCTGATGATTCGTGTTCTTCGGATTTTTGGGACCGCTTTATCTTCTTCATTTATTCCGGGGGGCGGGGATGGGTCGGCGGCTGTTACCTCAGTAGGTCGAGGAAGTTCTGAAAACGATGAAGGCCCCGTTAAAACCTCGTTAGCAGGTGGAACAGAGTTCGAGGATAAAAATCGATTCGAGGTCAGTCGAGCTGAAATCGGCCGTGCACGCCTGTTCCGCAAGGCAGAGGTCGCCTGAGGCTGGAGAAACGGTTGAAGGTCGTGAACAACAGGTGAACGTTGGATCAACAAATGCGACTTGCGCAGAAAGGAATGCGACCGCATCGGGCTGGAGAGCGGCTGGGGTTTGTCGCAGAGGGTCCTCGAGCAGTTGAGCAAGGTACGTCGCGTTAAGTCTTGCCTTGAGCGTCGAGCTGCTTAGGCTGTGACAAATTGAAGTTGGCAATGGAAGGCTAGGCTCGTGACCAGCCTGAATATGAGAATCGATATTCAGGCTGGTACAGCTGAGTTTGAATTCCTGTAGCGTTCAGGTCGCACGGCTTCTACCCTGTATAGCATGCGTGAATCCGACCGACCCTAAACTCCCAGGTCACGTTCCAGTCAACAAGCCGCGTCGCGAGCCCCTAACGACGCGTCGCTCCATCTTGGACGCCTGCTGTCCTTTTCTGGTGCCGCTTTCATCAAAAATTACTGAATATGCTTGCGCTAGACTCTCTGGAGATTCTTGAGAAATGAAAATTCTCTCCAGAACTGCTACCGCACACCTATTCAGTCTTAGTTTCGGGGCACCAGTGACCTGTGTCTGACACTTTCTGGTCGGAATTCAGTGAGGAGAACCATTGGATATCTTGCCTGCCTTTTCCTCTTTTTCTTGACTGAATGTGGCAAGGTTCCTCGAGAATTCCAATTACATGCAACTTGACCACAATTGCAAGTTCGCAAAGCTCATCTCGCGCATACACGGCACTTGCGCTTTCGTAGTGGAGAGAGGGGATATGGTTGGGCGGAAAGATGTCATATTCAGTACAAACCTCACTGAATACAAAAACGTCAACTTTCGCTCCTCAGAACACTGAATTCCCCACCAACAAATTCCGCGGCTCGCTCTACCGTACCTAGGTCCCTCTAAACTCCATCGTTGTGTGTGGAGGATGATTCAGGAGTGGAAGCAGAGTATTTCGAGGCCTCGAATCGAACATTGAATTGATGCGGCACTGGCTCAGGGTTTCCGAACGTCCAGTGCTCGTTGGTATTAGTCACGCCAGAAGGAACGTCGCAAGTGAGGGGCAGCGCTGAGGGGTGAAAACGAAATCTTCTGCCCCCTATGGGTAGACGTGGTTGGCTTCTTGCGCCTCGTCTTCGTTGTCGCCTTCACGAGAATATCGGCAGAGGACCGTGTCAGCATTGATAAGTGAAAGGGAGGACTTGGTGGATGCTCGGAAACATCTCTGGGAGGGCAACGTGACCTGAGTTTAGGGTGGGCAAGCTACTATATTGGGCAAAAAGCTGTGCAACCTGAAATTCAAACTCAGATCTACCGGTCTGTATATCGACAGATTCCTCCTACAGATCACGTTCTGTCATATACAGACGGTCACCGGTCTAATGGAAGGCGAAATCGACATCATTTAGCACGTGACGTCAGCGCCAACAACAGGGCAAGTTGAAGTTGGAGTGTACATGAGCGGGATCGAGCCAGTAGGCCAGAGTACCGGTAAAAATAAAAAGTGAAAATTATAGAAAGTCTACGTAGTATACTACAAGGAGCGCAATCTGGACAATGAGACGCGACACTGTAGTCCAGAGTATGTAGGATTAACCAGTTCAATACCATCTCCGCATGCATGTCCGTATACCTTCCTAAATTATGATTTCCTTCCATTAGCTTTCTCATCCATCTCTGCCTGGATAGCGGCAACCCGGGCGGCAGCTCTTTCGGCCAAATCAACCCCGACGAGAATTTTCGACGCTTTCCATAGTTGGACCACATTGATAACGTTCTTGAGGAAGAAGATAGGGAAACTGGTCAAAGCCATAAGTTCAGGATAAGTCATGTTTCCGAGGAATGATAGGCCAATGGGTCTCGAGGTCCACTTGATAAGATAGAGAGCAACGAAGAATAGTTCGTTTCCGGCGCAGACGAAGAAGAGTGTTCGCTGTTGCGGTCGTCAGACGGGGCACGAGGGCTGGTGTTCTTGGTCGCTTACCGGGTCGTTGTAATACATCCATAGGATACGACTGACATCACTGGTGACCAGTTTGTGGCTTGTAGAACCAGTGACGAGGGAGCTGCATCCGAAGTGTGAATATTGTGAAATCAATATTTCATCAAGTGCATACCTATACATGTGCATGTAGTGGCTGCTGAAGTCCAACGCGATAAGGAATTGAAAGAAGACAGCGTAGGGCGGATAAGCAGACGACAAATAGCACAACAGGCACGACGTAGTACATCTATGGGTGGTATAAGGTGATGATATGACCAAGAATCAGAACACATACCTGTCTGTCACCATATCCAGAACAGCCCCAAACTTCGATGTCTGGCCCAACGCCCGCGCTGCTTGCCCGTCTACGGCATCCAGAAGGCAGGAGAAACTGTACAATAATGTACAATAGATAGGGTGGTAGCTCATATAGTACAGCGACAATCCCGCAAGAATGACACGCGAATAGCCTACAGAACTCCGTAAGTCGATATGTGGCTGCAGACACAGCATAAACTCACCAATGAGGTTGGGTACAAACAAGAAGACGTTCTCTGAATAGGTCTGAGCTGTCGCGAGGTCGACTGCTTGCTTAGCGTCTACCAGCTCCAGCGAAGCTCGTCGGCGACGCGTTGAAGATCCTTTGGCCATAACGACTAATGGGAAGAAACAAGAAGAGTCCGAGGCGTAACGCGGCGGGCGGTGTTTATGGAGGATGTATGTGGATGCTGATGTGTGAAGAGGCGGACAGTCTCGAAGCCTGTGCTCTCGGTGTTCTCGCAGCAAGGGGGGTTGATGGAGGGGCTCTTGAGTGAACGAACAAGGCGCAATGAACCTGCCGCCGAGCAGTCACATCACTCTGAACAAAATATTTATAAAGTTGATGACAGAATAGGCTTGACCAATGCCGGGTCTCGCCCCTGAGTGTCCAGCCTCGGAATGGTTTCGTGTACGCGCTTATTAGATGAGAAGCCGTCCCAAAACAAAGTTTTAAGAATCGTAATTATTAAGTACAATAAACACTACAAAAACCCAAGCCGCCTTCCGTCATAAATGCCATTAGTATATCGTAGTCGAAAAGAATATTAATATGAGTGAGGCGTGAATTGCTGTGCTGCGTCGAGATCATCGACGGCCAAAGACGATACCCAGAACGATGGCCAGAATGGCGATACACACAAGGAATATGAAGAAGCATATCCAGCGTCCCTTTCGATACGATTTAGCTAAAGCCAAGCTATCAGTAAGGACGAATGACTAGAATTGAGTTTTATACCATGCACTACCGCAGTTTCTGTGTTTTTGAGGCTGTCATAACAGCGTCAGCCTAAGAGCAATTCAAACATTGACGATGTTAGTTGGACGTACGCTTTCTCGGTATCTTCGGTGACAGTCTGTGCGGTCTTTTCAACGTCAGAGATGATTGCATCCTGCTGTTCAACAAGTGTCCCCATCTTCATAGCGACAGTCAGTCTGGTTCTTAACCCGGAAAACAGAGACGGACATCTGAAAATAATTGCGCTAATTCGGCCAAGGTTTGCTCAACCCGTCGCAAATCTTGTTGTCTTTCCTGGACTTCTCGATAAGCTGCCCGTGATTCCCCGTAACGTGTCGACGACGTAAGCTAAAGCACTTGAATATGGCGCCCATCTCTCGTAGAAGGGTAAGGTGACTGACTGCTTGGGCGAAAATTTGGTCGCCTCCTCCATTCACGGCAGTGGCAACTTCCTCTGGGGTAGCTTTGGGGTAGACTGGTTGATCGTCAACAGATGCAGGATCCGGAGAAGACGGGGCAAAGCGACATACCTATTTTCAGTTGCCTTTCCACTCTCTCCCTGGATTTCACCCTGCCTTCCTGCTCTTCTCGCTGGTAGTCTTGAAGCGCTTCGAGGAATTTGGTACGAAGCAGAGTTAACTGGGACAAAGTAGAGCTTGCGTTAGGCTATTCTAGAGTCTGATATGATGGGCGCTTTTACCCGATTCCTGCGGAGCTGCGCGTCTTGGGTCAAAGGTGTCCTCTCTAGATTTTGGATGCGCTCCTTGAGCTCTTGTGTTAACGTCCGAGTTTCAGTCGTCAGAGAATCGATCCGTTCTGCGTAGGTATGTCTCGAATCATCAATTGCATTAAGAGATTGAAGGCGTAGTGTTGCTAATTGTGCGACGTTGTTCTTCAACTGTTGAATGCCTTGTTGGATTGACGCATCCTTGTTCAGGGAATAAGCTTCTGTAGGTGTTTCGAGATGCGTAAAAGACCAACTTCGGCTAGGAAGGCAGGTAGATCACTCTGACCAGCAGCAGGACTGGCTGGAGTAGGAGTGGCCGGAGCAGGTTGCCCATTCAAATCCGAGAGTTCGATGGCTTGGCCTCTTCGAGCCTAATAATACTATAAGCTGGAAAGCACGAGTGAACGAAGGAAACATACCCTGGCGGCGGCCAGTCGATCGTTGTATGCCATGAGTGAGAGCGATGGTGGGCGGAATGGACTGACTACAAGCGTGCGAAGAGTGGCATCAGTTTCGAACCGCGTGCCGGCGTGATGGGAGTGATTATGTACGCGCGCTCGACATTCGGACATGTCAGCAAGCAGGAAGCCTATATAGACGCCCATCCAGCTCGCCATGGTAATCCACCTGGTTGTTCTCATCTTTTATCCCCATGTCAGAACGCTAACTTTAAAAGTTTCTTGATATAAAATAGCGCCACCCACTCCCTCCTAGCTTTTGATAGCCCCAGCCGCCTTCAAGTCTCTGCTGATCTACTGCTTGCCTAGCGCCGCCTCAAGGGCTGTAGTGTCCTTCCGCATCCGCAGTATGTGCGCACTCTAGTCATTTGCACTCACCCGACCTTTATAACCACCTCCTCCCCTATTTCTTCTTTTCAGTTTCCTTAATCCTCTATCATCATGAGCGGTCCCTTCGTGTACACCCCCAATCATGAGCCCGCCCCGCTCCCTTATCGAAACAGCCCATACCTACACCCATTCTATTCATCGCCGAATTCGCCGTTCATCCCGCCGATGTCTCTGAATGCCTCACCGTACCAAGCTGTATCTCCTTTGCCTGGATCACCCATTCTTGCGAATTCGCCACTGGGCTCCCCTTATGCTGCAAATCAAGTCCAATTTCCTGGGGGATCGCCGGGCACCTCCCCATATGTCCCCGCTTGGGTGCGACCGCGTCGACAGTCTTGGAATTCCGGGCCGTTTTTACGAGCGCCTGTCCGTCAAAGAACGTTGTCAGACTACACAAACTACTACACGACACCTCCATTCGCGCCGGTGGCTGCCGCGGCCGGGTATTGGCCCCATCCTGGCCCACACTACCCTCCCTACTCTGCCCCAGTACCTACACAACTCTTTCTGCACCCTTTCCTTGATGCACAGAATCCTCGCTCTGATGTGGTCTTCAACCTTGCCGCACCAGACTTCGCGCCGATGAGATACATCGGAGCCAATCAGACAGTACCTATGACCCTCGAAGAGTTAGGGCAAACCGCCACGCATCCTGCCATCAGCGAACTCACAATATCGGCTGATGTCTTCATTCCTGGATGGCCATTTGACCTCAACTTCACCCTCTTCAATCCTTACACGAATGTCCACCCTCCGATCAAGGTGGGCGATGTCCTAAGCGCCATATACTACCAATTGCAAAAGCAGATATCGCAGCAAGATTGGGCAAGTCTCCCCCCTGAACTCGAGCATGAGGTCGCAAAGGCATACACGAAACGTTGCAAGTCATTTGCACCAGGAGAACTAACCCTGCTAAATCAAGGAGTCAAACAAGTCGATTTCTTGAAGGGAAGAGTCTGGTTTAAGGGATTACTGAAGGCACCTGACGGGTCGCTACACATGAAATTGGTTGCTGGGTGAGGGGTCGTTATACATTGTGCTCTGATATACCTTGGAATGATCTCGGTTGCATCTAATAGAATGACATGTCGTATCCTTATCTTTTCTACAAAATTTCTACCGCACTGATTCCGATTGTGAAATGAAATATGATATCCACGACCTTTCATTCGTTGGAAGCGAGTTCTAGGCTACTGACGAAAATAGACGCAGTGGCCGACACAGTCCAAAGACAAAAAAAAATGCGCCACAATGTGACCTCAAGCTTTCAACAAGTCTAAATCATTCATGGACGGCGGCGGCGGTGGCGGCGGCGGAACGACAACGACAACGACAACGACAACGGCGAGTCCGGATCAGGAGCATTCGGATTTTTTCCGCCGATCACCATCTTATCGCCCGAGTCATGTCGCAGATTCAGCACTTAGAAAAATGCGTACATACTTAGATTCCGTTCCCGTCATTCACCCCATCCTTCACAACCATGTGTGGAATCCTCGCCGTCCACGGCCTTGAAAAACCCGCCAACGACAGAGCTCGTTTCATCGCTTGTTCAAAACGACAACGCCATCGTGGTCCGGATTGGTCTGGCTGCTACGTCGGGCAGAAGACTGTCCTCGTGCACGAGCGTCTTGCAATTGTCGGCGTTGGTACGTGGGTCGTCGTCGCGTAGGGTCTGCAATGATCAATGTATTCCAGAATCTGGTGCTCAGCCATTGATTAGTGAGGATGCTAAGATTATCCTCGCCATCAACGGCGAGATTTACAATCACATTGCCCTTCGTGCCAGCGTTGGCCCCGACGTGAAATTCAAAACACACTCGGACTGCGAAGTTATCATACCTCTGGTATGCCTCCCGTCTTGAACAATAGTCTCTTACTTACTCTATGCAGTACCGCAAACATGATAAGGAACTTTGCAGCTTCCTCGACGGCATGTTCTCCTTTGTCCTGCTCGACGAGTCTGTCTCTCCTCCTCGCATTATCGCTGCACGAGACCCCATTGGTATCACCACTCTCTACCAAGGCTGGAGCTCAAAGCGCCCCGGAGCTGTTTTCTTCTCCTCAGAGCTAAAGGCTATCGTCGACGAGTGCGATAACATCATATCCTTCCCTCCTGGCCACGTATATGACAGCAAAGATGATTCGACAACTCGTTACTACAACCCAACGTGGTGGAACGGCGACGTAGAAGAGCCTGACGGCACGATACCCACATCCCCCGCCGATTTGACCCTCATACGCGAGACTTTGGAAGCAGCTGTCAGGAAACGTCTTATGTCAGAAGTGCCGTATGGTGTTCTTCTGAGCGGCGGTCTAGACAGCAGCTTAATTGCAGCTATTGCCTCGAGAGAGACTGAGAAGGTTGCTCAGGCTCAATACGAAATCCGGAAACGAAAGCTGCAGGAAGCCACCAGTGGGCCTTCGACGCCCAACGCAGGTCTGGTCGACGAGGCAGGTCAGTATTCTCTGCGTCTTGCCTTTTTTTCTGTCACTCACAATTAAATGTTCTCTAGCGACATTGGCCGCATGGCCGCAGCTGCACTCCTTCTCAATCGGCCTGGAGAACTCGCCAGATCTTCTTGCTGCACGGAAGGCTGCCCATTATCTAGGAACAGTCCACCACGAATATGTCTTCACCGTCCAAGAGGGTCTGGACGCTTTGCCTGAAGTCATCCATCACCTTGAGACGTACGATGTCACCACGGTGCGCGCAAGTACACCCATGTATCTCCTCAGCAGGAAGATCAAGGCTATGGGCGTCAAGATGGTGCTTAGTGGCGAAGGAAGCGACGAGATTTTTGGAGGTTTGCTATCGAATCTTCTGGCTATAATTAATTCCTCTCAACTTCTCTGTGTTTTAGGCTATCTCTACTTCCATGCTGCGCCAGACGCTCCTTCTTTCCATCAAGAATGCGTTCGTCGCGTGAAGAACCTTCACACTTCCGACTGTCTGCGTGCTAACAAGTCAGTAATTCTGTTATCGTTATCTTTCGTACGCTGATTCCTTCCCTAGGTCAACGATGGCTTGGGGTTTGGAAGCCCGTGTTCCTTTCCTCGATAAGGCATTCCTCGAAGTCGCTATGAACATCAGACCAGAAGACAAGACATTCAGCAAGGGCCTAGATCAAGAAGTTGACGAAGATGACTGCCCTAAGATGGAGAAGGTGAGCTCTTCCAATAGCCTCCTCGAGCTGTCCTCAGCGGTATTTTAGTACATCCTACGGAAGGCCTTCGATTGCGCCCCAGGCGGCAAGGTCTGGATTACTTTTCGCGTTCCACTTGCGTTTTTTTTTTTGACTCGTGCCCCTTCTCCGTTGTGCAGCCTTATCTTCCCCGCTCAATCCTGTGGCGTCAAAAGGAACAATTCTCAGATGGAGTTGGTTACTCCTGGATCGACGGGTGAACTCTATCGCATTTTTATTGGTGTCTTTCTTAAACCGCTTGTTGTCAGGATGAAAGAACACGCTGCTGAGGTTGTCTCCGACGAGGCCTTTGCTAAGCGTGCTGAACGCTGGACCACCGACGTTCCTGACACTCGCGAAGCCTATTTCATTCGCGATCTCTTTGATGGTCGGTGTGATTGTACTGCCTGTTAAATTTGAGGTCTCATGTGTGCCGTCTCCCAGGGTTGTTCCCCTCAAAAGCTGCTGCAAACACTGCTGTTCGGTGTGTTGTTTCCTGATTTTATTTCTTCCTCCAGAAGTAACGGGTTTTACCCTCTCCAGATGGATTCCTCGAGGCGATTGGGGCTGCGCATCTGACCCCAGTGGGCGAAGCGTCAAGATTCACAATGCAGCGTACGAAACAGATTAATTAAGGGAGGAACCCCCCCAAAAAATAAAAGAGCGTGGTGATGATACAATTGATCTATCTTGAAGTCGTAAACAAGGGAATGCAATATAATATTGGATATCAAGTGGCTATGCGAGAAGTCAAGAAAGGAGAGAATTCCCATTCACAAAAATCAAGGAGGTACGTCAGACAGTTGGGCATGATCATAAGCAAAGCACAGCGTGAATGAGGGACGAGAATAAGTGCGAAGGGAATAATAATGACGGGGAATATTGTAGTGAAGGGATATATTGTCAAACGTATACCAGAAAGGAACGTGATTAGTGAGTCGAAGTCGCGGAGGATGATTCAAGCACTGTTGTTGAGAGACGGGTCGTGGGCAAGCATCTGACGGTACAGGCCAACGCCGGAGTCTTCAGAAGGAGCCGGAGATGTGGCAACTGGTGCCTTCAGTGCAGGTATCGGTGTCTTTGTCGATGCGCTAGCCTGAGAGATGTTTCGCGGGCGCTTGATGGGAACGGGGGTGCGGGTGCTCGTATCCCAAGCCGGGCGTGTAATGGTTGCTCTGGCGTAGTTCGGGCCCTCATCCGAGGCAGGTGGCCGACGGGAAGTTGGCGTAGTGGTCGTGCGGCGACTTGCTGGACGTGTATGCGTAGAGCCATCAGACACGAGCCGCGTGCCAAATTTCGCGTTGGCAGATGATTCCCGACCATAAGAGGCAACGACGCCAGCTCTCCTTGGGTTGACGCCCGGCTTGCCCTTGATAACAGGCTTCTGGACTGTGACCTTGTCGGCACCCCAGTACGAGAAGCTCATTTTACTCTTCTTGTCAGAATCGTCAGAGTCATCGGCATTGTCTCGTTCGTCGTCGTCGGGCATAGGGACAATTCGAGGTTGGCTGGAGAGGGCCAGATCGCGAGACTTCGCCATACTACGAAACGGTAAGCAAACGAGCAGCTTCGAAGAATGGGAAAAACTCACTCTTCCATGGAAACGACGCCTTCTCGTGGCTGCAGCACGTCTCCGATGGCCCATGTTTCAATCTAGAAGACAGGTTGAATAAAGCGCAATATTTTTTGGGCATTGAACATACCTTGATAAATTTGTACAGATTTCGAGGTTTTGACGTTGAATTCCGACGGCCAGTGGTCGCGTATTTGGCCTTGCCTTGCAATTCAGGCAACGAATTCGTCCGCGAGTTGGTCGACGCCACAAGGGGCAATGACGTCGTCCCTGTCCGCTGACATTGGAGCACGACGTCGTTGAAGACGACAAACCAAAGATCCTTCTTGCTGCCGACTCCATCCGAGCGGAGGACGTCACTGAGGCGTTTGAATGACGATTTGCCTCTAACACCTTTCGAATTGGAGACGGGCGGTGGAGATGACGGTTTTGTCGAGCCGCTGCCGCCGCCGCCGCCAAGAGGGCTCAGTCCTGTAGTGCATGCACGTTCCTCGAGAAGCACACGTGATGGCTTGGGCAGAGCCAGTTGCCTGACCTTGTCTAGTCCTTCAATGCGTGCGAACACATCTCGCGTCTTGTCGCGTTCTTCCTTCTGGATCTTCTCGTCTTCGATACTGCGCACGATGTTTTCTACTTCAGCAACCATCTGAAGTGTACTTTCGTACTCAAATGTGCTGGGGTCGGTGTGGAACAGAAGGTTTTGGAAGAGAAGAGGATACTTCAGCAGCCTCTGGAAGGGTTTTGACAGTGTGATAGCAAGGCCCGTTTCGCCCTTTTCAGCTGATGTTTCCTCGAGTTTCCGCAGAATCTTGCAGACCTTCTGCCATTCAGCAGAGTCCTGTTTTTTAGGCTTCTTTGTCGAAGTGTTGGAAAGAGCAGCATCCACCTGCTCCAAGGCGCGTTCCAGATGAAGAACATACGTAGCGTAGCCATGGAAGATGTCCGACTACGAGATTATTAGTGCCACCTTAACGCGAATTATTAGAGAGGATAAACACACATTTGAGACGAACACGTCTGCGAGTGACCGAACAAGAGGAAACTGATCATCATAGCGCTTTTTTAAGGCTTCTGATAGTCTCTTGTGGCCGTCAAACACTCCGCTGTCTATCACCTCAAGACAGATCCGTAGGTCTTCTGGTAGCTGATGAGGCGCGATTGCATTACCAAAGATACCGTCATTCGTCGTCTGGCTTTTTCTAAATTTCCGCAACATGGCAGGCTTATTAGGCGAGTCTTGACTGAATTTCCGCTCTCGCGCTTTCTCTCGCTCCCTTTCCCTTTCCCGCTCTCGTTCCACCATTATTGACTGGCGACCGAGCGAGTGCGTAGAGGCGGAGAGCGGATTTCGTGCCGGCGGAGGAAGGGATGTATGTGATCGTGAAGGAAACGGAACGGGCGTACGGCCTGATGTGCGCGTCACCGTGGTACGGTATGGCGATCGTGGGTGATCATTGCGTGAGGTGTTACTCGTGCCTGGTCTCCTGGAGTTCTCGTAGAGTCTCCCAGCCCTGTCGGCAGCCTCTTCCTCTTCGTCCGTCTCTAGAGACTCTCCGTCCATATGTGGCGCGTCTCGTGGACGCGGAGACGTTGAGCCGTGCGGCGGGTTCATGGAGGGTGTGGGCGACATGAAGCGAGCGGCGATAGGGGGAAGGTCTTCCGTAGATTCCAGTGGTGACTCCGAGCGATAATAGTCGTAGTCCAGGTTAGGAGTCGAGGCCGCGGAGGCTGCGGATATGGAGTAGGGATGCAGCAATGGATCAATAAAGGTATCTTTCATCTTCACAAGTTCTTGAACGTATCTGGAACAAAACCTAAACAATGAGAGCGTTACGACATGACGGGCTTCTTACCGGTCTTCACTCGAAATGATCTCGAACAACACCTCTTGTCGCGTGCGCTCGCGCGAGCCAAGATTCGAAACCAGATCGTCCTCGGTTACTTCGCTCCAGGATGTAGCCGCGAGAATCTTGCTACCACTCGTGTTGTTCGACATCGAGGAGTAAGGCGTGCCAGAACGGAGGGATTGAGCCGATGGACCGTCAAACGATTTCTGTAGATACGGAGAGGCGGTTCGGGTCGAGCTGGCCTTGACACTTGTCTGTTTTGCTGTTGTAATATCTGTCTTCGAGGACGACGCCCCGGTCGAAGTCGAGCCTCGAGGTTCCTTTCCATAAGCGGCCTGAAAACGCGAGACGGTCGTTTTTAAAGGAACAGGTGTGGGAGCCGGCCCGCTGGTTGGTGCGTCAGGCAAAGCCCTCTCGAAGTTGGCTGGCGTAGGAGGAGGAGAGATGAAGGCGACTTTCTTCTGGACATCGGTGGTGGTTGAAGTGCCAGTTGACCCGTTAGCTTTGCGCGCGCTGCGGACAGCTGATTCCGACGTGCTTGTTGTCGATGATTCCTGCGAGGTTTCGTCTTGCTGCACCGGTGGTGGTGTTGATTTGGGGGGCGTAAGGGTTGCAGTTGATCGTGATTCAGGTAGAGGGGGAGACGGAGATTGCTCTATGGGAGGCAGGGGCCGAGATGCAAGCTGGGAGGCAAATTGGGCGGAAACGAGCTCTGGGAGGGGTTTGAAGGAGGCTATTGAATTTGGGGTTGAGTTTGATGTCGCGGGGGGCTTCGGAGGATCTTGGGGGGGCCAAGAGGGCAGAGGGGGGAATTTCTCTTTGGGAGTATGGCTGGTATCCCGATCCTTATCCTTGCCGCCGAGGTGGAGGCGATTGAAAAAGGCCCGCATTGCTTGTCGCTGGCCGGGTGTGGGGAGCCTCGGTCGCTAGCAGGGGGGCTGCTGGGGGCGATGAGCAGCGGCAGAATGGCAGAGGAGGGCAATGGACAAGGGTGCGGCGAACTTGAAGAACACGAGGACGAGGGACCGTTGCCCGTGCAACTGCAAACCAAACAATGCAAATTAGGAAGCCGGCCATGTCTTCTCAGCCAGCCCACCTCACAAAACACGTTCCCCTCCTCTCCTACCCACTCCCCGCCGCCGTCCTCTCGTTATCCCAGCTCACCGATGGCGTGTCAAACGGAACGGCCCTCTGGCTCGGCGGTCAGTGCCTCGCAATCTACCTCAGCCAGATGCACAAGAAATTCAGCACACCCACATCACGCCGCGCAATAGAACTCGGAAGCGGCATAGGCCTCACCGCGTGCGTCTCGCCTCTTTGCACGCCCAATTTGTCCTCAACGTGGTCATTAATAGCCTCGCCTTGAGCTCCCTTGGCTGGGACGTGCTTGCCACCGACATTCCTCATGTAATCGACTCAGTTCTCGCGAAGAACATCACCAATAATCTTTCTGTTCTCCCACCGGGTTCTGGAATAGTCCAAGTCCGCCAGCTTGACTGGTCAGTCGCACCTTCCGACTGGACATGGGACCACGAGTCCACCATCGCTTCCCACTCTCTCCTCCCTCCCTCCATGGCCTCACCTTCGGACTTGATTCGTCCCCCTTTCGATCTCATAATATCTGCAGACACCGTTTACGCAGCTGACCTGGTGGATCCTATGCTTCGCACCCTTCATGCTCTCAGTACGTTATCCGCATCGACCGCTCATTGTCCAACCGTTCTCCTGTGCATCGAACGGCGCGATCCTTTGCTCGTTGATCGTCTTCTATCTGATGCCAAGGATAAATGGAACTTTGCTGTAGAACGTGTTCAACACCGAAAGCTAGTCAAGGCGGTAGAGAAAAGCGGAGCGGGATGGACTAAATCAGACTGGGATGGCGTTGAACTTTGGAAGCTGAAGCTCAGGGTCTCATGACCTTTCAGGAGTCTTCCATAGGATGAGAATGGGGAGCGCAATTTCCGAGCAATACCGCGGTTTACTTGGTTATGAAATGGAGTGTTCTATCGAATCCGTGCTTTTCCTGAGTGGCTTGTTAAAGTTTGGTTGCACGTTCAAATGAAGATCATGCTCACTAGATCTTTCAATGTTTCTTCCTCGTCGTTTTCCGTCTGCAGCTGATACAATTGAATGAATCCCTTCAGGCTGTGCAACCGTCTATAAATAAAGAATACTTTCACTAAAGAGGTCCACATACGTGAGATTTCCATTGTCAGTAACATCGAAGGATTCAACAACTTCTTCCTTCGTCTCCTCTGAGAATGGTTCTCCATTGGTGTCTACAGCCCATTTGTCCAGTCCTTCTGCAGATAGGTAGGCGCCGGCCGGGGAAACAAGGAATGTTGTTTCTGAGGTTCGTAGAACTGAGGGTGTGCAATATTTTGCTTCAAGCAGGCCTCAAGCTGGAAGACAACTTGATCTCATCAGAACCATATTCCAAGTCGTCTTTGCTACGAGCACTCACCTGATCTGTTATTGCGCCTTCATCATCGATGAGCCTGACTGCATTGGAATTCGAAGAAGTGGCCATCGAGGGTAAATCGTGTGTTGGTCGAGAGAGAGAAATTGCAGAACACTGAAATTCTTGACACCCAAAAAGGAAGCCCAGGGAAGACCTCGGCCCGTTTCCGCGGCACACCGCACGTTCTTGACTCCGTTTCTCTCATCAACGATGGACGACAATCGTTCTGAACCTCTGTCAATCGAGTCCCTTCTTCGAAAACAGCGCGAAGAGAAGGAGGCAGCATCCAAGGTACGTTGCCTACTTCCTCAACGCCAAATCTCATGCTACAACTACCACACAGCCGAAGTTCTTGACCAGAGAAGAACGTGCACAACTTGCCATAGCAAAGCGAGCACAAGAGATACGAGAAGAAAAAGAACGCAATGAAGCTGCACGTAAGGACCGCGAGACGCTCGAAAGGGAAGCAGAAGGGCTATCCCAGCGAGAAAGGACGAGGTATAGCGGAAGTAATGGCGGTCGATGTTAGTGCTTTCAATGCTCCCTCAAGTGGGTTTTGTTCTCATTGGTCTCTTTCTTTCTTTCCTATCGTTTCCACATTGTAGACCAAGACAGATACGACCGTGACCGGGATCGGGATCGAGGTGACCGCTCGGGAAGAAGGGGCGACCGCGATGGTGGGCGAGGTGGGCGCCAACCACCTCCACCTCCACAGGACGACCGTCGTACCCGCGACAAATTCCAAAACGTCCCCACCGGACCTCGTGCAGACCGCAGCAAAAACGGCACCTCCACCGACGTACCAATGTCCAACTCCTCTTCCATGCCCCCTCCTCCCGTGCCCGCCTCTGCCTCCACTGAAGTGGTCAACGGCTCCGACACCTACGTCCCCCCAATGACCGACAACGACCTATCCGCGATCCGCTCACGCTACCTCGGCGTCGACCGCAAGAAGCGCAAGATCCGCAAGATGAACGACCGCAAGTTCGTGTTCGACTGGGACGCGCAGGACGACACGTTCGCGGAGGACTCGCCCGTCGCTGTGGGCAGCACCCGGCAGGGCGCGCAGGTTATGTTTGGGCGGGGGCACATTGCTGGCATGGACGATGGTGGTGGCTCTGGGCCGCGGAAGAGCTCGTCGGCTGCTGCTACGGGTGGGGCGACTCAGCTTGCGGATGCGATGGAGAGGAGGAAGGCGGCGAAGGCGGGTTACGACGATAGGCATTGGACAGAGAAGCCGCTTGATGACATGAAGGAAAGAGATTGGCGTATTTTCCGGGAGGACTTCAGCATTTCTGCGAGGGGTACGGCTGATTTTCGATGTCCACTTCCGTTGCTGACGATGTCTTTCCTGCAGGTGGCTCAATTCCTCACCCTTTGAGGTCATGGGAGGAGTCGACGATCCCGCAACCTATCCTGGAATGCATCGAACGAATTGGCTACAAGGAGCCTTCCCCCATCCAAAGGCAGGCCATTCCAATCGGGTTGCAAAATCGAGATATCATTGGTATTGCTGAAACTGGCCAGTGAACTTTCCCTATACCCTGGGCTTTGGCTCAATATTTTGTAGGTTCCGGTAAAACTGCTGCCTTCGTCATTCCAATGCTGGCATTCATCTCAAGCCTGCCACCTTTCACTGATGACAATCGCCATTTGGGTCCTTACTCCTTGATTTTGGCACCTACGCGTGAATTGGCACAACAGATCGAATCCGAAGCTCGAAAATTCGCGTCTCCTCTTGGCTACAAATGTGTTTCCATTGTCGGGGGGGTGCGTGTTTCCTTTTCCACCTGCTTCCAACGACATCTGATTGTTCGTCAACTGTTTACAGCGAGCAGTCGAGGAGCAGCAATTCAACCTCCGCGAAGGCGCCGAGATCATCATCGCCACCCCCGGTCGTCTCAAAGACGTCATCGAGCGACACGTCCTCGTCCTCTCGCAATGTCGGTACGTCGTGATGGACGAGGCCGATCGGATGGTGCACCTCGGGTTCGAGAACGACCTGACCTTCATCCTCGATGCTCTCCCGTCCGAGACGATGCAGGGCGAGGACCAGGGTGAGCAGATGGATGTTGACGGCGAGACGCTCGTCAAGAAGGGCCGCACGCGTGTGACTACCCTTTTCTCCGCCACGATGCCACCCGCAGTCGAGCGCCTTGCGCGGAAGTACCTCAAGAAGCCGGCGATTATCACGATTGGAGAGGCGGGCCGGGCGGTCGACACGGTCGAGCAGAGGGTGGAGTTCGTCAATGGGGAAGAGAAGAAAAAGTGCGTGATTTTTTTCTCTTGTGGAATGGAGAGTTTTTTTGTTGATTGCGATGTTGCGATGACGTCGCGTTTTACAGGCAGCGGCTCTTGGAGCTTCTCAATACGAATCAGTTCCCATCCCCGATTATCGTGTTCGTCAACCAGAAGAAGACGGCGGACATGGTGGCCAAGGACCTCTCTCGGGCTGGGGTGGGTACCTTTTCTTTTTTTCCCCCGATGACTGACTCATCATCATTCTGCTGTTCTTTCCTTGATCCTTGTTCCATCTTGTTTTTTTTTTTTAATTCTTGACCGCGTATAGTGGAATGCCGCCACGCTTCACTCGGGCAAGAACCAGGAAGGACGCGAGGCCGCTCTCCAGTCGCTCCGGAACGGCGAATCAGACATTCTTGTCGCCACCGACCTCGCTGGCCGTGGTATCGACGTCCAGGACGTCTCGCTCGTCATCAACTTCCAGATGGCCAACACCATCGAGGCCTACGTTCATCGTATTGGTGCGTCTGCTCTCATTTCTGGATCTCTTGGCCGGCTTACTGATATCTTTTTCTGCTTGCCTTCTTTTTTTTTTTTTTGCGGCCTTCCGTCTAACCAGGTCGTACGGGACGAGCGGGCAAGATGGGTGTGGCGATCACCTTCCTCACAAACGACGACGACGAGGTCATGTGCGTATCTTCTGTTAGACTCTTTCAACAAGCGCCTACTGATTACATCCCCTTTCCCCATTCGATAGGTATGACCTCCGCCAGGGTATGTTCCTCCTTTCCCTTCGGAATGGCTAACTGTCTACTGACTCTTGTTTTGTTTTACTGTTAACAGAAATCTCGAAGAGCCCCGTGTCGAAGGTGCCGCCGGAATTGGCCAAGCACGAGGCGGCACAGCACAAAGTGTCGCGGGAGATGAAGCGGAAGCGGGATGCGGACGATTTGGGCTGAGGCTGAGGGGGTAAGGTTGGGAGAGCCGGGCTCTTGGCCTCGACGTTTTGGACCCTTTGGGGTATGGGCCGGTGTTATTGGGCTGAGCGCTCGGTCTCATGAGGAGTCCCGAGGGACGACATCGTGGACCCAGGGATGTTTACAATTTTTGGCTATGGCCATGCTACTCTTAATACTATCTTGCATCGCGATTCACGATCTGCATCCAAGGTTTATTCGTCTGTTTCATCTCTGTCACTGCTGTCAGTCAAGCTAGTCAGGCCTCGGTCAAGGCGGTTGAAGGTGGAGCCTGCGGGGTCGTGGGTTTGGGATTGCGCGCTGGGAGAAATGGGACAAAGATGTGCATGTCCGAGCGGATAGGTGGAAGCTTAAGTTCTTTGTGTGGAGATGGGAACACACAGTGCGGGGCTAGTCCAATGGTCCTGCTGAGCCTTCGCTTCATCTTGGAAGCAGACTTGTGCTTGGGTCTGGGGAAAGGTGGGGGCGTACCTGGGCGCGGCGTCGCGCGTGTCAGGGTGGCTGTGCCCATCACCTTTCCCAGCAGTGCTTGGCACGATGCTTGGGGCAAGAGCTTGATATGGGTGTTTGGGGACGGGAGATTGGAAGAAGGGGAGGTGTTCGTCGACTTAATCTGGAAGGTGTTGAGGGGGTTGAGCGTCTTTGCCAAGACGCCCTGCTCGCCGCGGGCGAAGCGTCGAACGCAAGAACTCAAGCTCATCGATAATGATAACGTTCTTGCTGAATGGAGCTTTGGATGGTGGACGACTGCTTGCGCGTTGACCAAGAGCTCTCAAGCTGGCTTGTCGCTGCTCGCTGTTCACGCGAAGGGTCAAGACTCAAGACAGCTTTGAGGAGCTTGAGCTCGAGAGATAGCTCCGAATCGGTCTTGGGTCTTGAGCTCAAGAACTTGGGTGACGGAAACGCTGGCAAGCCACTTTGAACGTGCACGATTCTACTAGTGCTCGAGAACCAGAAATATGAATCAGAACGGACGTGCGTTGCGTCGAAATCACGACACTTGACAATGGACGGCACAATGCACAATGTCCCATGTCTCTCGGCCCTCGGGTGTCGAGGAGCTGGAGGTCTGAGACGCAGAGGGCGTGCAATAAATAGATAACCTTCTGCGGCATGACTATACCATCTATCTATCCTCAGGAGGAAGCCTGAAGTTCGATGCTGCTGTTTGAATGAATAAGGGGATGGTGCCTTTACATTATGATATTTTTGTTTTGAGATTGCCCCGGATGTGTTTCGTTGCGAGTTCTCTTGCAATGACGACTTGAAAGAGTTGGGGTCGTGGCTTCTAGAGAAGTTCTTCTGAAGATTGCCTGATTTGATATCGTTCGTTATTGGGAGTTAGGTCACAGGCCGTTCAGCGTCGTTGGAGTTGTTGTGAGCATGTTATCGGGTGTATGTCTAAAACGACATGATTTTTGCTCTTGCTCTTGCTCGTGTCGTATTCCGAAAAGCACGTCGAAGCACGAAAAGGAGGTTCGTCTGATCGACGACTGTCATTGGAGCTAGGTGTAGAGGCCAGCATGATATGACACGAGATCTCGATGTAAAGATGCTGAGGGTAAGGAGCCGAGATATGATAAGAGAATTGCGAAATGCGGTTTGTCAGAGAGGCGTATCGGACCGGAAGTTGCTGTTATTGGAACCGTTGGACCCGGAGGAGCATGCGGGAGGAGGGGAGCGAATGATGCAATGGTGTTTGCCAGGACCAGGACGTCCGGGGGACCACGGAGGGAGCTGAGAGGTGCGCCGGCAGTATCGATTGGTGGTCGGAGACGGATAGTCAGGGACGGGGCCGCATTATGTCCTTGCCCGACTGGGATATGGCTGACGCTCTGTCGCTTACCCTTGGACTGTGCCATCACATGGCACCCGCTAAGCCGACCCGCCCTTTCCTCAACAGGGCCCTCGCATCTTCTCTCATCCACGCAACCGCTATCACCCCAACAATATCAGCACAGATGCTCCCCTCAGAGTCCTCCCTCGCCATCGACACTGCTCTCGCCCGCCCCCACCACGCCCTCAGCTCCCCCAACCTCCTCCTCATGCCGCCCGGCACAGCTTCCCCAGAGGTGTGTATCCGCCCTGCCAGCCCCACAATTTCTCACCGCCGCCCGCCCCAGTCTGAATCCCCCCGCCGAAGTGAATCCCCGAGCCGCGACTCCATCGCAACCAATACTTCTACAACTTCTCGCTCCTCCCGTTTCCGCTTTCCCCGCAAACCCTCCTTCATGCAGGACCCCCCAGAAACACCAACCACGCCCTCCGCCACGACACACAAGCATGGGCCCCTCCACGACCTCAAACGCTTCCTCAACCACCACATCCCCCACCACAACGGCCACCCGCCCCATTCAAATCCCCAGACACCCGTCACGCCCCAGCGCAGGCCCTCCTTTTTCGGCCCCTCAGATAACAACCCTCCCCCAGCACCTGCCACTCCCAAACCCATCAAGCAGAGCAAGGACAGGACAAGCCCCTCACCAGGCCCCTCCTCCCCCACCCGCGACCAACCCCACCATCCCATCTCATCCCTCCATGACGCTACCCAGGCCCATCTCTCAAAAAAGTACGGCAAATGGGGCAGGGTCCTCGGCAGCGGCGCAGGCGGCACCGTCCGTCTTATCAAGGGCAAGAACGGTGGCAACGTATACGCTGTCAAGGAGTTCCGCGCAAAACGAAACGGCGAGAGCGAGAAGGAGTACCAGAAAAAGGTCACCGCGGAATTCTGCGTGGGCTCAACCCTCAAACATCCAAACATCATCGAAACCGTCGATATCGTCTTTGACCACGGCCACTATTATGAGGTGCGTTCACCCAATGACTAATACCCCACGCCTTCCCCTCATTTCTGCCAGGTCATGGAATTTGCCCCCTTTGACCTCTTTTCCGTCGTCATGTCTGGCAGAATGTGTCGTCCAGAGATATACTGCGTATTCCGTCAAATTTGCGACGGCGTAGAGTATCTCCACGAGATGGGGCTCGCACACCGCGACCTCAAGCTCGACAATTGCGTGATGACAGAGGGGAATGTTGTCAAGCTCATCGACTTTGGCACCGCCACCGTATTCCACTATCCAGGAAAGGCTCATACGCCTGCCACCGGTATCGTGGGCAGTGACCCTTATCTCGCGCCGGAAGTACTCAGCAATGATTCATATGATCCAAGAAAAACAGACGTATGGAGCATCGCTATCATCTTCCTATGCATGATTCTGCGCCGCTTCCCCTGGAAGATCCCAGATCCAAAGACAGACCCCAGCTTCAAAGCCTTTGTCAACGCCCATCCCGACCTCTCCGTCAAGCCGCCCCCGCGCAAGCAGACGCAGACGCTGGTGAATGGCACTGCTGCAGGGTCGACTACCACCGACAAGGGCCGCAAGCTCCCTGTGCGTGGGATAACCATGCCCATGAACGCGGGGTCGGATCACATCAGAGTCGTCCCCGCACGCGAACGCAGCGCTCCCGACCCCGAGTCCTCCAGCAGCACCAGCACATCCTCCGAGACCACCTCCATCCTCACCAACTCGTCCGGCTCACTATCCCAGTCCACCGCCATCACCGACCCGCCGTCCCGCCTCGCCTCGGGTTCCCTTGCCACACTCAAGAACGGCAGCGAAGATGAGGAGCAGCGCCGCCGCTCACGCATCCTCGATAGCCTCGAGCAGCGTCATAGCCCTGCGATGCATAGCACGGCGACCTTACCGAACTTTGACATGCTCAGGCCGTCGGAGAGCCCAACAGAGATGGACCCCTCGGTCCTTACTTACCCGAGGCCCGGAAACTCGACAGAGTCACTCCCTTTGAGCCCGTACATCCCTCAAGACGACCTCTTGACGCCGCGTGGCGGTCCTGCGATGCCGTTCCCGTCGAGGCACTCGATGGGCCGCCGTGGCTCTTCTGCTGGACGTATCCTTGGTGGTTCTCTCGCCGAGTCGGATGTGCATATTGAAGTGTCAGAAGAGGAAGAAGAGGACAGCGCGAGCGCGACGCAGGCCACACCGAAAACCGCCGCGCCTGTACCATCAACACCTACCGTCGTCCCTCCAACACCTGCTCCGGCCGTTCCCGCTCCTGCCACTAACGGTGTGCAAGTCAACGGCACCACTCCTGCTCCCACTACGACCCCGAACCCACCAAAGCGCCGCCAGCGCTCAGACAGCGTGACAACCTTCCACGGCGGCGGGGGCACGGTAGGCTCCGAGTCCATCTTCCGTCTTCTCCCGCGCGAGACACGCCCCGTCCTCCGGCGCATGCTCTTCGTCGAGCCCGCCTCGCGCTGCACCCTCACCGACCTCCTCAAGGGCAAGGGCAAGACTAGCGGCCTGCTCTGCGGGTGCCGTGTCGGCGCGGACCGTATGCGCAGGGGTAGCGGGAGCACCGGGTCCTCCTCTGACGATGGGGTCAGCCTCAATGGCAATTGGGTGGACAGGGTGAATGGGACGCAGCAAGGGCCGTTCAAGGACGGTCATTGCGTGGACCACGACGAGCATGATGTCGAGGATGAGGACGATGGCGACGATTGGCTCAAGTCGATTGACCCGTGCTCGATGCCGGGCGTCGTGCCCCGCCATGTACATATTAAGGTGGCGGTCGATGAGAAGCAGGGGAAGAGGAAGTTCTTTTAGGGATAAGGGAGTGGGTTGGTTAGGTTGCGCTCGGTTGCGCTTGGTGGTCATGGTCGGTTCCTGGGTTGGTGAAGGAGGGTCGGGTGGGTTAGCGGGAAGGAACAGTCGGGGCAGTGGGTCTACGCCCACTACTTATTGTCGTCGGTTGGGCGGCATGCAGCCATAGAAATGGTTCTTCAAGGCCGCCTAGTCAGGTCGAGGCTCGGCGAGCTCAGAGCTCCTCGCATCCTTGCTTCATCTCTTTCTCCAGTCGCTCTCATCTCTCATCCCCCGTCGCCTCGTTTCGTGCTTCCACCCCCGTTACGGCGCACCTGCGCATGGTTGCATCAGTTTCTTTTCTCACTCGCCTCGCCTGCCAGCATCGACAAATCGTCCTTTTTTCCCGTCTCTAATATTCCAAACTTTCCTCGACCTCCGAGTCTTCGCCTTCGCCTTCGTCTTCGTTCCAACATGTGTATGCGCGCTGCCTGTCGCCTGCTTAATTTCCACCTACTTTGACCGTGGACGTGGGTCGCTCTCGCCCCGTCTCGCGTTCGGTTTCGATGTTGGGTTGTCGGTCGTCGTGTAGGTGGGTTCTCGTCAACGACCTTCGCGCTCGCACGGTGCCCGAAGCGATTTTGATTTCTGCTACCTCCCACCTACATCCTTTTTCATTTCTTGCGAGCCTTCCTGCATCCCTACCCGCGACACAATGCCGTCACCGACGTCGTTATCATATGCTCTACCTTTCGCATCTTCGCCTTCGCTCACACACATCACAGCCATCATGCACACACGCCTTTACACCCTATCTGTAACTATCACCTATCTTGTCATTACTCCTTCCCCCTTCTTTTTTCTCCGCCTTAAACTTTTCTATTTGTTTGTTGTTTTATGCTTTTTACCTTTTTACATATTACTTTTTTATATACTTCATACAAACCAACCCGCTTAGATTCCCAGTGCTTTATTCCTTCTATTCAACCCTTCAATCCAAGTTCTTTTTTGTTCTGTTCCTTGCCTTTGTTCTCTGCTGAGCTGTTGCATGCTCTTCGAACCCCGTCTGACCATCCTGCCGCTTGCTTCCTGCGATGGCTTTTCTCACACACACACACCAACAGACAGACAGACGGACAGGGCAATAAAAGACAAGGGCATTGCACCCACGCCAGGCTTCTGGACGCACGCTATCCCCTGGCGCCTTGCTCTATTGTACACCTATCGGTCCGTTCAGCTCCTCCGACCATTGACCTTCTGGTAGAAGGCAGACCCTGCACCGGTTCGATTCCAGCCCAAATTTTCCATCCCTTGCGTCTTCCCCGCACGGCGCCCTTTACGTTCCGTTCCAATATTGTACTTATCGAACCCGTAGTTTCGAGTTATGCTCCTCTTCCTCCGTTTCTCTCCCGTTAACTTGTGTAAGTTGTTAGTAGCATGATAGTGCTTCTACTACGGACGTGGACAGCTCAGAGGCCTTTCGCTGTACTTAACTTAAAAAGATGATCTCAACTCGGATTTCTGGCTTTTTATTCTACGCTTCCGAGAGCTTGTAAATGTGTTCGAATAACTAGTCCCTGTACGTTTCGCTGAACTTGAATCTTCTGACCTTGATTCTTCTGCGACTATGAAGCAAGACCTCTGTCATCCTGAGATCGGTTTGGTTCTCTGGGAGAACAGATCTGCTGAGCCTTGCTTTCTTCCTTGGGACTCCACCTGTGCCTGAAACCATAGTTCTCATAGATTAAGTTTCAACGAATGGGTCGGCGTCGTAGCAAGATTAGTCTTTCTGCGAAAGCAAAGATAGCTTGGGTGCGAAGTACACAGTCTATATGATACAGTCAACGAAAGAGCCCGAAGAAAGACCATACACTATAGCTCGTCTCGATGAGGATCAACAACGGGTTTCCTTGCAGCTGGCTTCTTTTTGTTATCGCCTTTCTTATCTATGCGTTGCTTGGAACCGTCCTTCAATGTGATCACCTCCGCGCGGACGTCATAGCCAGCAGCGCGGAGTGACTCGACGAGCCTATCGCTTTCGACAGGAAGGTCGTCCACCTCTTCGACAAGCTCGATAATTACTTCCCCGTCCTGCGATTCCTTGACACCCTTGGCACCCCCAGCCTTGTTGGCGACGAGGGCTTCGAGCGTTTTTCGCAGGAGGTCATTGAAGGTCTTCTCCTTCGTGTCGTCTGCTTTTTCCCCTTTGGGAACAACCTTGGGCACAGGTAGGACGGTCTTGCGGACAGGAACTTTGACGGGGTGGTCAGCAGCAGGAAGCTTCAGTTGTGCTTCAGGTTTGGAATCAACGACTTCGCGACAGCGAATCTGTGCTTCTCCTCCTGCGTCACGGCGGGATCTAAAGCCCGGCTCCCCACAGAGGCGAGGTGTGTGCACGACGAGTACGTACGAGCACGTCTTCGTTTCTTTGACAAACAGAATATGGTCCGTCATTTCCATCGAGCAGTGGAACTATGTTTAGCACCAGCAGGAGGGCAATAGAGCCCACGAAAGGAAAAAAAGACACACATGAGTCGAAAAATCGTCAGACGGCCTGAATATACTCGTCGAAAGGCAGGCGAAAACTAACCTGAACTTCCACTTCACGACTTTTCCCGGTCTTATCACAAATAGTACCATCACCCCAACGCTGAACAAGATATCGGGAGCCAGCATTTCGGGCAAGCTCTAAATTCGCTGCTTGGGCATTTTGCTCGGCGAGGGTGAGATCTGCGCCAGGTTCAGGCGTTTTCGGTGCACGACCGAGGGTGTACGCTTCCCACTGGATAGGATCAAGAAGGGACGGTCAAAACGAGCAATGACCATTATCGATGAGGGTAGACTAACCTCAGTGTCTTCTTCTGGCGTGTACGTCCCTGCGAAATTTAAAGTCAATGGAGAAAATGAGCTCATGGTCAAGACGGTAAACAGGGAATTGAGGGAAGACGATGACGGGGAATTGAGGGAAGACGATGACGGGGAATATTTGCGTGCTACGCATGGGTCTTTTCCCGATAGGAAGGGTGCCAAGCCCTGCCCTGCCTTCGAAATGGGAAAATATTGGGCAAATTGTACAAGAACGTTGAAGAAAGGAAATCAAAGAGAACTCGAGAAGGATAAAGATAACCATAGTAAAAAGGGGTGGGAGGGTAGGAAGCGGCGTTTATGGTCGGAGAACCAAAGTAAAACAGCTCAAGGATGAGGAAATGTAAAGAGAAGCGGAAGATACCTGGAAAGCGGGGCTGAGAGGGAACCATTTCTTTGAATTGTCGGATTTCATCGTTGTGGCAGTAGCGATACGTGAACCAGCCTTGACGATGCTTTGAGAAGGGAATCATGGATTAGGATTAGAGTGGGCCGAATTCCGAAGGCAAGTGAGAACACACGTAAAGACATGTCCCAGATAATGGCTGAAGCAGGGACCAACTACGCGCTGGAGTCACCTCGGCATCCGAAACCTCGTCTTTGAGAGCAGGCCCATTGTCCACAGACTTTGGGATCAGGCAGATATACGAATCTCGTGAACCCATCTTCATGTGCTCCAGGGTATAGTTGGCAGAGACGTAGGGCGAAGATGGTGACTAGAAGCTTGGATGAATTCTAAGCTGCAGCATGGCTCGAGCAGACGGACATACGTCAGGGCTGGAGATGGCAGGATCGCGTGCGTGTGCCTCCGCGCTGTCGATTTCCTTGAGCTGCGAAGACGTGTCCCAGCTAGGGTCCTTCCATGGCTGATCTAGAAACTCGAGCTCTCCACCGCGGAGACCTTCCTTTAGCCAGCGTTCGGCGGTTTCATTGAGGACTGGGAGGCCGTTAAGGAAGGCTACGCGAAACTTTGGGAAGGCATAGGTGTCCTCTGGGAGGGAGTGGAGGAGACGGGCGGCGGTGGCGACGACGGAGGCGGCAACGACGGCGCAGACGCGCATGGGTGTTGTGGGGCAAGATGTCGTGGCCGTGTCGTGTCCGATGCCGGGGAGCCGATTGGCGCGTCAAACTCAGCTTGAATTTGATCTCCGCGGGCCGAATGAGATAAGATGCGGCGGCGTGCGGCGGGTGCTCCGGAGGGCGACCGGGTGGGCACTGGAGGGCCAATTTCCATGATGTTTGTTGCGTTCGATGCCAACGTTCTGATCGGCGGATTGTGCATTTATTCCCTAGGGTTTACCCGAGCGGAAAATAAGGGGGCCTCTAGTGCAGAGGTTGCCTCGTCGCCGCCAACCTCCATGTGCTTGACGCCTCTGCTGATGAGGCCCAGCATGTTCCCAGTCATATTCGACGTGGGTCCTCGCCATCGAATCGGTTTTATCCTATTAAATAGCATTTACCTTACGTGAGGACAACCCCCAAAATCAGGGGTAAAAACTCTACGAACAGGAAGATTGGAGGGCTATAATAATAAAAGCCTTGGTTTGGCTCACAAATGCACGCGAGGGAACAATACTGTTGAACTTGTTCTATATCCGGCAGTGAATTGCTCATAATTAAAGCCGGCCAACTCGACTTTTCCCCACTTCCTTTCCTCTTACTCGAACCAGTCCCATCCCAGCGCCCAATCTCCCCGTCCTCAGCACAACCCACAGCGCGGAAGGCAACCATGTCCACGCCTCCCAACGACGCACAGGACGACGCTGTGGATAAGCAGTCACCGGTGGACGAGCTCGCAGAACCCAACCATACCGCAGACGATGCCGAGGCAGGTGAGCACCAGCTGTTCGTGCTAGGACCGCCGCTTCCAGTGGGGGTGGGCTGCACCGATGCCCCAACGATGTCGATTTCCGTGCCTATTTCCGACCCTGATTCCGCTCTCGCCCTGTTTATCTAGGCACCTCAACCGCCGCGCCGGTGAAGCGCGGTCGCGGTCGCCCAAAGGGCAGCAAGAACAAGAAAGCAGGAACGTCTTCTGCTGCGGACAGTCCTACCACACCGACTGTCCCGCGAAAGCGCGGTCGTCCTCCGAAGGTGAGCATTCCTAAACGGATCTCGCCTAGGCGCGCGTGTAGTAACATCAACTCTGATCGTGCGCGCCCTCTCTCCAGGAGAAGAAGGAGGAGCCAGAGGGAGAACCGACTCCCAAGAGGCCGAGGGGTCGACCTCCCAAAAACCCTAAACCCGCTCCTCCGGCCGAAGGCGCGGCGACAACAACTGAGGGGGGTGAGGCGCCGAAGAAGAAACGAGGACGCCCGCCAAAAAAGACGACGACATAATTAATTCCATCCCCATCCCGTTGCCCCGCTACCCGATATCCCCAGTTTCACGTTCCTTGCTTTCCATCTTGAAACTCGTCGTATGCTGTGCATCTTTTTAGTCTAGGTACAACTTTATGACCGACATGAATATTCTCCCGACTCTCGTCATCGTTACTCGTTACTCCGCAAACTTTCTTGGTAAAGTTACCCTACATGAACGGACGATTTTTGGGATAAGTGGCCTCCCTCGCTTTCCACTTTCGTATTTATGGATTCGTACATATGATGCTATCTTCCACCTAGACAGGCCCGTCTTTTGTACAATCGCTCTTCGAACCCTTTCGCCACCAACCATGCGAGCCTCGTGGTCCAACAACTCGTTGGAGATAGTATGGGGCGCAGGGAAACCAATCAACAAACACGTTTTGTGGGAAGCTCTGGGAAGCCATGTCCGCTGACGAGATTGAACCAAATTCTCAACTTCTAGATCACAGGTATTACAATTACAGGACTACGACGCTGATGTTCTTTTCGCCCGTTCAACGACGAACTTTCCAGGAAGACAATAGCAATAATTTCCACTGTTCTGGGATAACAAAGTTTGACGCTTCATTTGCTGTTGACCAAATAATCGACCAGCATTTCCCTCATGAACCACGCTATCCACGATCCCACCACCCCAAGGAGCAGCACTCCTATCCAGGTTAACCAAGCCAGGATAGTGGCCTGGCGAGCTGCCTTTTGCTTCACAGTAGCGTAATTGATATCCGGTCGAAATGTGACCATGGTGTACAATGGAAGCCAGCCGTTGGGTTTGCCTGTTGGATATGGGCTCTTGGCCAAAGTTGGGATCAGGGATGCCAAAGAAACTATCCGTGGCGAAGTCAGAGAGTAGAGGACATTGTCCAGCGTCTTCCTGAACAGATAGCCGAGTTGTGTGACGGAGTGTCGCATCTCGATGCTGTCAAAGGTAAGATTAGCGGTTTTTTTCCCAAGAAGTAATTATGGGACGAGAAGAGACCCACTAGTTGTCCATCGCTAGATCGGTTATGGCGACCAGATCCTCGTGTCTAGTGTCAGTATAACGTTGAAGAGCACTGGAGAGCCGTCGATCGTCATAATTCCCGGGGTGATCATAGATCGGGGCACTCGAAGTAACGCCTTCCTCATCGAGGAGCGTCGACAGAATCCTGACGTCTTCGAGGCCCGCATTTAATCCTTGGCCGTAAAATGGAACCATGGAGTGGGCCGCATCTCCCAGAATTATGGCGCGATCTCTGTAATGGTACGGGTTTGCCTGCCAAAAATACCGCCGGTGGTTACAATCACATCCACTTCGCCGAAAAGCCAATGAATGAATTTACCTTTGTACAAATGAGTACACTGCGGGGATTCCTTATAAAATCTGCTACCAGCGTCTTCTCGCCAATAGCGCGGACGGCGTCAGGGAAATATGATTTGAACCAGGCGAGTATCTGGTCGGCGCTAAGGAGGCGATCAAGCTCGGTGGTGGGCGCAAATAAAGTGCATGTAAATGTTTTGTCCTTGTGATAAGGATAATTAATTAACACAGGAGTAGGGGAGGTCACACACGGAAGCCTTACCTGGTTTGGGAGTGCTATTAGCATGAACGAATGGCGAGGCCAGATATGAAGATGGTTCGGGTCGAGGAGGAACGCTGGTTCGCCATTGGTGTCCCGGCCTGCCGGCATTTTGAGCTCGACATATTCGTCCCTGATGTACTCTTGTTGGTAATTCATTCTATCGGAATTACCGTGTCAGGAGGAGTTGATGGGGAGACGAAAGAAGTTGAGCAACAGAACAAGACGAAATCAGAACAAATGGTACCTTACCTAACAGCTCTCATCATCTGTCTACGAATGATAGAAAAACTACCGTCCGCGCCGATGCAAAAGTCAAAATGACTTGAAAACTCCGCGCTGGAAGTTGTATCTCGAATTGTTAGAGTTTGGTCGTCGAAGTCTGCGGCAATGACTTTGTGATTGAAGAGGATTCGGACGTTCGGGGAGGCCGCCACTTCTTCTAATAAACCTTCATTGAGGAGTGCCCTGTCTATTGAATTTATGCACTGTGAAATACAAGAGATGATAAAACAGGGCACGATCGTAAGCAGGGTTCCTGTGGATACAGAAGTAATCGAATCACTCACCTGTCCATCTCTGTCATAGAGCTGGCTGTCTAATTCACCAGATAGTTTATGGATCATGCGACCTCGCATGGGAATAGCAGCTTGCAGGAAACGCTTCGCTGCGGCTGGATCGACTGCTTCCAAAGCAGCAATGCCGCGGTGGGAAATGGCGAGATTTATGGAGCGCTGCTCCGTGGCGGCCTTGGAGGACGGAAGGCGCATATCTTTAATGAACGAGCAGTTCGTCAGTCTAAACGCTAATCGTCGACCTCGAGCATGACTCACCTGGCCGCCCTTCGATGAGATCGACGGCCCAGCCGCGCTTAGCAAACGCAAGCGCAGCCAGGCAGCCCACTGGCCCAGCACCGACGACAGCGACCGTCCGTGGTTTGGCGGGGACGATGGAGGCCATAAGTCAAGGATAGTGTCTATCGTTGACAGAGTTGAATGGCGATGGTGACTGAGAGGTGTATCAGCATATTGCTAATGATTTCGTGAGCGGGACGGAAGGATTTTTGCGATCTAGCCCATACGGCTGATGGAGTGAGTATATCCGATCGTCGCCGGCTAGATAAGATGTGCTACCTCGTAATCTTATCTCCTCTCGTCCTAAGGCATCAGGCTCTCCGGATCTAAGCCTCTCGAGCTGCAATCCGAATTACCGCAGCTCTTTCAACCGACCCACCACAACCTCCACCCTCAGACATTGTGCTAAAGCAAGTAAACAACCCAAGACACGATGGCTGCTGATCTTTACACGTCCTTGAGTAACGAATTCATCGTGCCGACTAATAAGGATATCGGCGCGACGGCGCGCAAAGATGGAGGTATAGCTCTCTTCCCGTTGTAATTTCGTAGCTTGCTAGTCAGACTATATGCGACGCTCTTCTGTCTTCTAGAAAACCCTTGCACGTACCTGTGTGGGAATTCCCTTGGGCTGCTTTCGAAAACTTCGTCCACTCTTGTTCAGGAAGAGTTACACGCTTGGGGCACACGGTACGCCCTGCATATCACTTCACCTGTCAACTCAGTTTGTCCAGAAGCTAACTGAATTTCTTCACCTCTTTTTTCTTCACATTCCTCATCCCTGTCTGTCTTGATCTCCGTTAATTTCTTATTTCATATCCCTTTCACAAAGTGCCGTCACGGGTCACTTCTCTCATCCACAAAATCGCCCTTGGACCAAGTGCTGCGAACCTCTTTACCCGTTACTAGGAGAGTTAGCTGGTGGGTCACTTCTTACGCTAACTCACAAAAGCGGTACTTACGCTATGGTTCACAGGGGCAAATGAAATAGAAGTCGCCTGCATGGGCACGTTGACCAACAACTTGCACCTCATGATGGACTCCTTCTACAAGCCAACTGTCACTCGTTACAAGATCCTTTGCGAAGCTAAGGCTTTTCCCTCGGATCAAGTGAGGAGATCTCATTTCTGATTTTTCTCCGTGAATTTGTGAGCTAAATTCCTGCTCTTTTCATGTCAGTATGCTTTCACATCCCAGGCTCTGGCTCGTGGCCTCGATCCAGCCACCGCTATTATTGAAATATCTCCTCGGGAGGGCGAATTTACCCTCAGAGAAGAGGACATCCTTGAGACCATCGATAAAGAAGGTGACTCGATTGCTCTCGTCATTTTTAGCGGCATCCAATACTACACCGGCCAATGGTTCCCCATCGAGTCCATCACCAAGAAGGCCCACGAAAAGGTGTGTTCTCCCTCTCTCCCATGAAGTAAGAATAATATATCAGCCCTGCCTTCTTGAGCGGTTTATCCTTATCTGAATTTCCACCGAATATTCTTCGAGTTCCTGTTTGCTGATTTGTCGTTCTCGTTCAATTTTAGGGGTGCATCTGTGGATGGGATCTTGCGCATGCGGTTGGAAACGTGCCTCTTTCGTTACACGCATGGAACGTTGACTTTGCGGTCTGGTGCACCTACAAATACGTCAACTCGGGCCCTGGTGGTATCGCCGGTTTATTTATCCACGAGAAATGGCACGAAACCGAGAAGCCAAAGTGAGTTGGGCGTTCTTTGTGCGCTGAACCAAATATCCTTTTTGATACGAGCAAACACCGCTAGATTCGCGGGCTGGTGGGGACATGAACTCGCCACACGATTCGATATGCCCCCTACCTTCTCACCGATCAAGGGTGCCCAGGGGTTCCAACAGTCGAACCCTTCTGCGATTACGGTCGCCTCCCTTTTGGGCTCCTTGAGAGTCTTTAAAGCGGCCGGCATGATGAAGAGTGTGAGAGAACGCTCTCTGTTGCTCACAGCTGCGCTGGAGAAAATGCTCAAGGCGTCAAAATATTTTGTGTCTCCCTCGCCTCAGAGGGAGAAGGAAACCAAACCAGGGTTTACGATCATAACGCCCTCTGAGCCCTCGCAGCGTGGTGCGCAGCTGTCCTTGCTTTTCTTCCCTCTGGGATCGGAGACGATGAGGACGGTGTTCGCCTACCTTTCCGCGAATGGGGTCATCGGCGACGAGAGAGAACCTGATGTGATCCGTCTCGCGCCCGCACCGTTATACAACACGTTGAAAGACTGCGAACACGCGGCGGAGATTCTGGAAAAAGCCCTTGAATCTGTAGCGTAGACGTATACGTTATGTGTATCTTGTATTTGACCGTTGGAAATATTTTTACATGTCAGCCTGTCAGATAAAATTTACGACCAAGTCCTTGACCATCTGGATGTACGCATCTTGCCGAAGAACATCATCGTGGTCGCTCCCTACAGAATCGATATCAAAGGTAACTCCCTCAGGATATAAGGTCTTGAGATGGTTGTACATTGCGACTGTTTGAGGAACATCGACGAGCATATCGCCCTTTGAATGAATGAGGAGCCATTTGATGGGGGTATTAGGCCAGGGGGAATAACGCAACGTCGAGAACTCTGGATAATGCTCGGCCGGACCGAAAGCATCGTCGACGAACCAGCGACGATAGTCAGGGAAGCGATGGACTAAGGTATCGATATCAAAGATGCCTTCTGACAAGACAATGCCTCTGACTGCACACAGGAGGTCTTTGGACGGGGCTAGACTGGGCGTCTGCGAGTCCAAGAATATAGAGGACAGCATATGTGCACTGCAGCTGTGCCCAATCAATACAAGTTTGCGCGGGTCGAATGAGTACTGCGGGTCGCGCCACGCTTGGATGAAGTACAGGAAGGTGAGCACGTCCTGGGCATGGACCGGATGCCTGAGATGGGGATCGACGTTCCGCGACGGCGTAAGACGATAATTGGGCACTGCCACTGGACATCCAGTGGCAGTGAGGATGCTGCGGGCGAGCGGAGCGTGGTCTCGCTTGTCTTCCCTGCAGCGCGAACGGGTTAGACTCTACTGGCGTGCAGAAGAACGTAGACCCAAGACTTACGCTCGCCATGCGCCACCGTGCACAAAGATCACGAGCGGGCGCGCTGTCGCAGGTGTGTGAGTGGGAGAGTATATATCGAACTGGCGCTGGTTATCGTCCGGGGCGCAGGAGGTGTAGGCTATGCCGAGGGACTGCGAATGTGTCATGGCTGTGTGCACGCAAAGTTGCAGAGAGCGATGACGATCCGCCCTCATGATGACGTCATTCCCTCAGGCCTGGTTTGAGTATATAAGCCAAGGTATCTAGGCTTTCTCGCTTCCCAATATCTTGCCTCCTACCACAATATGGCTTTCACCGCTTCAGACATTTGCAAAGTTCGCCCTCTCTTTTTCTCCTTTTTTCTGTATCTTACCCTCTTTTCTAGATCCTCGTCGCAATTTTCATTCCACCTCTTGGTGTTTTCCTCGAGAGAGGTTGCGGTGCAGACTTGGTAGGTTTCCCTCCTTTCACGCAGAGGTCTCACTCGCTAATGCACCCGCTTTCAGCTCATTAACATTCTCCTGACAATATTGGGATACATGTACGGGTTCACTACTCTTACTCTCTCTTCCAGCGCAGAACTAACCCTTCCTGTTCCTTCAGTCCCGGCATTATTCATGGTCCGTCCTCCCTTTCACATGTGTTGTCCGCATACACTGACACCTGTCCTCCAGCCCTTTACATTATCCTCAAGTATTAGTCAAGGCGTATGACCCCGACACCCTCTATCACGACTACGGAACGGACGCTTAACCTTCTACATTTGAATCCTGTAGTTTATTTGCCCTCTTAAACAACGATACCTCTTCACGATTGTATCATATTCTGCTCCGTTTACTGCATGCTGTACATTTGTGCCTTGTCTATATTATATATAATGGCATTCAGTCGCTCAAATCTTCGCTTTCATCCTCGCTCGCGTTCGTACTTGGATTAGCACTGGAATCCCCGCTCACGCTGAGACCATCGTCGCTCTGATCCCCACTAACCCCTCCATCCGCTCCTTCAGTACTGCCGCTAGACCCATCTGTTTCGCTATCGCTATCATCATCCTCGCCTGACGAATCTACCGGCTTAGTAGGCCCCGCGGCTGCTGCGGAAGCAGGCTTGGCCTTCTTTTTCTCTTCTTTGTCTTCGTCTGCTTCGCTCTCAGTCTCGGTCTCCTCTTCAGATTCGCTGTCCTGAGCATTGAACTGGTTGATCATATGCGTGCCAATCATCCAGCATCTCTTGATGTTCTCTGCAACAGCGGCAAGCTTCTCATCGTCGTTGTCTTCGTCCTCGTCTCCGCCTTTCGAGGCTGGGAGAGCGTGCCAAGAGCGAATATTGTCTTCCTCCACGATGTCTTCTTGGTACAGTGCCGCGAGGATCTGGCCAAAGAGGGGCATGCGCGTCGATGACGCACAATGTGCCTAAGGAGAGGCCATTTAGCAACGATTGAAAGTCAGGTAACCCCAACAAACCTACCTGGAGTATGCTGACTGTTTCCACCGGATCCACGCCTCCAATCCTATTGATGAGCTCTCCCCACCGCCCAATAACCGTGCCGATCTCCTTCCGCTGTGCCGCAGCGTCTCCGTCTACCAGTTGGATCTTCTCGACAATGGCAGCTATCACCGCCTCCTTAACACGCGTCAGAGGGACGTTGGACGCCATACGAAGGGTCTTGAGCTCCACGGATGCGTTGTCTATAGAGTGGCCTTCTGCAAAGGCGCGTTCGAGTGACTGCTTCACCTCAGCGTGGAATTCGGCGTCCTGCATAACGCCCGTGTCGAAAGACGCGTCGGACAATCCGGAGACAGACGCGTGTTCCGGAACATCGTCATCATCATCTGAGGTCGTTTCCTCGTCACTGGAGGTTGAAGCCGCGTCCGAGAAGTCCAAATCGGCGGTATTGTCGCCTGAGAGAAGAAAAGAATAACATGAGTCCGACAAATATATTGAAATTGCATTGAAATATATTTCGCACCTAGCCTCATGAACCGCTGGTTCTTGTAGTTCTCTGGGCTTTCCTCGTCCTCATCCTCTTCGTCAGGAGGTCCCCTAGGCCACACGATGGCGTTCGAGTCCTTTCCCAGAGACTTCTTGTCTATTGAATTCTGGTCTATCGAGTAAATGGATTCCCGTCGGTTTTAAGTAGCAAGATTCATGAGAACGGCTCGGAAAAACAGAGCAAGCATACTCACTAGCTTCGACTTCCTCGATGTCAGAATCATCATCATCCGCATCAGCCTCTATGTCCACTGGTCCTCTCTTCGCCGAGAGGCGTTCGAACGGCGCCAGCGTTGCATTGGGCCCAGCACGACGCTGTCCGCAATCAGACAACCGCGGGGCACGCTCGAGCCACCCTTGATTGTGACGTCCGCACCGATGATACTGCGCTCAATCGCGCAGTTTGCCCCAACGACGGCGTTCTCGAATATGTACGAGTTGCTGATGGTCGACCCGGGCCCAATCGTGCAGTTCTGCCCAATCACGGACGCGATGATGGTAACGTTTTCTGACACCTTTGTCGAGGAGCCTATCAGCGTATTCGTGCCGATGTTGCATGTCCTTTACGAAACACCAACAAAAGTTGATGGGGCATGTCAGGAATTAGGTAGAAAGACGTTTTGACGTCCACGACGTCGGGTGGAATGACACATACCTCGCGAGGACGACTGTGTTATCTTTGGCGATGTAACGATTGCCGCGGGTATGGTCATAAATATGGCCTCCTGGGTGATTGTCGTCTGGAACTAACGGGAATGTCCATCTTGACAAGATGTCTTTACTGCAGAGAAGGAGATGTCAGTCGTCTGACATTCCATAACAAAGCGTCTGCTGAAAGGAGCAAACCGACGAAAAGGAAAGAATACCACACCTAATTGATTCGTAACTGCGTGTATCCTGTACACGGGCAGCATAACCCTCTTCTGCAACATAGCAATAAATATTCTTCATGAGAAGGTCAGACGTTAAGACTCCATGTACGAAGTCTCTTCTGATGTCCAAGTAATCAAAGTTATCTTGGAAGAGGGACGGGACCTGCAAAGATCTAAGCACCCTATATGAAAGAAGGTAAATGATCTACACACCTCTACAGAGCAGACGTCGATGGAGCAGTCGATAAGGTCGTTCCGGATCTCGACCTCAGGGTGCGCAGCCAGGACCTCTCGGGGGATATTGATAAGTTTCTTTCGTGGATATCCCATTTCCTGCTCGTAGTGCAGACACTCGGAAGTCTCTGGGTCCAATACAAAGATCGAGGACTCCCCTCTGGCCCTGAACGCCACAAAGATCGACTCGAATTCAGTTCTGCTGACAAGAAAGAAAACAACAACACCAAAACGCACCTTGTTCGATGCCTGCCTCCACTCTCCTTCACCACCATCGTCATGATCGCGTCCTTGTTTGTCCTTCTGCGCTCCTTATGCACGCGGACGACCTCGTCGATCCGGATGTTACTCACCAGGTCGCCCATGACGAGCACAAAGTCCGAGGTAACGAGCCCGCGCGTGTAGATGTCGCGCATCGCATCGCCTGGCGAGAACGTCTCCTTCGCGGTCATTATCGGGACGATCTTCATCCCTGAGCCCGGCTTGGACCACTTCGATTCCCTAGATAACGGCGCAGCAGGGCCATGGGTAAGTTCATGTCATGGCCTTTGTTTGGGTGGCACAGGGCAGGGGGTTTGGAAAACCAAGACTGACTTGATTGCATTCTTCACGAGTTCAGCATGAGATCTGCATATCACGAATACCTCTTGCACCCCAGCGAGAGCGAGAGATTCGAACGTCCAGTCGAGCAGCGGCGCATTGCAGATCGGAAGCAGGCACTGTGATGACCGCGTTTGTTATGGCGGACAAGATGATCTCGATTGGCCTTACGCGAGGTTTCCGAGTTGTGAGAGGTCTGAATCGTTTGTTGAAGCTGTCGGCGAGGATAACGGCTTGGAGGACCTCTTCCTCCTCGCCAATGAGCTTTTCTTTGCCCGAGCTTGCAGATTTTGACGCCATAGAACGAGACGGAGAGTTGACGGAGCTTGGGAAAAATGATCGACCCTGTGTGCTGTGCATGACTCACTTCACTCAGTTGGAGCACTCATGGTATGCAATGGTCAACGAGTGACGGGAAACCAATGTGTATTACAGGCGAACCTAAACGATGGAGAGCACGATCCAAGAAGCAGTATGGGGGTATTTGGGTGAGAAAATGAATGGATCGCGTATTAGGATTGAAAGAGCCAAAGGCTGCTAGTCGTAAAATCATCAAAGTAGAAAAAACAAATGGACCCATCCGAGCGTATCATAATAAATGAGAACGCAAATAGCGCAAAACGATATGAATCCATGAGGCGTGAAATGTTGTGTGCTATGTGGGAACACCAAGATGAAAGAGAGATGGGGATGTGATGAAAGCTCGTCAGGGTCGTCGTCGAAGATGTCGTGTGCCAGTGAGGGAAAACCAACTCCTTAAGCTGCAGCCGCAACAACGGGTGCAGCCACGGGAGCGGCCTCAACAGGCTTCGCAGGCTCTTCGGGCTTGGTCGCAGCAGCAGCCTCAGTAGCGGGCTCGGAAGCGGGGTTCTCGAGGGGTGCAACGGGGGCAGGCTCATCGATCTTAGGTGGGTGCTCATCGACCTTGGCGGGGGCGGCGACTTCGGGCTTGGGCTTGCCCTTGAAGAAGTCACCAACGCGGGCAGAGAGTCGGCGGCTGACCTTGAGGGCCTTGCCTTCCTTCTTCTCCTCTTTCTTTTCCTCCTTCTATGAGATAGATAAGTAACTGCATATAGAAATTGAGAACTTTGTATACCTTATCCTCCTCAGCGGCTGGGGCCTCAGCAGGGGCCTCGGCGGCGGCGGGAGCAGCGGTCTCGGTCTCCTTGACGGGTTCGGCAACGGGCTCCTCCTTGGCGGCCTCGGCAGCGGGGGCCTCAGCGGCAGGCTCCTCCTTAGCGGCGGCTTCCTCAGTGGCAGGAGCCTTTGAAAGCGAAATGAGGGTACGATTTGCAAGTGTGATAGGCCATCAACATACCTCGGCTTCTTCCTTCTTCTTCTCTTTCTTAGGGCTCTTTGGCGCCTTGGCCTTCTTCTCTACCTTCGTCTTGCCATCCTTGAAGGGGGCAAGGAGCTTAGCGAGCAGACCGGGGCTCTTGGGCCTCTCCTCTTTCTTCTCGGCCTCTGCCTGAACAAAGGGATGAGCAGGAGATAAGAACGGCAATAAGGCGCGGTTACGTACAGGTTTGCTCTCCTCTTTGGCGGGCTCCTCGGTAGCAGCAGGAGCGGCGTCAGCAGCGGCAGCAGGTGCCTCAGCTTCGGTGGTGGGTGCAGCGGCGGGAGTGGCCTCAGCGGCCTGATAGGGTGCGATGTTGGAAGACTGAAAGGGGTGAGTCATTGAAAGAACTCACGGGAGTAGCAGCAGGCTCCTCAGCTTTAGGAGCAGCGGGTTCCTCAACAGCAGGGGTGGGGGCAGCAGGCTCTACAGGCTTGACCTCCTCAACGGCGGGGGCGGGGGCAGCGACGGGGGCGGCAGCAGCTTCAGGGGCAGACATTATTGCAGGACGCGACGTGAGCTGTATTGGGCGCGTGGGTGTGAACAACGGGGACGAAGGAAGAGAAGGGGAATACGTACATGAATAGAGAATTAGAGAGAAGATAGAGAGGGAAAATGCGTGCAACGCAGCCTGTGGACCCAGATGGGCGGTTGAGAATTAGGAAGGAAGGGATAGAGAGCCTCTCATTTTTGGCACTCTTCTCTTTTTATTTGGTTCTATGTGTTGCGTGTTGTTTGGTCGCTGGCTCTATTTGCCGCCAGGGTCGTCGCTATGTTCCATCCAGTTCCATCCCTTCTTCTCCGTCCCTTCCACCCGTCCCCTCCTCCCCGTCCACTCCAATACCCGCCCCGCCCCGGCCCCCTCCCCGCGCCGTTTTGTGCGCGCCGCAGCCCCCTCTGTGCGTCCGAGCGCCCTTATCGCCCAATATAGACCGTGTTTTTCTATCAACAAAAATAAAATGCAATTCAGCAACCGATATCACGTCACCAAGAAGCTTAAAATCAGGTCTACATGTCGTCCAGCCCATCGCTTGTCCAACGCGCCATTCGTTCCGCAGACGATTCCCAGCGCTCCCAACGCATGGTGCTCCGCCGCTGCTCGTGTGCACCACCCCGCCCATCGATGGACTATTCCAATTGCCCGCCACCTTTGTCCGAAGCGCGGTCTGCGGTTCGTCTTCGGGAGCCGAGGCCAGGACTCAGGGCTCGCCACGGTTCACGTGAAGAGAAGGCGCTCGCATCACTCTAGGCTCACACGCACGGCTTCCTTCCTTCCAATCACCTTCTCGCCTCCAGCCCGATCGGCCTTTCCCAACAGAACCGAGTCAACGAAAAAAAAAAAAAAAATCAAATCCCTCTCCGGAATTCAAATCCTCCCCTATGCCCGTTCCAATCAGGCCCCTCATATCCGCTCGTGTGAACGCCATCTTTCAGGGTCCTTTCTGCAAAAGAATACCCCTTGTTAGCGCCCACCTTGGCAATCCGCGGCTCTTTTGTCAAAGGGGCCGCTGCGTCATTGTGCTAAACCAGGACGCACCACTTCTGCATTGTCTCCTGCTGCATGCTGTGCACCACGAGTCCTATATAAGACGACCTTTGTGCTCATCATCGCTCACTGACGCTTCCTGACGACTTACGACTATGCTAGCTGCTCTTACGCCTGTACTCGTCTTTATCGCCTTTCTTCTCCTGCTCCTCGTCTCCCTATCGGCACCCATCATCAATACCGTATTCCTCTTCCGGCTTTCTGCCAATGTCAGCTCAAGCCTCTTTAGAAGCGGCGCGAGCGGCTCAGTCCAGTTCGGCGTTTGGGGATATTGCATATCCGCTATAAAAGTCGCGTGAGTACGGACCCGTCCCGCCTTCGCTCCAGCACCACCGGAGCGAAGACAGTGGGAAAAGAAAGGGAACTCTCCATATTAACATGTCGCTCCACGGCCTAGTGTCATTGGGATAAACCGAGCGACTGATGGTCGGTGCTCGAGTACCCGTCTGGGGTACACCTTCGACAGCACAGTCGCTGACGCTCTGTAAGTCCTCCCTCCCGTGATATGATCGCGTGCTCTGTGCTAAGGATCCATATATCCTCCTATAGGAACGCCGACGAGCTCCTGGATCTAATCTCCAAGACCACCACAGCGGCCCTCGTGCTCCACCCTATCGGTCGGTGCTTGTCCAAAATGTTATCAGTACTTATCATAATGACTCTTCTGTTCGCCATCCATCCTCCCTCTCCTCAGCTTGTGGCTTCACCTTCCTGACTCTATTGATATCGCTCTTTATTCTCCGGCGCGGATCAAATGGCACGTCAAGGCTGCCCTCACTTATCACCCTGGGCGTCGGAGGCCTAGCGGCTGTCCTCACCAGCGTGGTCTTCCTGATTGACGTGATCTTCGTCGCCGTCGTGCGCAACCGCGTTCGCGATGCCTCGGATGACAACCTTGATGTGGTTTGGGGAAATGCAGTACGTCCAACGTCCCGTTCGTCCTATCTCTCAGACAAGTTTCGATAATCCACCGCTTAGGTCTGGATGACATTGGGGGCGACGGTCGCTTTATGGCTCTCCCTAATCGGCGCATGTGCTGGTATCCTCACATGTGGGAGAAGAAGGTCGGTTCTGTGCCCCGCGTTATTCTTATTGTTCTAGATCGCCTGACCAACCATACTGTATAGGAAACCTACCACCTACTGATGAGCCTCTATTCTCAAGAACGGCGTCCTATCGCCCTCCATCACAAGATAATCACCCAAGCTTGACGCCCTGACGGACTGCACGATCTAAGGCCACTCTCTATCTGTGACACTTGACACGAAATCAGGACTTCTGACACGATCTACGACCCACACTGGACTTTGAATCTTACTTGTACAAACTCAAAGCTTTCGCGGACTCTGAACCTCTTGTAACCCCTTGGTAGTCTGTTGCGGGTCAACAGACGGTACCCGCGTACTCCATTCTAGTGTAGACTACCATTCATCTGTATATACATTCGTATTAATCATCGTGGATTCGTTGCCGTAGCACTAGGTCCCACAACAATGACATTTTGTTGAAAGTATTTTGATGATATCAACTCGCTGCCGCAATCCGTCAAAATGAAACTCTGGGACACCTTGGAAAGGTATAGCGATCCTGCTTCAGGAAGAACTACTCCTATAAAGCCCGAGAACTGTCAGGCCTCGACGCTTGACTTTGAGGAGGTTTGAAATGTGCGACAGCGTAAAATTCCAGGGAGTTGGTACACAGACATCGCGATGAAACTGGAAAATATCTCGACATTTACGCTTTGGACTCCACCACCGTTTGGGTGCGAGGAGGGGGTCGCAAACCCTTTGCCTTCATGCGTTTCCGTTTCGCCTCTAAAACCAGTATAACAAAAAATACCGTCAATAATCAAAATCAACCCATGAAAAACAAGTATAAATGCACCCTCAAGATACGGCTTATCCTCGTCAGAATCGAACCCAGCAAGGTCCACTTTCGCGTCCGGATTAAACTCGTCGTCCACCATTACGGGCTCCTCCTTCGCATTCTTCGCCTTCTCGGACTCTGTCGCCTTGCTCCGCTTTTCGACCTTAAATTTAGCGATGAAGAACCCGTCCATGTTGTGCACATGTGGGTAGAAGCGGCGTGTAAGATTGACGCTCGGGTGGAATGTCTTCCCGCGATAACTTGTGAACCCTTCGCGCCCGAACTCGAGCCCGGTGTCGATGAGCTTGACGTTGGGGCGTTTGCGGAGCGCGTAGTCGACGACGGCTTCGTTTTCGTCTACGGTTACCGAACAGGTTGAGTAGACGATATAGCCTCCCGTCTTGGATTCTGGGTTCACGCTGTCGATGGCGCAGAGGATTAATTGTTTTTGCAGGTGGGACAGAAGTGTGAAGTCACGCTCCGACTAGTGGCAAAAAAGCAGTCAACATAAGGTGTCGTATAAAGAGATGAATTACCTTGTTAATTTTCACACTGGCGTCTTTGCTAATGACACCGGTTCCACTGCATGGAGCGTCGAGGAGTACCCGGTCGAAACCTCCCAGGACCTTGGGAAACTCTCGCCCGTCATACGAACACACGACAACATTTTTGCACCCCAGTCGATGCACGTTGGCTGTCAGACTCTTCGTTCGCGCCTTGTTCGCGTCGTTCGCGAAGATCACGCCCGTATTCTGCATGAGGGCTGCCATATGGGTCGTTTTTCCACCTGGAGCGGAAGCCATGTCCAGCACGCGTTCATTTGGGGCGGGAGATAGTGCGATGACAGGAAGAAACGAAGACGCGGCTTGGAGCATGTAGTGGCCGGCCAGGTATTCGGGTGTAGCGCCGATGGGGACGCTGCTTTCGAAGACTTGTAGTCCGACGTTTGTCCATTTTCCAATTGGTTCCAAGTTGACACCCCGGTTGACCAGAGCCTGTGCAAGGTCCCGTCTTCGTGTTCTCAAGGTGTTTGTCCGGATTGTCACCGGTCGGGACACTTCGTTGGCTTCGAAGAATTCGATAGCCTAGAAGATTCGTGAGCTATTAAAGGCGCTCTCGGATGGTAAATATATACCTCGCCGACAGGGAATAATTGGAAGAGTTTCTCGGCTAGGAAATCGTTGTAGCCGTAATAACTTGCAATATCCGCAACAAGTTGGTCAATATATTCTGACCGTGAACTGTAGAAGACAAATATTAGAAATTGTAGAAAGTGAAGATAATAGATGATACTTGCCGGCCTTTCTCTGCCCTCCGACTGAATTTTGAGAGAGCCCTAACGCATTCTCTCATACGGCGTTGAACTGTATGAACATCCGGCCCTCCACTAGCCTTCTCCTCTTCGCGTTCAACTGCAGTCGGCAGATGGAATGGCTCGACACTCATATCCCCATTCGCATCCTCCTCTGCATCCATGTCAACGTCCTCGTCGTCTTCCTCAGCAGCACGAGCCTCAGCTTGCAACTCCTCCGCCGCAAAGTCAGCTTCTGCCTTTGCTTTCGCCTCGAGTTTCCGTGAACGAGTAGCCATGTTGGCCATCGTAACCGGCTCATCGTTGTTTTCACCTTCAGAATCGTCGCTGGAGGATGCATCTGAGGCTGTTGGTATAATTTTCTTCGGCCTCTCAGCTTGTTTCGACTTTTTGGATTTGGAGGGCGGTAGTTCAGGTTCTTCGCTGGAGTCGGAGTCAAAATCAAAATCCTGTGCAGGCCCTTGTAGGGGGTCATCACTGGATAATGAATTAAATTGAGCTTCCAATGTTGCAAGCACGAGAATGAATATGCACTTCTCTCCCTCGTCGAAATCAACATCGTCTAATGTCCCTTCGAAAGCACCGTCATCATCGCTTTCATCACTACCTTTAAATAGAGACCTAGAAAAATATGTTCAGTGAAAATGGTATGGGAGGCGACAAGAAATGTACTTCGCGTGCTTTTTCAAATCTTCAGCGTCCTCGACATCTTCCCAACCTTCTGACCCATCATCAGAGACGATATCCGCCTTCTTTTTCTTCTTGTCAAGAGAGTTGGACGGTTTTGACTTCGTTTTCGAGCTTGATTTCTCTTTCCCTTTCCCATTGAGATCCTTGATCTTTTTGGTCGGGCGCTGGATAGATTTCAGGGCTTCCTCTGCATCGTCGGCTTCAGCTTTCCGTTTGCCCAACTTCTTTGAAGAATATTGCGATTCAAGCGGCACTGGATCAGCTTGCTTCCCTTTCGCGCGACGTCCCATGGTTCGTAAAGAGGTGAGAAAGACTGGTGCCTGCTGGGAGCAGGAGTTAGAACTTGTAATTGTTCACTGGAAAAAATCTTGATTGCACGTGAGGGAGCTCGGCATTCCCGGCCCGGCCATATCTCTTCTGCTTTTATCATACAATACGCAGTAGTAATCTAACCTCTAATATCAACCTATTCTCAACCCAAGAGCAAATCCTGCAATAAACGACGCCCTCGGTTGGAAATCAGCAGTGAGGAAATTGATGAGCCAGTTCCATAACATGAAGATAGTGGGCGGCCGCGACGCGCCAGACGAGTCTGTGGTGTGGAACTGGTTCTCGAATTTCTTCCCAACTCTTGCCCAATCTACACGGATGATAGAGGTCGATGCTAGGTACTGTGGAATTAATCGGGATGATATGATTAAGGGGTACGCAAGACGGGAGCATCTCGGTCATCAGAAACGTTCCGGCGCACTAAAGATGCAAATTGCGGCGTACCTGGAGGAGGACGAAGATGCCTCCAAGAAGCCACGCTAGCGCCTTTGAGCCTTTCTTGACGAATATGCCTGCGCATATGCCTGTAACGGTGCCAAAGCCTAGCTCGTATAGGGAAACGGATGATGCTGGCGGGGGAGGAAGACCGCCTTCATATGAAGGAACAGGGGGCGGAGTTGGAGTCGCAACTGCGGTTGTGTTCGGTGCTATTACACGGATCGTCGATACTCCTGAGCAGACTTGAAGGAAAGGAGCTCACAGTCGCATTGGATCGCCGGTTGGTTGAGGCTAGCAAGACCCAGGCCAACACCTGCTACGCAAGCTCCCTTCATCAGGAAAGGTAAATTGACCCTCGCCTTGAACGAACTATGCTGAGCATTGCTCCATGTAAACGATGGAGAGCCTCGTAGTTGCAAAGTATGCTGAAGCCCTCTTGAAGGATTGAGACCTGCTCTGATGAAATTGGGAGTTAGGGGTCGAGTAAACTGATGGCCACCGGACATATTGAGTCCAGGACGAAGAATTTGGCGCGTAAGTCCGGAAAGATAGGATGCCATTCTTCGAACGCAAACGGGGTAAGAGCAGAGTTGCGCTTCGAGATTTGAACGTGGCCCATCTGACGTCACTGATGCCGCTGTTGGTCCATTTCCTTGTCTGGTGTGCTAACCCTCGTAAGTAGGAGCAAGGAAAACCCGAGATATGGGATTAGAAAATACTATAGTACATATACAAGGAATTTATGGTTTCATCTACCCCTGCTAGCATAAATATGAGCCAAGTAATTCTGTCCGATGCAACCCGCAATTACAATAATCCGCCTATTCCAGTAGCCTAAGGTGGTACATCCACGGGTTCAATGTCCAAGAACTTGTCCTAAATAATTTAATACCGACTGGCATTTTGTAGATATGGTCAGTTCATGCTCGTGTTAGCGACGTTTCAGCTCATCTCCATATCTGTGGATGCCGCAAGGCAAGTCAGGATGTGGAGTCAGCACCGCAGAGAGTGGCGCATTGGCGCTCGTGAACGACATCCCCACCGGAGACGGAGAACGAGGCACAGAAGCCAAGGTGTTGGAGCGATTGAGAGGAATGTGTAGGCCGAGAGACGGGTGCGTCAAGGGAGCCTTCGGTGGCGAATTAAGAAAGCAAGGTTGTTGGAGTCGGAGAGGCTGGAGAGGGCGGATATTAGGAGAGTAAGGAGTTTGAGAACCCCCTGCCTCGCTCTCTATCTTGTTGGGGTCCTCAAGAGATCGTGGCGGTCCTTGGCGCTTAGTCCGGGGCCTGGGGCCCCGAGTAATACGATTCGGGGCTGCAGAAATGGAAATGATCTGGCTCGAGATTAATCCCCCGAGACGTCGAGGATTTCTCAGAGAGACCGCGGGTGGGGCAGGAATAGATTTTGAAGGCGATTGCGGTACTTGAGACTGGTTGGAAAGCGGCTGCTTGGAAAGAGAGCTACGGTCATGGGAAGATGGGCTTGGTACCCGAGAGGGAGAAAGGCAAACGGGGGAGAAAATCTTGTCAGAATTGGGGCAATCGACGGGGCTTGGATTTTTCTGGGTTTGGGGCTCCTTGAGAGTGTGTTCTCTTCCAAACTCAAGCCAACAAGATGAATACATCTTTTTTGGCCGCGAGAATGGCTTAACATAGCAAATAAAAACCAAATAGGCGGAGTAGAGGGTCACTGGAATCAAATAAATACCTCTGGCAGTGGAACGAAAGGGAAAGAGCCTTACAGATCACTATAAGTGCGCTGTTTCCCAAGATGACGAGGTTTTCAGTCGTCCTACATGATGCTTTGGAGGGTTAGGCATTTCATTAGCCAGAAAAGCCCGGAAATGCGAGCTGCGGAGAATACCTGCATGTTTGAAAGGCAGCGAAGGTAAAATAATGGCGGAAGTAGTAGTCCCACCTAAACCAAACTCGAAATTATGTACGTTGAACCATGAAGGCACAACTTACCAATGTGGAAGAGGAGCAATGCAGCTATACAGACGCCGTCCAGCCGAAGTCGCAAAGGGACGATCATCCTAAATAATATTGTGAGATCGGGTAGGCGGAGAAAAGCAGACTGCAGCGACTTGCATTAGGAACAACACGACCGCTGATATGGTATATACTATGAGCAAGATGACGAGGAGGTATCCTAGCGGTCAGGGGTCAAAAAATTGCTCCTTAGGCTGCTGACGAAGCTTGCTCTGAGCTTACTCTGAGCACTGAAGTGGAAGGTCCATCCACGTAATAGGAGAAAGACGTAGAGTGCTGCGCACGCTAGGCTCAGAGCCGCAGAAAAGGCTAGAAGAACGGGATTATGGCACAGAAATCGAGGGCATGGCTCCAGGAACGCTTACCGTAAACTATGGCTCGTGCAGACCTCAACCCAGCCCAAGTGCGGGGGGAAGTTGCACTAGTGGCCATGTTATTCGAATTTCGGAAGGTGAAGGTCATCCCGAGAGGAAGAAGGATCGCATAGGAGGTCAAGCTTCAAGGATATGGCCGCTAGGGCACTGCACGCAAAAAAGGAAGAACACGACCGTCGAAAGCAAGGGAACAAAGAAGCAAATGTCAAGTGATAAGGATTCAAAACCCAGTCAGCCCTTAAAACTCGCCAAGAGGAGTCAGAGGGAATCTTCTAGTGGCAGGCGTGTGTCTGCTATTCTCGTGTCCGGCTGTGTTGTTGACAGATGGTACGTGGGGAGTAGCAAATTGATCAGAGGAACGCTCAGCGCTGTCGGCCCTCCTCAGTCGCAACCACGCATCGCGAAGATTATAGAGGACTTGAACTCCTGAGAGGGGTATCATAGTCCCAACTGAAACTAGTTGAGCACAGTGGAAGCAAGCACTGCAGATGGAAGTCCAAGAGAAGAAAGATCGCCGAGCTAAATATAGCCCGCGTTGATCAACCGAAATTCCTTCCCACGGCTGCTCAACCTGAAGCATGGCGTCTCGCAACACTCGAGTCTGCCAAAGTTCCAAACACTCCTCCCAACGTCGCCCAGGAACTCTCGGTCTCACAGCCTTCTGGCGTCAGATGTCAGATCGACAAACTTCTTCTTCCGGCCCACAGGTCTTCAAGCCTCAGGGAACACCAAGGGCCTGTCTCTGGTGATCCGTCCTCGTATGAGAAATGGCGGAGTAACACGGGAGAGTTTCTGGAGAGCGAGTCTCTGCATCGTCTCGTCGTAACACTTGTGAGTACTATGCGTCTATCAATCGACCAGAAACTCCATGAACCCTCGGTCGAATTTGTTTAGATCGCCATAGATGCGACTTGCGTCCTCGCAAACCTTGCCTACACCGTTCTTTCCCCTGACTGCGACTTCCCAGGCGAACTAGACACCCCTGTATGGCTGGAGTACTTATCCCATAATCTCTTTCGGAATCACCACACTTTTCTTGATCGAAATTCCGCTAACGCTGTGGTCATTGGGCTTTGAGTACATCAACCCCTTCGGACCTGTCCCTTATGCGACGCTGCATATATTTGATACGATTATCATTGCGACTACATTCACCCTTGAGGTCATTCTCCGTGGACGGGAGAAGGAGCTTGCAGGTCTGCTTATTATTTTGCGCCTATGGAGGCTCGTGCAACTGGTCGGAGGCAAGTACTATCGATTTCCTCATGCGTATCTTATCTCTGACGAAGTTGTTCCCCAGGTGTTGCTGTAGGTGCCGGAGAGCTTAGCGAAGAAGTCTCCGAGGAGCTTGCCAGGACCCAAGCGGAACTTGAGGAAACCAAAGGTCGATTAGCAAAAGCGGAGAACGAAAACTTCCGACTGAAGTCACGGTTGAGTCAAATGAGACAGAACTCTGAGTAGTTTGTTTATTATATACCGAGCTATCTACACATATTGATACAGTGATACTATATTATTACAGTTCGAAGGTAAGGATAGTGTGTGGATCTTCATAGGAGGCAGGGTCCATAATCCATGTGCCCATATCATCCAGTCGTGAACAAAAAAGGTCCTTGAAAGTGGAACAGCCGTTATTGAAGGCGTGCCCACACAGTGGGAGTTGGAGTGAACGTTAATGCCCCGTCTTCAACCCATCAGCTCTGACCCATTCAGAGAGACGAGGAAGGGGGATGGGTTTGTCGAGATCTTCGACGGATGGAGGGAACGAATTCGTGTGGGCGTGGTAGTGGTAGTGTGATGGGCTCTCGGAACGAGCTAGGATGCTCGACTCGCGGAATTTCTCGACGAAGCGCGAACCAGCCGCCCCTGTCGTGGCGCTGCGGCTTGGAATGGAAGGGAGAAGGGTAGGCGAGGAGCGGTTGGAGGTGGTGCCTGAGGGTCTGGCGAATGGCGTGTCGACACCACGCCGTGTTTGTCCCATTGCCCAGGGTGCCTTGATCTCGACGGAGTTGCGAAGGCCGTAGTGGTTCTTGCGCGCGCTGGTTGACTCGATGTCCTCGTAATAATCCGCATATGGGTCTTCATCCTCCGAGAGCTTGGTCTTGCGTAAGAAGTTTTGGAAGGGCTGTTCCTTCTGGCCTTCTGGCCACCGCGCAAACCACTGGACTTCGTAGGCTGTCTTGTTCCAGATATTTCCAGGAAGATCTCTATGTGCCACGGCGCAGAAGAATAAGGTCAAGAAGTAGACCAGGACTAGAAGACACGTCAAGTGGAGCAGTGTCGTAAAAATGAAACGGACGGACAAATGAAGCTGCTTAGCCAGGTCAACGGCACAAGAACCATGAGAGAGGAACAAGCACTCTCGCTTACTGTAAAACAAAAGGTGAATTCAGAGGCGTATGTAAAGATGAAGGAAGCACACATACGTCGACTACATGATGCTGCGGGCCCGTTGATCGAGGTAAGAATGGCCAGAGCTAGAAGGGCTGTTAGTTTCATGAGATTCAAGAGATGTAAGACATACAGAGGTTGTACACAGTTAGCATTCCGACCCACATGCACTCAGATTGGATTTGGGATGTTTTGAACTTGGGACTGAAGAAGTCTGCCATAGCGCTATGGGGGATATGAGAACAGATGTTGCAGGACGAGAAAGAATATGCGCACATGGCCACACAGACAAACGTAAAGCTGCTCCCAAAGATAATCAAGCCGGGACTCGTAGGAGCTAGAAGGGATTCAGCAATTTAGCTTGGATAATATGAACAGAACACGGGGCGCACATGAATCCCCCAACGACAATGTGGTATTGACATTCCATGCGGCAACAACCAAGGACAAGAAAGCGAAGAAGGTGAAGAGGGCTAGACAAATTGAACGTTAGTTCAGAAGATATGAGGCGTCGAACGGGAGAAGCGTACCCAAGAAGACCAGACGGAGGATAAGGAACGGGTTGCGCATGAGAGGGCCGATGGTAGGTGCATTGTTCACTTCCAATACGAACGGCATGTTTGTTGAAATATCGTCAAAAGGCGTGCTTGAACGTGTGCGAAGACGGCGACCAGCGATGAATGAAAGCAATCAGAGTCCTCGAAAAGAAAGAGAAGAGAGTGAAAGCAGTCAAGCAGATACGCCTGCCGTCAACGAAAAAGAGAAACGCAAGGAGTTGAAGAGGGCAGGCCGTATCCTTTGTCCACCAGTGACACGGGGATCAGGACGAGACCTGGACGCCTGGCTTATGAGGGAAAATGCCCGTGGCATTGCTGTGCACTACGTAACGGCGCCGAAGACTCGATAGGAGGGAACAATGGAATACAAAGCAAGTATAAAGAGGAGAGAACAATAGCGCCGGCTAGTTCGGGGCCAATCAGCGCGCTCACCAATCAGGCGTGGGAACGGCCAAATTGGGACGCGGCCACTACCGGCAACCGGAGCCAAAATGACCGGTGTCGATCTCCTTCCCCGCACTACTTTAAGCGCAACGCTCTGAGGCAGAAGCTCAAATATCGGCCAATGTCTACGCCAAACGTGTCTCTTTGCTCACCGCGTTGCTCGTCCGGCCAAGGTCCCAACATACCAGTTCTCGCCGCATCACCAAAACCAGAGCAATGCCCTGAAGACCACATCGTCGTTCGAATGGATCGGTTTGGCTTTTCAGCCAACAATGTCACTTATCAAGCGCTGGGAGAGCATCCTCATTTCCGGTGCGTCGTTGGACTTGTCTGAATTCTCTACCAGTTTGACCGCATCTACCACGAAAAGTTACTTTGACTTCCATCCCGCACCAAAAGCGTCAGATGGGTCCACTGGCCCAGAGACTCACGGATTGATCCCAGTGTGGGGTTTCGGGACCGTCATCGCCTCAGGACATCCAAAAATCCAAGAGGGCGAACGCATCTATGGATACTTCGCCCCGACGAGGTATCTCCTCCTTCCCGTTTCACCGGCTGACGTGAACAAGTACTCGTTCTACGTCTCTCGACCGCACCTACCACCAGGTGAATCCCCTATTCCCGACTTCCCATGCTAATGATAAAATCTTGACCGTATCCAAACCACCAACAGATCGACGCCCGTACAACCAAGTCCTACGATGCGCTACAGACCTGCAATACTCCCCTGATCCGCTCGCGGAGGACCTGACGATGCTCTACCGGCCTCTATTCTGGACTTCGTACTGGTGCGAAGACTGGGTGCACTCCTCCGGGTACCGAGGCGGCGTCTCAAATGTCCTCATCTCTTCTGCGTCCTCCAAAACGGCATTCTGCCTCGCGTACCTCATTGGCAAACGTATTCAACGCGGCGAAGTTTCAGCGAACACAAAAATCATTGGGCTTACATCCAAGAGGAACGTCGCGTTCACGAAGAAGCTCGCGCTCTATCACGAGGTGTATGATTACGACTCGTTCACCGCCGCGCCGTCCTTCCAAGGCGGGCAAGAGAAGAGGTGGTTGTACGTCGACGTCGCGGGCAGTGGCGACCTCAACAAGCGCATCACTGCGCATTTCTCCTCTCCGTACACTGGAAGGATGGCCGCGTGCGTCGCGCTGGGCATGACCAACCTCTCGCCCTCTTCCGACGCAGGCACCTCAATGAACTGGAGCGCGAACACGTTCGACACCGCCGCGACCAACGACTCAAACGAAGTTGCATCGTCCTTCTGGCCGAGGATGGAGCAATTTTTCATGGTTGAGTGGTTGGATGTCCGGAGACACCAGATTCCCATTGTCGAGATCTTTGAGAGGCAGAATTTGGCGTGGAAGGAGCTGATGCAGGAATGCACTGGTTGGGTCGAGTTAGAGCGCATCAACGGACCTGCGGCCGTCAAAAAAGCATATGAAAAGCTATCGAAAGAGGGTCTCGGGCCTGAGAAAGGGTTGATTTGGAGTTTGTGGGACGGGGAGTCTACAAATACTAAGATTCTTTCGAGGTTGTAACAAAGGTTTTTGGGACTTTTTCTTTCTATTTCATGCATGCGGCGTGTGCGTCTAGAACTGCGAGGGGGAAAATAATATTATACAAAACGAGGATATCACGCTTCCTACCATCCAAGAAATCATTAGAGACAACCAAGAGTGTTGCTGGTGGTACAAGGGTAGTCAATGAAAATTGCTAGGGATGTGGAATCAAGAAGTAAATAAGGAATAGCGTTCTCGAAGACGAATCATTAGCGAAGGGGTTGGTAGGCTCATGTTGAATATGTCGTTCGTTGATGCTTTGGTGGCGGCGGCTGAGGCAATGATGTGGGCGCTGGGCGCTTAACTACACGCCACACTAGAGAAAGAATTAGAAAGAAAAGTGGGACAGAAAAGCAAAGACATACTCGGCGGACTCGTAGAGATTGGTGGGCCCGTGCTGGCGGAGGTCTTCGATGTTATTGGTGAAGGAGGACAGGCACGCGGAGGTATGTCTGCAAGGAATGTCCATGGTAAGAAAAACCGAATGGAGAAAACAACGAGCAAGACGCACCTATGGTCGAAATAATCTCCGACACCAGTCTCTCTGTCCTTTCAGCAGCCTCTTTCACACCCAGACAAGTAGTCGGCGGGCCAGGAACGGCGCCATTTCGAGTGGCATCCTCCGGGAACTGCCAGCGCTTCTCCAGAACCCCAGCAAGGATTCTGAAGAACTCGGCGGCTTCGACCGCCACAGTCGACCCATCGTCTTGCAGAAGAGGCTTAGCGTCCGACCCTAGGAGTGCCAACGCCTTGTCCTGCAACCGTGCGCCTTGCACGAAATCCTCGACGACGCGTGCAGTGTCGCCCGTGAACCGTAACCCCGCACCAGTAAACTCCATCCCAGAATCTCTGAGAGCAGCCTTAATCGCGTCATTCTCTTTCCTCGCCCTTTTCAGCTGCTCCTGACTCGCCGTGAGCACCCTGTGCGTATTCGCCAACGCGCCTTCGAGCGCCTCGGCCTTCTTCGCATGCAGGTTCTGCCGGCAGTTCAACGAAGAGATCTCCGCCTCGGACTTGGTGCGGAAGTCCTGGAAGTGCGCTTCTAGAGCCTTGATGTTCTCGTGGTACAAAGCGGTGACCTTCTCCCTCTCTTGGTTGACCAGCGCGAGAATGGCGTCGGCGCCGGTCTGAATCGCGCCGGACTGCCGGCTCTTGCTACCGGTATGAAGCTGCGGCTGCCCTTGGATAGAAGAGGGCTCCGCGGGAGAGCGAGAGGGCGTCTGGGAAGCTGTGTGCATGGGCATAGGAGAGAACGGTAGGGGACATGGACAAGATGTGCATGGTAATTTGTGGAGGCGCGAGTCTACGCAGCGCGCCAGGGACGGTATTTCGCATTTGTTTGAAGCGGAGGGTCCAAGCAGACATGTTGTCCGATAGCCTTACCCTTCACACCACCTGCCCACCCTTCCAACGACCGCCCGAGGTTTCTCAAATGTTCGTGTCCCACAACTGCCTTCCGTCGAGAATAAGTTGGAAACAGGATGACTGTGTCTGAGCATTTAGGTGATTCCAATAAGGACCCCTAATGCTAAAGGTATAACAGCCCACCATGGACAAAAATAGGGCTTACCATGTAAATACCACCCCCTGCAATGAATATGTCACCCAAAAGTCCCAGATCGTCGGCGTTCGTTGACGATCATCAACTTTCGTCAATGTTTGTCAACAATCTCCAACTTTTGTTGACGTTCTTTGACTTTTGTCAAAGATTTCCACTGAAATATCCTGATCTTCAACGTTTGGCACAGATCAATACGGTAGGTTTCTTCAACTTTCTGTTACCATTTTCACTGTGAGCCTCTCATTCTTTCTTTGACATCTGGCCAGAATCTTCAAGAATCTTTATATTTTTCTTCAGGAATGTGTCGGACCCCAGGACTTTGTGAGGGGCTTGGCACACTCAACTCATGTGCCGGGCCTACGCCAGCTGCTCTGCTTGCATGCTGACTAACAGTCGGGCTGTGGGGACCCACCAATCTTAGTCAGCAGGGAAGAAATACCTCGCTGACTAAGATTGGCAGGGTCCCATGGTGCGCTGACTAAGTTGTTGCTCCCACCCTTCTCATTACTGTTGTGGACAGCAAGCTCGCTGTTCACACCATTTCTGGTCCATTTCCCTCCATTTTTTTTGCTAGTATCAATGTATGTAGTTATTAATGAAGTTATGTAACATATATACTGTTGTAAACCCCCATAAGCTGTATAAAATGCGAAACAATAATATGAATAACAGTCCCTCATCCATACCCAGCCCTAGGCATATTCCCCAGCCCAGGAAGCATCTGGAGTATTTAATATAGACACATGTATGAGTGGGAAGGCCACCATCCAGGTTATGGGAGTGGCAGGATATACAGTATCACGGTGATTAATGTACCTCTCCTCCTACCCCTCTTCCACACACCAATAATGCAACTATTACTATGGTTAGTAGCTCAATTTAATGGTACTACAATAGCACATTTTTAGGGCCCTCTATTCAAGCCACTTGTGGTTTGAAGGGAGAGAGTATGACCCATGACCCTCAACAGTAGATATTTTATTAAAGAACCATACATGCATTTATGGCCAATTTGACTTGGTAGATACTTAATAGTATTATGCTTTAGTATATATATGTATTTAAATATGGAGCGCCGCACATGTGGGCAAAGATATGAGGAGGGGGAGGAGTGTCACATCCCATTCCTGAACCCATTGTCCCATTGTCCCATTGTTCATTGTTCTGGTTCATCAATGGGCTTTCCCCTCATTGTTCTATTCATTATTGTCTTCATTGTTCTCTGTCATTGTTCTGCTGACATTCATTACATAACCTAGATCTTCTCCATTGTTCTCAATAGTATAAGTAGCTAGGTAGTGTACTGGATTCCCCAGCTTGAATCTCAACCTTGACAACCCCTCTGCTCTGTTGTTCATCCTCTGTCTCCTGGGCCTTGGCCAGGATGACTTCTTCTTGTCTCTCCTTTGTCAAGACCAAGGCAGTTCCTGTAAATTGGGGACAACCAGATGATGTGTAGGGGCACAGCACAAGAGCATGCTGAGGCCAAGTCCCCCCCTCTGTTCAGGTCATTACAAGGAGCATCAGCAAATCCTGATTTTGAGGGTCAAAATGACCTCAATTTTAGCATTACACCGCGTTATGGCACGTTACGTAGCACTGCGTAACGCACCATAGTGCTGTAATGCATCTTCTCATCTACCATGATGGTCCCTAACTATGGAGTGCTACATACCCTCGTATAGCTCTCATAACCCAACCAGGAATTGCTGATGAGGAGCACATACCTCATCAGTCACCATGTCCTCCTGTCACAAATAGCGCATATTGCATGCTCTAGGTAGACTCTATGGGTGTGTGATATGTATACCTTGATATTTTAGTAGTCACAGTTAGAGAATAGATGCTTGGGTGAGATGGTATTAAAGCAAGGAGGATATCTGCATAAAAAGCATGAAAATCGTCCACTGTCACATAAATACATCAAGTAAAAATAATATATATACCTAGGCATATACTCATACATTCTAAGAGCCAGCTGAAAAAGAGTTTACGAAATTACAGTGAATTTTGAAGGGCAGAAACTCGGTCACTACATGTGACTATAATTTGCAGCTTACTATCTACCCTTCTTTGGGAGTTCCTTTGCCATATCTCACCTCAATCTTGCTCTAATTTTGTAAACTCTTTTTCAGCTGGCTCTTAGAATGTATGAGTATATGCCTAGGTATATATATTATTTTTACTTGATGTATTTATGTGACAGTGGACGATTTTCATGCTTTTTATGCAGATATCCTCCTTGCTTTAATACCATCTCACCCAAGCATCTATTCTCTAACTGTGACTACTAAAATATCAAGGTATACATATCACACACCCATAGAGTCTACCTAGAGCATGCAATATGCGCTATTTGTGACAGGAGGACATGGTGACTGATGAGGTATGTGCTCCTCATCAGCAATTCCTGGTTGGGTTATGAGAGCTATACGAGGGTATGTAGCACTCCATAGTTAGGGACCATCATGGTAGATGAGAAGATGCATTACAGCACTATGGTGCGTTACGCAGTGCTACGTAACGTGCCATAACGCGGTGTAATGCTAAAATTGAGGTCATTTTGACCCTCAAAATCAGGATTTGCTGATGCTCCTTGTAATGACCTGAACAGAGGGGGGGACTTGGCCTCAGCATGCTCTTGTGCTGTGCCCCTACACATCATCTGGTTGTCCCCAATTTACAGGAACTGCCTTGGTCTTGACAAAGGAGAGACAAGAAGAAGTCATCCTGGCCAAGGCCCAGGAGACAGAGGATGAACAACAGAGCAGAGGGGTTGTCAAGGTTGAGATTCAAGCTGGGGAATCCAGTACACTACCTAGCTACTTATACTATTGAGAACAATGGAGAAGATCTAGGTTATGTAATGAATGTCAGCAGAACAATGACAGAGAACAATGAAGACAATAATGAATAGAACAATGAGGGGAAAGCCCATTGATGAACCAGAACAATGAACAATGGGACAATGGGACAATGGGTTCAGGAATGGGATGTGACACTCCTCCCCCTCCTCATATCTTTGCCCACATGTGCGGCGCTCCATATTTAAATACATATATATACTAAAGCATAATACTATTAAGTATCTACCAAGTCAAATTGGCCATAAATGCATGTATGGTTCTTTAATAAAATATCTACTGTTGAGGGTCATGGGTCATACTCTCTCCCTTCAAACCACAAGTGGCTTGAATAGAGGGCCCTAAAAATGTGCTATTGTAGTACCATTAAATTGAGCTACTAACCATAGTAATAGTTGCATTATTGGTGTGTGGAAGAGGGGTAGGAGGAGAGGTACATTAATCACCGTGATACTGTATATCCTGCCACTCCCATAACCTGGATGGTGGCCTTCCCACTCATACATGTGTCTATATTAAATACTCCAGATGCTTCCTGGGCTGGGGAATATGCCTAGGGCTGGGTATGGATGAGGGACTGTTATTCATATTATTGTTTTCGCATTTTATACAGCTTATGGGGGTTTACAACAGTATATATGTTACATAACTTCATTAATAACTACATACATTGATACTAGCAAAAAAAATGGAGGGAAATGGACCAGAAATGGTGTGAACAGCGAGCTTGCTGTCCACAACAGTAATGAGAAGGGCGGGAGCAACAACTTAGTCAGCGCGCCATGGGACCCTGCCAATCTTAGTCAGCGAGGTATTTCTTCCCTGCTGACTAAGATTGGTGGGTCCCCACAGCCCGACTGTTAGTCAGCATGCAAGCAGAGCAGCTGGCGTAGGCCTGGCATATGAAACCCACACATGGTGTGGCGTCATGGAGGCAGTTCGGGGTCTCAGAGATTCTTGAAGAAACTGGAAGAATAGGCCAGGCCATGTCAAGACAAATTCTCATTTGTTTTGGCCTCTGTCAACAGATTGGTGACGAACGGTGACATTCTGCGGGGTGTCATTCTTTGATTATTGTTAACATCCTGCCAAAAAAGGTAACTTTCTGTGCGGATCGTCAAAGAACGTCAACATTCTTTGACGATCATGACCGTTCCTTGGCTATCGTGACCATTCCCTGACTTTCTTCCGTGTTCTGCCACAATCATCACTGAAATTCATTTACATTGTATTTTTGTCCAGCACGGACCACCATATAAAGGATTGTTCAACAATACCCCTAACCAAAAATACAGTGAAATGTACACGGGGGATAGTAATCTGTAGCTAAAAAGTGCATGTCCTGTGCATGGCAGAAAGGAAAATCCAATCAACTAAAACCCGGAGAGCGGAAAGTGCTGATTTTCGAAAGGTCAAGATTGGGAGGTCGGTTGTCGTCACTGGGGTGTCTTCGAGGACCGCCAGGCCTTGACCGCCGTGAAGTAGAAGGCGATTGGGATGCAGCGAGCGACTCGAGCGCTGCACTCAGTGTTGACGCGTCTACTGGTCCAGAAGCGGTAGGCGACGTTGCTCGTGCGCGTGACTGACGCCTCGGCCGGTATTCCTCAGCTTGGGTTCAGGCCGAGGTTGCGGTTGCGGTGGTTGAGGAAGAGGAAGAGGTTTCCGCTTGGTATAAGGGCGTTGGGTGGCATCAAGCCGCGGCCAGTTGCCAAGGGGTGGCGGAGAGGCTGGTAGTCGCCGAATCTGACCAAGTTGTGCTGGCTGCGGTGGTGCTACAACCGAAGAGCTCGTCGGTTGATTCTTGTCGATGGCAGTCTGCACGACGCTGTGGTAGAAAGGCGTTGAGATGATAGGTTGCTGTGTTTCTTGCGCTTGTTCTGTGGTGTGGCGGATCTGGGACGATCGGGATACAAGTTCTGCTGGAACGGGAGGCATTGGCCTTTCCGATACCTGCCCCGATACGGGCTGGGCATCGGGTTGGAAGTATTCGATCTCGTACTCTGAGCTGAGCCCAGACCGATAGGCCAGAAACGCGTTCGCCAGGTTATTGACTCGCTGGGGGCGCGGTGCGGCAATTACTGGTGTCTTGCTCCTAAACCTTGGTAGAGTGGGGGAAGTGGGGGACGTAGGGACGCTCTTTAAAGAGCGGAGTCCATTCATCCATGGGAACCTGTGGACGCTACAATGCCATATTGTAGGGTCTTCCTTGCTCTTGACAAAGGAGAGAATGGATAGAAGGGTGAAGTAACCTAGCACTGTAAAGAACCTTATCAGAATCAGAAAGAAAGGAAGCCGCAAACAAGAGCGTACACAAAATGGCACAAATCCAAGTGAATGCCTGCAACACTTGGGCTGAAGGACATGGGGATTCATGAACAACTTGGATGAATAAGTCTGAAAGAGACGGTCAGGTTTTGTGCAGAAGATATGGAAGAAAGTACACGGACTCCCTGTTGGGGTATTGCATACACTGCTTTGCGAAGTGACAGCAGCCGCGCCGGCTGTAAAAAGAATAATAGCAATTAACTAGGATCGTTGAAGACACGTACCCAGTTCCATCATCCAGAACAGGCCAACCCATAGGAGTTCGAACCACACCCTGCCGAGGAAAACATCCTTGCCGTAGAGCTGGAAGAAAAGGCTTTCGCGGGGATCAGCGTCAACGCCCAACACTCCATGGACTATGGGCGCTCACATGGGGAAAATGAGGAACAACCCAGAAGCGCCGACGAAAATCAAATAAGCATCGATCTGCTTCGCTGGCGTTGGAGCTGATGAGGGGGAAGGGGACAGGACGTTGAGTTAGATATCCAGGGCGCGCACAGGAGCGTCGCACTCACAACCCAACAAGAGTCCCTCGACAATGCCCAAATTCCACACAGCAGCGCTTGCGATGACAGCGTTACACACAACAAATACAACTGCAGAGCGGAGGAAGATCGGGATTAGCAATGTTTTTTTTTCAATACAGGAGGGGACTGACGAAAGACGAGATAGCGGAGGAATTTCAAGAGATTGAACATGATAGCTTCATGAATGTGTGGATTGAAGAGAGCGTGGGGGGACCGGTCGACGGTTCTGTTGTGGGCGGATGGAGCGCTAGAGAGAGACAGGGAAGCCCCAGAGAGCAGCAGGTCTCTTGCTCCCAGACTTGTACACTGGCAAGAATAGAAACCGTTCTAATTCGCCCAACGGCCTCACTTCAAACTCCGCACCTCCGTCGCCTGCTCCTTTCAGCGCCGAACATCAGCCCACCAGCTTCAATCTTCCATCAACCCCGTCATAACATCAGACAAGGTTGATTATGCAGGTATCGGAAAACAAGCTGCGATGTATTATGGAGTAGAGCACGAACAATACATAAATTAATGCGCAATCGAAAGCATCCCTTATTGTCATCACCCTGGCACCGTGACACTCTCGTTTGCGCCTTGGAAGTCGTAGGAATAAGGCTCGTCTGTGTTCCCACCAAGCGCTGGAGAGTAGATCCTGTTCACCAGCACAGAGTTCCGGTCGCCGCCCGGTGCCGTTCCTAACGGAGTCTGCGTCCAACTCGAATGAGAAGACGCCAGCTGTGTGTCGAAACTTCCGTCTTCGTCCCCGGAGATATGCCGGCTTGTAATAGGGTTTGCTCCACCTGATGATGAAAACACCTGAGAAGAAAGATCGCCCTGTGCCGTGACATGAGAGACGGAACGAGAGGACGCGGGTGGCCGCGAGAAGGTGGCTGCCTGCAGAAGACGTTTCTGTCCACTCTTGCTTGGGGGAATTGCCATGGACACGCCCAGTTCTCTGGGTGACAAGTCGGCGACATACCGTCGCACTCCAGGAGAGACATCTTGTGAGAGTGTGCGAACAAGCTCATCCAGAGGAACTAGGATAGGGCGTGATTGACGAAGCAAGGTTCCTGTCACACCCAGAACACATGAGCTTTGTGTTGCCAGAACAGGACGGAAGAAAGGCAATTACTGTAGACCACCGCTGCTAAGCGAGCGACTCTAATCCGAACGCCTTCGATATCGTCATTCGCTAGGTTAGCAACAGAACGAATGATATCATCATCCAATGAAACCAAGGAGTGGGCCGCGTCAGCACCGAGTATGAGCCGCTGTTGGCAATCGATGAAACTGAGGAGGTTGTAATGATCAGTATGGTCAACAAGCAGCCCAAGTCAAATAGACCAACGTTATGCGGCTTCGGGAAGAGCTAGAGCTACCAAGCTGTTTGAGACGGCCATAGAAGTCCTGTAAGACCTCCTTGACTGATGAGCAACGGGATAGCGCCAGGGGGATCTGCAAACATAAACGCAAGAACGATACTATGAAAAGATAAACTCACATTAGCGATCGCTGCTTCTCGGACTGCCGCCGTATCGTCTTCCACACCGAGCATAACGAGCTCATAGAGTTCCACACGAGCGTCTGTGTTCCAGAGCTCCCAACTGGATAGCTTCTGTTGGATAAAATCGCGTTCTCGGTAGTTCCGTAAACCTTTCCACTCTTTGATCAGGTCGCTGACCAGAGATCGCCCAACTTGAGGTCCGACAGCATCAAGGAGGTCCGGCAGAGATTCTAGAGCGTTACCGCGAATAGTTGCGGAGCCGCAACGGAAAGCTGTCCACCAGAAGTCGACCACGTCAGACCGCGCGTTATCCGCACCGATCAGCTTTGCCAGGACGCCGGCGCTGGCTGCTAGCGTTGCCCGGACACGGTCGTTCTGGTTATCGGCCAAGTCGAGATAAAAGTGGCGTACTTCTGCCCACCGATCTGGGCCCAGCGTGAGCACCACGGCCGGGAAATTAAAGGCGCAGATCAAAGGACGCTGTGGGTCAGTGAAAAAGGCCTCGCGTGCGTCTTTCGGCGGTTCTGGGTTTTGGTCTTGCTCCTGTTGGCCATCTCGTACGCGACGATCTTCTTTTTGTCCCATAAACAGATGTACAAGCTCTTCCGGAGGGCCTGTCGCGTCCGCCTTGAAGGTGTAGATAACTTCACCGAGGGCCTCGAGCGCGCCGCGTCGTACGACAGGATGCTGGTCGGCAGAAAGGGCAACAATTGTCTCCAAGGCCAGCATCCTTCGCTGAGCCGGTGACAATCGGGCGAGGATGGCAGGCAGCGCGTAAAGCGCGGAATGCCGTACAGCCCAAACTGCGTCCCATCGCACATCATCAAATATTGGAAGCTGTAAAAAAAAAGGTGGCGATGAGAAAATTTAGTGGAAGAGGGAGAGTAAGAGGAACAGACCAACGTTGAGGTGATCAAGTCATCTGGGATCACTTTCGCGAGGGCTCCAAGAGCAAAAGAACACTCCCGCCGTACCCAAACAACAGGGTCCTTGACCACGCGTTGTACTTCGCTGATAAGTGAAACGAGCGTCTCCCTGTCTAGAGGAGCAACTGATGAAAAAGTTAGAACCTGTCAAGACGAAAATAGGGATACCCACCACTGGAAACGATGGATGCAATTAATGACATCGAGGAGAGTCTGCCGCCTGCCGCTTCAGACGGCTCCTCCTGGTCCGCGAGCTCCTCCCTAGCATCATAATGAATCCCCATATTCTGGCGATAAAAAATAGACAGGGCATACCATCTGTCATCGATTTCAGTAGCCACACCTGGGCCGCTCGCGGCTAAATGTGACGTTGCCGCGGGCCCAAAATTCAAGGCGCCTGGGCGGGAAGGGGAAACTGAGTGAGATCTACTAGTTGCGGGTATTTCGGTATTCGAAGAATACCCATTCCCTGAACCTGATGACGACGACCGAGATGAGCCTGGTAAAGAAGAGGAGGTATTAGCGGATAACGGTTGAGGTATCGGGGGAAAGTAGGGATTGCTATTGTCGTATTCTCTGCTTCTCGGGCTTGTTGGAGGTGAAGAAAGCGCTGGAGGCGGCGATAGCCCAGCAGCCCCTTCCATTTCTATGTCCATGTCCGTATCCATGTCAAGCTGCGCCATGCCGATAACGACATGCTGGAGAATCTCCTCTGTGAACATACTGCGTTCGCGCGTGCCGAATAAACCGATGGGGAGTGGAGCATCTTCGTCCTCATCGTCATCATCTCGGTTGTTTGGTAGGATTCCCCATGGGTGCAGGTTTGGGTCGGAGGAATGACGTTGGGGTGGGATGTATGCACCTGACTCGCGGAGGTCGAGCTTCTTCATGCGAAGGAGGAGCTTGACTATGGCAGCGCGGATGATTGCGTATGCCTTGGCCTTGGAGCTGAGTAAAAGAGTCCCGAGAATGGGAGTAAATGCCTGGACGGAGATAGCCACGGTCGTCGAAGACGATGCATATGCCTCCTCGGGGTGGGGATCATCCGGGACGATTTGACAGTGCTAGACGAGGTGTAAGGCCGTCAGTCGAGGACACGCGGAGAAGGAGACGACACACAGTAAAGAACCACCAGATGATTGAGACGAACTCGGACGCCAGCGCCTCCTTGACCTCCTCTTCTGTGATGACAGGGTGAGAAGACGCGAGCCACTACGGGGGAGAGACAAAAGACGAACCATCATCCACGACGAGGTTGCTGAGGAGGGGCAGGACGTACTCGACGGCCTCCTGGGGGGTGACGTGTCCGAGGTACTCTGGGAGCGCATGGGTGATGAAGATGCGATGGAAGGAGGCCTTGCTGCGGGAGTAGAGGTATATTTTCTCGAGGGTGCTGAGGCCGTCGTCATCGAGGGCAAGATCGATTGGGAGGTCGGTGGGGACGGGGAAGGTGTCGTCGGTGGGGATGGGGTGGATGGGGGGTGGGG